TCTCTCTCTCTAACCCTGGCCATACAGGTCTCTCTCTAACCCTTGGCCATACAGGCCTCTCTCTCTCTCTCTAACCCTGGCCATACAGGTCTCTCTCTCTCTAACCCCTGGCCATACAGGTCTCTCTCTAACCCCTGGCCATACAGTTCTCTCTGTAACCCCTGGCCATACAGGTCTCTCTCTAACCCCTGGCCATACAGGTCTCTCTCTCTCTCTCTAACCCCTGGCCATACAGGTCTCTCTCTAACCCCTGGCCATACAGGTCTCTCTCTCTCTCTAACCCTTGGCCATACAGGTCTCTCTCTCTCTCTCTAACCCCTGGCCATACAGGTCTCTCTCTAACCCCTGGCCATACAGTTCTCTCTCTCTGTAACCCCTGGCCATACAGGTCTTTCTCTAACCCCTGGCCATACAGGTCTCTCTCTAACCCCTGGCCATACAGGTCTCTCTCTCTCTCTCTAACCCCTGGCCATACAGGTCTCTCTCTAACCCCTGGCCATACAGGTCTCTCTCTCTCTCTAACCCTTGGCCATACAGGTCTCTCTCTCTCTCTCTAACCCCTGGCCATACAGGTCTCTCTCTAACCCCTGGCCATACAGGTTTCTCTCTCTCTAACCCTGGCCATACAGTTCTCTCTGTAACCCCTGGCCATACAGGTCTCTCTCTCTCTCTCTCTAACCCCTGGCCATACAGGTCTCTCTGTAACCCCTGGCCATACAGGTCTCTCTGTAACCCCTGGCCATACATGTCTCTCTCTAACCCCTGGCCATACAGGTCTCTCTCTAACCCCTGGCCATGTAGGTCTCTCTCTCTCTAACCCCTGGCCATACAGGTCTCTCTCTAACCCCTGGCCATACAGTTCTCTCTGTAACCCCTGGCCATACAGGTCTCTCTCTCTAACCCTGGCCATACAGTTCTCTCTGTAACCCCTGGCCATACAGGTCTCTCTCTCTAACCCCTGGCCATACAGGTCTCTCTCTCTCTAACCCCTGGCCATACAGGTCTCTCTCTAACCCCTGGCCATACAGTTCTCTCTGTAACCCCTGGCCATACAGGTCTCTCTCTAACCCCTGGCCATACAGGTCTCTCTCTCTAACCCCTGGCCATACAGGTCTCTCTCTCTAACCCTGGCCATACAGGTCTCTCTCTCTAACCCTGGCCATACAGGTCTCTCTCTCTCTAACCCTGGCCATACAGGTCTCTCTCTAACCCCTGGCCATACAGGTCTCTCTCTAACTCCTGGCCATACAGGTCTCTCTCTCTCTAACCCCTGGCCATACATGTCTCTCTCTCTCTAACCCTTGGCCATACAGGTCTCTCTCTCTCTAACCCCTGACTTAACCCGTTCACCTGACCCCCCCCCCCCCCCCCCCCCCCCCATCACGGCAGCCCATCAGATCCGACATGACACCACAGACATGGCCATGCATCATATTCCGGATCCTGGAAAGCTGCGCCGGAAAAATTTCCGAAGCGTTGGACTATTTTCGTCACAAACAAACATAGGGAAGTATTTTTTGATCCGGGACTTAATTCATTGCCGTCTTTTTTTGGCTGGGTCGTGTGGAGGTCTTGGTCGTGTGCAATGTTGCTATATCAGAGCACTCGGTGGCTCGCTGCTATATCAGAGCACTCAGTGGCTCGCTCGGTCACTGATGTGGGAGTGCCTAACTGGAGGTGTCGTGTGGATTTAAGTGTTGTTTTTCGAAAGTACACCAGCCGTGGATTAGCTGGCTGTGGATAAGTGGATAGGTCATTGTCGTATAGTGGATGCTGGCATAGGTCATTGTTCAGATCACGTAAGCAGGAATATTTGATTGACACTCTTTAACATTTTGTCATCTAGCTGTGTGGACATTTTTGTCTGATAGCTGTGTGAACGTTTTGTCGACATTGTCTGCGAGTTGTCACGCGGTATGTCTGCCCTACCCCCCCCCCCCCATTCAAACCAGTGTAGGGAGGGCGGAAGGTAGAGTATTAAAATAAATCTCAATGTTTTAAAGTTTATAAATATACTAATTTCGATTTTTTTTAAAAACACCACACAGTCATTAACGCGCAAGGTTTTAAAATTATAAATAACTACATCTATACCTCTACTCAAAATTTTGTGACTTTTTTTTCTTTGACTTGATTAACGTGAATTTATCTAGTCTGTGACTTTTTTCAGTGACTTTTTTTCTGTGACTTTTTCCCCCTATAAAACCCATGACATTTACTGAGACTTATTTTTTGGGTGAACGGAATAAAGTCACTAAAAAAAAAACAGAAATAAAGTCACACTTTCAGCTAGGAAAAAGTCACAAAGGAAAAACTTTATCGAAAAAAGTCACAGAAACAAAGTCACAGAAACAAAGCCACAAAAATCTTGTAAGAAATATTTTGATTTAATTTTAAAAAATTTAAAATTTTGTGTGTTTATTGGTGTGGGTTGTTTTTGTTTTGGTACCATAATTATAAAGTTTAAAAGCATTTTGGTTTTATAACAATAATAAGTAAAAGTACTGTAAGCTAATTTACACATCAATCTCAAATTTTGTTACGTATTTAGTTACATATGCGGTAGAAAAATTAATTACAAAGAAATTTGGGCTCATCATTGTGTTTAGCATATTTGTTTTTGCCGTTGACCATTCCTTGGTGCGTCCATATTGTGTGTTGTTGACGTTTTGCGTCAAAGCCAGCCTTTGAACCGTGTCGGCCTTCTGTTTTGATCCTAGGCTTCGTTACGTAATGAGCGTGATAAATGTGGCCAGAAAAGGTAGTTGAAGTATTGTTGCGGTCAGTTGAGTGCAGCAAGTCAGATTAGCAATGTCTTTATGCCATTTTACGCTAATTTAAAAGATACGATAAAAATATTGAAGGCTGGAACACTCAATTAAATTCTATTAAATGTTATATCGGAATTAAAGCCTACACACTTCATACTAAATATTTTACGTTTGCTATGAATATAACTATACATATACAACCTAAGTACACTAACATTACAGTTAATTGATCTAAGTTGATTTTCACTCGCTGAATATTTAACACATACAAGTATTAACAAATTCCATGCAAACATATTATAATAATGACTTTTTTAATTTCTCGTGTACAGAGTATATTAAAAGTAGTGTAATCGTGCGAAAAAAAAATCGAGATTTTTTTTACACCTCTCTGGGTCGGAAAAACATAGTTTTGCAATCTTGTCCGTATGTCTTTGTGTGTGTGTGTGTGATTGTGTGTCTGTGAACACGATAACTTGAGTACCGTTATAGCTAGGTTGATGAAATTTCATATACAAGTATTATATCAAATTTGTAGTTTTAGCGATTTCCGATAACCGGAAGTGGAATTTATTCTACTTTCAATTTTTCAAAAGCCTATAATTTGAGCACTGTTTCAGACCGATAAATGAAATTTCACACGTAAGTAAAAGATCTAATACTCTGTCCTCTGTCGAATTTTGAGTAATATCTGTTGACCGGAAGTAGTAATTTACGCTATTTCCGATTTCTCAAAAAAAAAACGCGTGTGTGAATTTATAAAGTACTAATAATATTCCGCACTATTACATACACATTTTTTGGCGTTCACTTGGGGCGCAATTCTTTTTTCTACGAGATTTTATTCTATTTTAAAAAGTTTTAAGTTAAAAATGGATTAAAAATCATGTCTATATCCCGAGGTGCCATCCTCAGTAGTGTTATATAAGAATGTTCGAGAAAGTTTAGGGGAGATCACTCCCGGTTTATTTTTCCTGTGACTTTTTTCCTGTGACTTATTTTCCTGTGACTTTTTTTTTCTACTATCATTTTTCGTTCACCCGCTCTCCGACACAGGAGCCCCCCTTCCACCTAACAAAGTGACTCTACCTCTACCAAAATGACCCCGTATGTAACAAAGTGACCCCACACCTAACAAAGTGACCCCACACCTAACAAAGTGACCCCACACCTAACAAAGTGACCCTACCTCTACCAAACTGACCCCACACTTAACAAAGTGACCCATACCTAACAAAGTGACCCCATACCTAACAAAATGACCCCACACCTAACAAAGTTACCCCACACCTAACAAAGTGACCCCACACCTAACAAAGTGACCCCATACCTAACAAAGTGACCCCATACCTAACAAAGTGACCCCACACCTAACAAAGTGACCCCACACCTAACAAAGTGACCCCACGCCAAACAAAGTGATCCCACACCTAACAAAGTGACCCCACACCTAACAAAGTGACCACGCCGTCCCTACAATTACATAACACTCATTTGGCGGGAAGATCTGGAGCCTCGGCCTACCCAGCGATGACTACTATGCTCTAACTACCCGACCACCTCTATAACGATACATTGTATTGGTTGACTGACACATGACGTAGGTTAAAGATGAACAACGACAGCATTAGATCACGCCAAAAGATGATCACCACACGATCACGCCAAAAGATGACCGACACACGATCACGCCAAAAGATGATCGCCACACGATCACGCCAAAAGATGACTGCCACACGATCACGCCAAAAGATGATCACCACACGATCACGCCAAAAGATGATCACCACACGATCACGCCAAAAGATGACTGCCACACGATCACGCCAAAAGATGATCGCCACACGATCACGCCAAAAGATGACTGACACACGATCACGCCAAAAGATGACTGACACACGATCACGCCAAAAGATGATCACCACACGATCACGTCAAATGATGACTGATACACGATCACGCCAAAAGATGACTGCCACACGATCACGCCAAAATATGATCACCACACGATCACGCCAAAAGATGATCACCACACGATCACGCCAAAAGATGACTGTCACACAGACCAATGGCAGGCTAAAGTTCACGACCAAAACGAGGCCGCTGGTGGTTCACCGTGTGACGTCACGGCCGGGGGATCCAATGAGAGACTGCACCAAACGTCATGGCGGACGGATCAGAAGTGACAAGCGGCCGTCAGTCGTCAGTTAGTGCCGCTGGCTGTGAACACAAGGTGTGCGCGGATACCAGCAGACAACAGGTCCTTCCATACACCGGCGACTGTCGGCGCGCCACCAAGGGACTTGATTAGGGAGAACTACTGTGTGCACCAAGGGACTTGATTAGGGAGAACTACTGTGTGCACCAAGGGACTTGGTGTACTGTATGCCAGCAAATATTTCCTTTGGATTTCTGGGCTAGCGGCTCTCAGTCAAGGTTTGAGGCCAAATGTTGCACGGACCGGCCTTGTTACATAAGCCAGTATTGTGTCGTACCGTTAAGTGTGTCGTCATTGTGTCGTACCGTGTGTGGCGTCATTGTGTCTTACCGTTAGGTGTGTCGTCATTTAATTGTGTCGAAATAACGTTTAAAGTAAAATTGTAATTAGCATTTACCGTCAAGTTTGAATTAGTATTGACCGTCAAGTTTGAATTAGTATTGGCTGTCAAGTTTGAATTATTTTAATTAGTATTGGCCTTCAAGTTTGAATTAGTATTGGCCGTCAAGTTTGAATTAGTATTGGCCGTCAAGTTTGAATTAGTATTGGCCGTCAAGTTTGAATTTGTATTGGCCGTCAAGTTTGAATTAGTATTGGCCGTCAAGTTTGAATTAGTATTGACCGTCAAGTTTGAATTAGTATTGGCCGTCAAGTTTTAATTTGTATTGGCCGTCAAGTTTGAATTAGTGTTGACCGTCAAGTTTGAATTAGTATTGACCGTCAACTTTGAATTTGTATTGACCGTCAAGTTTGAATTAGTGTTGACCGTCAAGTTTGAATTAGTATTGACCGTCAAGTTTGAATTTGTATTGACCGTCAAGTTTGAATTAGTGTTGACCGTCAAGTTTGAATTAGTATTGACCGTCAAGTTTGAATTAGTATTGGCCGTCAAGTTTGAATTAGTATTGACCGTCAAGTTTGAATTAGTATTGGCTTACCGAAGTGGATAGTTTTAAAATGTGTAAGTTTCTGTATTGATATAAATGGTTATATGCGATTGTTATAATAGGTGTGATTGGTATAAAATGTTTAATGGTTATGTTCGATTGTATAATATATGCGATTGTTATAATATGTGTAAGAATTCGAATATGAATGATTGTTATATGTGTAATAATTCGAATATGCGTGATTGCTATAAAATGCGTGACTGAGATTGGTATAATATGTGCGTTCAGCTCTAGCCCCATGTAGGAATGGTGCGGTCAACACTAGCCCCATGTAGGAATGTTAGTCAACACTATCCCCATGTAGGAATGTTAGTCAACACTAGCCCTATGTAGGAATGTTAGTCAACACTAGCCCCATGTAGGAATGGTGCGGTCAACACTTGCCCCATGAAGGAATGTTAGTCAACACTAGCCCTATGTAGGAATGTTAGTCAACACTATCCCCATGAAGGAATGGTGCGGTCAACACTTGCCCCATGAAGGAATGTTAGTCAACACTAGCCCTATGTAGGAATGTTAGTCAACACTAGCCCCATGTAGGAATGGTGCGGTCAACACTAGCCCCATGTAGGAATGTTAGTCAACACTATCCCCATGAAGGAATGGTGCGGTCAACACTAGCCCTATGTAGGAATGTTAGTCAACACTTGCCCCATGTAGGAATATTTGTCAACACTTGCCCCATGTAGGAATGGTGCGGTCAACACTAGCCCCATGTAGGAATGGTGCGGTCAACACTAGCCCCATGTAGGAATGGTGTGATCAGCTCTAACCCAGCCGCCAAGAATAGATTATCCCAGCCATCACTCGCCAAGAATAGATTATCCCACATTTGCATACTGCTCTATCAACTATCCCAATCCCAGACCTAATCCACAATAAACTGTCAAGCGTCTTGAACAACCATGTCTGGTTGTCATAGTAACGAATGGACCTGCGCTGAAAAGTTTTCTAAATAATGTGACTAAAACTTTTTATTTTTATTTTTAGACGCGTTGCTGAGAGTCTGGCGCCATCATGCCATCCGCTAGTCCCATGTACACGGTAGGTAGTCGCCATTTTCCCTGTGTGGTCACCCTCTCACCTCTGTGGCCACCCTATCACATGTGTGACCACCCTCTCACCTCTGTGGCCACCCTATCACATGTGTGGCCACCCTCTCACCTGTGTGGCCACCCTATCACATGTGTGGCCACCCTATCACATGTGTGGCCACCCTCTCACCTGTGTGGCCACCCTATCACATGTGTGACCACCCTCTCACCTGTGTGGCCACCCTCTCACATGTGTGGCCACCCTCTCACCTGTGTGGCCACCCTCTCACCTCTGTGGCCACCCTCTCACATGTGTGGCCACCCTCTCACCTGTGTGGCCACCCTATCACATGTGTGACCACCCTCTCACATGTGTGGCCACCCTCTCACCTGTGTGGCCACCCTCTCACCTCTGTGGCCACCCTCTCACCTGTGTGGCCAGCCTCTCACCTGTGTGGCCACCCTCTCACCTGTGTGGCCACCCTCTCACCTGTGTGGCCACCCTATCACATGTGTGACCACCCTCTCACCTGTGTGGCCACCCTCTCACCTGTGTGGCCACCCTATCACATGTGTGACCACCCTCTCACCTGTGTGGCCACCCTCTCACCTGTGTGGCCACCCTATCACATGTGTGACCACCCTCTCACCTGTGTGGCCACCCTCTCACATGTGTGGCCACCCTCTCACCTGTGTGGCCACCCTCTCACCTCTGTGGCCACCCTCTCACATGTGTGGCCACCCTCTCACCTGTGTGGCCACCCTATCACATGTGTGACCACCCTCTCACCTGTGTGGCCACCCTCTCACATGTGTGGCCACCCTCTCACTTGTGTGGCCACCCTCTCACCTCTGTGGCCACCCTCTCACCTGTGTGGCCAGCCTCTCACCTGTGTGGCCACCCTCTCACCTGTGTGGCCACCCTCTCACCTGTGTGCCCATCATCTAGTGTGTCCTCTTGGTACCTGCTGTGTCTGTTTCGTCACACCTGTAATGTTTACTACACACTTTACCTGTGTTGTCACACCTGTAATGTTTACTACACACTTTACCTGTACTGTCGTCCTGTGTCTGTGTACATTACCTACCTAACGTACTTTAAATAAGGGCGTTGATGGTTGGTGACGTCATTGTTGATGTTGCTTGTATATGATGGGATGTGCAGCGGTTTGTTTCTTTATGTTAGATGGGGGGTGGGGGGGGGGGGTAGCCGGGCTGCTGTTGGGATGCGGTACTTTAATTAGTTTAATTAATACGCAAATTTTCAAATCATTTCTGTCAACTTTACATAGGGGGGCGATATGTTTTCGTTCATTGTTTCTGTGTTTGCTAGTTGCATTGTTCGTGTTTTAGCCCCGCCATTTATCTTAACCTGATCTTGTCCCGTGTTTACAGTTCTCAAGCGTCTTTGAGCCCGAGACCCCCTTTGTTGAGTCACGTGACGGCGGCAGGGCCGAGCGCCCCCTGGTGAGCGGCTCCTACGACCCCTTCAAATGTTTGAGCGCCATGACGGAGCAGAGCTTGACCGGCAACTTCACCACAACCATCCCGCCCTCCGGCTTCACTAGCAGCCCGTCCGGCTTCACTAGCAGCACGTCCGGCTGTCTGACAGACATGTATACGGAGCCGGCCGGCGTGTATCCGGCGTGTGAGAGAAACATTTACTCTTCCTCCTCTTCTCCCCTGTCCTCCCCGCCCCTGTCCCCGGCGCCAACATGCTACACCTACCCGACCAAGTCCAGCTCAACGAGCGAGTGTTTGACCAGCCCTGGGTTCGAACCTTCGGCCAGCCATCACTCGCACCTTCCGTACACAAACAACACTTGCTCGCATCTCAACGATCATTCAGTAAGGGAAGTAACTGACTTAAGGGCCGCTTGTAAGAAGAGTTATCCATCTTGTTCTTCTCAAGGCGCTCTAGAAGGTAATTTTACATGAACCAAATTCTCAATTGTTTTGTCAACGTTGTGTGTGCTTGGTACCCATTTGTTAGTAACAAGTAGACAGGTACCCACCATTAACCTTTAGACAGGTCCCCATATTTAAGGACCACCTGTAGATTACAGATTGGCAGCAGTACGCCAAATTTGTCCTACATCAGTTAAGGACAGAAAGCTGGCAATCAAAACACATGACAAGTAAAAAATTAAATAACCGATTAAATTTTTCTGTAGATCCCTAATTATGTGCTATGGGTTAGGGATTATATTTGTGATTCCAATGTAATGTTTTGTGCCCGATCCTTAATCATGTGCCATGGGTTAGGGGTCATTCGTGCGATTCGTGTCCAATGTTTTGTGCATGATCCCTAATGACGTGATATGGGTAGAGGTCATGTTTTCGTGTCCTATACTGTGTCTCGACTAATTAATAATATATCTAAAATATATAGATGAAATGGACCCTGTGTCTCTGTGGCGGACAAAATGTGGAACACATGCCATACATGTAGTAAAAGAAATTCGATTTGATCGCCATAGTGAAATATTTTTTAAGTGTTTATTTTTTGACAAAAGTCTAAATAAATTATTTTTAAAAACTAAATATTGATAAGTTTCAAGTTGAATTTTCATTTTACAACTTATAATTTTGGTTGACGTAATGTGCAAAGAACAAAATTAAACTAAATGTATGTTTACATAAATTCAAATTTTGTTGAAAAACAAAAGTATACGATTACGTCTCTTTGTACCAATTACTTCCCAGAATTTTTTTTTAACTTATTTTTTTTTACTTTGTTTTGATGTTGGAAAGCCGTTGTTCTTTAATGTCCACTATGTTTAAGTTTATGTTTCCATTTTCGTTATTGTTATGTTATGTTTGCGTTACGTTTGTGTTTTGGTTTTGGTTATGGTTAGGTTTAAGTTTAGAGTAAGAGTTAGGTTTCGGGTTATGTGTTTTTTTTTCTCAAACGTCCATATTTGCATATAGAAATTTAATTGGAAAAGTAATATATTTTCAAACCCGGGCAATGCTGGGTATATACTGTTTAATAAACACATAAGTCTCGGTCCTTTACATTTTTTTTTACATAGGCCAGTGTAAGACCGGGACGGCTAGTATACCTTATATAGATAAACTAGCTGCATACCCGTGCTTCGCCACGGTGAATCTTTTTTAAAATATGCAACAAAACGGAACAAAACCAAACACAAACACAAACAAACACCAAAAAAACGCAAACACAAAAGAAAAGACAAACGCAATTAAACGCAAACACAAACGCTTTATCAAATGGCTTTATCAAACAAACGGCCGTGTATAAAAATGCTCCCACGAACGTCCGCGCAATTTGCCCTCACCCCTTAACCCGCGATGTAATTAGTACCACGGCGTCTCTAATTTAACCATCCGTTTCAATAACACCGAAAAACAAGACAAAAACAAAAAAGTGATTTTGAGAGATCATAGAAATAAATTTAAAAAAAAAACAACTATAAAACTCTGTACCGACTAATCAGGAAATAATATAATAATCTTAACATTAATCTATTTTAATTATGGGTCTTAACATTAAGCATAACAATCAATGCGGTAGGAATAAAACAATTTTTTAAAACAATATTTAGCGCGTGTTGAATTTCTTTTTAAATTACCTCCCCTGGCATAATTATTAAATATTTTATTTAATTAGTTTTATTCGACACTACTGTTATTAAAATATATCCATTTTTTTTTCTAGGAATCTAAGCGAAAATATTATTTGACATTTATTTGTTTAGTATGTTTAAGCAATATGCGTGTATTTAGTATTTTCTTCACATTCTTTTGTTGGTGTATGCAAAGGAGTAAAAACTTTGCCAACAATAAAAAATTTAAGTCGTTACATAAATATACCCTACTCCTTTACCTATACTAAGACAACGCGATGCAAGTAAGTGCACGGCATGTGGTGTTTCCTTTTATAGTTCTAGAAGCTATAGCGATGACGAAATGACAGACTTACACACTATCTGTCCGCTTATATTATAAACATAACTTAAATGCAACAGTGCTCAGTCTAGCCCGGGGCGCCCAATCGCACCCTTCCGGGACGCCTGCGGAACCGCCTGATTCTACTTTGTAAATCCCAATGTATCCATAGTCTATTGCACTCACTTAAACGAACCCAGGCGCCAAATAGCACTCTGTTAGGGCGCCGGAGGATTCGATTTAGTGAAGATCTTTAGTAACCCTTCTTATCCATAGCCTATCGCACTGTTTAAATCGAAGGAATGCGCCCTAGCTTTCTCGGGAAGGCCCGGAGCGAGATATAGCACCCTGTCGAGGCGCCGTAGTACGCCCTGGTTTCGATTTAGTGAACCCTTTTAACCACAACTTATCGCACACTTTCAGAACGAAAGAATGCAAACCCCCCCCCCCCCCGAAAAAATTCTACCGCCTCCCCCCTCCCCTCCCCCCCCCCCCTCCGATCGAAATGAAATTTATATTATTTATATAGAAAATATATACTTTTAACAGTGTCTGCCTCCCTCCCCCTCCCCCCCCCCCGAAGAAAGTCTACCGCCCCCCCCCCGAAAGATTTCAAGTGCCCCCCCCCCCCCCCCCGGAGAAAAAAGTCTGGAAGAAACACTGGGTAGCCCAGGGCGCCAAATCGTACCCTGCCCGGGCGCCGGCTCATTCAATTTAGTGAACGACTATAAAAAACCCCGAAAGATAGAAGTAAACATAAATGACATTTAGGAGCGGCTTCTAAAGTTTTATTGAATAAAATTAATAATTAGCAAAGAGTGTGTTCAGTGTATAAAATAAATAAAAGGCAGTATTTAAAATACCCCAGTTTTACCTACCATATTGCACTTTATCAACCCATGTTAATTATATTATTCAAACAATAATGCCCTCTTCCACATTCGCGGAATTTGCATTCACGTTTTTTAAAAAACAGTGTGAGTTAGAATTTCTTTTTAAATAACCTCCCCTGGCATAATTGTTAAACATTTTAATTAATTACTTTTTGCTACCCTACTTTATTCAATTGTAGCCATTTTTTCTAGGAATATAAGCAAAAATATTATTCGACATTGATCCGTTTAATATATTTTAGGAATGTTTGTGTATTTAATATTTTCTTCACGTTATCTGAAAGAATAGAAACTATGCCAACTATAAACGAAAATGTAAGTCGTTATATAAATAAACCCTACTCTAATGCGATCAAAGTAAAATGCACAGAATGTGCTGATGTTTACTTTTTATGGTTTCCAAAATCTATAGCGATGACGGACTGACTGACACACTACCATCAGCCTTATATTGTAGCCACTGTTCATTAGAGGTAATCTTGCTCAGTCGGATACAAGATTTTAGAGGGTGGCACAACTTTTTGCAAACATTAAATGTGACAGAACTTGTTGCAAACATTGAATGTGACAGAACTTGTTGCAAACATTGAATGTGACAGAACTTGTTGCAAACATTGAATGTGACAGAACTTGTTGCACACATGATCAGCCAACTTTTGTCAGCAGACGGCGATCGTCTGTTGAGCTGGACGCGGCACCACCCCGAGCGCTGGTCCAGTAACGAAGTCCTCGACTGGCTCTTCTTCGTGGCTCAGGAACGTGGCCTGGAGATGCAGGAGTTCCGTGGCGAGAACTTCCAGAACCTCTCAGGCGCCCAGCTGTGCCAGATGTCGCTGGCAGACTTCACCAGGCTCGAGCCGCACTTCGGCACAGTCATCTACGAGATGTTCAAAGCTCTGCTCTGTGGGGGTAAGTCAACTTTTGCTGTGTGGGGGTAAGTCAACTTTTGCTGTGTGGGGGTAAGTCAACTTTTGCTCTGTGTGGGGGTAAGTCAACTTTTGCTGTGTGGGGGTAAGTCAACTTTTGCTCTGTGTGGGGTAAGTCAACTTTTGCTCTGTGGGGGTAAGTCAACTTTTGCTCTGTGGGGGTAAGTCAACTTTTGCTGTGTGGGGGTAAGTCAACTTTTGCTCTGTGGGGATAAGTCAACTTTTGCTGTGTGGGGATAAGTCAACTTTTGTTTGCTGTGTGGGGAAGTCAACGTTTGCTGTGTGGGGAAGTCAACGTTTGCTGTGTGAGAGTCTCCTTTTAGTGGGTGGGGGTCAAATCCATCATTTTACTGTTTAGGGGGAGGGAAGGGGGAGGCTAAATCAATAAGGAATCAAGTGTCAAGTTTCTATAGCAACACAATTTTCATGTGTCTATAGTTCGTAACACAGTTCTCAGATGTGTCTATAGCTGGCAAAACGATTCTCAGGTGTGTCTATAGTTCGCAACACACTTCTCAAATATGTCTAAAGTTCGTAACACAGTTCTCAGATGTGTCTATAGCTGGCAACACGATTCTCAGGTTTGTGTCTATAGTTCGCAACACACTTCTCAAATATGTCCATAGCTGGCAACACAGTTCTCAGATGTGTCTATAGCTGGCAACACGATTCTCAGGTGTGTCTATAGTTCGCAACACACTTCTCAAATATGTCTATAGCTGGCAACACAGTTCTCAGATGTGTCTATAGCTGGCAACACACTTCTCAGATGTGTCTATAGCTGGCAACACAGTTCTCAGATGTGTCTATAGCCAACAACATCCCATGCTCAACCTTTCAAGTTTATTTTACACGGGTCTAGTGTGTCATTCATAGAAAACCTCCTTTGTGGTGACAAAACCTGCCATGAATCAGGTGAAGGTTTAGCAAGGTAAGGCTTTCAGTGCTACGTGGTTGGGCCTTCGGTCGGGTTCATACTTGCTTCATTACTGGGGGGAGGGGGTTGTTTGACACTAGGGGGTGGCGGAGGTCTGACAGTTTCACCTAGTGGAGTGGGGGTCAGATCTATCTGTCAAGCCAGGAGAGAGTGACAGAATGACCTACGGCGGGTCTAAGACCTACCTGCTCGACACGTGTCGCTTTCTGCTGACAACAGTCTTCACTGTTAGGCTAGTGTGTGCTGTGTACCGTCCATCTTAATGTTGGTGTGTGCTGTGTACCGTCCATCTTAATGTTGGTGTGTGCTGTGTACCGTCCATCGTAATGTTGGTGTGTGCTGTGTACCGTCCAATGTTGGTGTGTGCTGGGTGATCTCCCCCTCCCTGACAGCGGCCATTTTGTTTGTTCCAGTTTTATTCCGTAAACCTGTACTGCCAGACCCGGACAGCCCTGAGTGTCTGTCTGCCTACTCCCCCGCCCAAAGCCCTTCACACAAGACCTTGACGCATCTTCAAGGTTATGACCTTTCACCCCAGACCTACAACTCAGAGAGCGATGTAGCGAACTGTAATGGTAAGTTAGTATTCAGAATAAATGGTGTGTGTGTGGGGGGGGGGGGAGTGTGGGTACACAATAGGGGAGAATATTTAAAAATCTTCAGCGACCATCGACTGCTAGAAAAACTGATTTATTTTCCTAACTCAGGTGCCAACCAACATTTGTTTAAACAAGAAAGATGCAGTAGCATACAAAACGGTATCGATATTGATTCCTACGACTTTGATTTGGACGATACCCCTTGCCTGACAACAGCACAGTGTCTGGGTAAGTATCGAGTGGAGTGGTCAATACTATTTTTCGAGCTCGATACGTGTACTATAGTTATCATAAAATGTGCTTTATTCAAACAACTAGCAGTAATCAGGTCAAATATTTCGTCCAACAGACCAGTATCCCCCAGATTATGGGATGTATCCAGCCCAATATCCACAAAACGCCGCCACTTCCTGCTGCTATCCACACCAGCCCTACCCCCAGCAGCTTCCCAGACGACGGCCCGGCCGACCCAGGGTCAAAGGTCTTGTAGAAGACGAGAGATCCAGCAAGGAGAAGAAAGGTAACTTCCGGCCCACTGTTATTTTTGGCTCGCCACTTTTTCAGTCGACGTTTATTTAGAAAGTAATTACACACAATTTAATTAATACTTTAACTCGACATCGCGTAGAGAAAGATAGTTAAGACAAATCCTGGCGACAAGTTTGACCTAAATCCAATGAAAAGAATTCTAGCGTCTACTGGACATGACTGCCGTGCACACGGCTAAAGTTAGGGTCAAACAAGGCTGTCAACTTGTAGCGAACCAATCAGTAACCGTCGGATGTTACCTCTGGCAGTAAAAAACCAGCACTTGTGGGAGTTTATCTACGAGACGCTGATGAACCCGATGTACAACCCGCAGTACCTGCGCTGGGAGAACCAGAGAGACGGCGTCTTCAGGTTCGTTCAGTCTGAGGCTGTGGCCCAACTGTGGGGAGGACGCAAGAACAACGAGAACATGACGTACGAGAAGCTGAGCCGGGCCATGAGGTAATTCTGTCTTTCTGTATGTCTGTCTCTCTGTGTGTATATATATATATATATATATATATATATATATATATATATATATATATATATATATATATATATATATATATAAGCTTTAAATCGAAGCGTCATCTAGCTATGACTCCCATCAAATGAGTCGGCTGTTCCAACTCAGTGTGTGGGGAGAGAGGACCATGTTAGACATTCCTACCTATGCTTGTAGGCTATCAGAACAAAGTGCCGTTATCCTGTAAACATCATATATCATTTAAGCTTCTGTGCTCACTTTTAAGCAACAGATCTTTACTGGAAAAATAATTCATTCAGGCATTAAAAAATAGGTTATAGTGGTAGTGGAGAAAATGGGTTATGGCAATAGTGGCCCTACGAACCATTTGTCTGGGGCCAATAAGTCGGGAGCCCATATGTTGCGAGTCAATATGACGGAAGCCAATAAGTCAGGGCCCTTTTGGCGGGGCTATTTTGACTGGGTCGTTATGTCGGGGGTCGATTTGAAGGCGCACCATATTTATATGGGCCATGAGGTAACTTAACACTAACTATGTATTGAGAGGGTCTGTCTTTTATGCCCTACTTTACCTTTCGTCTGATTGCCATAACACGTTAGTAGGTTGATTGGAATACACACTCAGGGAAGATTTCTTCAACGAAAAAAAATTTCGGCTCCCAAAATCATTTTACGGATAAATAAGCTTAGATTATTTTCGCAACAAAATATTAACTTGGTTGTTTCCCTTTGTCCATAAAAATGTATGCTATTAATTTTATTACAAAAGCTGAATATGGGATGGGCTAGAAAACAAGCTTAAATTTCTAAAAATAACAATTAGCAAAATACGTCGTGGACTCTCTCTATTGATATTTGATTTGAATGTTCAACATATTTGCAATTTTTTCCCCCAGAATGGAAACTTAGACAATTAATGGAAATATGACAGAATTTTCTTTAAAAAAAATGGGTTTTATTTCACTTTGCTCTCATAAAAAGATTTGGTGGGGGACTTCAATTATCAACGAGAAAACAGGATGCCCTCACAACAATATATATATATATAGCCTACATTGTGTATGTGTATATATTTCACATAGTAAACATACTATGACGTAACCTATTCAAAAAATTATTTTTCCAGACATTACTACAGACGAGGAATCCTGGAGCGGGTCGAGGGGAGGCGACTGGTGTACAAATTTTCTCTAAAAGCAATGGACAGAGTTCGGGAAAAGAGACATAATCCCGTGTAATCAGCTCAAACTAAATCGGACAAGTTGTCTACCATGATGTTTCATTATTGAATCGTTGACATCATCAACAAATGTTATCACAACTCTCCCCTATACATGGAGCAAACTCTTCCAAACCACATTTTCTTCATTTGAAAACCTGGAATTGGCTTACCCTTATAATTTACATCTAGAAATTGTAGCTGCGATTTTTTTTACCTGCCCCCATTGGCCCAGGTTGTACTTCCAGTCAATGGTATAGGAAGGATTTTATTATTATAGGGGATGTCATGCATGTTATATAAGTATAAGTACTATAAGCATATAATATATATAAATGTATGTATATATATATATATATATATATATATATATATATATACATATATATATATATATATACATACATTTATACATAAATTCTATACAGTCTGTGATCCACAATTTTACATTAATATTTGGTAATTACTTCTAAAAATAGATACATTTATTTGATGTAGCATTATGATGTAGCAATTTCAACGTTGAATTGATTTAATTTTGTTAATTTTTTTATGCCTGAAAATAGTTGCCCTTTTGAAGAGTGAGTAACTAATTCTCTGTGTCATCATCTGTGAGTCCTTGTGTCACCATCTGTGAGTCCTTGTGTCACCATCTGTGAGTCCTTGTGTCACCATCTGTGAGTCCTTGTGTCACCATCTGTGAGTCCTTGTGTCATCATCTTGAGTCCTCGTGTCACCATCTGTGAGTCCTTGTGTCACCATCTGTGAATCCTTGTGTCACCATCTGTGAGTCCTTGTGTCATCATCTGTGAGTCCTTGTGTCACCATCTGTGAGTCCTTGTGTCACCATCTGTGAGTCCTTGTGTCACCATCTGTGAGTCCTTGTGTCATCATCTGTGAGTCCTTGTGTCACCATCTGTGAGTCCTTGTGTCATCATCTGTGAGTCCTTGTGTCACCATCTGTGAGTCCTTGTGTCACCATCTGTGAGTCCTTGTGTCACCATCACCAGCTATTAGGTCTTGGATCCAGCCCTGGGTCAGACATACCAAGTTTGTCGTTGACAGTTTGTGGTTGGCAAAGTTTGTCGTTGGCAGTTTGTGGTTGGCAAAGTTTGTCATTGGCAAAGTTTGTTGTTGGCAAAGTTTGTTGTTGACAAAGTTTGTTTTGTTGTTGACAAAGCCATACCGTCCTGGTCATGGCTGCAGTTATGCATGGCTGACAGTTGACAGAAACAGGGGGTCAATGACCCCTGCATTTATCCTTAGAAATAACGGTAAATGTGTTTGCTTACATAGTAGTTAGCCAGTACTAGGACGTTAGGTCAACACTTGCACCTGTTGCTGCACTTTATGTAACCTGCTTGCACCTGTTTATACAATGAAATTTCTAGGCTAGCGCTGTATGTTCAGACAAATGTCTGCTTTATGTACAAATGTCTGCTCTCTCACCCGTGAGCAGGTTTGGTCCTATAAATGATGCCAGCTGACCATTGGTCCTATAAATGACACCAGCCTATGTACACTAATTGTATGGTTTACTAGAGTGTCAGTGTATGTTTGGGAGTGTCAAGATTGTACCATTTACTAGTGTCTGTGTATGTTTGGGAGTGTCAAAATTGTACCATTTACTAGAGTGTCAGTGTATGTTTGGGAGTGTCAAGTTTGCAGAGTTGCTGTATTTTTATGTGTACACTTGTACAAGCACACCATTTTATGTACCCATCAAATGACATGCAAAACCTAGGTAAATATCATCAAACAGATATGTTGCTTCTAGAGTGGGGTGGTTTCATAGAATTGTTACTACTGTATTGTATTTCACATTTTCTCACTGACTTGTGTTACATGTGTGAATCTAGTCAGTTTTTCTGATTTGCTAAAATTTGTTCTATGAATGTATTCTCTCTTCATCAACTCAAATATACTTGCACATGTATGAGTTTGCTGAAGAAACACATCACACTCAATAGTTGTCATTCATTAAAACAAGCATTTATTGCCAATCTCTCTATCCCTAACCTCTTCCCCAGGCCTAGTTTTAAACTATTAAATATTTGAGTTGTTTCCCTTTTGCTAGTGTTTTGAAACAATTTTAAATACCAAACGCCCATGGCTACTGTTTTGAGCCTACCTTAGATAGCTGCAAACACAGACAATTTATTTATAAAAACTTAAGCAAACTTGGGTCTATTTTGGGTACTTTGGTATATTTTTTTAATGATTTACAAGTCTTTTTTTTTTTAAATTTAACTTTTAAAAATGTGACATCACATTTTCTCACCCCCACCCCCCAACAAACAAGCCTTCTTTAGAAAGTGTTATGTCATTTATTGATAAGACATGCAATGACATTGCTTCATTGGCAATGTAGTCAACTCTAGTTATCCCACTTTTGAGGTTTGAGTTGCATACTTCAAACACTGCTCTTTGCTTGAATTTTTATGTAAATATCATTAAATTATATATATATAAAACTAAACTATATCTAATATATTTAATTGTGTTGTATAAAAATAAAAAACAGAAGTTTAGTTTACTAGTGGGTAAGGTCAGTGTGATTAATAAATAAATGAATAAATACAAGCAGTGATGTGAGCCATAAGATGACAGAGTGTATCTGGTGTCATAAAGTTTTGGACCAAACAAAAGACTTGTGTTGTTAAATTTGTTTCTGCAACACAGAATGGTGATCTGCTGCTACACTGGCCAGATGGGGGTATCTGGTGATCTGCTGCTACACTGGCCAGATGGGGGTATCTGGTGATCTGCTGCTACACTGGCCAGATGGGGGTATCTGGTGATCTGCTGCTACACTGGCCAGATGGGGGTATCTGCTGCTACACTGGCCAGATGGGGGTATCTGGTGATCTGCTGCTACACAGGCCAGATGGGGGTATCTGGTGATCTGCTGCTACACTGGCCAGATGGGGGTATCTGGTGATCTGCTGCTACACTGGCCAGATGGGGGTATCTGCTGCTACACTGGCCAGATGGGGGTATCTGGTGATCTGCTGCTACACTGGCCAGATGGGGGTATCTGGTGATCTGCTGCTACACTGGCCAGATGGGGGTATCTGGTGATCTGCTACTACACTGGCCAGATGGGGGTATCTGCTGCTACACTGGCCAGATGGGGGTATCTGGTGATCTGCTGCTACACTGGCCAGATGGGGGTATCTGGTACTGGTGACCATCATAGTTTAACATTTCTGAGTCTGCCACTATCAGAAACTTCACATAGCTTACTGATTAAAATATTAAGATTAGAATTTTAGATTAGACAATCAGGACTTCAGATTTAGGTAGAGTCTAGACTCTAGATCTAGTTCTTTCTTTGGAAATATAGATCTAAATCCTAAAACTATCATTAAGATTTAGATTATTGTAAAGTTATAGTGACTTAATGCCAAAATAATCAGAATATAATAGGTTCATTACCTCGAATAAACTACCTTTTATTCAATGACATATAATAAAGTTTCCAACAAAGAAATACGAGTTTTCCAGATTCTGTATAAACAAAGTTATACTTCTCACTACTGAACAAAAATACAAAGTCTCTTGTAAAGAAAAATGGCAAAAGGCGGGGATGCTGGCTTGCGAACAATAGGAAGGAATGTGATCAAAGAGACAATGGGCCCAGCAGAAGCGCACAAAATTTTGAGAAGTTTAACAAAATGTTTAACACATCACGTAGTTTGTTATTAAGTTATTAACTCTATGTTTAAACTAGAGCATGGTATTAGTATTAAAAGATAGCTTATTTTAGTTAACATATACTAAGTTTAACAAACCTATTAAAATAAAATTTCTCCAGTAAATACATTAATCATTGTAATCTTGGCAAGCAAGGTAAAAACGGTTAAATATCAAGGGAAGCTATTCAAAATAAAGGGATGCAAGCCGTATCCTGGCATAAGCATGGCGTGACCTTGGCCAATTCATCGCCAAGGTAGGGATATTGGGCCAATCTAAAATAGATATTGGTTTAGCAAACTGAGTGTTACTATTAATTACATAAACCCAATAAAAGCCCACGTATTATAAGCCGACCAGCTGCGTATCATACGCCGCTGTTTAGTTGTTTTACTCTCTACTTTTCAGTAATTCATATTTTGTGAATTCAACACTACAGTACCCCCCCCCCCCCCCCCGCCAAAGCAGCCGTCCGTGATGACAGTTTACAGACAACAATTAAAAGATCAAGCTGAAATTGTTACCTCCCCTTCGTTTCAAATCATTTAAATACTAAAATATCTGCCCCTAATACCAGTCACTAATTTGACCCAGCTCTACGATTGTAAACATTCGTTGTGAACCACAGCTGACCAGCCTGGTGAGAGTGATAGCAATATGCCTGGAGAGCAAGGTAGGGGGAGGCTAGGCGTGTGTACATGGTCGTGGTGTCCCACATGGTCCCCACGTAGAGAATTAGAATTATGTTAGCACTGCTGGTGGGGGGGAGGGGAAATAACTATACTATTGTAGTGTTATCCCTAGGTTTATCTAATTATGGTCCGGTCAGTGCAACAGTGGTAAAATCCACAGTGGTTAAATCTTAAACTTAGACTAGATAAGAAACAAAAAAATTTAACAATTTAATAAAATGTATTTTACAAAAATTGAACCAATCTTTTAAGAAAAGATATTTAAAAAATAGAAACCAAACTAGGAAACAGAACGTACAAAACAAAACGCCCAATCGGACTACAATCCAGGCATTGAGGAAATAATACGACATGGTTAAAAAAATAGTTGCTGCAGGGCCGACTTCCTAAGTTTCGGATCGTCCAGGCTCTGAACACATTAAAGCCTCCCGCATCCCCTCGACATTAAAAAAGTGGCTCGAAACGTCGGCCGGGAACTGACTTCCAGACACCTCGCACACTACACGTAAACAAATAGTCCCTAATCCACTGATAACAAACAACACGCCACGAATCATAAGACAGAATTATACAAAAAGACACTTAATATAAACATTGACAACAATATAAACAAAATATATACAAACTAGCCGTAGACAGCGACGAAAACAGTTATTCGTCGGCGCCATATATAATACAGGACTACATAGCAAAAAAGCATGAACAGTCTACGACATGAAACGAAACGATACATTCGCCTTTTTAAGTTACAGATATAATAATAATAATAACACTCCAGCCGCTCATATATATATATATATATATATATATATATATATATATATATATATATATATATATATATATATATATATATATATAATACGAATAAAATATATATATATTTCCCAATTTAAAAATAGCACAGTAGATCTAGACCTATGTATTTTGAAATGCCACAATGTTGAAACCGTGATAGAAATTGTAACAGTAGAGTTTCTGAGTGTTAGATTCTAGATCTAGATATCTAGAATCTAGTAGAGAGAAGTGAGAATTGTTCATTTTTGTTTCTCACATTTGGCATATTTAATCTATATATATATATATATATATATATATATATATATATATATATATATATATATATATATATATATATATATGTATGTATGTATATATATATATATATATATATATATATATATATATATATATATACATACATACATATATATATATATATATATATATATATATATATATATATATATATATATATATATATATATATATATATATATATATGTAAAGCAATTCATGTTTGTTTATTGGTCTTTTATGCATTACCACACCTTTCTTCCGACCGCCATGTTTAAAGAGCACCATCCAATATTGACACGATGGCACGCAACATTCGTTGATGAAACAGAGTCAAGGACCTACACGGCGCCCCTGCGCTAGTGTAACAGGGGCTCCCGGGAGCGCCCTCTACTTCTCTTACACCTGTTCTTCCTCACTATTACGGAGAGTGATTAAGGTATACTCAAGAACAGTGTTTCTTCCAGACTTTTTTCTCCGGGGGTGGGGACTTGAAGTATATATTTTCTATATAAATTATATACATTTCATTTCGTTCGGGGGGGGGGGGAGGTAAAAATGTTTTGGGTCGCCCCCCCCCCCCCCCCCTCCACCGAAGAGATGCCTGGAAGAAACTCTGCTCAAGCTCAAGAAGGCTTTCATACACTGCGTGCTGAGGACGTTAGGAAACAATACCACACGTCTAAGAAAATAGCATTGGAAACGCGTTGATGTCATTATGAAAATGAAACCCTCTTAATAAAATATTTCGTCAAACTTTATCATTTCATCTATCCCCACGGCACGCTAGTTATTTTTATAATTTAAATTAAAAATACTAAAGTCTAGAATTCTAGATCTGGAATCTAGTCTAGATTTATGTTTGGCATCGAATCTAGAACTTTTTTTTGAAAATGAAATGTTTGTTTCCGTTAATATAAAATTATTTATATAATATAGACTATAGATCTAGATCTAGATCTAGGCCTAAGTATTACTTTAAATTAGTTCGTGTTCTTCACATGCTGGTTACTGTTTTAAATGTGATAGCTCTGACTAATCGAATATTAACTTCTTTTTATTTTACGGGAGATTGTTTGTTAACTACATATCAGAGTTATGTGGAAGTAAGATAAGTTTTTGATATTCAAGATGGCTGATATTGGATTACTAACCTAATCGAGATCACCGATGCCGCTGAACTAGGAAACACTGCTCTGGAACAGCATCTGAAATTCGGCGATGTCACGCCTAGCTGACTACTTTGTAGTAGTCGGCTATGATGAACATGAAAAAGATCGTAAGTTCATTAACAGTTTTAAAACTACAGAAGAACAGATAGATCTATCTAGATCTAGAATCTAGACCAGATCTAGATTTCTAGATCTTGTGGAACATCACAGTTTTAAAACTACAGAAGAACAGATATCTAGATTTCTAGATCTAAATCTCTATGTGGAACATCAGATTCAATGTACTGCAGAACTGTAGATCTAATTTTAAAATTAATAAAATACTAAGAAATTCAAAAAAACATTCGATCCATTCCGCTTCTCTAGTTTTATTTTCACTAGCTAGGCCTATGCATTCTCCTATAAACATTTTAGTAAAGTTCATTAGGTAAAACTCCATTTTAGCGTATTTTATTCCCTGCTTCACGTTCACCTCCAGTTGAGCGTATTTTATTATAAACATAACCAAAACACACAAAAACGTTTTTAAACTTTAAAATAAATAGTACTTAATTATTTTTCTCTTCTGTAATAGCATTAGGTTAGGCAAAGTTTTTTTTTTTTACCAGCTATGCATAGTAAATCTATAGTCCTATAATCAGCTTGCGTGAACTTAAAATGACCCTAAGACTTAGAATGCCTGTTTTACAATTTGCTTGGTTTATGAGGGGAGGGGTGGGATTGACCACCGACGATCTCTAACAGCAATCGTTAAGGCTGTGACGTATGCTATAATAGGCCTGCTGAACTTTCAGTGAACCCTCGACCGTGTTAACATTTTTCTCCCGCAGACAAGAAAATGTAAGCAGGTGATCTCGTAAGCAACGATGTTTGGAAAATCTTGAATAATTATTTTTTAAAATATTATTTCGATCAAGAAAATATTTTTAAAAAAGAAAGAAATATAAAACCACTCGTGAAAAAATAAAGCACAACTGATTTACTTCGGATTCGAACTTGGAGCTTCTAGGTCACCTACCTCACTGTTCTGTTTACTCTGCCACACCATGATGTATTGGTAATAAAATATTAGGCATTTTGTATTTAAAGATGACTGAAAGGAAATAAATACTACTTCATTTATTGATATCGTTCTACTTAGTAACTGCGTAAATTTTACACACAATTCCTATATTTTTAACTAACACAACAGCATTAACAGTGTAACAAGGTTGACCAAGTCTAAAATAAAAATTGCCTAATTAGATCTAGCACAAAAGGCTCGGAATTAGCATTGTTTAAAATACAATTCTTAGGCCTAATTAAAAACTACATATAATTTCATGTAAAATTATATAGATGAGTAGGCAGACTGTTGGGAAAAAAACACCAGGCATTTGGTTTAAATTTTAAAAAATGCTTATCTTGATATACCAATAACATTTTTTTGTTTGGACAACTTTTGTTTGACTGTATGATGTTTGAAAAACCAACTCTGGCTGTTTAATCAGAACCACCATCATTTTGAATAGGTTGTGGAAACAGATGTGGCAAAGTGTTGCAGAGATTTCCAGAAGTGAACTGGGATGACAGGCCTTTTATGGAGGGCCTCCCTTTGGTAAGTTGTGAACTGGTTGACAGACCTTTTACGGAGGGCCCCCCTTTGGTAAGTTGTGAACTGGGATGACAGACCTTTTATGGAGGGCCCCCCTTTGGTAAGTTGTGAACTGGTTGACAGACCTTTTAAGGAGGGCCCCCCTTTGGTAAGTCGTGAACTGGTTGACAGACCTTTTAGGGAGGGCCTCCCTTTTGTAAGTTTTGAACTGGTTGACAGACCTTTTATGGAGGACCCCCCTTTGGTAAGTTGTGAACTGCTTGACAGACCTTTTATGGAGCCCCCCCCCCCCCTTTGGTAAGTTGTGAACTGGTTGACAGACCTTTTATGGAGGGCCCCCTTTGGTAAGTTGTGAACCGGTTGACAGACCTATTATGGAGGCCCCCCCCCCCCTTTGGTAAGTTGTGAAGTGGTTGACAGACCTTTTATGGAGGCCCCCCCCCCCCTCTCCCTTTGGTAAGTTGTGAACTGGTTGACAGGCCTTTTGTGGGGGGCCATGCTGTTTTAGTTGATAGTTTTTATTTTACCACCTTTAGTATCATTATAAAAGGTTTGTTAAAAGTAGTTTTCTTATTGACATGATAATTGACTGAGATATGTTCCTCAGTTCTGTCAGCCAATGGGATGGTCTCTATCTACAAAGCGCCAGCCACCATCGTTCTATGTGGCAGTACTGACTGACATGGATGGTGAACGTCACTACTGCGCTGTCTTCAAGTTCCACGAGATGGTTTCCATGACACCCAGCAAGCCAGATGATGAGGAGGATGAACAAGAAGGGACAATTGTCCACCATTCCTCCATGTTTGCTCCCAAAGCATTTATTCTAGTTTCAAGCCATGATTATTTTGAAGCTTTTAGGGTAAGTTTTTACACTGCACTACATCTGTTTTTTTTTAAAAAGTCTTTAACTGTGCATCGGCTTCAAATATTCACACATCTAACTTGATCTAAGATGATCAGTACAAGTTATCAACATAATTTTCTCCAGAATTGCCTTGGAATTATATATACAGTACATTTGGAAAACATGGCAGTGAAAATTGAAACACTAGTAGGCAACATTCTAGGCTGTGTGCAAGTTCCCCCTCCAGGTATAGGCCTGTCTTATCCTTCTTTTTATATTACAGTTTAAAATTAGGTTAATCATACTTTTTACATTGACTAACAAATTAAGTATAAAGTACCTCGTTTATCTGTAATTGACTAAATGCTTTGTTGACCTTGTATGTCTATTGTCTGATGTATCCAGGTGGCCCTCAGGTGAGGTTCTCTATAGGTGCAGGTGACAGACAAGCTTTACAACCCCCTCTGTGTCCCACATTGCCTGTCAGTAACACATCAGTGGCTATGCTATTCGAACAACTTGGTAAGTTATACGCTATTCAAACAACTCAGTATGTTATTAGCTATTTGAGAATAGCTCAGTATGTTATAAGCTATTGGAACAACTCAGTATGTTATTAGCTATTTGAACAACTTGGTAAGTTATAAGCTATTTGAGCAACTCAGTAAATTATAAGCTGAGATTTTATTACATTCTTTTTAAAGATTAGAAAATGTTACTAGAATATATTTTGATTTGGTGAAATCATCCGATCATCACTATACATTAATGTGGGTCTTGTAGCATGTTAACTCTTCCTTATGTTGTTCTCAAGTTGACAATGTGCTGTCATGTATTATGTTGTACTGAAGCTGTCATGTTTTATGTTGTACTGAAGCTGTCATGTTTTATGTTGTACTGAAGCTGTCATGTTTTATGTTGTACTGAAGCTGTCATGTTTTATGTTGTACTGAAGCTGTCATGTTGTACTGAAGCTGTCATGTTGTACTAATGCTGTCATGTTGTACTGAAGCTGTCATGTTTTATGTAGTACTGAAGCTGTCATGTTGTACTGAAGCTGTCATGTTGTACTAATGCTGTCTTGTTGTACTGAAGCTGTCATGTTGTACTGAAGCTGTCATGTTGTACTGAAGCTGTCATGTTGTACTGAAGTTGTCATGTTATACTGAAGTTGTCATGTTGTACTGAAGCTGTCATGTTGTACTAATGCTGTCATGTTTTCCAGGCATCAACAACACCCTGACTGTGTTCTGTGCTGCGCTGACAGACCACAAGATCCTTTTCTACTCTGAAAGTTGCTCACGTCTCTGTGAAGCTAGCAGAGCCCTGCTCACACTTCACTACCCTCTCAAGTACATGTAGGTTCTACCAGTTGTATGTTTTGTTTGATGTGTTCATCCCAGTTGTATGTTTTGTTTGATGTGTTCATCCCAGTTGTATGTTTGGTTTGTCCACAGATATGTGTTCATCCCAGTTGTATGTTTGGTTTGATGTGTTCATCCCAGTTGTATGTTTGGTTTGATGTGTTCATCCCAGTTGTATGTTTTGTTTGATATGTTCATCCCAGTTGTATGTTTTGTTTGATGTGTTCATCCCAGTTGTATGTTTGGTTTGATGTGTTCATCCCAGTTGTATGTTTGGTTTGTCCACAGATATGTGTTCATCCCAGTTGTATGTTTTGTTTGATGTGTTCATCCCAGTTGTATGTTTTGTTTGATGTGTTCATCCCAGTTGTATGTTTGGTTTGATGTGTTCATCCCAGTTGTATGTTTTGTTTGATGTGTTCATCCCAGTTGTATGTTTTGTTTGATGTGTTCATCCCAGTTGTATGTTTTGTTAGATGTGTTCATCCCAGTTGTATGTTTGGTTTGATGTGTTCATCCCAGTTGTATGTTGATGTGTTCATCCCAGTTGTATGTTTGGTTTGATGTGTTCATCCCAGTTGTATGTTTTGTTTGATGTGTTCATCCCAGTTGTATGTTTTGTTTGATGTGTTCATCCCAGTTGTATGTTTGGTTTGATGTGTTCATCCAGTTGTATGTTTTGTTTGATGTGTTCATCCCAGTTGTATGTTTGGTTTGATGTGTTCATCCCAGTTGTATGTTGATGTGTTCATCCCAGTTGTATGTTTGGTTTGATGTGTTCATCCCAGTTGTATGTTTTGTTTGATGTGTTCATCCCAGTTGTATGTTTGGTTTGATGTGTTCATCCCAGTTGTATGTTGATGTGTTCATCCCAGTTGTATGTTTTGTTTGATGTGTTCATCCCAGTTGTATGTTTTGTTTGTCCACAGATATGTGTTCATCCCAGTTGTATGTTTTGTTTGATGTGTTCATCCCAGTTGTATGTTTGGTTTGTCCACAGATATGTGTTCATCCCAGTTTTACCCACAGCATTTTTAGATGTGCTCAACTCTCCCACACCATTTGTTGCTGGAGTCCACGCCACACTCAAAGATGATATCGCTGACCTGGTCAGTTGGTCAACTTTATGTTTTCTTATTCTCTCCCTTACAATGGTATTATTGAAGCAAACACTACTGTATTTATGTTTTGTTCCTCTCTATAAGCTCTGCCCTTACAATGGTATTATTGAAGCAAACACTACTGTATTTATGTTTTGTTCCTCTCTATAAGCTCTGCCCTTACAATGGTATTATTGAAGCAAACACTACTGTATTTATGTTTTGTTCCTCTCTATAAGCTCTGCCCTTACAATGGTATTATTGAAGCAAACACTACTGTATTTATGTTTTGTTCCTCTCTATAAGCTCTGCCCTTACAATGGTATTATTGAAGCAAACACTACTGTATTTATGTTTTGTTCCTCTCTATAAGCTCTGCCCTTACAATGGTATTATTGAAGCAAACACTACTGTATTTATGTTTTGTTCCTCTCTATAAGCTCTAACCTTACAATGGTGTCACAGTTCACTGTTAGTGTCCATGTCTGAGCAATTAAAAGTTTTCATAGGTTTGATAACACAACCAAATGTGCTTTGTATAACCAGTCTATAAGGCCATCCTTAGAGCCCCAGTATTAAATACCACTTGCCCATTGTATCATAAGACCATCCCTAGAGCCCAAGTATTAAATACCACTTGCCCATTGTATCTGTGCCCAGAACAGTTTGGCTATAAAAATATGACATTACTTACATTTTCTCCCTGGTCAATTGTCTGACTTTTTTTTGTCAACTTTTTGCCTTCTCTAAGATGAGTAAAAGATCTGAGTTGGTAAGTGTCAACATTAGGCTGCCTTGTGTTTTCTTATTGTCACAGCAACATAATTGATTTTTTTATTACAAGATTTTTACCTAGCTTAAAGATAACATTTACATTTGTAAAATATTATAAACCATATTTTTATTGACTTTGATTGGTAGTTAGCTTAAGAAATTGTAATTAAAGAAATAGCAGACATGCCTTCCGTCCCGCCAAAAGCGGAATCGTTCCGCTTTTTTTTTTTTTACAAAAAATTGTGTCCCATTACGCCATTTCATTTTAGTTGAATTTTGTTCAGCTTTTTCAATAAGTGAACATATAGAATTATTCTAAAAAATAATAAATCAAATTGAAAAAGCAAGTTCAGGGAAAAGCGATTATTGCCCTTTGCCAGGTTTCCTTGTTTACTTACAATATGAATGTAGAATAGATAATGTGGAACAGTTAGCAAATGAGAGCTCAGATTAGGAGTCTTTAAAAATGAATGCAATATTTTTGAAGCATTCAGAAATAAATGTTACTTTTGGCATTTGTAGATTTAAATTATGCATTAAATAAAATGTATGGAGTAAAATACCATAAAATCATGTCTAACGAACTAATTTCTAGATCTAGAATCTAGATCATTTAGGCCGATTTAATTTAGTATTTATCTAACTAGGTAGGCCCTTACTCATAACAATTACATGCACTGCAGTAATTGTTGTTCATATGGCCTTGTACATATCAAATAGCATTGACTACTGTTAACTCAAATCAGTAATGCTATGTTTTAGTGTAAAGTTCAGGTTTTAATGGGGAAAGGGGGGGGGTGTCTCAGGTTGCTGGTTAGCCTATATTTTTAAAAAATGTAAGCTGACTTTAAGCAGTATTTAGATGTTGTTAGAGACTAGCTATATAAAACTATAGACCTACTAAACATATACTGTGCATAATGTCACAAGACTTATTTTAATTATTTATTTTTGGCTTAGCATCAGCGTGTATGTTCCTCTTTTTGGTTTCAAATTGCTCTTTCTTGGTATGACTGTTCCTACTTTAGGTTGCCAGGGGTAGGCATGTCTGAAATGGTTTCTACTATTATTATGAGACAGAAATCCAATCAGGTTCAGCGGCTGTGCGTTGAATGACCTACTTTCCTTTTAAGATGACCTACTTCATAAGCTTTTCCATGCTATCTGTTTGCGCTGCTGTTGTTGCTTTAAAAATTAGAAATAAAACTTATGCATTAACCTACACACCAATACCACTCTACACAACACAATATACTTATAAAGCCCCCCCCCCCCCCCTAAACACCAGCATGACCAGTTACCTAGTTAAAGATTGTTCCCCCACACAGGCCACATCAGACAAGATTGTTCCCCCACACAGGCCACATCAGACAAGATTGTTCCCCCACACAGGCCACATCAGACAAGATTGTTCCCCCACATTAGACAAGATTGTTCCCCCACACAGGCCACATCAGACAAGATTGTTCCCCCACACAGGCCACATCAGACAAGATTGTTCCCCCACACAGGCCACATCAGACAAGATTGTTCCCCCACATTAGACAAGATTGTTCCCCCACATTAGACAAGATTGTTCCCCCACACAGGCCACATCAGACAAGATTGTTCCCCCACATTAGACAAGATTGTTCCCCCACACAGGCCACATCAGACAAGATTGTTCCCCCACACAGGCCACATCAGACAAGATTGTTCCCCCACATTAGACAAGATTGTTCCCCCACACAGGCCACATCAGACAAGATTGTTCCCCCACACAGGCCACATCAGACAAGATTGTTCCCCCACACAGGCCACATTAGACAAGATTGTTCCCCCACACAGGCCACATCAGACAAGATTGTTCCCCCACATTAGACAAGATTGTTCCCCCACATCAGACAAGATTGTTCCCCCACACAGGCCACATTAGACAAGATTGTTCCCCCACACAGGCCACATTAGACAAGATTGTTCCCCCACATCAGACAAGATTGTTCCCCCACACAGGCCACATTAGACAAGACTGTTCCCCCACACAGGCCACATCAGACAAGATTGTTCCCCCACACAGGCCACATTAGACAAGATTGTTCCCCCACATCAGACAAGATTGTTCCCCCACATTAGACAAGATTGTTCCCCCACATTAGACAAGATTGTTCCCCCACATCAGACAAGATTGTTCCCCCACACAAGCGACATCAGACAACATTGTTCCCCCACATTAGACAAGATTGTTCCCCCACATCAGACAAGATTGTTCCCCCACATCAGACAAGATTGTTCCCCCACATCAGACAAGATTGTTCCCCCACACAAGCCACATCAAACAAGATTGTTCCCCCACATTAGACAAGATTGTTCCCCCACATTAGACAAGATTGTTCCCCCACATCAGACAAGATTGTTCCCCCACATTAGATAAGATTGTTCCCCCACACAGGCTACCATAAAAAGCTTGCCAAGCATCTTAAATGTCATTCATGTTGTCACAAAACCCTTCCTACACCCCCCCCCCCTGCTCCACCATGTTATTACATTAATGTGCTATTTTAATTGTTTAAATTAAATACAAAAAATTTTAATTTCTATACGTTGTAGAAATTTAGGGTAAATATAATCTCAATGCAGCATTTCTATTTAAATGCATTAGCTGTTGTCAGATCGATAGAATTGCTGTCTCGCAGAATGAATTAAGTTTAAAAAACTAATTCTGCAATGTTTCTCCTTGCACAGTTAGATGTGATCATTGTAGATTTAGATGGAGGCAGCGTCCGCATTCCAGAGTGTGTCAGTGTACCATCACTCCCTGAGGACATCCTTGTTGGCGCAAAACAAGCCTTAAATTTGGTCAGTAGTTGCATCACATTTTATTGACATTTATAGATCCATCACATTTATTGACATTTATAGATCCATCACATTTATTGACATTTATAGATCCATCACATTTACTGACATTTGTAGGGCCACCACATTCTATTGACATTTGTAGGGCCACCCCATTCTATTGACATTTATAGTTCCATCACATTTATTGACATTTATAGATCCATCACATTTATTGACATTTATAGATCCATCACATTTATTGACATTTGTAGGGCCACCCCATTCTATTGACATTTATAGTTCCATCACATTTATTGACATTTATAGATCCATCACATTTATTGACATTTATAGATCCATCACATTTATTGACATTTGTAGGGCCACCCCATTCTATTGACATTTGTAGGGCCACCCCATTCTATTGACATTTGTAGGGCCACCCCATTCTATTGACATTTGTAGGGCCACCACATTCTATTGACATTTGTAGGGCCACCACATTCTATTGACATTTGTAGGGCCACCCCATTCTATTGACATTTATAGATCCATCACATTTATTGACATTTATAGATCCATCACATTTATTGACATTTATAGATCCATCACATTCTATTGACATTTGTAGGTCCACCACATTCTATTGACATTTGTAGGGCCACCACATTCTATTGACATTTGTAGGGCCACCACATTCTATTGACATTTGTAGGGCCACCCCATTCTATTGACATTTGTAGGGCCACCACATTCTATTGACATTTGTAGGGCCACCCCATTCTATTGACATTTGTAGGGCCACCACATTCTATTGACATGTAGTATGTAATGGTAGAAGACATGAAATGATCTTTTTATTCTAGATCCTGAATCCTGAGTTGATTTCTGCTGACTATGCATTCTCTCCCTCCCCTAAAAAATGTTCACCTTTGGTGCAGAAGGTGAGTTTCTAAGCATAGTGTTGGGCTACTCTAAATAGAGGTATGGCATTGGATTTGTACTTGATTATTGTTTAAAAGTTGAAAACTACATTTGGTTATGTACAGCAAACACTTAGCATCAGCATTATTGTTGTAGAATTTTCTGATCAAATTAATAAAGTAGATCTTGTTTCAATGACCACAGAATCTTGTAAATAAACTAAAAACTAGGCCTGGTCTTATCATCATTACCTAGGCAAGAGTTTTAAACAGTAGATCAAGGGAAACCCATGCCAAAACTCATGTCATTAGAACCTGTCATCTTTGCCCTGGAATTGAAACCTATTTAAGCTGTAAGGGTTAGAACAGTCAAGTATTTTAGTTGTCAGTCTTAGAAAAAAAGTTAACTATGAGAGGTTTCAGCATTTGACTTGTTTCAGGACAAAGAGTTGCGGGCTGTGTTCATTCGACTGTTTGCTGAACTTTTTTCTGGGTATCGCTCCAGCCTCGCTGTTGTCAGGATACACCCCACACCATTCATCACCTTCCACAAGGTAAGCTGTGTGTGCTGTCAGCTGTTGCTGGTACACTACTGTGTGCTGCATGTCTATAGACTTGGTCCACTCCGTGTAGTAAAACCAATGTCCATTTGTCTTCTAGTCCCATTTCCTGGGTCAGCGTGGCATGTCTATAGACTTGGTCCATTTGTCTTCTAGTCCCATTTCCTGGGTCAGCGTGGCATGTCTATAGACTTGATCCACTCCGTGTAGTAAAACCAATGTCCATTTGTCTTCTAGTCCCATTTCCTGGGTCAGCGTGGCATGTCTATAGACTTGGTCCACTCCGTGTAGTAAAACCAATGTCCATTTGTCTTCTAGTCCCATTTCCTGGGTCAGCGTGGCATGTCTATAGACTTGATCCACTCCGTGTAGTAAAACCAATGTCCATTTGTCTTCTAGTCCCATTTCCTGGGTCAGCGTGGCATGTCTATAGACTTGGTCCACTCCGTGTAGTAAAACCAATGTCCATTTGTCTTCTAGTCCCATTTCCTGGGTCAGCGTGGCATGTCTATAGACTTGATCCACTCCGTGTAGTAAAACCAATGTCCATTTGTCTTCTAGTCCCATTTCCTGGGTCAGCGTGGCATGTCTATAGACTTGGTCCATTTGTCTTCTAGTCCCATTTCCTGGGTCAGCGTGGCATGTCTATAGACTTGATCCACTCCGTGTAGTAAAACCAATGTCCATTTGTCTTCTAGTCCCATTTCCTGGGTCAGCGTGGCATGTCTATAGACTTGGTCCACTCCGTGTAGTAAAACCAATGTCCATTTGTCTTCTAGTCCCATTTCCTGGGTCAGCGTGGCATGTCTATAGACCTGGTCCACTCCGTGTAGTAAAACCAATGTCCATTTGTCTTCTAGTCCCATTTCCTGGGTCAGCGTGGCATGTCTATAGACTTGGTCCATTTGTCTTCTAGTCCCATTTCCTGGGTCAGCGTGGCATGTCTATAGACCTGGTCCACTCCGTGTAGTAAAACCAATGTCCATTTGTCTTCTAGTCCCATTTCCTGGGTCAGCGTGGCATGTCTATAGACTTGATCCACTCCGTGTAGTAAAACCAATGTCCATTTGTCTTCTAGTCCCATTTCCTGGGTCGTGGCATGTCTATAGACTTGATCCACTCCGTGTAGTAAAACCAATGTCCATTTGTCTTCTAGTCCCATTTCCTGGGTCACGTGGCATGTCTATAGACTTGGTCCATTTGTCTTCTAGTCCCATTTCCTGGGTCAGCGTGGCATGTCTATAGACCTGGTCCACTCCGTGTAGTAAAACCAATGTCCATTTGTCTTCTAGTCCCATTTCCTGGGTCAGCGTGGCATGTCTATAGACTTGATCCACTCCGTGTAGTAAAACCAATGTCCATTTGTCTTCTAGTCCCATTTCCTGGGTCAGCGTGGCATGTCTATAGACTTGATCCACTCCGTGTAGTAAAACCAATGTCCATTTGTTTTCTAGTCCCATTTCCTGGGTCAGCGTGGCATGTCTATAGACTTGATCCACTCCGTGTAGTAAAACCAATGTCCATTTGTCTTCTAGTCCCATTTCCTGGGTCAGCGTGGCATGTCTATAGACTTGATCCACTCCGTGTAGTAAAACCAATGTCCATTTGTTTTCTAGTCCCATTTCCTGGGTCAGCGTGGCATGTCTATAGACTTGATCCACTCCGTGTAGTAAAACCAATGTCCATTTGTCTTCTAGTCCCATTTCCTGGGTCAGCGTGGCATGTCTATAGACATGGTCCACTCCGTGTAGTAAAACCAATGTCCATTTGTCTTCTAGTCCCATTTCCTGGGTCAGCGTGGCATGGTGGAGGAGGAGTTTCTTGGCAAGGTGATCAATGGGATGGCCTTCAACAGCTTTGTGTCTGAACGAGGCCCTCCCTACAGGGTCTGTGACATCTTTGATGAGGTAAGATCTTTGTTTTTCACACACACCATCTTTGTTTCACACACACCATCTTTGTTTCACACACACCATCTTTGTTTCACACACATTCTTTGTTTCACACACACCATCTTTGTTTCACACACACATTCTTTGTTTCACACACACCATCTTTGTTTCCCCCTACCAAGTTACCCCTACCTGCCAACAAGTTACCCCTACCTGCCAACAAGTTACCCCTACCTGCCAACAAGTTACCCCTACCTGCCAACAAGTTACCCCTACCTGCCAACAAGTTACCCCTACCTGCCAACAAGTTACCCCTACCTGCCAACAAGTTACCCCTACCTGCCAACAAGTTACCCCTACCTGCCAACAAGTTACCCCTACCTGCCAACAAGTTACCCCTACCTGCCAACAAGTTACCCCTACCTGCCAACAAGTTACCCCTACCTGCCAACAAGTTACCCCTACCTGCCAACAAGTTACCCCTACCTGCCAACAAGTTACCCCTACCTGCCAACTAGTTACCCCTACATCCCCAGGTTGTTGCCAGCATACAAGACCAGCTACAGGAGGAACACAACGACCCACAGAGGATGATGGAGAACATCAAGGAACTGGCTCATCACATTTTCATCAATGTAATTTTACTTGACCCTTCACTGACTACTGAGACATCTTTTCTCACCTAGAAATCTTTCTGCTCTAATTACAGCAACTATTTCTCTTTTTACTTGACCCTTCACTGACCACTGAGACATCTTTTCTCACCTAGAAATCTTTCTGCTCTAATTACAGCAACTATTTCTCTTTTTACTTGACCCTTTACTGACAACAGAGAAACAATATTTTATCTTTGACAAGTATTTTGTCTAATTAAGCATCTCATCACTAATGCTGATCTAGCAGTTGCGCTGAAGTTGTGTTGTTTGTTTAGGAATGTCCAAACCAACAAGCTTACGTGCCAAAAGTGCCAAAGCCAGCAGAAGGAGCTTATGCAAGAATCCACCAGCCTCCATTTCCCCATCTAGATGGCAAGCTTATACAGAGTATCATAGACGAGGGTTTGGAGAGCAATAACCACAAGAAGTAAGATTTAGTGCACTCACAAATACTAGGACAACTGGTCACCACTGGTCAGCACACAATAAGTCCACTGGTCAGCAGACCATAAGTCCACTGGTCAGCAGACCATAAGTACACTGGTTAGTAGACCATAAGTCCACTGGTCAGCAGACCATAAGTCCACTGGTCAGCAGACCATAAGTCCACTGGTTAGTAGACCATAAATCCACTGGTCAGCAGACCATAAGTCCACTGGTCAGCAGACCATAAGTCCACTGGTCAGCAGACCATAAGTCCACTGGTCAGCAGACCATAAGTCCACTGGTCAGCAGACCATAAGTCCACTGGTCAGCAGACCATAAGTCCACTGGTCAGCAGACCATAATTCCACTGGTCAGCAGACCATGTCCACTGGTCAGCAGACCATAATTTCACTGGTCAGCAGACCATAAGTCCACTGGTCAGCAGACCATAAGTCCACTGGTCAGCAGACCATAATTCCACTGGTCAGCAGACCATGTCCACTGGTCAGCAGACCATAATTTCACTGGTCAGCAGACCATAAGTCCACTGGTCAGCAGACCATAAGTCCACTGGTCAGCAGACCATAAGTCCACTGGTCAGCAGACCATAATTCCACTGGTCAGCAGACCATAAGTCCACTGGTCAGCTGACCATAAGTCCACTGGTTAGCAGACCATAAGTCCACTGGTCAGCAGACCATAAGTCCACTGGTCAACAGACCATAAGTCCACTGTCAGAAGACACAGAAGGACCACTGGTTAGCAGACCATAAGTCCACTGGTCAGCAGACAAATGGTAGGACAATTGCATACAAGCTAAAGGCTGAATGTTTAAAAATGGCCAGTGGTGCGGTTGTTTGCCTTGTATATAATTTGTTGGGTTTGGCCGTCAGAGACAAAGGTTTACAGAAGCTTTAAACAAGTTACTATCAGCACCACTTTCTGATTCTATTTGAGAATTGAACTTGTTCCTCAGACTGAGTAATGTGCACCACTTGCTGTAATGTGCACCACTTGCTGATTCTATTTGAGAATTGAACTTGATCCTCAGACTGAGTAATGTGCACCACTTGCTGGTTCTATTTGAGAATTGAACTTGTTCCTCAGACTGAGTAATGTGCACCACTTGCTGGTTCTATTTGAGAATTGAACTTGTTCCGCAGACTGAGTAATGTGCACCACTTGCTGTAATGTGCACCACTTGCTGATTCTATTTGAGAATTGAACTTGATCCTCAGACTGAGTAATGTGCACCACTTGCTGGTTCTATTTGAGAATTGAACTTGTTCCTCAGACTGAGTAATGTGCACCACTTGCTGTAATGTGCACCACTTGCTGATTCTATTTGAGAATTGAACTTGTTCCTCAGACTGAGTAATGTGCACCACTTGCTGATTCTATTTGAGAATTGAACTTGTTCCTCAGACTGAGTAATGTGCACCACTTGCTGTAATGTGCACCACTTGCTGATTCTATTTGAGAATTGAACTTGTTCCTCAGACTGAGTAATGTGCACCACTTGCTGTAATGTGCACCACTTGCTGATTCTATTTGAGAATTGAACTTGATCCTCAGACTGAGTAATGTGCACCACTTGCTGGTTCTATTTGAGAATTGAACTTGTTCCTCAGACTGAGTAATGTGCACCACTTGCTGTAATGTGCGCCACTTGCTGGTTCTATTTGAGAATTGAACTTGTTCCTCAGACTGAGTAATGTGCACCACTTGCTGTAATGTGCACCACTTGCTGTAATGTGCACCACTTGCTGATTCTATTTGAGAATTGAACTTGTTCCACAGACTGAGTAATGTGCACCACTTGCTGTAATGTGCACCACTTGCTGGTTCTATTTGAGAATTGAACTTGTTCCTCAGACTGAGTAATGTGCACCACTTGCTGTAATGTGCACCACTTGCTGGTTCTATTTGAGAATTGAACTTGTTCCTCAGACTGAGTAATGTGCACCACTTGCTGTAATGTGCACCACTTGCTGGTTCTATTTGAGAATTGAACTTGTTCCTCAGACTGAGTAATGTGCACCACTTGCTGTAATGTGCACCTCTTGCTGGTTCTATTTGAGAATTGAACTTGTTCCTCAGACTGAGTAATGTGCACTACTTTCTGATTCTATTTGAGAATTGAACTTGTTCCTCAGACTGAGTAATGTGCACCACTTGCTGTAATGTGCACCACTTGCTGGTTCTATTTGAGAATTGAACTTGTTCCACAGACTGAGTAATGTGCACCACTTGCTGGTTCTATTTGAGAATTGAACTTGTTCCTCAGACTGAGTAATGTGCACCACTTGCTGTAATGTGCACCACTTGCTGATTCTATTTGAGAATTGAACTTGTTCCACAGACTGAGTAATGTGCGCCACTTGCTGATTCTATTTGAGAATTGAACTTGTTCCTCAGACTGAGTAATGTGCACCACTTGCTGGTTCTATTTGAGAATTGAACTTGTTCCCCAGACTGAGTAATGTGCACCACTTGCTGGTTCTATTTGAGAATTGAACTTGTTCCTCAGACTGAGTAATGTGCACCACTTGCTGTAATGTGCACCACTTGCTGATTCTATTTGAGAATTGAACTTTTTCCACAGACTGAGTAATGTGCACCACTTGCTGATTCTATTTGAGAATTGAACTTGTTCCTCAGACTGAGTAATGTGCACCACTTGCTGGTTCTATTTGAGAATTGAACTTGTTCCCCAGACTGAGTAATGTGCACCACTTGCTGGTTCTATTTGAGAATTGAACTTGTTCCCCAGACTGAGTAATGTGCACCACTTGCTGGTTCTATTTGAGAATTGAACTTGTTCCTCAGACTGAGTAATGTGCACCACTTGCTGTAATGTGCACCACTTGCTGGTTCTATTTGAGAATTGAACTTGTTCCTCAGACTGAGTAATGTGCACCACTTGCTGTAATGTGCACCACTTGCTGATTCTATTTGAGAATTGAACTTGTTCCTCAGACTGAGTAATGTGCACCACTTGCTGGTTCTATTTGAGAATTGAACTTGATCCTCAGACTGAGTAATGTGCACCACTTGCTGGTTCTATTTGAGAATTGAACTTGTTCCTCAGACTGAGTAATGTGCACCACTTGCTGTAATGTGCGCCACTTGCTGGTTCTATTTGAGAATTGAACTTGTTCCTCAGACTGAGTAATGTGCACCACTTGCTGTAATGTGCACCACTTGCTGTAATGTGCACCACTTGCTGATTCTATTTGAGAATTGAACTTGTTCCACAGACTGAGTAATGTGCACCACTTGCTGTAATGTGCACCACTTGCTGGTTCTATTTGAGAATTGAACTTGTTCCTCAGACTGAGTAATGTGCACCACTTGCTGTAATGTGCACCACTTGCTGGTTCTATTTGAGAATTGAACTTGTTCCTCAGACTGAGTAATGTGCACCACTTGCTGTAATGTGCACCACTTGCTGGTTCTATTTGAGAATTGAACTTGTTCCTCAGACTGAGTAATGTGCACCACTTGCTGTAATGTGCACCTCTTGCTGGTTCTATTTGAGAATTGAACTTGTTCCTCAGACTGAGTAATGTGCACTACTTTCTGATTCTATTTGAGAATTGAACTTGTTCCTCAGACTGAGTAATGTGCACCACTTGCTGTAATGTGCACCACTTGCTGGTTCTATTTGAGAATTGAACTTGTTCCACAGACTGAGTAATGTGCACCACTTGCTGGTTCTATTTGAGAATTGAACTTGTTCCTCAGACTGAGTAATGTGCACCACTTGCTGTAATGTGCACCACTTGCTGATTCTATTTGAGAATTGAACTTGTTCCACAGACTGAGTAATGTGCGCCACTTGCTGATTCTATTTGAGAATTGAACTTGTTCCTCAGACTGAGTAATGTGCACCACTTGCTGGTTCTATTTGAGAATTGAACTTGTTCCCCAGACTGAGTAATGTGCACCACTTGCTGGTTCTATTTGAGAATTGAACTTGTTCCTCAGACTGAGTAATGTGCACCACTTGCTGTAATGTGCACCACTTGCTGATTCTATTTGAGAATTGAACTTGTTCCACAGACTGAGTAATGTGCACCACTTGCTGATTCTATTTGAGAATTGAACTTGTTCCTCAGACTGAGTAATGTGCACCACTTGCTGGTTCTATTTGAGAATTGAACTTGTTCCCCAGACTGAGTAATGTGCACCACTTGCTGGTTCTATTTGAGAATTGAACTTGTTCCTCAGACTGAGTAATGTGCACCACTTGCTGTAATGTGCACCACTTGCTGGTTCTATTTGAGAATTGAACTTGTTCCTCAGACTGAGTAATGTGCACCACTTGCTGTAATGTGCACCACTTGCTGGTTCTATTTGAGAATTGAACTTGTTCCTCAGACTGAGTAATGTGCACCACTTGCTGGTTCTATTTGAGAATTGAACTTGTTCCCCAGACTGAGTAATGTGCGCTCCCTGCAGACAAGGATTGTGCCCATGGGATCTACTAGCAGCAGACAACAGAGAACTTTAGAGAACAACGCCAGGAGGCTGGAGGTCCTCAAGAACTGTGTCAACTTTATTTTTGAGAACAAAATCTCGGATGCTAAAATTGTAAGATTACAAGTTTCTTTAAGATTTTTGGGCTAGATTGTTTAAAGTCATTAAGTGAACTTGTTCCTTTCAAAAGTTATCAAAGTGTTTATAAACATACATTTTGCATTCACGAATATTTCTTGTAAATTTTTCCAGCAGTTTTGCATTCACTAAGCAGTGTGATATTTCAATTGTATGAATATCTCTTGTAGATTTTTCCAGCAGTTTTGTATTCATTAAGCAGTGTGATATTTCAATTGTACGAATATCTCTTGTAGATTTCTCCAGCAGTTTTGTATTCACTAAGCAGTGTGATATTTCAATTGTACTAATATCTCTTGTAGATTTTTCCAGCAGTTTTGTATTCACTAAGCAGTGTGATATTTCAATTGTACGAATATCTCTTGTAGATTTTTCCAGCAGTTTTGTATTCACTAAGCAGTGTGATATTTCAATTGTACGATTATCTCTTGTTAATTTTTCCAGCAGTTTTGTATTCACTAAGCAGTGTGATATTTCAATTGTACGAATATCTCTTGTTAATTTTTCCAGCAGTTTTGTATTCACTAAGCAGTGTGATATTTCAATTGTACGATTATCTCTTGTTAATTTTTCCAGCAGTTTTGTATTCACTAAGCAGTGTGATATTTCAATTGTACGAATATCTCTTGTTAATTTTTCCAGCAGTTTTGTATTCACTAAGCAGTGTGATATTTCAATTGTACGATTATCTCTTGTTAATTTTTCCAGCAGTTTTGTATTCACTAAGCAGTGTGATATTTCAATTGTACGATTATCTCTTGTTAATTTTTCCAGCAGTTTTGTATTCACTAAGCAGTGTGATATTTCAATTGTACGATTATCTCTTGTTAATTTTTCCAGCAGTTTTGTATTCACTAAGCAGTGTGATATTTCAATTGTACGAATATCTCTTGTAGATTTTTCCAGCAGTTTTGTATTCACTAAGCAGTGTGATATTTCAATTGTACGAATATCTCTTGTAGATTTTTCCAGCAGTTTTGTATTCACTAAGCAGTGTGATATTTCAATTGTACGAATATCTCTTGTAGATTTTTCCAGCAGTTTTGAGGGCCTTGAAGTCAAAAGCTGCCAGGCTGGCTCTGGTCCAAGAACTGGGGGATCACGTGCGCAGCAACCGAGCTATGCTAGAACATCAGCAGTTTGACCTGGTGGTCAAGCTGCTCAACTGTGCCCTGTCTGTAAGTCTCCCAGTTGGGACCAAAGTCATGGTCGTAGATTTACATCAGATAGTTTTCATCTGCCAAATAAGTTAATTTGGATAAAAAGCATACTGCATGACAACTAATTATTGTTTTGAATTTTCAGAATGAATCAAGTTTGGATGAAAATGGTATTGCAGCTGCCATCTTGCCATTAGCAACAGCTTTTTGTAGAGTAAGAAATTTGCATGTTTTTTTTGTTTTGTTTTTATCATCATTGACATGTTTGTTTTTATCATCATTCACACATTTGTTTTTATCATCATTCACACATTTGTTTTTATGAACGAGATCTTACAATTTTCCTCTATTGATTGCCCCACCAGAAACTGTGTCTTACAATTTTCCTCTATTGATTGCCCCACCAGAAACTGTGTCTTACAATTTTCCTCTATTAATTGCCTCACCAGAAACTGTGTCTTACAATTTTCCTCTATTAATTGCCCCACCAGAAACTGTGTCTTACAATTTTCCTCTATTGATTGCCCCACCAGAAACTGTGTCTTACAATTTTCCTCTATTAATTGCCCCACCAGAAACTGTGTACTGGGGTCCTACAGTTTGCCTACACCCTGACCCAAGAGCATGCTGTGTGGAGCAGCCTACAGTTCTGGGAACAGTCTTTCTACCAGGACGTCCAGCATCAGATCAGACAGTTGTACCTGCCACAGGTCAAACATAACTTACTGCACTGTTTTAGTGTGACCTCTGACCCCCAGTTAATGAATGTAACATGACCTTTGACCTTATGCCTACAGTATGAAGAACACATGCTGCTGATGACCAAGTCTACTGACAGCAGTGATGACCAGTTCAAGGACAGCTTTGACCAGACACTCAAGCCAAGGCGCATTGGACCATTGGAGATTACAGCAGAGCAGGTCAACTTTTTTTTCTTTTAAGTGACGCAAGGGATAGGTCAGTTAGTTGACCTGGGAATTGATTCATCTGACACATGAGGGTGTGGCCTACTGTAAAATGTTTGGTCTGACAGATGAGGGTGTGGCACACTGTAAAATGTTTGGTCTGACAGATGAGGGTGTGGCCCACTGTAAAATGTTTGATTGGTCTGACAGATGAGGGTGTGGCCCACTGTAAAATGTTTGATTGGTCTGACATGAGGGTGTGGCCCACTGTAAAATGTTTGCTTGGTCTGACATGAGGGTGTGGCCCACTGTAAAATGTTTGATTGGTCTGACAGATGAGGGTGTGGCCCACTGTAAAATGTTTGATTGGTCTGACAGATGAGGGTGTGGCACACTGTAAAATGTTTGGTCTGACAGATGAGGGTGTGGCCCACTGTAAAATGTTTGGTCTGACAGATGAGGGTGTGGCCCACTGTAAAATGTTTGATTGGTCTGACAGATGAGGGTGTGGCCCACTGTAAAATGTTTGATTGGTCTGACATGAGGGTGTGGCCTACTGTAAAAATGTTTGATTGGTCTGACATGAGGGTGTGGCCTGCTGTAAAATGTTTGATTGGTCTGACAGATGAGGGTGTGGCCTACTGTAAAAATGTTTGATTGGTCTGACATGAGGGTGTGGCCTACTGTAAAAATGTTTGATTGGTCTGACAGATGAGGGTGTGGCCCACTGTAAAATGTTTGATTGGTCTGACATGAGGGTGTGGCCTACTGTAAAATGTTTGATTGGTCTGACAGATGAGGGTGTGGCCTACTGTAAAATGTTTGATTGGTCTGACATGAGGGTGTGGCCTACTGTAAAATGTTTGATTGGTCTGACAGATGAGGGTGTGGCCTACTGTAAAATGTTTGATTGGTCTGACAGATGAGGGTGTGGCCTACTGTAAAATGTTTGATTGGTCTGACAGATGAGGGTGTGGCCTACTGTAAAATTGTTTGATTGGTCTGACATGAGGGTGTGGCCTACTGTAAAAATGTTTGATTGGTCTGACATGAGGGTGTGGCCTACTGTAAAAATGTTTGATTGGTCTGACATGAGGGTGTGGCCTACTGTAAAATGTTTGATTGGTCTGACATGAGGGTGTGGCCTACTGTAAAATGTTTGATTCATCTGGAAGATGAGGGTGTGGCCTACTGTAAAATGTTTGATTGGTCTGACAGATGAGGGTGTGGCCTACTGTAAAATGTTTGATTGGTCTGACAGATGAGGGTGTGGCCTACTGTAAAAATGTTTGATTGGTCTGACATGAGGGTGTGGCCTACTGTAAAAATGTTTGATTGGTCTGACATGAGGGTGTGGCCTACTGTAAAAATGTTTGATTGGTCTGACAGATGAGGGTGTGGCATACTGTAAAATGTTTGATTGGTCTGACATGAGGGTGTGGCCTACTGTAAAAAAGTTTGATTGGTCTGACATGAGGGTGTGGCCTACTGTAAAATGTTTGATTGGTCTGACATGAGGGTGTGGCCTGCTGTAAAATGTTTGATTGGTCTGACAGATGAGGGTGTGGCCTGCTGTAAAATGTTAGATTGGTCTGACAGATGAGGGTGTGGCCTACTGTAAAAATGTTTGATTGGTCTGACATGAGGGTGTGGCCTACTGTAAAATGTTTGATTGGTCTGACAGATGAGGGTGTGGCCCACTGTAAAATGTTTGATTGGTCTGACAGATGAGGGTGTGGCCTACTGTAAAAATGTTTGATTGGTCTGACATGAGGGTGTGGCCTACTGTAAAAATGTTTGATTGGTCTGACATGAGGGTGTGGCCTACTGTAAAAATGTTTGATTGGTCTGACATGAGGGTGTGGCCCACTGTAAAATGTTTGATTGGTCTGACAGATGAGGGTGTGGCCTACTGTAAAATGTTTGATTGGTCTGACAGATGAGGGTGTGGCCTACTGTAAAAATGTTTGATTGGTCTGACAGATGAGGGTGTGGCCTACTGTAAAATGTTTGATTGGTCTGACAGATGAGGGTGTGGCCCACTGTAAAATGTTTGATTGGTCTGACAGATGTGGGTGTGGCCCACTGTAAAAATGTTTGATTGGTCTGACAGATGAGGGTGTGGCCCACTGTAAAATGTTTGATTGGTCTGACAGATGAGGGTGTGGCCTACTGTAAAATGTTTGATTGGTCTGACAGATGTGGGTGTGGCCCACTGTAAAAATGTTTGATTGGTCTGACATAAGGGTGTGGCCCACTGTAAAATGTTTGATTGGTCTGACATGAGGGTGTGGCCTACTTTAAAATGTTTGATTAGTCTGACAGATGAGGGTGTGGCCCACTGTAAAAATGTTTGATTGGTCTGACAGATGAGGGTGTGGCCTACTGTAAAATGTTAGATTGGTCTGACAGATGAGGGTGTGGCCTACTGTAAAAATGTTTGATTGGTCTGACATGAGGGTGTGGCCTACTGTAAAAATGTTTGATTGGTCTGACAGATGAGGGTGTGGCCTGCTGTAAAATGTTTGATTGGTCTGACATGAGGGTGTGGCCCACTGTAAAAATGTTTGATTGGTCTGACAGATGAGGGTGTGGCTAACTGTAAAATGTTTGATTGGTCTGACATGAGGGTGTGGCCCACTAAAAATGTTTGATTGGTCTGATAGATGAGGGTGTGGCCTACTGTAAAAATGTTTGATTGGTCTGACAGATGAGGGTGTGGCCTGCTGTAAAATGTTTGATTGGTCTGACAGATGAGGGTGTGGCCTACTGTAAAAAAGTTTGATTGGTCTGACAGATGAGGGTGTGGCCCACTGTAAAATGTTTGATTGGTCTGACAGATGAGGGTGTGGCCTGCTGTAAAATGTTTGATTGGTCTGACATGAGGGTGTGGCCTACTGTAAAATGTTTGATTGGTCTGACAGATGAGGGTGTGGCCCACTGTAAAATGTTTGATTGGTCTGACAGATGAGGGTGTGGCCTACTGTAAAAATGTTTGATTGGTCTGACAGATGAGGGTGTGGCCCACCAAGAGCACAGAACAACAGCAAGAGATGATCAACAATGAAGAGTCCACAGTGTACAGCCAGGCCATCCACTTTGCCTACCGCATGGTGTACCTGAGGGTGCCACTGGACGCCTCCCGGACCATGAAGACCATGGCCATAGAGGAGAACAGCAGCACTGTCACACCCAGGTAACTACAGACTCACTGCTGGTCAGCTGGCCAACATTGGTGTTGTGTTGGTCAGTGCTTGTCAGCTCTGTATTTGGTTGGCCAAGTAGTCTTTATGTATATTTTTAAGCTCCTGATCTTTTAGTGTTGATGGACAAAGATTGTCTGATAAAGTACTAGCTGTCCCGGCCAGGCCCTGCACTGGCCTCTGTCAAAAACCTATCTGTTAAAAGGACCATGATTGTGTGTTTAGTAATCAGCATATACCTGGCATTGCTGATCCTAACCGCAATCAACCAAAACACAAAACAAGCAAACATAACACAAACACAAATACATATGAAAACAAAACCCCAACCACAAATGCAAACAAAAAGCAAAAAAAAAAAAACACAAATGCAAGCAAAAAAGCAAACAAAACCAATCCAAACCCAACCCAAACACCAAGGAAACGCAAACATAACCGCAAAGTGCTCACAGTCTAGTTCGGGGGCCAAATCGCATCATGCTGGGGCGCAGGTGGAACGGCCTGTTTCAGCTTAGTAAACGACTATAGTGCCCCAACTTATCATAGTCTTTTACACTCACTTAAACAAATGTAGGCGCCATAGCAAACTCAGGAAGGCCCAGGGCGCTAAATAGCACCCTGTTGGTGCCTCGGAGGACACCTGGATTCACTTAAAGACTATAGTAACCTCTCTTATCCGTAGTATATCACAATTTTCAGACATATTGAGAATTTTTGTGAAGGGTGATATTTTTAACAATTTTGTTTAATGAACATGCCGACAATTATTATTATAAGTGTAAAAAATGAAAATTGTTTTACATCACCTTGAATATTAATTTTTTTAAACATGAATTTAGACTATGAGCACTTTAGACTTATAACACTATGGCAATTATAATAGAATAAATTCTTATATGCCTTTGTTATTCTAGGTTTGCAATTACAAACATAGAGAATTGAACTTTATATATTAAATTGAATGTAAGCTCCTGATGTTTTAGTGTTGCTGAGAGTGACAGCCTTGATGCTGAAAGTGGGTTTGATGAAACTGAACAAACTGATGTTGCTGCCGTGGTGACCAAATTTGTTTCACGCTTTGTCGACAAAGTTTGCAGTGATGGTGGGGTCACACAAGAACATATTAAAGCCCTTCATCAGATGATTCCAGGTTAGTCTTGTAGGCAGCAGTTTAAAACATTCAGGTTAGTCTTGTAGGCAGCAGTTTAAAACATTCAGGTTAGTCTTGTAGGCAGCAGTTTAAAACATTCAGGTTAGTCTTGTAGGCAGCAGTTTAAAACATTCAGGTTAGTCTTGTAGGCAGCAGTTATAAAACAATTAGTCTTGTAGTCTTTATGCTGATGGTAAAATCTTTTCCAGGGGTTGTTGCCATGCATATAGAAACCTTGGAGGCTGTGAATAGAGAAAGTAAACGTCTGCCCCCAATACAGAAGGTAATATCCATGACATGGTGGATAAGCTTTAACCACTTGTATAAAGCTGGAGCTGGATACCCAGCTTCTGTTATTTGTATCTGATTGTGTAAGTTATAAAAGTGAATGAAAACTGTTTCAGCCTAAGATCCTGACCCCAGCCCTGCTGCCATGTGAAGAAATTGTCATGGAAGGTCTGAGGGTTTACTTGCTGCCTGATGGTAGGGAGGAGGGAACTGGGGGCAACATGGGGGGCCCCAGTTTGTTGCCCGCTGAAGGGGCTGTCTTCCTCACCACCTACCGCATCATCTTCAAAGGTTTGCCTTGTGATCCACTAGGTAGGTCTTCTTGCAGGTCTTGTGCTCTTGTGTGCCCTGTCAATGTTGATGTAACAAAGTGCCCTGTCAATGTTGACGTAACAAAGTGACCTTCGATGTTGACATAACAAAGTGCCCTGTCAATGTTGATGTAACAAAGTGCCCTGTGAATGTTGACATAACAAAGTGCCCAGTCAATGTTGATGTAACAAAGTGCCCTGTCAATGTTGACATAACAAAGTGCCCTGTCAATGTTGACATAACAAAGCGCCCTGTCAATGTTGATTTAACAAAGTGCCCTGTCAATGTTGATGTAACAAAGTGCCCTGTCAATGTTGACATAACAAAGCGCCCTGTCATTGTTGACATAACAAAGTGCCCAGTCAATGTTGATGTAACAAAGTGCCCTGTCAATGTTGACGTAATAAAGTGCCCTGTGAATGTTGCCGTAACAAAGTGTCCTTGTATACCCTGCAGCCTGTGAAACCCCTGTGGTCCGAAGCTTCCCCGTCTCATCTCTGACCAAGGAGAAAAGGATCAGTGTGCAGCTGTACCTGGCCCACCTGGACCAAGGCTTTCAAGAAGGTCTCCAGCTCAGGTCAACTGTTTTCCAGGTACTCCACTAGTATGTGTGCAATGTTTGTTTGGGTTGTACTGGACTACAGCATCATTTTTCACTGGCCTCACACTGCCTCTATGCCATGCTCCATTTTTCAGCTGATGAGGATAGCATTTGATGAGGAAGTTGGTACAGACAACATTGAGACTTTCCGCAAGCTTGTCAACAAAGTTCGTAACCCACCAACTGTCTTCCAAACTTTTGCTTTCACTGGCCATTCAGTACATGCTTCAGCACAGATGCAAAAAGGGAAAGAAAAGAATGCCTCTCTCAGGTAGTGTAGGAAATAGTGCTGACAGTTTCTTGTATTCTTGGAGTGTGAGCAAGGTTTTCATCAGCTATCTTCCCACAGGCAGTTTGCTAAACGCACACTTCTAAAGACAGCCAGGAAGGCTGGGCTCAAGAAACAGTCTCGCAGCAAACCCAAGTTAAACCTGACCAGCCCTCCCTCGGCTCGCAAGCCCCCTGCTGGACAGCACTCCCCTCATTCATCCGACAGCGAATCTGAGACGGCTAGCAGTGTGCAGTATGATGACCTCTCAGGTCAGTGTTCAGTATGATGACCTCTCAGGTCAGAAGTTTAGTGTATGATGACCTCTCAGGTCAGTGTTCAGTATGATGACCTCTCAGGTCAGAAGTTTAGTGTATGATGACCTCTCAGGTCAGTGTTCAGTATGATGACCTCTCAGGTCAGAAGTTTAGTGTATGATGACCACTCAGGTCAGTGTTCAGTATGATGACCTCTCAGGTCAGTGTTCAGTATGATGACCTCTCAGGTCAGAAGTTTAGTGTATGATGACCTCTCAGGTCAGTGTTCAGTATGATGACCTCTCAGGTCAGATGTTTAGTGTATGATGACCTCTCAGGTCAGATGTTTAGTGTACAGGGTCCGTAGCGGACCTTGAATCCTCGAAAAACCCTTGAATTCAAAAAAACATCTCAAAGCATTGAAAAACCCTTGAATTTCCCCAAAAAAGAGCAAAAACCCTTGAATTTTATAGGTAAACCTTGAAAACCATGCGTAAATCGAATTTCTTTTTAATTCAATTCCGACGGACCTAAAATTTATTTTTCTGGCTTTTTTTATCGTTGCCTGAGTCTGCGTAAACTTAGTAAAGCCTACTATAATACTATTTCCTACCCTCTCCTTCGCTGTGCTGCGCGGCGTGACCTTTAACCTCACCAGTTTTGCATATGACCTCTCAGGTCAGTGCTCAGTATGATGACCTCTCAGGTCAGATGTTTAGTGTATGATGACCTCTCAGGTCAGATGTTAAGTGTATGATGACCTCTCAGGTCAGTGCTCAGTATGATGACCTCTCAGGTCAGTGTTCAGTATGATGACCTCTCAGGTCAGTGTTCAGTATGATGACCTCTCAGGTCAGATGTTTAGTGTATGATGACCTCTCAGGTCAGATGTTTAGTGTATGATGACCTCTCAGGTCAGATGTTTAGTGTATGATGACCTCTCAGGTCAGATGTTTAGTGTATGATGACCTCTCAGGTCAGTGTTCAGTATGATGACCTCTCAGGTCAGTGTTCAGTATGATGATCTCTCAGGTCAGATGTTTATGATGACCTCTCAGGTCAGTGTTCAGTATGATGACCTCTCAGGTCAGTGTTCAGTATGATGACCTCTCAGGTCAGATGTTTATGATGACCTCTCAGGTCAGTGTTCAGTATGATGACCTCTCAGGTCAGAAGTTTAGTGTATGATGACCTCTCAGGTCAGATGTTTAGTGTATGATGACCTCTCAGGTCAGTGCTCAGTATGATGACCTCTCAGGTCAGTGTTCAGTATGATGACCTCTCAGGTCAGTGTTCAGTATGATGACCTCTCAGGTCAGATGTTTATGATGACCTCTCAGGTCAGTGTTCAGTATGATGACCTCTCAGGTCAGAAGTTTAGTTTATGATGACCTCTCAGGTCAGATGTTTAGTGTATGATGACCTCTCAGGTCAGTGCTCAGTATGATGACCTCTCAGGTCAGTGTTCAGTATGATGACCTCTCAGGTCAGAAGTGTATGATGACCTCTCAGGTCAGATGTTTAGTGTATGATGACCTCTCAGGTCAGAAGTGTATGATGACCTCTCAGGTCAGATGTTTATGATGACCTCTCAGGTCATTGTTCAGTATGATGACCTCTCAGGTCAGATGTTTAGTGTATGATGACCTCTCAGGTCAGTGTTCAGTATGATGACCTCTCAGGTCATAAGTTTAGTGTATGATGACCTCTCAGGTCAGTGTTCAGTATAATGACCTCTCAGGTCAGAAGTTTAGCATATGATGACCTCTCAGGTCAGTGGTCAGTATGATGACCTCTCAGGTCAGATGTTTATGATGACCTCTCAGGTCAGATGTTTAGTGTATGATTGACCTCTCAGGTCAGATGTTTAGCGTATGATGACCTTTGATGAACATGTTTGACATGATCTCCCTGTTGAGCAAGGGATTGCGTGTGCTGACCTCACAGAATATGTTTGATGTTTGCTAACTTTGAGCTCAGAGATATTCAGAGTATTCCCCATTTAGGTCAGCCTGTTAGACTTGTGACCGCTTATTGCAAGCTTTTAGTGAGGTCATATTATTATTGGGTGGGGTAGGGTCAAATCTGGTAACTCAACTTTCATACAGTTCTAACGCAGCGATTTTTATTTTTGGGTCAATGTGTTTAGAATTACAACACAAGGAATCTCATTTTCTTATCTGATTAGATATTAAATTAGTCAATAAAGACTACTATATTCAGTAACCAATGTGAGATTTTCAAGTAGCTATCACTTTTACTATGGGGCTGAAATTGCTTTTCACACCTACGAGCAGATCTAGAGCTAATTAAAATCATAAGTTACTTATTGGACAATAAAGCTAATATTTTTTAGTCATGGCTTTTTAACTTTATTAAATTATTTTTAGTGCATTCAACAGGTAGTTATATTAAGTTGATTTTGTTTTTTAATCTGAGATGACAAATATTTTTTCAAGTATTTGATGTTTTGTGTCATTCTGTTTGTCTTCAATTTAATCTACAGTGAGTTTTGTTTTCTCTGAATATTTCTTGTGTTTTTTTGTTGTTGTTGTACTTGGTTTTGGGCTTCTAAATAAAGAGTTGCTTGATGGTGCTGAGGTCTTAAAATAAAGAGTTGCTTGGTGGTGCAAATTTACCGCACAATACACAATGTTGATTCTACTGTATGGCATAAAGAATTGATCATGGCTTCTTGTTATGTTACGTTGATTCTACTGTATGGCATAAAGAATTGATCATGGCTTCTTGTTATGTTATGTTGATTCTACTGTATGGCATAAAGAATTGATCATGGCTTCTTGTTATGTTGATTCTACTGTATGGCATAAAGAATTGATCATGGCTTCTTGTTATGTTACGTTGATTCTACTGTATGGCATAAAGAATTGATCATGGCTTCTTGTTATGTTACGTTGATTCTACTGTATGGCATAAAGAATTGATCATGGCTTCTTGTTATGTTATGTTGATTCTACTGTATGGCATAAAGAATTGATCATGGCTTCTTGTAATGTTGATTCTACTGTATGGCATAAAGAATTGATCATGGCTTCTTGTTATGTTATGTTGATTCTACTGTATGGCATAAAGAATTTATCATGGCTTCTTGTTATGTTGATTCTACTTTATGGCATAAAGAATTTATCATGGCTTCTTGTTATGTTGATTCTACTGTATGGCATAAAGAATTGATCATGGCTTCTTGTAATGTTACGTTGATTATACTGTATGGCATAAAGAATTGATCATGGCTTCTTGTAATGTTATGTTGATTCTACTGTATGGCATAAAGAATTGATCATGGCTTCTTGTTATGTTATGTTGATTCTACTGTATGGCATAAAGAATTGATCATGGCTTCTTGTTATGTTGATTCTACTGTATGGCATAAAGAATTGATCATGGCTTCTTGTTATGTTGATTCTACTGTATGGCATAAAGAATTTATCATGGCTTCTTGTTATGTTGATTCTACTGTATGGCATAAAGAATTGATCATGGCTTCTTGTTATGTTACGTTGATTCTACTGTATGGCATAAAGAATTGATCATGGCTTCTTGTTATGTTATGTTGATTCTACTGTATGGCATAAAGAATTGATCATGGCTTCTTGTAATGTTGATTCTACTGTATGTCATAAAGAATTGATCATGGCTTCTTGTTATGTTATGTTGATTCTACTGTATGGCATTAAGAATTTTTCATGGCTTCTTGTTATGTTGATTCTACTTTATGGCATAAAGAATTTATCATGGCTTCTTGTTATGTTGATTCTACTGTATGGCATAAAGAATTGATCATGGCTTCTTGTAATGTTACGTTGATTATACTGTATGGCATAAAGAATTGATCATGGCTTCTTGTAATGTTATGTTGATTCTACTGTATGGCATAAAGAATTGATCATGGCTTCTTGTTATGTTATGTTGATTCTACTGTATGGCATAAAGAATTGATCATGGCTTCTTGTTATGTTGATTCTACTGTATGGCATAAAGAATTGATCATGGCTTCTTGTTATGTTGATTCTACTGTATGGCATAAAGAATTTATCATGGCTTCTTGTTATGTTGATTCTACTGTATGGCATAAAGAATTGATCATGGCTTCTTGTTATGTTACGTTGATTCTATTGTATGGCATAAAGAATTGATCATGGCTTCTTGTAATGTTGATTCTACTGTATGGCATAAAGAATTGATCATGGCTTCTTGTTATGTTGATTCTACTTTATGGCATAAAGAATTTATCATGGCTTCTTGTTATGTTGATTCTACTGTATGGCATAAAGAATTGATCATGGCTTCTTGTAATGTTGATTCTACTGTATGGCATAAAGAATTTATCATGGCTTCTTGTTATGTTGATTCTACTTTATGGCATAAAGAATTTATCATGGCTTCTTGTTATGTTGATTCTACTGTATGGCATAAAGAATTGATCATGGCTTCTTGTAATGTTACGTTGATTATACTGTATGGCATAAAGAATTGATCATGGCTTCTTGTAATGTTACGTTGATTATACTGTATGGCATAAAGAATTTATCATGGCTTCTTGTAATGTTATGTTGATTCTACTGTATGGCATAAAGAATTGATCATGGCTTCTTGTTATGTTATGTTGATTCTACTGTATGGCATAAAGAATTGATCATGGCTTCTTGTTATGTTGATTCTACTGTATGGCATAAAGAATTGATCATGGCTTCTTGTTATGTTGATTCTACTGTATGGCATAAAGAATTGATCATGGCTTCTTGTTATGTTGATTCTACTGTATGGCATAAAGAATTGATCATGGCTTCTTGTTATGTTACGTTGATTCTACTGTATGGCATAAAGAATTGATCATGGCTTCTTGTTATGTTATGTTGATTCTACTGTATGTCATAAAGAATTGATCATGGCTTCTTGTTATGTTGATTCTACTGTATGGCATAAAGAATTTATCATGGCTTCTTGTAATGTTATGTTGATTCTACTGTATGGCATAAAGAATTGATCATGGCTTCTTGTTATGTTGATTCTACTGTATGGCATAAAGAATTTATCATGGCTTCTTGTTATGTTATGTTGATTCTACTGTATGGCATAAAGAATTTATTATGGCTTCTTGTTATGTTGATTCTACTGTATGGCATAAAGAATTTATCATGGCTTCTTGTAATGTTATGTTGATTCTACTGTATGGCATAAAGAATTTATTATGGCTTCTTGTTATGTTACATTGATTCTACTGTATGGCATAAAGAATTGGTCATGGCTTCTTGTAATGCAAGACAAAGTGGACTAAGGGCCATAACCCAGCATGTGATTTAGATTTTCTATTCTTCAGCCTCCCCAATTTCAGCCTTCTTGTCCTCTCCAGTGATAGATGAGAATGAGTTCCTCCAGTCCTACTCCAGTGACCCCAGGAACACAGAGCGTCTGATGGAGCGCCACGTGTACCAGGACTACCAGAGGCTGGGGCTGGGAAGTGTGGCCACATCTGGTCAGCGAGGTGGACGCTCCGAGCCTTTTAGAGTCTCCACAGTCAATGCTAATTATTTATTGACTAGAAGGTAATTGCTCTCTCTCATTGACTAGAAGGTGGACGCTCCGAGCCTTTTAGAGTCTCCACAGTCAATGCTAATTATTTATTGACTAGAAGGTAATTGTTTTCTTCCATTGACTAGAAGGTGGACGCTCCGAGCCTTTTAGAGTCTCCACAGTCAATGCTAATTATTTATTGACTAGAAGGTAATTGTTTTCTTCCATTGACTAGAAGGTGGACGCTCCGAGCCTTTTAGAGTCTCCACAGTCAATGCTAATTATTTATTGACTAGAAGGTAATTGTTTTCTTCCATTGACTAGAAGGTGGACGCTCCGAGCCTTTTAGAGTCTCCACAGTCAATGCTAATTATTTATTGACTAGAAGGTAATTGTTTTCTTCCATTGACTAGAAGGTGGACGCTCCGAGCCTTTTAGAGTCTCCACAGTCAATGCTAATTTTTTATTGACTAGAAGGTAATTGTTTTCTTCCATTGACTAGAAGGTGGACGCTCCGAGCCTTTTAGAGTCTCCACAGTCAATGCTAATTATTTATTGACTAGAAGGTAATTGTTTTCTTCCATTGACTAGAAGGTGGACGCTCTGAGCCTTTTAGAGTCTCCACAGTCAATGCTAATTATTTATTGACTAGAAGGTAATTGTTTTCTTCCATTGACTAGAAGGTAATTGTTTTTTTCCATTGACTAGAAGGTAATTGTTTTTTTCCATTGACTAGAAGGTAATTGTTCTCTGTCATTGACTAGAAGGTGGACACTCCGAGCCTTTTAGCCAATATAAGATTGTCAGCTTTCAATTGTTTTTTTCCTTTGTTCCAGCTATCCAGGTCTTCTAGTTATGATTGTCAACTTTCAATTGTTTTTTTCCTTTTTTCCAGCTATCCAGGTCTTCTAGTTATGATTGTCAGCTTTCAATTGTTTTTTTTCTCTGTTCCAGCTATCCAGGTCTTCTAGTTATGATTGTCAGCTTTCAATTGTTTTTTTCCTTTTTTCCAGCTATCCAGGTCTTCTAGTTATGATTGTCAGCTTTCAATTGTTTTTTTCCTTTTTTCCAGCTATCCAGGTCTTCTAGTTATGATTGTCAGCTTTCAATTGTTTTTTTTCTCTGTTCCAGCTATCCAGGTCTTCTAGTTATGATTGTCAGCTTTCAATTGTTTTTTTTCTCTGTTCCAGCTATCCAGGTCTTCTAGTTGTTCCCCAGTCTGTATCAGACGAAAGTATACGTAAATTCTCTAGGTGCAATAGACAATCAAGGTACAGTATGCATCACATGTGTACAATTGTCATTTGAAAAAGTTAGCTCTTTCAATTGAAACCTATGTACAGACCATTGTTGTAAACCTTGAAAGCTGACCATTGAACAAGTTGTTCCTCTCCACCCTCCCATGTAGGTTTCCTGTTATAACATGGCGACACCCCCGGACACGAGCCCTGCTACTGCGTGCCAGTGGGTTTCACTCCAGGGGGCTGATGGGAATGTTGCGGCACAGCAGCAACAACAGTGAGTAGCTGTTTGTCACCTGTCTTACACCAGTGAGTGACCACTGTCTTACACCAGTGAGTGACCACTGTCTTACACAGTGAGTGACCACTGTCTTACACCAGTGAGTGACCACTGTCTTACACCAGTGAGTGACCACTGTCTTACGCCAGTGAGTGACCACTGTCTTACACAGTGAGTGACCGCTGTCTTACACAGTGAGTGACCGCTGTCTTACACAGTGAGTGACCACTGTCTTACGCCAGTGAGTGACCACTGTCTTACACAGTGAGTGACCACTGTCTTACACAGTGAGTGACCGCTGTCTTACACAGTGAGTGACCACTGTCTTACACCAGTGAGTGACCACTGTCTTACGCCAGTGAGTGACCGCTGTCTTACGCCAGTGAGTGACCACTGTCTTACACAGTGAGTGACCACTGTCTTACACAGTGAGTGACCACTGTCTTACACCAGTGAGTGACCACTGTCTTACGCCAGTGAGTGACCACTGTCTTACACAGTGAGTGACCGCTGTCTTACCCCAGTGAGTGACCACTGTCTTACGTCAGTGAGTGACCGCTGTCTTACGCCAGTGAGTGACCACTGTCTTACACCAGTGAGTGACCGCTGTCTTACACAGTGAGTGACCACTGTCTTACGCCAGTGAGTGACCACTGTCTTACACAGTGAGTGACCACTGTCTTACACAGTGAGTGACCGCTGTCTTACGCCAGTGATTGACCACTGTCTTACGTCAGTGAGTGACCGCTGTCTTACGCCAGTGAGTGACCGCTGTCTTACACCAGTGAGTGTAGTGACACCCTGTGTGCTGACCTCTGACCTCTTGATGCAGGTACATCTACTGGAGGTGAGGCGTCCTCCAGCCTGGAACAAGAGAAATACTTCATGCTACTGGTGGCAGCCACACCCAGCAGCAACAAGAACAACCCCATCCTCACAGCCAGCAGCGACTCACTCACCTCGCTTGACTCCCTCATCATGGGGGTCGGGGCAGACCCACTCGTCATTCCATCAACACCTGAGGTACCACGGCATGGGGGACGGGGGGATGTGGTGGACAAGAGAGTCAGCGCCCCACCCACTGCCACCTCACTACAGGCCAAGAGACAGAATGCATGTAAGTTATTTACTGACCACAGCCTTATGTATAGTGACCACTGTCTGATGGTGACCACTCTCAGATGGTGACTGCTGGTACCACAATGGTGTAGTGCTTGTTACTTTCTCATATACGAAGTATAGAGGAAGAGGAAGTAGTGTAAACATTTGAAATCAAGAATTTCACAAATCTCTAACTTGAGTGCCATTACAGCTAGATGGTTAAAATTTCATATATAAGTATATTATCAAATTTGTAGTTCTATATCAGCTTATCAGTGATTTCTGGTAACCGAAGTGGAACTTATTCTACTTTTGGTTTTTCAAAAGCATATAACTTGATTACTGTTTCATATAGATGAAATTTCACATATAAGTAAAAGATCTCTCTTCCTTCTGTCAAATTTTGAGTAATTCCGTGTACTTTATGGCATTTCCAATTTCTCATAAAAGCATATGAATTTATAAATACTAATATTAGGCACTATTATACACACATTGTTTAGCGTTCACTTGATGCGCAATTCTTTTTTTCTACCAAATTCTATTCTATTTTTAAAAATTTAAGTAATTAAAAATCATGTCTCTATCCCGAGTCTTATACAAGTATATTTGAGAAAGTTGAGGGGAGATCACTCCCGCTTTATATAAAACAGTTGTTACAGTTTGTTTCTGACATTAAAGTATGTCTTAAAACCTGTCTTTATACTGTGTTTAGACCTACTATAGAAAATCCATGTTCTATATATAGACTATCTCTCTTTCCACCTTGCAGTATCTTGGGGTAAGCCAAAAGTTTCCAGTTGTAATTTGACAAGTTCCCTACTTGGGTTGGTCACAGTCTTTACTGCTTCAGTTTGTTTGATTTGCTCACCATCCAAGTCACAACTCTTTATTTTTTAATAACAAGTTGATTCAGTTTTTACTAGCCAGCTGTTTCATTCTTTATTTTTTTTAATAACAAGTTGGTTCAGTTTTTACTAACAGACTTTGATTTGTTTTACTGGTAGATTTCTTTTGTTCCTTACTATATTCAGGTATCATTGGGTCACTCAATCATATAGTCTTAGGTCAGTCTTGTCTGTTGTGTGTTTCTGTATATAGGTCAGTCTTGTCTGTCATGTGTTTCTAAATAAAGGTCAGTCTTGTCTGTTGTGTGTTTCTGTATAAAGGTCAGTCTTGTCTGTTATGTATTTCTCTATAAAGGTCAGTCATTATTTTGCCTTTGTTTTTTTTTTTGTTTTTTTTTTTTATGTTTGTGTCATCCATTAGTTAAGTGAAAGTTAATGTACAGCACAGTTTGGTAATTGAATCACAGTTAAGCCAATGTGAATGTTGGTAATTGAATCACAGTTCAGCCAATGTGAATGTTGGTAACTGAATCACAGTTCAGCCAATGTGAATGTTGGTAATTGAATCACAGTTCAGCCAATGTGAATGTTGGTAACTGAATCACAGTTCAGCCAATGTGAATGTTGGTAACTGAATCACAGTATTGCCAATGTGAATGTTGGTAACTGAATCACAGTACAGCCAATGTGAATGTTGGTAACTGAATCACAGTTCAGCCAATGTGAATGTTGGTAACTGAATCACAGTACAGCCAATGTTAATGTTTCTTAAGTCTTTGTTTTGTCCTCTGGTGCTATCTCTTTGTTACCTCAAATTTTGGTGTTCACCTATGATACCAACGTTGATGTCATCACCTGTTATATTACCAATGTTGATGTTCACTCATCACCTGTTATATTACCAATGTTGATGTCCACTCATGACCTGTTATATTACCAATGTTAATGTCCACTTGACCTGTTATATTACCAATGTTGATGTCCACTTGACCTGTTATATTACCAATGTTGATGTTCACTCATCACCTGTTATATTACCAATGTTGATGTTCACTCATCACCTGTTATATTACCAATGTTAATGTCCACTTGACCTGTTATATAACCAATGTTGATGTCCACTTGACCTGTTATATTACCAATGTTGATGTCCACTTGACCTGTTATATTACCAATGTTGATGTCCACTTGACCTGTTATATTACCAATGTTGATGTCCACTTGACCTGTTATATTACCAATGTTGATGTCCACTTGACCTGTTATATTACCAATGTTGATGTCCACTCATGACCTGTTATATTACCAATGTTGATGTCCACTTGACCTGTTATATTACCAATGTTGATGTCCACTTGACCTGTTATATTACCAATGTTGATGTCCACTTGACCTGTTATATTACCAATGTTGATGTCCACTCATGACCTGTTATATTACCAATGTTGATGTTCACTCATCACCTGTTATATTACCAATGTTGATGTCCACTCATGACCTGTTATATTACCAATGTTGATGTTCACTCATCACCTGTTATATTACCAATGTTGATGTCCACTCATGACCTGTTATATTACCAATGTTAATGTCCACTTGACCTGTTATATTACCAATGTTGATGTCCACTTGACCTGTTATATTACCAATGTTGATGTTCACTCATCACCTGTTATATTACCAATGTTGATGTTCACTCATGACCTGTTATATTACCAATGTTAATGTCCACTTGACCTGTTATATTACCAATGTTGATGTCCACTTGACCTGTTATATTACCAATGTTGATGTCCACTTGACCTGTTATATTACCAATGTTGATGTCCACTTGACCTGTTATATAACCAATGTTGATGTCCACTTGACCTGTTATATTACCAATGTTGATGTCCACTTGACCTGTTATATTACCAATGTTGATGTCCACTTGACCTGTTATATTACCAATGTTGATGTCCACTTGACCTGTTATATTACCAATGTTGATGTCCACTTGACCTGTTATATTACCAATGTTGATGTCCACTCATGACCTGTTATATTACCAATGTTGATGTCCACTTGACCTGTTATATTACCAATGTTGATGTCCACTTGACCTGTTATATTACCAATGTTGATGTCCACTTGACCTGTTATATTACCAATGTTGATGTCCACTTGACCTGTTATATTACCAATGTTGATGTCCACTCATGACCTGTTATATTACCAATGTTGATGTCCACTTGACCTGTTATATTACCAATGTTGATGTCCACCTTTTCAGTTTTGACCCTGCCTAGACGTGGCCACAGATCATGGCAATGTAAAATATTTTTTGTTTCTTTGCTAGCACTACTTGTGCCCAGCCTCCAACACCTTTTGATTCCAACTTTTCTAAACACAAGGGCGGTTTGGTGCTGGCACAAGTCATGTATGCTGCATGTTGGTGTCTACAGCTTGGGTGTGTCTGTCTACAGCTTGGGTGTGTCTGTCTGTCTACAGCCTGTGTGTGTCTGTCTACAGCCTGTGTGTCTGTCTACAGCCTGTGTGTGTCTGTCTACAGCTTGTGTGTGTCTGTCTACAGCTTGGGTGTGTGTGTCTACAGCCTGGGTGTGTCTACAGACTGGGTGTGTCTGTCTACAGACTGGGTGTGTCTGTCTACAGCCTGGGTGTGTCTGTCTACAGCTTGTGTGTGTCTGTCTACAGCCTGGGTGTGTGTGTCTACTGTGTGAGTATGTCTGTCTACAGCTTGGGTGTGTCTGTCTACAGCCTGGGTGTGTCTGTCTACAGCCTGGGTGTGTCTGTCTACAGCTTGTGTGTGTCTGTCTACAGCCTGGGTGTGTCTGTCTACAGCTTGGGTGTGTCTGTCTACAGCCTGTGTGTGTCTGTCTACAGCCTGTGTGTCTGTCTACAGCTTGGGTGTGTCTGTCTACAGCCTGTGTGTGTCTGTCTACAGCCTGTGTGTCTGTCTACAGCTTGGGTGTGTCTGTCTACAGCCTGGGTGTGTCTGTCTACAGCCTGGGTGTGTCTGTCTACAGCCTGTGTGTCTGTCTACAGCCTGTGTGTGTCTGTCTACAGCTTGTGTGTGTCTGTCTACAGCTTGTGTGTGTTTGTCTACAGACTGGGTGTGTCTGTCTACAGCCTGTGTGTCTGTCTACAGCCTGTGTGTGTCTGTCTACAGCTTGGGTGTGTCTGTCTACAGTTTGGGTGTGTCTGTCTACAGGTTGTGTGTGTGTGTCTGTCTACAGCCTGTGTGTGTCTGTCTACAGCCTGTGTGTCTGTCTACAGCTTGGGTGTGTCTGTCTACAGCCTGGGTGTGTCTGTCTACAGCCTGGGTGTGTCTGTCTACAGCTTGGGTGTGTCTGTCTACAGCTTGGGTGTGTCTGTCTACAGCTTGGGTGTGTCTGTCTACAGGTTGTGTGTGTCTGTCTACAGCTTGGATGTGTCTGTCTACAGCGTGGGTATGTCTGTCTACAGCCTGTGTGTCTGTCTACAGCTTGGATGTGTCTGTCTACAGCTTGGGTGTGTCTGTCTGTCTACAGCCTGGGTGTGTGTGTCTACAGCTTGGGTGTGTCTGTCTGTCTACAGCCTGTGTGTGTCTGTCTACAGCCTGTGTGTCTGTCTACAGCCTGTGTGTGTCTGTCTACAGCTTGTGTGTGTCTGTCTACAGCTTGTGTGTGTTTGTCTACAGCTTGGGTGTGTCTGTCTACAGCCTGTGTGTGTCTGTCTACAGCCTGTGTGTCTGTCTACAGCTTGGGTGTGTCTGTCTACAGCCTGGGTGTGTCTGTCTACAGCCTGGGTGTGTCTGTCTACAGCCTGTGTGTCTGTCTACAGCCTGTGTGTGTCTGTCTACAGCTTGTGTGTGTCTGTCTACAGCTTGTGTGTGTTTGTCTACAGACTGGGTGTGTCTGTCTACAGCCTGTGTGTCTGTCTACAGCCTGTGTGTGTCTGTCTACAGCTTGGGTGTGTCTGTCTACAGTTTGGGTGTGTCTGTCTACAGGTTGTGTGTGTGTGTGTCTGTCTACAGCCTGTGTGTGTCTGTCTACAGCCTGTGTGTCTGTCTACAGCTTGGGTGTGTCTGTCTACAGCCTGGGTGTGTCTGTCTACAGCCTGGGTGTGTCTGTCTACAGCTTGGGTGTGTCTGTCTACAGCTTGGGTGTGTCTGTCTACAGCTTGGGTGTGTCTGTCTACAGGTTGTGTGTGTCTGTCTGTCTACAGCCTGGGTGTGTGTGTCTACAGCTTGGGTGTGTCTGTCTGTCTACAGCCTATGTGTCTGTCTACAGCTTGGATGTGTCTGTCTACAGCTTGGGTGTGTCTGTCTGTCTACAGCCTGGGTGTGTGTGTCTACAGCTTGGGTGTGTCTGTCTGTCTACAGCCTGTGTGTGTCTGTCTACAGCCTGTGTGTGTCTGTCTACAGCTTGTGTGTGTCTGTCTACAGCTTGTGTGTGTTTGTCTACAGACTGGGTGTGTCTGTCTACAGCTTGGGTGTGTCTGTCTACAGCGTGGGTGTGTCTGTCTACAGCCTGGGTGTGTCTGTCTACAGCTTGGGTGTGTCTGTCTACAGGTTGTGTGTGTGTGTCTGTCTACAGCCTGTGTGTGTCTGTCTACAGTTTGGGTGTGTCTGTCTACAGGTTGTGTGTGTGTGTCTGTCTACAGCCTGTGTGTGTCTGTCTACAGTTTGGGTGTGTCTGTCTACAGGTTGTGTGTGTGTCTGTCTACAGCCTGTGTGTGTCTGTCTACAGCTTGGGTGTGTGTGTCTGTCTACAGCTTGGGTGTGTTTGTCTACAGCTTGGGTGTGTCTGTCTACAGCTTGGGTGTGTCTGTCTACAGGTTGTGTGTGTGTGTCTGTCTACAGCCTGTATGTGTCTGTCTACAGCCTGTGTGTGTTTGTCTACAGCTTGGGTGTATGTGTCTGTCTACAGCCTGTGTGTGTCTGTCTACAGCTTGGGTGTGTGTGTCTGTCTACAGTTTGGGTGTGTCTGTCTACAGATTGTGTGTGTGTGTCTGTCTACAGCCTGTGTGTGTCTGTCTACAGCTTGGGTGTATGTGTCTACAGCTTGGGTGTGTTTGTCTACAGCTTGGGTGTGTCTGTCTGTCTACAGCCTGTGTGTGTCTGTCTACAGCCTGTGTGTCTGTCTACAGTTTGGGTGTGTCTGTCTACAGCTTGGGTGTGTCTGTCTACAGCCTGTGTGTGTCTGTCTACAGCTTGGGTGTGTCTGTCTACAGCTTGGGTGTGTTTGTCTACAGCTTTGGTGTGTGTGTGTTTGTGTGTGTGTGAACCTGCACCTGACTTCCTATTTTTGCCCTCTCATTTAATCCCTGATTGCAATCTTTGTATCAGCACCTCTCTGGACTAACTGGCAAAGGCTTCAGCATACAATCACATACTCAACCCTTCCCAATAGATCAAATATCATCTTAGGTGTATAACTCTTGTGATATATGCATGGCTTAACTGGCTCATAGCTCTTTGCTGGGATAGCTCTCTGTTACACTGGGCTCATGGGATCTCTCTTACACTTATGTTGGCTGACTAAATCCCTCACCCTAAATGTGTTTGGCCGACTAAATCCCTCACCCTAAATGTGTTTGGCCGACTAAATCCCTCACCCTAAATGTGTTTGGCCGACTAAATCCCTCACCCTAAATGTGTTTGGCCGACTAAATCCCTCACCCTAAATGTGTTTGGCCGACTGAACCCGTCTACCCTCAGATTTCTGGTAAAAGCTGTAGTATATTCTGGCTGGTAAGTGGTACAACCACAGTGGTCAAAAAGGTATCTGTATGACACCAGTACTAACAGCTTATTTGACAGACTGCCTGCCTGGATTGATAAACTGGACCTATTTGATAAGGCTGTTGATTAATTATGAAGGTATTTGTATGATGCTAGTCCCACAGCTTATTTGACTGATGAACTCTGGGTTGTGACACAGCCAGCCATGTGTTGTGAGTCTGTCATTAGTCACCAAATGTAACAGAATTTTGTTTTCCAGCCCCCAGCATGCCTGACCAGTTTGACTAACTGCATGCTGGTGCTGACCTGTTGACCTCTGGCTGCTCATTGTTTACACTAGACTTTTTCTCATGTTTTCATCTGTTATTCTACATGCATTGACTTGGTCTGATTTTGTGCAGCTGTCAACCGCATTGGAAGTCTGCGAGACAGATCACCCAACATGGCCCCACGGTCAGCCAGAACACTGACCCCACAGAGTCAGGGGGACCTCATTAACTCCAGCATCAGGAGACTTAACCACGTCTCACTCTACATCCTGGGAGAGAAGGCCCAGATGAAAGTTAGTCTATTTTCTTATTTAACCAACTCTACATCCTGGGAGAGAAGGCCCAGATGAAAGTTAGTCTATTTTCTTATTTAACCAACTCTACATCCTGGGAGAGAAGGCGCAGATGAAAGTTAGTCTATTTTCTTATTTAACCAACTCTACATCCTGGGAGAGAAGACCCAGATGAAAGTTAGTCTATTTTCTTATTTAACCAACTCTACATCCTGGGAGAGAAGGCGCAGATGACAGTTAGTCTATTTTCTTATTTAACCAACTCTACATCCTGGGAGAGAAGGCGCAGATGAAAGTTAGTTTATTTTCTTATTTAACCAACTCTACATCCTGGGAGAGAAGGCGCAGATGAAAGTTAGTCTATTTTCTTATTTAACCAACTCTACATCCTGGGAGAGAAGACCCAGATGAAAGTTAGTCTATTTTCTTATTTAACCAACTCTACATCCTGGGAGAGAAGGCCCAGATGAAAGTTAGTCTATTTTCTTATTTAACCAACTCTACATCCTGGGAGAGAAGGCCCAGATGAAAGTTAGTCTATTTTCTTATTTAACCAACTCTACATCCTGGGAGAGAAGGCCCAGATGAAAGTTAGTCTATTTTCTTATTTAACCAACTCTACATCCTGGGAGAGAAGGCCCAGATGAAAGTTAGTCTATTTTCTTATTTAACCAACTCTACATCCTGGGAGAGAAGGCGCAGATGAAAGTTAGTCTATTTTCTTATTTAACCAACTCTACATCCTGGGAGAGAAGACCCAGATGAAAGTTAGTCTATTTTCTTATTTAACCAACTCTACATCCTGGGAGAGAAGGCGCAGATGACAGTTAGTCTATTTTCTTATTTAACCAACTCTACATCCTGGGAGAGAAGGCGCAGATGAAAGTTAGTTTATTTTCTTATTTAACCAACTCTACATCCTGGGAGAGAAGGCGCAGATGAAAGTTAGTCTATTTTCTTATTTAACCAACTCTACATCCTGGGAGAGAAGACCCAGATGAAAGTTAGTCTATTTTCTTTTTTAACCAACTCTACATCCTGGGAGAGAAGGCGCAGATGAAAGTTAGTCTATTTTCTTATTTAACCAACTCTACATCCTGGGAGAGAAGGCGCAGATGAAAGTTAGTCTATTTTCTTATTTAACCAACTCTACATCCTGGGAGAGAAGGCGCAGATGAAAGTTAGTCTATTTTCTTATTTAACCAACTCTACATCCTGGGAGAGAAGGCGCAGATGAAAGTTAGTCTATTTTCTTATTTAACCAACTCTACATCCTGGGAGAGAAGACCCAGATGAAAGTTAGTCTATTTTCTTATTTAACCAACTCTACATCCTGGGAGAGAAGACCCAGATGAAAGTTAGTCTATTTTCTTATTTAACCAACTCTACACCCACATACAATATAATAGACAAGTGGTGATCAACCACATACAATATAATAGACAAGTGGTGACCAACCATAGACAATATAATAGACAAGTGGTGACAAACCAGACCTAGAGGACTATCTATTTCTCCCCAGAACATCAAGGCAGAATCATTTCCCAAGTGTGACTTTATCCCTGTGGACTTCTACGAGGTGCGTCAGGTGAAGGCCAGTTTTAAAAAGTTGATGCGGGCATGTGTACCCAGTACAGCGCCAAGTCCAGACCACAATTTCTTCAAGTCTGTGGAGGACTCGGAGTGGCTGCTACAGGTCAGTCATAGACTTCCCTTGGTCAAGTCCTACAGGACATGGTAGGCTGCCTATACAGGCGAGTCATAGACTTGGTCAAGTCCTACAGGACATGGTAGGCTGCCTATACAGGCGAGTCATAGACTCTTCCCTTGGTCAAGTCCTACAGGACATGGTAGGCTGCCTATACAGGCGAGTCATAGACTCTTCCCTTGGTCAAGTCCTACAGGACATGGTAGGCTGCCTATTAAATGAGTTCTTTAGGACATGGCTAAAATTGTGTTTTATCTTGTCCTGTATAGCTACAGAGTATCCTGCAGTTAAAATTGTGTTTTATCTTGTCCTGTATAGCTACAGAGTATCCTGCAGTTAAAATTGTGTTTTATCTTGTCCTGTATAGCTACAGAGTACCCTGCAGTTAAAATTGTGTTTCATCTTGTCCTGTATAGCTTCAGAGTATCCTGCAGTTAAAATTGTGTTTCATCTTGTCCTGTATAGCTTCAGAGTATCCTGCAGTTATCCGGAGCTGTGGTGGATCTACTGGATGTTCAAGGATCATCTGTGATGATTTGTTTGGAAGATGGCTGGGACATCACAACTCAGGTACATTCAAATGCATATTATAGGTGTCTACAATTGGTGGTTTGTGTCTACCAATGGTGTCTACAATTGGTGTATGGTGTCTACAATTGGTGTAATGTGTCTACCAGTGGTGTATTGTCTACCATTGGTGTCTACCATTGGTGTCTACAAGTGGTGTATGGTGTCTGCAATTGGTGTAATGTGTCTACCAGTGGTGTCATGTGTCTACCAATGGTGTCTACAAGTTGTGTATGGTGTCTACAATTGGTGTAATGTGTCTACCAGTGGTGTATTGTGTCTACCAATGGTGTCTACAATTGGTGTCGTGTGTCTACAATTGGTGTAATGTCTACAATTGGTGTCATGTGTCTACAATAGGTGTCATGTGTCTACCAGTGGTGTATTGTGTCTACCAATGGTGTCTACAATTGGTGTCATGTGTCTACAATTGGTGTCATGTGTCTACAATAGGTGTCATGTGTCTACCAGTGATGTATTGTGTCTACAATTTGTGTAATGTCTACAATTGGTGTCATGTGTCTACAATTGGTGTCGTGTGTCTACAATTGGTGTATGGTGTCTACAATTTGTGTAATGTCTACAATTGGTGTCATGTGTCTACAATTGGTGTCGTGTGTCTACAATTGGTGTATGGTGTCTACAATTTGTGTAATGTCTACAATTGGTGTCATGTGTCTACAATTGGTGTCGTGTGTCTACAATTGGTGTATGGTGTCTACAATTTGTGTAATGTCTACAATTGGTGTCATGTGTCTACAATTGGTGTCATGTGTCTACAATTGGTGTCGTGTGTCTACAATTGGTGTCATGTGTCTACAATTGGTGTCATGTGTCTACAATTGGTGTCATGTGTCTACAATTGGTGTCGTGTGTCTACAATTGGTGTCATGTGTCTACAATTGGTGTCATGTGTCTACAATTGGTGTCGTGTGTCTACAATTGGTGTCATGTGTCTACAATTGGTGTCGTGTGTCTACAATTGGTGTCATGTGTCTACAATTGGTGTCGTGTGTCTACAATTGGTGTATGGTGTCTACAATTGGTGTCTGCCAATGGTCTCTACAATTGGTGTCATGTGTCTACAATAGGTGTCATGTGTCTACCAGTGATGTATTGTGTCTACAATTGGTGTAATGTGTCTACAATTGGTGTCATGTGTCTACAATTGGTGTCGTGTGTCTACAATTGGTGTATGGTGTCTACAATTTGTGTAATGTCTACAATTGGTGTCATGTGTCTACAATTGGTGTAATGTGTCTACAAGTGGTGTCATGTGTCTACAATTGGTGTAATGTGTCTACAATTGGTGTCATGTGTCTACAATTGGTGTCGTGTGTCTACAATTGGTGTAATGTGTCTACAAGTGGTGTCATGTGTCTACAATTGGTGTCGTGTGTCTACAATTGGTGTAATGTGTCTACAAGTGGTGTCATGTGTCTACAATTGGTGTCATGTGTCTACAATTGGTGTCATGTGTCTACAATTGGTGTCGTGTGTCTACAATTGGTGTCATGTGTCTACCAGAGAACATTGCTTGTCCTGCCAGGTTGTGTCTGTAGCCCAGGTCATGATGGACCCCTACTACCGCACCATTGAAGGATTTAAAACCCTGATAGAGAAAGAATGGCTTGGCTTTGGTCATCGTTTCAGCCATCGCAACAACCAGACAGCAGCCACGCAGACCAGCGGATTTGCTCCAGTTTTCTTACAGTTTCTTGACGTGGTCCATCAGGTAACATCACACATTAGCTGCTGTCTGTTATTTTTGTCTCCACAACCACATGTCAGCCTTGTGTCCACAACCACATGTCAGCCTTGTGTCCACAGATCCACCAGCAGTTCCCCCTGTCCTTTGAGTTCTCCCACTATTTCCTCAACACAACCACATGTCAGCCTTGTGTCCACAACCACATGTCAGCCTTGTGTCCACAACCACATGTCAGCCTTGTGTCCACAACCACATGTCAGCCTTGTGTCCACAACCACATGTCAGCCTTGTGTCCACAGATCCACCAGCAGTTCCCCCTGTCCTTTGAGTTCTCCCACTATTTCCTCAAGTACCTGGCCTACCACTGTGTTAGCAACAGGTTCAGGACCTTCATGCTGGACTCTGAGTTGGAGCGTGTTGACTCGGGCTGGTTGATGGAGGATGTGCGCTCCAGTCTCAACTCTGACCCTAAGAATGATGAAATATCTGAGCATCACATTAGATCTCTGACCATCAGCATGACAGATAATAAGTAAGTCAATCTTTAGGGCACTTTAATATGTCTATATGACAGACAATAAGTAAGTCAATCTTTAGGGCACTTTAATATGTCCATGTGACAGACAATAAGTAAGTCAATCTTTAGGGCACTTTAATATGTCTATGTGACAGACAATAAGTAAGTCAATCTTTAGGGCACTTTAATATGTCTATGTGACAGACAATAAGTAAGTCAATCTTTAGGGCACTTTAATATGTCTATGTGACAGACAATTAGTCAATCTTTAGGGCACTTTAATATGTCTATGTGACAGATAATAAGTAAGTCAATCTTTAGGGCACTTTAATATGTCTATGTGACAGACAATAAGTAAGTCAATCTTTAGGGCACTTTAATATGTCTATGTGACAGACAATAAGTAAGTCAATCTTTAGGGCACACAGGTAGCCACGCCACTATGTCAGCTAGCCACGCCACTGTCTCAGGTAGCCACGCCACTGTCTCAGGTAGCCACGCCACTGTCTCAGGTAGCCACTGTCTCAGGTAGCCACTGTCTCAGGTAGCCACGCCACTGTCTCAGGTAGCCACGCCACTGTCTCAGGTAGCCACTGTCTCAGGTAGCCACTGTCTCAGGTAGCCACTGTCTCAGGTAGCCACTGTCTTAGGTAGCCACTGTCTCAGGTAGCCACTGTCTTAGGTAGCCACTGTCTCAGGTAGCCACTGTCTCAGGTAGCCACTGTCTCAGGTAGCCACTGTCTCAGGTAGCCACGCCACTGTCTCAGGTAGCCACGCCACTGTCTCAGGTAGCCACGCCACTGTCTCAGGTAGCCACTGTCTCAGGTAGCTACTGTCTCAGGTAGCCACTGTCTCAGGTAGCTACTGTCTCAGGTAGCCACTGTCTCAGGTAGCCACTGTCTTAGGTAGCCACTGTCTCAGGTAGCCACTGTCTTAGGTAGCCACTGTCTCAGGTAGCCACTGTCTCAGGTAGCCACTGTCTCAGGTAGCCACTGTCTCAGGTAGCCACGCCACTGTCTCAGGTAGCCACGCCACTGTCTCAGGTAGCCACGCCACTGTCTCAGGTAGCCACGCCACTGTCTCAGGTAGCCACTGTCTCAGGTAGCTACTGTCTCAGGTAGCCACTGTCTCAGGTAGCCACTGTCTCAGGTAGCCACACCACTGTCTCAGGTAGCCACTGTCTCAGGTAGCCACGCCACTGTCTCAGGTAGCTACTGTGTCAGGTAGCCACGCCACTGTCTCAGGTAGCCACTGTCTCAGGTAGCCACGCCACTGTCTCAGGTAGCTACTGTATCAGGTAGCCAGATAATGATCTTTGAGACAGATCTGTTTCTCCCCAGACAAAGCTTGTCAGACAGCAAGCACCATCAGACCTATGGAGCATCACTGTGGGACCACATTGACAAACTCAACAAGCAAACTCCCATCTTTTTTAACTTCGCTTATGCTATGGAGGACCAGGACCCGGTAAGTTATCAGCTCAGTTTAAAGGACCAAAATACATAAGGTCTCTGTACAAGGACTGTTCCCAAATTTTTTCCCTCTCCGTATAAGGACTGTTCCCAAATTTTTGTCCCTCTCCGTATAAGGTCTGTTCCCAAATTTTGTCCCTCTCCGTATAAGGACTGTTCCCAAATTTTGTCCCTCTCCGTATAAGGACTGTTCCCAAATTTTGTCCCTCTCCGTATAAGGACTGTTCCCAAATTTTGTCCCTCTCCGTATAAGGACTGTTCCCTAACTTTGTTTCTCTCCGTATAAGGACTGTTCCCTAATTTTGTCCCTCTCCGTATAAGGACTGTTCCCAAATTTTGTCCCTCTCCGTATAAGGACTGTTCCCTAACTTTGTTTCTCTCTGTATAAGGACTGTTCCCAAATTTTGTCCCTCTCCGTATGAGGACTGTTCCCAAATTTTGTCCCTCTCCATATAAGGACTGTTCCCAAATTTTGTCCCTCTCCGTATAAGGACTGTTCCCAAATTTTGTCCCTCTCCGTATAAGGACTGTTCCCAAATTTTGTCCCTCTCCGTATAAGGACTGTTCCCAAATTTTGTCCCTCTCCGTATAAGGACTGTTCCCTAACTTTGTTTCTCTCCGTATAAGGACTGTTCCCAAATTTTGTCCCTCCCCGTATAAGGACTGTTCCCAAATTTTGTCCCTCTCCATATAAGGACTGTTCCCAAATTTTGTCCCTCTCCGTATAAGGACTGTTCCCAAATTTTGTCCCTCTCCGTATAAGGACTGTTCCCAAATTTTGTCCCTCTCCGTATAAGGACTGTTCCCAAATTTTGTCCCTCTCCGTATAAGGACTGTTCCCAAATTTTGTCCCTCTCCGTATAAGGACTGTTCCCAAATTTTGTCCCTCTCCGTATAAGGACTGTTCCCAAATTTTGTCCCTCTCCGTATAAGGACTGTTCCCAAATTTTGTCCCTCTCCGTATAAGGACTGTTCCCAAATTTTGTCCCTCTCCGTATAAGGACTGTTCCCAAATTTTGTCCCTCTCCGTATAAGGACTGTTCCCAAATTTTGTCCCTCTCCGTATAAGGACTGTTCCCAAATTTTGTCCCTCTCCGTATAAGGACTGTTCCCAAATTTTGTCCCTCTCCGTATAAGGACTGTTCCCAAATTTTGTCCCTCTCCGTATAAGGACTGTTCCCAAATTTTGTCCCTCTCCGTATAAGGACTGTTCCCTAACTTTGTTTCTCTCCGTATAAGGACTGTTCCCAAATTTTGTCCCTCTCCGTATAAGGACTGTTCCCAAATTTTGTCCCTCTCCGTATAAGGACTGTTCCCAAATTTTGTCCCTCTCCGTATAAGGACTGTTCCCAAATTTTGTCCCTCTCCGTATAAGGACTGTTCCCAAATTTTGTCCCTCTCCGTATAAGGACTGTTCCCAAATTTTGTCCCTCTCCGTATAAGGACTGTTCCCAAATTTTGTCCCTCTCCGTATAAGGACTGTTCCCTAACTTTGTTTCTCTCCGTATAAGGACTGTTCCCAAATTTTGTCCCTCTCCGTATAAGGACTGTTCCCAAATTTTGTCCCTCTCCGTATAAGGACTGTTCCCAAATTTTGTCCCTCTCCGTATAAGGACTGTTCCCAAATTTTGTCCCTCTCCGTATAAGGACTGTTCCCAAATTTTGTCCCTCTCCGTATAAGGACTGTTCCCAAATTTTGTCCCTCTCCGTATAAGGACTGTTCCCAAATTTTGTCCCTCTCCGTATAAGGACTGTTCCCTAACTTTGTTTCTCTCCGTATAAGGACTGTTCCCAAATTTTGTCCCTCTCCGTATAAGGACTGTTCCCAAATTTTGTCCCTCTCCGTATAAGGACTGTTCCCAAATTTTGTCCCTCTCCGTATAAGGACTGTTCCCAAATTTTGTCCCTCTCCGTATAAGGACTGTTCCCAAATTTTGTCCCTCTCCGTATAAGGACTGTTCCCAAATTTTGTCCCTCTCCGTATAAGGACTGTTCCCTAACTTTGTTTCTCTCCGTATAAGGACTGTTCCCAAATTTTGTCCCTCTCCGTATAAGGACTGTTCCCAAATTTTGTCCCTCTCCGTATAAGGACTGTTCCCAAATTTTGTCCCTCTCCGTATAAGGACTGTTCCCAAATTTTGTCCCTCTCCGTATAAGGACTGTTCCCAAATTTTGTCCCTCTCCATATAAGGACTGTTCCCAAATTTTGTCCCTCTCCGTATAAGGACTGTTCCCAAATTTTGTCCCTCTCCGTATAAGGACTGTTCCCAAATTTTGTCCCTCTCCGTATAAGGACTGTTCCCAAATTTTGTCCCTCTCCGTATAAGGACTGCTCCCAAATTTTGTCCCTCTCCGTATAAGGACTGTTCCCAAATTTTGTCCCTCTCCGTATAAGGACTGTTCCCAAATTTTGTCCCTCTCCGTATAAGGACTGTTCCCAAATTTTGTCCCTCTCCATATAAGGACTGTTCCCAAATTTTGTCCCTCTCCGTATAAGGACTGTTCCCAAATTTTGTCCCTCTCCGTATAAGGACTGTTCCCAAATTTTGTCCCTCTCCGTATAAGGACTGTTCCCAAATTTTGTCCCTCTCCGTATAAGGACTGTTCCCAAATTTTGTCCCTCTCCGTATAAGGACTGTTCCCAAATTTTGTCCCTCTCCGTATAAGGACTGTTCCCAGAGGCGTATCCAGGTTTTCGTTGTAGGGGGAGCGAAAAGAGCAGAAAAAGGCGCCGAATTTTTAACACTTTCTATATATGTGTATATATACATATATATATATATATATATATATATATATATATATATATATATATAAATTACTAGCTGTATGTCATTACTTCGCTATGATGTAAAATAAATTGAAATTAGCACTATGAAGAAATAAGAAAAAACACAATGTAGGCCGACAAAACAAAACTTGTATCAATCTAAACACATATATATATATATATATATATATATATATATATATATATATATATATATATATATATATATATATATATATATGTATATACATATATATATATATATATATACACTCACTACAACCAAAAACAATGAACGTAACACAATCTGTTTTGTAATTCTTGTAAAAAAAATTCTCACATAATAATTCCTTGGAAATTATTTAAGACAAGTGAAATAGGGGAAATAATTACTCTCTTAATATAAATATGTATATATCTACACATCTATATACTACTAAAAGTCAAGTTTGTTTACATGTTTGAATATTTATTTTTTTTGTTTGTTTTTTTGTTTGTCCGATCGAGTATTGTGATATGTTCTACTCTATCTGGAGAGCTGTAAAATAGTATGTAGGTAGAGAATAATTTTTTAATGCAGACAGACTGTTAATTACAAATTTATTTAAAGACGTTAATTAATTTATTGATTTATTCATACATAGAGTAACCCTATTTTTTTAAAAAGATTAGAACGACCACTACACTCGGCGGAAACAGTGACGTCACAGTTTTTTGTTTACTCTTTAGTACAATAAAATGGCGGCGTCTATCGAAGAAAGTTGTGTTCCCATTCAAAAGTTTAACGCGTTCTAAATCTAATTTTCTGTCGGTCATAACTTTAACAATACGTCCGTATGCTGTATTTATTACGTTCCAACACTTATATCAATTTTCAACTGTCTTTTTTCATTTAGTTTTACAATAAATTTCTCTAGATCTAAAGATCAGCTGTCGAAGGAAAGATAATTAGTTATGAATCTAGCCTAGATCTAGATCTAGCCTAGATCTAGGTCACTAGACTCAATGTAAATTCTAGATCTAGACTTAATGTAAATTCTACATCTAGAATCTATTTCAGGCCTTAATACATCTAGAATCTATTTTAGGCCTTAATTAATTTAAATAAATCTTTGTATGGCTAATTTAAGATAAAATTTAATTTGAAAGTTACTACTACTAGACTTAGATCTAGATCTATGCGCGTAAATCAAGTTGCATAAGGAGACTCAAAGTATAGTATAAAAATTCACTTGTGACGTCACGAGTAAATAGCTAAGTTGGTAGTGTAGCCTGCTCTCATGCGGGTGGCACAGGTTCTAGACCAATATGTCAATGATATTTTTTTTTCAATTTTTTTTTTTTTAGATGTGAATGATAAAATTGCCTATCTGAACTTGGAAGGATACAGGGCAGGTGAAGTAGAGTTCATCTGTTTCTTTGTCCTAAGCATATGAAAGGATAGTGTGGTCAGAGACATGCTCGGCTGGAATAGTTTTTTAAACGATAAAAACATGTTGTCTGAGACTTGGCGGGACACTGGGCAGGTGAAGTAGAGTTGAGTAGGTCACCTGTGACGTCAGTATATGAAGGGATAGTCCGAAATCGGTGTTTTCGGTGTTTTTAAAAGATAAAAAACATATTTTTGAATGTGGGGTCTGTTTTTTGTGACGATAAGTGACACTGCAGTAGCGTATCGAGGAGGGGGGGCGGGAGGGGAAGGGGAGGCGGGGGGAGGTGAAGGGGGGGGGCGGGGGGACATATGTTGGGGCGCCAAAATGGTTTGGAAAAATAAATTGAAAGGTTGAGGGGGGTGCAAATCGAAAGTTTGAGGGGGGGGGGGGGGGGGGTGCACATCAAAAGTTTGAGGGGGGGTTGCAAATCGAAATCTTGCGGGGGGGGGGGGGGGTTCAAATCGAAAAGTTTGTCCTCGGCCGCCGGGAAGGGTCGCTATGCCTCTGAGTGACAGACGTGATGTTTTTTGATGGATGACCCCCGAAACCCACAGTTATCCAACGGATGACGGGTATTCTAGTTTAATTATAAATGTCAAAACAAATAAATAATTACTTTAGAGTATAATGAAATTGTTTAACGCTATTCGTGCTTACAAAATGTTTTTGTCTATAATCATAATTTAATATATCGTCATCATAAATGCCAAAGTATCACAGAATAATGAAAGTTTTTAAAATCAGAGTTGGTATAAAACCACACTTTTCGAAATAAAAGACAAACATTCGGAATAACAGCCTACAATTAACTAAATATCGGTCTTTTAGTTCAGATCATATATTTTTAATTAACTACTGCTTCTCTGTGTTCTTTAAAGATCATTTTTTAACATAGTGATAGGTATGGGTTGGATCACTGTATTGATCACACACCTTTTTACTGGTAATTGCAAAAACAATATTCACAGAGTTTTACGTTTAAAAAGCTAATTTTCTGGCGGCATGGTACTTTGGTACATCATTACGCGTTGTCTACATGTACTTAACAGATCAGTTCGGAGTAGGTTTGGGGGGGGGGGGGGTTCAACTTCATTCACCACTGTACGGTCACTTTAGGTCAATTATCCAACCCAGTGTATGCCTAGGTGTGACATTAATGTCGCTCTACACAATTGTGATGGTGAGGTGTGTGGGGGGGGGGGGGGGAGATAGCCAACTCAGAGTGAACATAGCGTCAGTTTTTAGACGACTGTTCTAAACATACATATATATTACACAAATATATATTACAGAAATAGATTTAAATAAGTAGCAGTGGTATTATGACAATATTTTTTTTACAGATGGGTCCATGGGGGAGGGGGGTTGTATCTGTTTCATATAATTTGTAATTGTAATCACTATCGCCCAAACTGTAAGAATACTACTACTTCATCGTGATGACGTTGTTGACCTTGTCAAAATTTCCCCACCACTACGCAGTTTGCTCATAAGTAAATTTAAATAGAGGTGCCACATCAGTTGTATTTGTTTCTGTATTGTAATTTTTTTTAAATTAATCACACGATTCAAACTGTATATATAAAGTAATTATGTGTGAAGTTTTATGTATAACATTTTCAAATTCAATTATTCGTAAGCAAATACATTATACAGTTGCCTTAAACTTAACACCCCTCTTGCCAAGTTTTACTAACCGTAGTGGTTTTTTAAACATTGCAATGCATTGTAATGGTTATTTTTAGAATGGCAAACTGATGCAGCTGTTAATACGTGTTGTAAACGAAGACACTACTAGACTAGTACAATAATGCTTAATTGCTGCATGAAAAGAAATATTGTGATTTACATAGATGTGCCGACCAAAAATATTGTTTTAACAAATATCATTGTTTAAAACTTTGAGTTTAAAAAGTTTCCTAAAAGGCGCCACTTTGCTGAAAATGGCCAGAGGGTGAGCAGCCGCTCCCCCTGCTCCCCCACTGCGTACGCTACTGACTGTTCCCTAATTTTGTCCCTCTCCATATAAGGACTGTTCCCTAATTTTGTCCCTCTCCATATAAGGACTGTTCCCTAATTTTTTCTCTCCATATAAGGACTGTTCCCTAATTTTGTCCCTCTCCATATAAGGACTGTTCCCTAACTTTGTCTCTCCATGTAAGGACGGTTCCCTAACTTTGTCACTCTCCATATAAGGACTGTTCCCTAATTTTTTCTCTCCATATAAGGACTGTTCCCTAATTTTGTCCCTCTCCATATAAGGACTGTTCCCTAACTTTGTCTCTCCATGTAAGGACGGTTCCCTAACTTTGTCACTCTCCATATAAGGACTGTTCCCTAATTTTTTTTCAGATCCTGCGGCCCTACTCCAACGTTTCAAACCTGAAAATATGGGATTTTTACATTACGGAAGATCTCCATCGTGGGGTTCCTTATGACCTTGACATTGATGAGACTGAAGCAGCAGGGGATGACCTTGAAGCAGAGGCCATGGGTATCACTAGGAGGAGGGTGATCAATGGCTGCTACCACAGTGTCATCCTGCATGAGCCAGATTTCTTTTGGTCCAAAATACAGGTGGCAATTCTTGTACACACACACCACCTATTTTATACTCTCTTTTTCTTTGCAATATCCATTTCTTGTATACACACCACCTATTTTATACTCTCATTTTCTTTGCAATATCCATTTCTTGTATACACACCACCTATTTTATACTCTCATTTTCTTTGCAATATCCATTTCTTGTATACACACCACCTATTTTATACTCTCATTTTCTTTGCAATATCCATTTCTTGTATACACACCACCTATTTTATACTCTCATTTTCTTTGCAATATCCATTTCAATTTTTCCTCAAAATACCATTTCATAGCTGAATCTTATTATGCATTTCATAGTTTAATTACATTATCAATTTCATTGCTAAATATCATCCATTTCATTGCTAAATCTCATTATCAATTTCATTGTAAAATCTCATTATCCATTCCATTGCTAAATCGCATTATCCATTTCATTGTTAAATCTCATTATCCATTCCATTGCTAAATCTCAATTTCCATTTCATTGTTAAATCTCATTATCCATTCCATTGCTTTATTATATTTTCCATTTCATTGCTAAATCACATTATCCATTTCATTGCTAAATCTCATTATCCATTTTCAAGTTACTACAGTCCAAGCATACAAAATTATGCAACAGCAAACCCTAATGAGCTTGTTACTAAAACAAACAATGTAACTTAACCCTTGTGAGGCTGTAGCTAAAAATAACCTTGTCCCTTGTTGTCCCAGGAAATCCATCGGCTCGAGTCAGATCTGGGGCTCAAGCCGTCCCTGTGGCGAGCCATTTTTGACAGGCTGGAGTGTCCTGGCAGAGATCAGTTCCACCGGCAGGTAATTTTACTTTCCCCTATTTCAAGTGGGTTTTTTTAGGGCAGGTAATTTTATTTTACCCTCTTTCAAGTGGGTTTTTTTAGGGCAGGTAATTTTACTTTCCCCTCTTTCAAGTGGGTTTTTTTAGGGCAGGTAATTTTACTTTCCCCTATTTCAAGTGGGTTTTTTTAGGGCAGGTAATTTTATTTTACCCTCTTTCAAGTGGGTTTTTTTAGGGCAGGTAATTTTACTTTCCCCTCTTTCAAGTGGGTTTTTTTAGGGCAGGTAATTTTACTTTCCCCTATTTCAAGTGGGTTTTTTTAGGGCAGGTAATTTTACTTTCCCCTCTTTCAAGTGGGTTTTTTTAGGGCAGGTAATTTTACTTTCCCCTCTTTCAAGTGGGTTTTTTTAGGGCAGGTAATTTTACTTTCCCCTCTTTCAAGTGGGTTTTTTTAGGGCAGGTAATTTTACTTTCCCCTCTTTCAAGTGGGTTTTTTTAGGGCAGGTAATTTTACTTTCCCCTCTTTCAAGTGGGTTTTTTTACGGCAGGTAATTTTACTTTACCCTCTTTCAGGTGGGTTTTTTTAGGGCAGGTAATTTTACTTTTCCCTCTTTCAAGTGGGTTTTTTAGGGCAGGTAATTTTACTTTACCCTCTTTCAAGTGGGTTTTTTTACGGCAGGTAATTTTACTTTCCCCTCTTTCAAGTGGGTTTTTTTAGGGCAGGTAATTTTACTTTCCCCTCTTTCAAGTAGGTTTTTTTTAGGGCAGGTAATTTTACCTTACCCTTTTTCAAGTGGGTTTTTTTAGGGCAGGTAATTTTACTTTCCCCTCTTTCAAGTGGGTTTTTTTAGGGCAGGTAATTTTACTTTCCCCTCTTTCAAGTGGGTTTTTTTAGGGAAGGTAATTTTACTTTACCCTCTTTTAAGTGGGTTTTTTTTTACGGCAGGTAATTATACTTTACCCTCTTTTAAGTGGGTTTTTTTAGGGCAGGTAATTTTACTTTTCCCTCTTTCAAGTGGGTTTTTTAGGGCAGGTAATTTTACTTTCCCCTCTTTCAAGTGGGTTTTTTTAGGGCAGGTAATTTTACTTTTCCCTCTTTTAAGTGGGTTTTTTTTTACGGCAGGTAATTTTACTTTACCCTCTTTTAAGTGGGTTTTTTTAGGGCAGGTAATTTTACTTGTCCCTCTTTCAAGTGGGTTTTTTTTTTACCTTATGGTCAAATAATTTTTATAATTACCTTTTCGTAATCAGGTCACCTTATTTTGTGAAATGCCCTACCAGGCCATTGTCTTGGTTTATAGACCCAAATCAACAATAAAATTCAGCTCAGTATAACCTAAACTTTTTTTCATCCAACCTTGGGTTATCCACACCATTGTTTGAGGATTTAGATTAGTAAACAAGTGAGAGAAAGTAGAACAGTGATCTCCCCAGTCTATGGCCTTAGCTGCCATATAGACAGTTGTAGAAAGTGGTGCAGTGGGTTCCAATTTAGACAGGGAGAAGTCTTTTAAAATCTACTTGTCTTGTGCTCTCAAGGTTTCAATGAACAAAATCTACTTGTCTTGTTCTCTCAAGGTTTCAATGAACAAAATCTACTTGTCTTGTTCTCTCAAGGTTTCAATGAACAAAATCTACTTGTCTTGTTCTCTCAAGGTCTCAATGAACAAAATCTACTTGTCTTGTTCTCTCAAGGTTTCAATGAACAAAATCTACTTGTCTTGTTCTCTCAAGGTCTCAATGAACAAAATCTACTTGTCTTGTTCTCTCAAGGTTTCAATGAACAAAATCTACTTGTCTTGTTCTCTCAAGGTCTCAATGAACAAAATCTACTTGTCTTGTTCTCTCAAGGTCTCAATGAACAAAATCTACTTGTCTTGTTCTCTCAAGGTTTCAATGAACAAAATCTACTTGTCTTGTTCTCTCAAGGTCTCAATGAACAAAATCTACTTGTCTTGTGCTCTCAAGGTCTCAATGAACAAAATCTACTTGTCTTGTTCTCTCAAGGTCTCAATGAACAAAATCTACTTGTCTTGTTCTCTCAAGGTCTCAATGAACAAAATCTACTTGTCTTGTTCTCTCAAGGTCTCAATGAACAAAATCTACTTGTCTTGTGCTCTCAAGGTCTCAATGAACAAAATCTACTTGTCTTGTTCTCTCAAGGTCTCAATGAACAAAATGTCTCAATGAACAAAATCTACTTGTCTTGTTCTCTCAAGGTCTCAATGAACAAAATCTACTTGTCTTGTTCTCTCAAGGTCTCAATGAACAAAATGTCTCAATGAACAAAATCTACTTGTCTTGTTCTCTCAAGGTCTCAATGAACAAAATCTACTTGTCTTGTTCTCTCAAGGTCTCAATGAACAAAATGTCTCAATGAACAAAATCTACTTGTCTTGTTCTCTCAAGGTCTCAATGAACAAAATCTACTTGTCTTGTTCTCTCAAGGTCTCAATGAACAAAATGTCTCAATGAACAAAATCTACTTGTCTTGTTCTCTCAAGGTTTCAATGAACAAAATCTACTTGTCTTGTTCTCTCAAGGTTTCAATGAACAAAATCTACTTGTCTTGTTCTCTCAAGGTCTCAATGAACAAAATCTACTTGTCTTGTTCTCTCAAGGTTTCAATGAACAAAATCTACTTGTCTTGTTCTCTCAAGGTCTCAATGAACAAAATCTACTTGTCTTGTTCTCTCAAGGTTTCAATGAACAAAATCTACTTGTCTTGTTCTCTCAAGGTCTCAATGAACAAAATCTACTTGTCTTGTTCTCTCAAGGTCTCAATGAACAAAATCTACTTGTCTTGTTCTCTCAAGGTTTCAATGAACAAAATCTACTTGTCTTGTTCTCTCAAGGTCTCAATGAACAAAATCTACTTGTCTTGTTCTCTCAAGGTCTCAATGAACAAAATCTACTTGTCTTGTTCTCTCAAGGTTTCAATGAACAAAATCTACTTGTCTTGTTCTCTCAAGGTCTCAATGAACAAAATCTACTTGTCTTGTTCTCTCAAGGTCTCAATGAACAAAATCTACTTGTCTTGTTCTCTCAAGGTTTCAATGAACAAAATCTACTTGTCTTGTTCTCTCAAGGTCTCAATGAACAAAATCTACTTGTCTTGTGCTCTCAAGGTCTCAATGAACAAAATCTACTTGTCTTGTTCTCTCAAGGTCTCAATGAACAAAATCTACTTGTCTTGTTCTCTCAAGGTCTCAATGAACAAAATCTACTTGTCTTGTTCTCTCAAGGTCTCAATGAACAAAATCTACTTGTCTTGTGCTCTCAAGGTCTCAATGAACAAAATCTACTTGTCTTGTTCTCTCAAGGTCTCAATGAACAAAATGTCTCAATGAACAAAATCTACTTGTCTTGTTCTCTCAAGGTCTCAATGAACAAAATCTACTTGTCTTGTTCTCTCAAGGTCTCAATGAACAAAATGTCTCAATGAACAAAATCTACTTGTCTTGTTCTCTCAAGGTCTCAATGAACAAAATCTACTTGTCTTGTTCTCTCAAGGTCTCAATGAACAAAATGTCTCAATGAACAAAATCTACTTGTCTTGTTCTCTCAAGGTCTCAATGAACAAAATCTACTTGTCTTGTTCTCTCAAGGTCTCAATGAACAAAATGTCTCAATGAACAAAATCTACTTGTCTTGTTCTCTCAAGGTCTCAATGAACAAAATCTACTTGTCTTGTTCTCTCAAGGTTTCAATGAACACCCAGATTGTGCGCTCCCATGGTCGGTCTATCCACAAGAGATCCACACTAGAGATCCTACTGCGGGGCAAGATCCTGGGGGAGAACACGCGCTTGTTCTCCCAGCCCCACAGGTTTGAGAAACACACGTACACCACATCCACCTTCTGTGACTACTGTTCTCAGATGCTGTGGGGCTTCTCCAAGACAGGTGAGTGGGCCTTTTTTAAAGCTGTTAATGGGGGGGCTTCTCCAAGACAGGTGAGTGGGCCTTTTTTAAAGCTGTTAATGGGGGGGCTTCTCCAAGACAGGTGAGTGGGCCTTTTTTAAGCTGTTAATGGGGGGGCTTCTCCAAGACAGGTGAGTGGGCCTTTTTTTAAGCTGTTAATCGGGGGGCTTCTCCAAGACAGGTGAGTGGGCCTTTTTTTAAGCTGTTAATGGGGGGGCTTCTCCAAGACAGGTGAGTGGGCCTTTTTTTAAGCTGTTAATGGGGGGGCTTCTCCAAGACAGGTGAGTGGGCCTTTTTTTAAGCTGTTAATGGGGGGGCTTCTCCAAGACAGGTGAGTGGGCCTTTTTTTAAGCTGTTAATGGGGGGGCTTCTCCAAGACAGGTGAGTGGGCCTTTTTTTAAGCTGTTAATGGGGGGGCTTCTCCAAGACAGGTGAGTGGGCCTTTTTTTAAGCTGTTAATGGGGGGGCTTCTCCAAGACAGGTGAGCGGGCCTTTTTTAAGCTGTTAATGGGGGGGCTTCTCCAAGACAGGTGAGCGGGCCTTTTTTGAGCTGTTAATGGGGGGGCTTCTCCAAGACAGGTGAGCGGGCCTTTTTTTAAGCTGTTAATGGGGGGGCTTCTCCAAGACAGGTGAGTGGGCCTTTTTTTAAGCTGTTAATGGGGGGGCTTCTCCAAGACAGGTGAGTGGGCCTTTTTTTAAGCTGTTAATGGGGGGGCTTCTCCAAGACAGGTGAGTGGGCTTTTTTTTAAGCTGTTAATGGGGGGGCTTCTCCAAGACAGGTGAGTGGGCCTTTTTTTAAGCTGTTAATGGGGGGGCTTCTCCAAGACAGGTGAGTGGGCTTTTTTTAAGCTGTTAATGGGGGGGCTTCTCCAAGACAGGTGAGCGGGCCTTTTTTAAGCTGTTAATGGGGGGGCTTCTCCAAGACAGGTGAGCGGGCCTTTTTTGAGCTGTTAATGGGGGGGCTTCTCCAAGACAGGTGAGCGGGCCTTTTTTTAAGCTGTTAATGGGGGGGGCTTGGCTTTAAAATAGAGCAGAATTCTAAATGTTCTTACAAAATGTCTATTGCAAATAGCAGTTTTTCATGCTCATATAAAACAAATATTTTTTAAAAAAAAACATTTCTCAATGTTAATGATTTCTGTATCATGCATAGGGCCAGATTTAGACTTGATAAGCTTTTTTCAATATGGAGTTCTCTATTTAAGAAATATATGACAGTGTCAAATATTTGCTGTTTTTAAAAAGAAGTTTGTCGACAAAAAACTGTTTATAGACTGTTTGAAAAAAGCTTAAACTTGTTTAGCCTTTTAGTTAATTCAGTAATGTTCTCTAGTTTCAAATGTTCTCCGGGTTTCAAATGTTCTCTAGTTTAGAATGTTCTCTAGGTTTAAAATGTTCTCTAGTTTCAAATGTTCTCTAGGTTTAAAATGTTCTCTAGATTCAAATGTTCTCTATTTTCAAATATTCTCTAGGTTTAAAATATTCTTTAGGTTTAAAATGTTCTCTAGTTTCAAATGTTCTCTAGTTTCAAATGTTCTCTAGGTTTAAAATATTCTCTAGTTTCAAATGTTCTCTAGGTTTCAAATGTTCTCTAGTTTCAAATGTTCTCTAGGTTTCAAATGTTCTCTAGTTTCAAATGTTCTCTAGGTTTAAAATATTCTCTAGTTTCAAATGTTCTCTAGGTTTCAAATGTTCTCTAGTTTCAAATGTTCTCTAGGTTTCAAATGTTCTCTAGTTTCAAATGTTCTCTAGGTTTCAAATATTCTCTAGTTTCAAATGTTCTCTAGGTTTCAAATGTTCTCTAGGTTTCAAATGTTCTCTAGTTTCAAATGTTCTCTAGGTTTCAAATGTTTTCTAGGTTTCAAATGTTCTCTAGTTTCAAATGTTCTCTAGGTTTAAAATGTTGTGACTGTGGCTACAACTGTCATGACAAGTGTCAGGCCCACGTGCCCAAGAACTGTCAGAAACTGAAGGCCATGGGAGAAGCTGGTCTCTCCAGTCCACACCTACAGGGCAATGGAGGGGCCTCATCAACCTCAAACAGTCAGGGTAGGTCTACAGGACTCATTGCACAAACCTCATTGCCTTTTTATTATGTTTTTAATTAAGCTCCTGCCTCTAATTTAGACAACTGTTCTAATTCACTTTGTTTAGCTCCTCCATGTAACTATGACCACTGTTCTAGTTCACTTTGTTTAGCTCCTACATCAAACTATGAACACTGTTCTAATTCACTTTGTTTAGCTCCTACATCAAACTATGACCACTGTTCTAATTCACTTTGTTTAGCTCCTACATCAAACTATGACCACTGTTCTAATTCACTTTGTTTAGCTCCTACATCAAACTATGACCACTGTTCTAAACCACTTTGTTTAGCTCCTACATCAAACTATGACCACTGTTCTAATTCACTTTGTTTAGCTCCTACATCAAACTATGACCATTGTTCTAATTCACTTTGTTTAGCTCCTACATCAAACTATGACCACTGTTCTAATACACTTTGTTTAGCTCCTCCATCAAACTATGACCACTGTTCTAATTCACTTTGTTTAGCTCCTACATCAAACTATGACCACTGTTCTAATACACTTTGTTTAGCTCCTCCATCAAACTATGACCACTGTTCTAATTCACTTTGTTTAGCTCCTACATCAAACTATGACCACGGTTCTAATACACTTTGTTTAGCTCCTCCATCAAACTATGACCATTGTTCTAATTCACTTTGTTTAGCTCCTCCATCAAACTATGACCACTGTTCTAATTCACTTTGTTTAGCTCCTACATCAAACTATGACCACTGTTCTAATTCACTTTGTTTAGCTCCTACATCAAACTATGACCACTGTTCTAATTCACTTTGTTTAGCTCCTACATCAAACTATGACCACTGTTCTAATTCACTTTGTTTAGCTCCTCCATCAAACTATGACCACTGTTCTAATTCACTTTGTTTAGCTCCTACATCAAACTATGACCACTGTTCTAATTCACTTTGTTTAGCTCCTACATCAAACTATGACCACTGTTTTAATACACTTTGTTTAGCTCCTCCATCAAACTATGACCACTGTTCTAATTCACTTTGTTTAGCTCCTACATCAAACTATGACCACTGTTCTAATTCACTTTGTTTAGCTCCTACATCAAACTATGACCACTGTTCTAATTCACTTTGTTTAGCTCCTACATCAAACTATGACCATTGTTCTAATTCACTTTGTTTAGCTCCTACATCAAACTATGACCACTGTTCTGCACCTCAAGACGAGCATAGAACATTTGAGGGGATGCTGCGCAAACAAGGAGCCTTTTTCAAACAGTGGAAACCTCGCTGGTTTGTTTTAGACTCCATGAAGCATCAGGTACGTTCTGTGATGGCTGTACATGCCAGGTGTGTCCTGTGATGGCTGTACATGCCAGGTGTGTTCTGTGATGGCTGTACATGCCAGGTGTGTCCTGTAATGGCTGTACATGCCAGGTGTGTCCTGTGATGGCTGTACATGCCAGGTGTGTCCTGTGATGGCTGTACATGCCAGGTGTGTCCTGTGATGGCTGTACATGCCAGGTGTGTCCTGTGATGGCTGTACATGCCAGGTGTGTCCTGTGATGGCTGTACATGCCAGGTGTGTCTTGTGATGGCTGTACATGCCAGGTGTGTCCTGTGATGGCTGTACATGCCAGGTGTGTCCTGTGATGGCTGTACATGCCAGGTGTGTCCTGTGATGGCTGTACATGCCAGGTGTGTCCTGTGATGGCTGTACATGCCAGGTGTGTCTTGTGATGGCTGTACATGCCAGGTGTGTCCTGTGATGGCTGTACATGCCAGGTGTGTTCTGTGATGGCTGTACATGCCAGGTGTGTCCTGTGATGGCTGTACATGCCAGGTGTGTCATGTGATGGCTGTACATGCCAGGTGTGTTCTGTGATGGCTGTTTGTACACACCAGTGACAGTCAAGTGTGACTGTAGTACTGGCCTGGTTGTCAAGTCAAATGTGACTGTAGTACTGGCCTGGTTGTCAAGTGTGACTGTAGTACTGGCCTGGTTGTCAAGTCAAATGTGACTGTAGTACTGACCTGGCTGTCAAGTCAAATGTGACTGTAGTACTGGCCTGGTTGTCAAGTCAAGTGTGACTGTAGTACTGGCCTGGTTGTCAAGTCAAGTGTGACTGTAGTACTGGCCTGGTTGTCAAGTGTGACTGTAGTACTGGCCTGGTTGTCAAGTGTGACTGTAGTACTGGCCTGGTTGTCAAGTCAAATGTGACTGTAGTACTGGCCTGGTTGTCAAGTGTGACTGTAGTACTGGCCTGGTTGTCAAGTCAAATGTGACTGTAGTACTGGCCTGGTTGTCAAGTCAAGTGTGACTGTAGTACTGGCCTGGTTGTCAAGTGTGACTGTAGTACTGGCCTGGTTGTCAAGTCAAATGTGACTGTAGTACTGGCCTGGTTGTCAAGTCAAGTGTGACTGTAGTACTGGCCTGGTTGTCAAGTGTGACTGTAGTACTGGCCTGGTAGTCAAGTCAAGTGTGACTGTAGTACTGGCCTGGTTGTCAAATGTGACTGTAGTACTGGCCTGATTGTCAAGTGTGACTGTAGTACTGGCCTGGTTGTCAAATGTGACTGTAGTACTGGCCTGGTTGTCAAATGTGACTGTAGTACTGGCCTGGTTGTCAAATGTGACTGTAGTACTGGCCTGGTTGTCAAATGTGACTGTAGCACTGGCCTGGTTGTCAAGTGTGACTGTAATACTGGCCTGGTTGTCAAGTCAAGTGTGACTGTAGTACTGGCCTGGTTGTCAAGTCAAGTGTGACTGTAGTACTGGCCTGGTTGTCAAGTCAAATGTGACTGTAGTACTGGCCTGGTTGTCAAATGTGACTGTAGTACTGGCCTGGTTGTCAAGTGTGACTGTAGTACTGGCCTGGTTTTCAAATGTGACTGTAGTACTGGCCTGGTTGTCAAATGTGACTGTAGTACTGGCCTGGTTGTCAAGTCAAGTGTGACTGTAGTACTGGCCTGGTTGTCAAGTCAAGTGTGACTGTAGTACTGGCCTGGTTGTCAAGTGTGACTGTAGTACTGGCCTGGTTGTCAAGTGTGACTGTAGTACTGGCCTGGTTGTCAAGTCAAGTGTGACTGTAGTACTGGCCTGGTTGTCAAGTCAAGTGTGACTGTAGTACTGGCCTGGTTGTCGTCAAATGTGACTGTAGTACTGGCCTGGTTGTCAAGTGTGACTGTAGTACTGGCCTGGTTGTCAAATGTGACTGTAGTACTGGCCTGGTTGTCAAGTCAAATGTGACTGTAGTACTGGCCTGGTTGTCAAATGTGACTGTAGTACTGGCCTGGTTGTCAAGTGTGACTGTAGTACTGGCCTGGTTGTCAAATGTGACTGTAGTACTGGCCTGATTGTCAAGTGTGACTGTAGTACTGGCCTGGTTGTCAAATGTGACTGTAGTACTGGCCTGGTTGTCAAGTGTGACTGTAGTACTGGCCTGGTTGTCAAGTCAAAGGTGACTGTAGTACTGGCCTGGTTGTCAAGTCAAGTGTGACTGTAGTACTGGCCTGGTTGTCAAGTCAAATGTGACTGTAGTACTGGCCTGGTTGTCAAATGTGACTGTAGTACTGGCCTGGTTGTCAAGTGTGACTGTAGTACTGGCCTGGTTGTCAAATGTGACTGTAGTACTGGCCTGGTTGTCAAATGTGACTGTAGTACTGGCCTGGTTGTCAAGTCAAGTGTGACTGTAGTACTGGCCTGGTTGTCAAGTCAAGTGTGACTGTAGTACTGGCCTGGTTGTCAAGTCAAGTGTGACTGTAGTACTGGCCTGGTTGTCAAGTGTGACTGTAGTAGTGGCCTGGTTGTCAATTCAAGTGTGACTGTAGTACTGGCCTGGTTGTCAAGTGTGACTGTAGTACTGGCCTGGTTGTCAAGTCAAATGTGACTGTAGTACTGGCCTGGTTGTCAAGTCAAGTGTGACTGTAGTACTGGCCTGGTTGTCAAGTGTGACTGTAGTACTGGCCTGGTAGTCAAGTCAAGTGTGACTGTAGTACTGGCCTGGTTGTCAAATGTGACTGTAGTACTGGCCTGGTTGTCAAGTGTGACTGTAGTACTGGCCTGGTTGTCAATTCAAGTGTGACTGTAGTACTGGCCTGGTTGTCAAGTGTGACTGTAGTACTGGCCTGGTTGTCAAGTGTGACTGTAGTACTGGCCTGGTTGTCAAATGTGACTGTAGTACTGGCCTGGTTGTCAAATGTGACTGTAGTACTGGCCTGGTTGTCAAGTGTGACTGTAGTACTGGCCTGGTTGTCAAATGTGACTGTAGTACTGGCCTGGTTGTCAAATCTGACTGTAGTACTGGCCTGGTTGTCAAGTCAAGTGTGACTGTAGTACTGGCCTGGTTGTCAAGTCAAGTGTGACTGTAGTACTGGCCTGGTTGTCAAGTCAAGTGTGACTGTAGTACTGGCCTGGTTGTCAAGTGTGACTGTAGTAGTGGCCTGGTTGTCAATTCAAGTGTGACTGTAGTACTGGCCTGGTTGTCAAATGTGACTAGTACTGGCCTGGTTGTCAAGTGTGGCTGTAGTACTGGCCTGGTTGTCAAGCCAAATGTGACTGTAGTACTGGCCTGGTTGTCAAGTGTGACTGTAGTAGTACTGGCCTGGTTGTCAAGTCAAGTGTGACTGTAGTACTGGCCTGGTTGTCAAGTCAAGTGTGACTGTAGTACTGGCCTGGTTGTCAAATGTGACTGTAGTACTGGCCTGGTTGTCAAGTGTGACTGTAGTACTGGCCTGGTTGTCAATTCAAGTGTGACTGTAGTACTGGCCTGGTTGTCAAATGTGACTAGTACTGGCCTGGTTGTCAAGTGTGGCTGTAGTACTGGCCTGGTTGTCAAGCCAAATGTGACTGTAGTACTGGCCTGTTTGTCAAGTGTGACTGTAGTACTGGCCTGGTTGTCAAGTGTGACTGTAGTACTGGCCTGGTTGTCAAATGTGACTGTAGTACTGGCCTGGTTGTCAAGTGTGACTGTAGTACTGGCCTGGTTGTCAAGTGTGACTGTAGTACTGGTTCATACAAGAAGGATGACACGTGGGGTGGGGCATTTAGACAAGCTTCCATTGGCTCAGTGGGGGGGGGGGGGGCTGATACTGGTGGGGAGGGGATGTGTCACTTTACACAGGGAAATGATAGCTTGGTCAAAAAGGTTCAGTAGTTGACTATAAATTTGATTGTTCTACAGCTGAGGTACTACGACACAGTTGAAGACACTAACAGCAAAGGTTTCATAGACCTGGCTGAAGTAGAATCTGTCACGCTGATGAAGTTTGTCACAGGAGCACCCAAAAGGGCTGAGGAGAATTCTTTTATTGAGGTCAGCTAGCTTGAGCTTTAAGGGAGGTCAGACACAGGTTTAAGGGGAGGTCAGACACAGCTAGCTTTAAGGGGAGGTCAGACACAGGTTTAAGGGGAGGTCAGACACAGCTTTAAGGGGAGGTCAGACACAGGCTTAAGGGGAGGTCAGACACAGGTTTAAGGGGAGGTCAGACACAGGTTTAAGGGGAGGTCAGACACAGCTAGCTTTAAGGGGAGGTCAGACACAGGTTTAAGGGGAGGTCAGACACAGCTAGCTTTAAGGGGAGGTCAGACACAGGTTTAAGGGGAGGTCAGACACAGGTTTAAGGGGAGGTCAGACACAGGTTTAAGGGGAGGTCAGACACAGGTTTAAGGGGAGGTCAGACACAGGTTTAAGGGGAGGTCAGACACAGGTTTAAGGGGAGGTCAGACACAGCTAGCTTTAAGGGGAGGTCAGACACAGCTAGCTTTAAGGGGAGGTCAGACACAGGTTTAAGGGGAGGTCAGACACAGCTAGCTATAAGGGGAGGTCAGACACAGGCTTAAGGGGAGGTCAGACACAGCTAGCTTTAAGGGGAGGTCAGACACAGGTTTAAGGGGAGGTCAGACACAGGTTTAAGGGGAGGTCAGACACAGGTTTAAGGGGAGGTCAGACACAGGTTTAAGGGGAGGTCAGACACAGGTTTAAGGGGAGGTCAGACACAGCTAGCTTTAAGGGGAGGTCAGACACAGCTAGCTTTAAGGGGAGGTCAGACACAGGTTTAAGGGGAGGTCAGACACAGCTAGCTATAAGGGGAGGTCAGACACAGGCTTAAGGGGAGGTCAGACACAGCTAGCTTTAAGGGGAGGTCAGACACAGGTTTAAGGGGAGGTCAGACATAGCTTAATGGGAGGTCAGACACAGGTTTAAGGGGAGGTCAGACACAGCTTTAAGGGGAGGTCAGACACAGGTTTAAGGGGAGGTCAGACACAGGTTTAAGGGGAGGTCAGACACAGGTTTAAGGGGAGGTCAGACACAGCTTTAAGGGGAGGTCAGACACAGGTTTAAGGGGAGGTCAGACACAGGTTTAAGGGGAGGTCAGACACAGCTTTAAGGGGAGGTCAGACACAGCTTTAAGGGGAGGTCAGACACAGCTTTAAGGGGAGGTCAGACACAGCTTTAAGGGAAGGTCAGACACAGGTTTAAGGGGAGGTCAGACAGCTAGCTTTAAGGGGAGGTCAGACACAGGTTTAAGGGGAGGTCAGACAAAGGTTTAAGGGGAGGTCAGACACAGGTTTAAGGGGGGGTCAGACACAGGTAGCTTTAAGGGGAGGTCAGACACAGGTTTAAGGGGAGGTCAGACACAGCTAGCTTTAAGGGGAGGTCAGACACAGCTAGCTTTAAGGGGATGTCAGACACAGATTTAAGGGGAGGTCAGACACAGGTTTAAGGGGAGGTCAGACACAGGTTTAAGGGGAGGTCAGACACAGCTAGCTTTAAGGGGATGTCAGACACAGATTTAAGGGGAGGTCAGACATAGATAGATTTAAGGGGAAGTTCTGAGGAGGAAATATGTTTTCCATTTTTAATATTTAATCTTCTGTTCATTGTGGTTTTTACTGATATGTTATATATGGAGTTTGTATATGGGAAAAATATGGTTTTTAAAATCTTTCCTTATATTATGCATATATAATGTTTACTAAAAGCATTCCGCTTTACAGAAATCAGCTATAGTGCTGCTTTAGCATGCTTTGTTCCAAGTATTAGTAACATTTAAATAATTTATGGAAAACCTATTTTAGGATTCAAATCACACCATATTTTAAAATAGTTTACAATGGAAATTGGTAACATTTTTGTCAACATTGTTTTACAATTGCTCAACTAAATATCAAATGAAAATTTGAGGTGTCGTATTTGGGACAATGCAGAATCAAAGCTATTTTGATCATTTCCAAAAGGTTTGTTGACGAAAGTTAGTATGTGACCCCTTGTGTATACACTTGACCACCTTTACATTTGACCTTCTGTACACTTGACCATGACCTTCTGTACTCTTGACCACCTTTACAATTTACTCCTTAGATCCGCACAGTGAGGCGAGTCTACAACTTTATGGCAGACAACTCCAAATCAGCTATAGACTGGGTGGACAAACTGCAAGGCTGTATACAGAGGGAATGAGACACAAGGCTGTATACAGAGGGAATGAGACACAAGGCTGTATACAGAGGGAATGAGACACAAGGCTTTATACAGAGGGAATGAGACACAAGGCTGTATACAGAGGGAATGAGACACAAGGCTGTATACAGAGGGAATGAGACACAAGGCTGTATACAGAGGGAATGAGACACAAGGCTGTATACAGAGGGAATGAGACACAGGGCTGTATACAGAGGGAAAGAGACTGCAGCTATTAATATCAACTGACCACATGTTGCTTGACTCTAAAGCTGACCAATCCAATGATGGAATGCTACAGACGAGTGTTGTCAGGTTTGACCACTGTCACCATGTCAGTGTGGCTACTGATGGAGCAGTCAAATGCCATGTGGTCAGCAATGAAACAATGAGTGGACATTTGCTAAATGTGTCCAGTTTTTGCCCAGCTAGAGTGGACCCTCTCACCTATGCAGAAGGTATCAATATTTGATACTGTTTTAATGACACATCAAGTACACCCCATGACCAGTGACCACTAGATATATATAGGCTAATGCTTTGTATATAAAGCTCAGTGTACATGTTAGAAATACTCAATTCTATTTTTTGTATGTGCTGATCTAGCAACTGAAATAATTCTTTTGGCCATCTCATGGTGGGGCCTGTAATTATGTATATCTTATCTATGTTTTGGTTGGCTGGCCATAGATGCGTGCATGGCATCAATGAGTCAGACTTGAAGACGCCCATGGTATGAATGTTAAAAGTTGAAGTAGCGGCCAGAAAGCGGTCCTAGAATGAATGCTAAAAATTTGAGCTTGTAGCAATGGCCAGAAAGCGTCCCTAGAATGAATGCTAAAAATGTGTTAGATGTGGCCAGTGTACATGACCTAGACTGAATGTTTCTGGCTGTTAGAACCAATGTGTCAACACTGTGTACATAGTGAAGTTTTTAATTTAATTCTTGTGGTTAGTCACTGTTTTTTTACTTGACCCAAACACGTCATTGTGATAGATGTTTAGCTCTTACATGCCTGCGTTGTTCTGCACACATTTTATTTGCTTGCTCATTTGCATAATGATATGTTGCTTATTATACATCTTCATAATATATTCTAATTTTAATCATGTTTTTTTAATAGGTAACTAAGTCAAGCCATGGTTTAATGTTAGAGAACTAAATAGGTTGATGTAAGAGTTGCTCCCCCTGACAAATCCCGTGTCCCAGATTTTTGGCTGTGACAACTTTTTTATCAATGTGCTTATCCTGTTTGTTCATTTGCTCAGCTCACTACTGGACAATCATTGTTTGTTTACACACACACACTCAGCAATGTTTTTCTCTCCCTTCCTCCCCCATCATTTGTTCCTGTGGTTTTTCTTTAATGGCAGCATCTGAGTATTCAATGCATCCTCTAATAATTTTGTTCTGTCTAGTAATCACTAGTTGGTTCTTGCCTAGAATTCTGGTGTGCAGATAGATATCCCAGGTCTATAAGTCAGATAGATATCCCAGGTCTGTAAGTCAGATAGATATCCCAGGTCTATAAGTCAGATAGATATCCCAGGTCTGTAAGTCAGATAGATATCCCAGGTCTGTAAGTCAGATATCCCAGGTCTGAAAGTCAGATATCCCAGGTCTGTAAGTCAGATAGATATATCCCAGGTCTGTAAGTCAGATATCCCAGGTCTGTAAGTCAGATAGATATCCCAGGTCTGTAAGTCAGATAGATATCCCAGGTCTGTAAGTCAGATAGATATCCCAGGTCTGAAAGTCAGATATCCCAGGTCTGTAAGTCAGATATCCCAGGTCTGTAAGTCAGATAGATATCCCAGGTCTGTAAGTCAGATAGATATCCCAGGTCTGTAAGTCAGATATCCCAGGTCTGTAAGTCAGATAGATATCCCAGGTCTGTAAGTCAGATAGATATCCCAGGTCTGTAAGTCAGATATCCCAGGTCTGTAAGTCAGATATCCCAGGACTGTAAGTCAGATATCCCAGGTCTGTAAGTCAGATAGATATCCCAGGTCTGTAAGTCTGATAGATATCCCAGGTCTGTAAGTCAGATAAATATCCCAGGACTGTAAGTCAGATAGATATCCCAGGTCTGTAAGTCAGATAGATATCCCAGGACTGTAAGTCAGATATCCCAGGTCTGTAAGTCAGATAGATATCCCAGGTCTGTAAGTCAGATAGATATCCCAGGTCTGTAAGTCAGATAAATATCCCAGGACTGTAAGTGATCCACAACATCTTTGTCATTGGATTGAAATAAATAATTTAAAAATTTGAAGAGGCTAATTCGAACACACCATCTGCCCTCTTCTGAGTTAGTTCTTGGTTTTATAGTATAGTGTGTCAGTCAGTTTCTCTAGTGTGTCAGTCAGTTTCTCTATTATTTGTAGTGTGTCAATCAGCCCTAAGTTTTAGTGTTAGGCAACTCCTACTGATTGTCTAATAGGGAGATATTCTTGTCAATGTTTTTAGTGTTCATGTTATATTATCCAACTTTTTTTAAATTGGCTTTTTGTTGTAGAAAAAGCTGGCAAATGTTGGTTTGCCAGCTGGTACCATGGAGAGAATGTGTTCTAGAGTTGTAGGTGAGACTGTGTTTGAGAGACAACTTGCTGGATTAAACTCATGTTTTTTTAAACCTGACTCTCTTCCTCTCACTGTCTGATAAACATCAAAGGAAAAAAAAACAACTTGAAAATGCCCTCAAAAGTCAAAAGCAATAGACCTAATTGGCAAAGTTTGCTAACAAATAACTATAATATGTGCGCAGAAAATCGATCACAAAGTTCCCTTAAAGCCATTCAATGTTTGTCGTACGAAAGTTAAAACTATTTTCAAGTTCTCTGGACTTGCAACTTCTAATTTATAAGATTGATTCTAAACAATCGTACGTTTCTGAATTATTTTTCAGCTAAACTTTTATTTGTTCATTTTTCTACGGTCGCTTTTATTGCAAAATCTAAAAAAAAAAAAAAAACCTTTTTAATCCATGTCATCAATATGATGGAAGGATTCTCGTCAACTCGGTGGTGTCTAATAAATATTAACTAGGCTGATTCTAGCCGGGAAAAAGATTCGCATAGCTTTAAAGTCTACAGTTACTGGTTTTTACAAGCTGTTATTTGGTTTGTGGTCAATCTTGAATCTCAATTTTTATCCGCTTAAATTGCAGCGATTTCATTCAACGTTTCTGGATACGTTTCACTTCGATGACAATACAACAGTCTATTTATTTTGTAATCTAATAAGATGAGATAACAAAATTAAATCACTCAATATCTATCTATATATATAATTCTCTTCTGGGAGCCGCTAGAAAACAAGCTGTAAGCGCGCTCCCTACCTCCCCACCCCTACATGGTCTTAGTGAGCTGTGTTCACTCTAAATGTTTACAAGCAGAGCCAACGATTTTAAACGTAGGGGGGGGGGTATGGTCCTTAACGAGCTACTTATAGTGTTTTATAGAAATATTTTCAGTGGCAGCGTTGGTACTGTCGAATTCACAAATTATGAATTACTGAAAAGTAGAAAAAAATAACTAAATAGCGGCGTATGTTATGCCGCGGGCCGGCTCGTATATATAATTCTCTTCTGGGAGCCGTTAGAAAACAAGCTGCAAGCGCCTCCTTGCAGTCCCCTCTCTTTCTCTCTATCACTGCCACCCCCACCCCACCCCCACATTATCTGGTGAGCGGTGTTCACTCTAAATGTTTACAAAGCTACATGTTTACAAATCGTAGAGTCGGTTTCTATTAGGGGCAGATAATTTAGTTCGATTTTAAACTTACAGGAGGTAACTAAGAAATAACTAAGAGGAGGCTGCTTTCACGGGGGGGGGGGGGGGGGGGGTTAGTGTTTTAAAGCAAATATTTTCAGTGGCAGCATTGGTACTGTCGAATTCACAAATTATGGATTACTGAAAAGTAGAAAATAAAACAACTAAATAGCGGCGTATGATACGCAGCGGGTCGGCTCGTATTACATTATTGAGTAACAGGGGAGAAATCTTTCTATACGTGATCGCCCTAACAGTCTGGCGAGTTGTGGTTCACGAGAATGTTTACAATCGGAGAGCCGGTCGATCCAGTAAAGGCTGTTAGGGGCAGGTAATAATATTTTAAATGATTTGAAACTAAGGGGAGATAATAATGCAGTCACGGACGGCTGCTTTTCACAGGGCAGATAATCGTTTTATTTTATTATTATTTTTAGATATCGCGAGCTATTGATGGCAATTTAAAGCAAATATTTTTAGTCGTGTCGACTTCATACATTAGGATTCACTAAAAACTTACTAAAAAGCAAATAAAACTAATTTGCTTTCTTTAATAAAAGCTTTGATTGCTGATGAGTAGGGTTGCCAGATACCTTTTCCGAAAATACTGGACACCTTTCCATCCTTCCCTTCTCAGGTATGCCGCAAAGCAGAAGAAGGGGGGGGGGGGGGTAACAGAGTATTATTCATATACTTGTCCAGTATTTATATTTATTTTATCCTGGACAGTCTGATCAAATACTGGACTGTCCAGTTCAAAACTGGACACCTGGCAACCCTACTGATGAGATTTTTAACACAGTTTAGCAACCAAAGCTTTTCTGAGAGAAAGCAAATGTACCCTTAGCCTATTTGTCGGAAGTCTAATTGTCAAAAGCCTAAATGTCCAGAGCCCATTTGACGGGAGCCACTTTGTCTGGGGCCTTTTGACGGCGATATTTTGACTGGATCGTTTTGTCGGGGATCGATTTGACGGATTTGCATAAAAGACATACAAACACATATTGCTATATATATAGAGAGACGAAAGCCCGGGACAAATCGCACCCTACAGGGGTGTCGGCGGACGCGCCTGATTATGTTTAGTGAACGACTATTCTGCCCCATTGTATCCATAGTCTATCGCACTGTTTAAAACGAACCCAGGCGCCATAGCGCTTACGGGATAGCTCAGGGCGCCCGAGGCGTTCGGGTCATGCAACAGCCGGGGTGCCGGCGGCTGCGCCTGTTGAAGTTTTTACGCGGACTATAGTAGTACCCCTTAGCCGCTATGCAGGACGCCTGATTAAGGGCAATTAATGGTTTTTGCAGAAACCTTCCCTAGAGAGTTTTAATTAACTCCACAAAGTTTCATGGCGATTGGATGAACGGTGTTAAACGGCAATCGACTTTTATTTTTATATACCGTATTTTGAGAAGAATAAAATCGCTCCCTGCTGGGGCGCCACCCCTGCGAATTTGAAAAACAAATTTCGCAGTTCCCCGGGAGTATTCTCGACAGTTTCCCTAAGTTTCATGGCGATCGGATGAAAGGTGTAGTAATGCATAAAAGACAGATACACACACATTTTACATTGCTTTATATATAGATAGATATATAGGTTATTTCACTGTGCCTTAAAAAGAGCTTTTAAACTAAAATGACTGGATTCTAGAATCTAGTACTATTTCTATTGTTTTTTCTTCTTGAACAGCTGTATACAACAAAAGGTATTTTGTATTTAGGGTGACACTGTTTGGCACCAATGTTGAACACGACATGAGGAAAATGGCCGCTTGTTTTGAATTGAGAAATTGACTTTTCTTTCGCGTAATGTTGAAGTTCCCATTCAGCTTGTTAGCGAGATCATAACTTTCGGGGTAATTTTAAAGAGGCTTTCTATCCAGGTTAAAATCTGACGAGATTGGCCGCGATTATGTGCCCCGAAAAGTTGCTGGTCAGTTTCCCAAGTCTGATGAGTTTCGTGGCTCTATCTATGTCGGCTTCACACTTTGAGTAGTGAGTGGCATCTAGAAGAATGAGGCTTCAGCTTTTCGCTGGACTTGTTGAGGCAGGTTAAATAAAACGACTTGCTCGAACTAACGGCGTGGGCTCGCTAGCAACTCTGTGTGGATTTATCTGACATCCGTTGCTTGAGTCAGTGGGGAAGCTGAGCACAGTTTGTTGAGTCAGTGGGGAAGCTGAACAGACTCGATGGATTGAAATGCCGCTACAACCCGACCAGCCGGCCAACAGCGAACGCTGGCGACCTTTGAGCGACTGGCAGAGGGAGAACATCTTCGCCAACAGGAGGAGAACAGGCGAGTTTCAGCTCGAGTCTGAGGGTCAAGGCTACACCGGGGTCAGAAACAATTCCCGCGAGTCAGCGAGGCTGGTCGAAAGCAAACCTCCAGTTCAACACATTGAGCAGCTTTACCGTAACACGGCACCTGGTTGTCAGGGGCAACCAGGACAAGAATTGTTGAGTCAGGAGGAGGTCACGCTCAACAACTCACACAACGAGAAACTACGCGACAGTGAGTTACCTGGCAAACAGGATGCGCAGAAAACTAGTGAACACTCACAAGGGCTCCGACAACGTTGGCCAAACCAGAGCCAGTTTTTGGCCTCGATGGCCGAGCAGGTGAGTAGTTTGGAAGAGAAATTGTACCGGCCGCTCAGTGCCAGCCTGGCACGAGGCAGGTGGGCGGGCGAGGACATGTCCAGTCCGACCAAACAGAGACACAACTCGAACATCGGACCGCGAATTATTTTCAAAGACAACCCTTCTGAAACTGGCTTCAAGGATGCGTTCGGCAGGCAAGTGGAAGCAGATCTATACAGTCAGTGTCTGCACCACATACAGGTCATCAACGCCTGCACGGAGCTGCAACAAGGCATCAAGGACGAGATGAAGAAACAAGCCAAGGTAAGCTTGAGACACATCCGCAGGTGTGAGACACATCCGCAGGTGTGAGACACATCCGCAGGTGTGAGACACATCCGCAGGTGTGAGACACATCCGCAGGTGTGAGACACATCCGCATGTGTGATACATATCCGCAGGTGTGAAACACACACATCCGCAGGTGTGAAACACACACATCCGCAGGTGTGAGACACATCCGCAGGTGTGAGACACATCCGCAGGTGTGAGACACATCCGCAGGTGTGAGACACATCCGCAGGTGTGAGACACATCCGCAGGTGTGAGACACATCCGCAGGTGTGAGACACATCCGCATGTGTGATACATATCCGCAGGTGTGAAACACACACATCCGCAGGTGTGAGACACATCCGCAGGTGTGAGAGATATCCGCAGGTGTGAGACACACATCCGCAGGTGTGAGACACATCCGCAGGTGTGAGACATATCCGCAGGTGTGAGACACACATCCGCAGGTGTGAGACACACATCCGCAGGTGTGAAACACACACATCCGCAGGTGTGAGACACATCCGCAGGTGTGAGACATATCCGCAGGTGTGAGACACACATCCGCAGGTGTGAGACACACATCCGCAGGTGTGAGACACATCCGCAGGTATGAGACATATCCGCAGGTGTCAGACACATCCGCAGGTGTGAGACACATCCGCAGGTGTGAGACATCCGCAGGTGTGAGACACATCCGCAGGTGTGAGACACATCCGCAGGTGTGAGACACATCCGCAGTCAGTTGCTAGTTTTGAAACACATGAAGTTTAGCTGGATAACGTTGATGTGATAGATGCCATTAATGTTACAGTTGGACCACATGATCAACAGGAAAATGTTGGCCAAGGCCGAGCGACTCCAGAACCTGATCTCATCCGTCGAGTCGAGCAACGTGCCCGGCTGGGTGCCCCAGGCTTTCCAGGAGCTGCAGGAGCACGTCAGTCAGCAGGCGCAGGCACATTACGTCTACGTCACTGTGCTGACAACCCAGTGCACGGCCATACAGGTAATATGACAACCCAGTGCACGGCCATACAGGTAATATGACAACCCAGTGCACGGCCATACAGGTCATATGACAACCCAGTGCACGGCCATACAGGTCATATGACAACCCAGTGCACGGCCTTACAGGTAATATGACAACCCAGTGCACGGCTATACAGGTCATATGACAACCCAGTGCACGGCCATACAGGTCATATGACAACCCAGTGCACGGCCTTACAGGTAATATGACAACCCAGTGCACGGCCATACAGGTCATATGACAACCCAGTGCACGGCCATACAGGTCATATGACAACCCAGTGCACGGCCATACAGGTCATATGACAACCCAGTGCACGGCCTTACAGGTAATATGACAACCCAGTGCACGGCCTTACAGGTAATATGACAACCCAGTGCACGGCCATACAGGTCATATGACAACCCAGTGCACGGCCTTACAGGTAATATGACAACCCAGTGCACGGCCTTACAGGTAATATGACAACCCAGTGCACGGCTATACAGGTCATATGACAACCCAGTGCACGGCCTTACAGGTAATATGACAACCCAGTGCACGGCTATACAGGTCATATGACAACCCAGTGCACGGCCTTACAGGTAATATGACAACCCAGTGCACGGCTATACAGGTAATACAGGAAGATGTGTTAAGTATTTCACTAACCTAATTTCAAAAAAATTTCCTGTGGTGTTTTGTCCTTGGGATTTTGTTCGATCAGCGTAAACAAAAAACAAGTTAATAAAAAGTCTAGTGACAATTTAAGCGCAATTTCCTTAATTAATTTTTTGTGACCAAACGAAAGGATATTTTTGAAAACTTTCTTCTGCAATATTGTTCTAAATTATGACAGGAATCGATTGGTAAATGTTTCAAGTCGCTAAGTGGTCTGGTTGCCGAGATATGGGCCAAAAACTGCATTTTTTTCGAGTTTTTTGGCTTTTCCGGGAAATCCAGAAAGGAATTCCGGGAATTTTTTGGCCCACAATCATCCTCGGAACTTGCTTAACATATTTGCTTTTGGAACTAGTCCTCGATATTGCTTCGTTGAGGAGGAGATACGACTTAAAGCTGCGGACACACATCCATCCATCCAGAAATAACGCGTTAATAATCGCCATTGTCCGTATGGAAATTGCGCTAAAAAGTTAAAGCATGAAATGATTCGTAAAGGCATGAATAGTATAAGTTAAGCTTACACGTTGGCCCACATCGAGCCTCTCGAACATAACTTGCCTTCTTTTATTACCCCAGCATTCTTTGGACGGCCACCAGGAGCTGATGAAGTCGGTTCTTGGTCTGACCAGTGAAGCTAAAACCGCCCCGTCGGAGGAGAGAGAGGCCATCGACTTTGACGCGGATCGCATGAGTTTTCTACAGGCCAGCAACGCCTTTGAGGAAATACGGAAGCCGAGGATTCGCTTGTCCAACAAGCTGGAATACATGCAGTCACAGTTTGTGTTTCTTTTAGACTTTTTCTCCGGGGGAGGGGGGGGTGACCAAGATTAAAACATTACATTCAGTCAGAGTAAGTCTTTAGATCAACCAGAGGCGTAGCGATGGAGGGGGGTACATATGTCCCCGGGCGCCGAACCTAGGGGCGCCAAAATAAGCTCAATTCAGCTGTTATTTTGAATTATAAATATAAAAAATATATGGGGGGGGGGGTGCGCCAAATTGAAAGTTTGTCCCCGGGCGCCGGGAGGGGTCGCTGCGCCTCTGAGATCAGCACTACATTGGATGCATCACAGAAAGTCGTTAAAGAAAGCTTTTAAAACTGGTTGTTTGTGGTCTTTAGGATGGAGGCGACATTGAAACAACTGGAGGAGGTGGAGAATAAGATAGAAAACCTGAAGAAAACGGACGAGGAGGTTACAACACTCTTTAAACTTGAGGTAAGTACTTGTACACTTTAAACTAGAGGTAAGTACTTGTGCACTTTAAACTAGAGGTAACTACTTGTACTCTTTAAACTAGAGTTAAGTACTTGTACTCTTTAAACTAGAGGTAAGTACTTGTACTTTATAAACTAGAGGTAACTACTTGTACTCTTTAAACCGGAGGAAAGTACTTGTACTTTATAAACTAGAGGTAAGTACTTGTACTCTTTAAACTAGAGGTAAGTACTTGTACTCTTTAAACTAGAGGTAAGTACTTGTACTCTTTAAACTAGAGGTAAGTACAAACTTACACATGAAAGGTGCTTAAGTGTGGCTGCTATTAAAACTGCTGACACCAATTCAGTGGCGGAGCGAGGTCGGGTGTCGACCGGTGCGGCACTTAATGGTGTCACCCCCCAGAGGCGTAGAGACCTTTCACGGCGCCCGGGGACAAACTTTCAATTTTCGATTTCCACCCACCTCAAACTTTCGATTTGCACCCCCTCCCCTCAAACTTTCGATTTGCAACCCCCCCCCCCCTCAAACTTTTGATTTGCACCCCCCTCTCCTTCGTTGTGGGGATTTGCTCTTAAAAGACTATTTAACACTCGAATTAATCACTTAATTGAGTGGAATTTTTCTCTATATATTTTGCTATTTTTTGCCTTGATGTCACCCCCCCCCCTATATGGTGTCACCCGGTGCTGTCCACACCCCCGCCCCCCCCCCCTCCTCGCTATGCCTCTGCACCTTTTCCATATTGTGTGTCCAGGACAGCCAGATCCGAGCCGAATTCCTCAAGTCCCACTACGAAAAACTGCAGTCAGAAGTCAAGTTCGTGCAGCTCGAGTTGTCGGACTTGGACTTCTCTCACAGAGACAAGCTGTTGGAGATCCTCAACATATTTCATCAGCACCGTGTCAGGTAAACATTAGCACCGTGTCAGGTAAACATTAGCACCGTGTCAGGTAAACATTAGCACCGTGTCAGGTAAACATTAGCACCGTGTCAGGTAAACATTAGCACCGTGTCAGGTAAACATTAGCACCGTGTCAGGTAAACATTAGCACCGTGTCAGGTAAACATTAGCACCGTGTCAGGTAAACATTAGCACCGTGTCAGGTAAACATTAGCACCGTGTCAGGTAAACATTAGCACCGTGTCAGGTAAACATTAGCACCGTGTCAGGTAAACATTAGCACCGTGTCAGGTAAACATTAGCACCGTGTCAGGTAAACATTAGCACCGTGTCAGGTAAACATTAGCACCGTGTCAGGTAAACATTAGCACCGTGTCAGGTAAACATTAGCACCGTGTCAGGTAAACATTAGCACCGTGTCAGGTAAACATTAGCACCGTGTCAGGTAAACATTAGCACCGTGTCAGGTAAACATTAGCACCGTGTCAGGTACACATCAGCACCGTGTCAGGTCAAACATCAGCACCGTGTCAGGTAAACATTAGCACCGTGTCAGGTAAACATTAGCACCGTGTCAGGTAAACATCAGCACCGTGTCAGGTAAACATCAGCACCGTGTCAGGTAAACATTAGCACCGTGTCAGGTAAACATTAGCACCGTGTCAGGTAAACATTAGCACCGTGTCAGGTAAACATTAGCACCGTGTCAGGTAAACATTAGCACCGTGTCAGGTAAACATTAGCACCGTGTCAGGTAAACATCAGCACCGTGTCAGGTAAACATTAGCACCGTGTCAGGTAAACATCAGCACCGTGTCAGGTAAACATCAGCACCGTGTCAGGTAAACATCAGCACCGTGTCAGGTAAACATCAGCACCGTGTCAGGTAAACATTAGCACCGTGTCAGGTAAACATTAGCACCGTGTCAGGTAAACATTAGCACCGTGTCAGGTAAACATTAGCACCGTGTCAGGTAAACATTAGCACCGTGTCAGGTAAACATTAGCACCGTGTCAGGTCAACATCAGCACCGTGTCAGGTAAACATTAGCACCGTGTCAGGTAAACATTAGCACCGTGTCAGGTAGACATTAGTGTACGTTAATCACTCTTTGTGAGAGTGAAGTAGACACCCTTCGGCGAATGCCCCGCAGGGGCGCCGGGTACGGCCCCTGGTTCGGCTCAATCATTGAATGTCATGTGCCACCGTGTCCATCTCATATTGTGCTGTTTAAAACAAATTTAGACGCCATAGTGCTCGCGGGGGATCCCTTGACGTCCTATTGCACCCTACTGGGGCGTTGCCCATTTGAATTTTTTTTCCAAGGAATATTTTAACAGATTCCCAAAGGCTGAGTAATGCAAAAAAAAAGATAATCACACAGACAAATAGACATACTTTCGCTTTTAATATCCCCTTTCCCCCCCCCCCCCCCCACGAAAATTTTAAGGGCACTCCAGGAGAAAAAAGTCTGAAAGAAACACTAGTTAAATTTATAAATATAGGATTAATTCCAATCCCAATAGGTTATAAGTGGTATAGATGTAAGCCCTGACCGGGATGGGGGTCGGGGAATGTAAAACCAAAATAATCTCAATCTACCCCTAGGACTCTAAACGTGGGCGTTTGAGCAACAATGACTAAACACACGGCGGTTAATCTAGATTTTTTAAACAAATATGATCAACTAAACATTAATTGAATCCTTGCTACTAACACTAATTATAAAGTACTAAAATCGATTCTTATCACTAATCTGATCCTAGTCTTACCAAAGGTTAAATATAGTTACAAGTAGAAATCAAAGCACACAAATTTGCTAAGCAGTTAAAATAATGCGATACAAAATTACAGTAGAGCCAACAAAGAATCTACCCGAAGCCATTCGCCTACACAATCAGCACACACTAAACGATTGCATGACTAAACAACCGCCAACCTCTAAGGGCCTCGATGAACTGAGACCAGAGTTTCTTCCAGGCATCTCTTCCCCGAAAAAATTCTACCGCCCCCCCCCCCCTCCGAGCGAAAGGAAATTTATATAATTTATATAGAAAATATATACCTTTAACAGTGTCCGCCCCCCCCCCCCGAAGAAAGTCTACCGCCCCCCACTCCCTAAAAATTCAAGTGCCCGCCCCCCTCCCGGAGAAAAAAAGTCTGCAAGAAGGAGACACTTATTAGAAAATGTTAACAATAAATATTGAGGTTGACTAAGTCTAAACACACACTAATTTTAAAGTAATTAAGTCCACAAATCGAGGCTCAAAAATAAATCAGACATGCCTACCGTCCCCCCAAAAGGGGAATTGTTCCGCTTTTTAAAAAAAATCGTGTCCTATTCCGCCATCCCGTTTTTGTCAAAGTTTGTCCCGCTTTTTGAAAAAAAAATTAATAATAAAAACAAATTAATAATAATTAAATTATTAATTTATTAAATAATTAATTAATTTCGTTCGGGGGGGGGGGGGGCAATCAAATTAAAATAATAAAATAAAAATCATTAAAAAAGTTTTTAAAAACCCACGTTTTCTGATTGAACTAAAAAGTAGAAAATAATTGCTATACATCACAATAATGCAAGCGATCACTCTACTATAAGCGATGAAAAACGTGGGGCGCCGAAGTAAAAGTTATATTACTATTGATTAGATAATACTATTGACTTTTATTAGGGAGCTTGTAGAGAGTCAACAGTATTAGAAACTGTAAGAAAATCACGGCGCCCCACGTTTTTGATCGCTTATAGTAGAGTGAGCGCTTGCATTATTGTGATGTATAGCAATTATTTTCTACTTTTTAGTTCAATCAGAAAACGTGGGTTTTTTTTAAACTTTTTTAATGATTATTATTTTCTACTTTTTAGTCTTTGTCTGTTTGTTTGCATTAAAATCTTGCTATCGATTTTATCTTTTCACTTTTTTTTTTGGGTAAACGAAGACAACTCGTAAAAAGACAACTCGTAAAAAACACGTTGTGTGAATACGTTACTGACTAGAACACATAGATTTGAACCCGTGTCGAGTGGGATAGCAATCGTGTGCCCAACCACTCGACCATATCGTCTCCCCCATTCTGGCCACCATTTGTTACGGTTGTTTGTACACAAACACCGCGTGAACACTACTCAGTAAGCAAAGAGGGAGAGTACCGAACCTTGTTTTCATCAAATTACACTTACTGGGTTATGTCCCCTTTTCCCCACGTTTTTACTACAATTATATAGCGGTCTAAAATGCTCAATAAAATGTTTCCATGGATCAATTTAGTAATAATAACAATTGAATATTCTATGGTCATCGGAAACAAAGCTTCCCTGAAAATTTCAGCGCGCTAGCTAACTGGGAAGTGCCCGAAATATCGATCGCAAGATTTGATTGGAGAACCAAACAGACGCGAAAGCAAGTTAAAGAAACGTGGGAAAATAACACTGAACGGAATCAAAATAAAATAATTTAAAAAATCCCTGAACGGAATCAAAATAAAATAATAAAAAATAGACTGCGAATTCGACTTGCAGAGAGCTACATCTTCGGTCGAAAACATGAAAGAATGAGAAAGCCTCAGCCGATCACTTTCAAACACAATAGTATTTACCACCAACATACAGAAAAGGTTTGCCCCATAAAAAATAAATTAATAAATAAATAATCCTTACATCCGCTCACATAGAAAGTAGAGATAGTGGCATTAAATATTTTTTTCAGGTACGACGCGGCTCTCAGGAAATGTTTTCAGCTGCTGAGCGCCGTTTCACTGCGAGACAACATTTTCACCAAAGAGCTGCTGAAGCTGGGCGCAGATCAGTTCACCCAGCTTGCCCAGGGCGACAGTCAGCAGACCGTGGCAGACGACGAGGAGAAGAGCCTCAACACGACCCAGGAACTAGCAGACACGGGATTTCACAGGAAGTACAGCCCTATTGCTGTCCGCAAGACGACCCAAATCACGAGCCAAGTTCCGCTGAGAAGCACGAACCCTTTTGTCTCTGACCCGTATGAGGGGGTCAGACTGCAGGAGATGAGCACGAGTTCTGACAGCTACACAAGAACTGAACAATCTTCCGTCGGGGCCAGCCAGTTGAGCAAGTACCGACCTGCGGCCACCGGTGGCTACAGCGACATCAACTTCAGCAGGGCTCGGGCCACGCCATCTGAAACTAACATGGTGGACAGCGACCAAGGGCAGCAACATGTTCAGGGTCACCTCAACACTTCGGCCGATGGTCAAGCTGACATCCGTCAGATGAATGATGTCACTGCTACACCAACAAGTGACGTAGCTCAAATAACAAATGTGGAGAACAGAAACATTAACTCTGCATCCAACGTGCCGCAGGAGGGGGCTGACAGGGCGGACAGGAAACTCTGGGCCGCTAGTTCCCATGTACCAGCCGCCTCTCAAACCGTGCAGGAAAGTGAAGCTGGGTTGATATGGAAATACGGCCACGACAGCACGTCCAGCAGTGACGTCAGGAACAGCTACTGGAACCAAACCGCCGACGTCTATGACTCGCGGCTTCAGCTAACGAACGAGAGCCGCGTTACAGAGCTGATCCAGAAATACGCCAAGTCCAAGGTGCCCCGCCGGTTTTGTTTCGGAACTAATTACAACAACTGTGTCACGACCTCCGACCCCACCGTGGACACTGGCCTGGAGCACGAGGACAGACTGGAGTTTGTCGTCACTAGTGACCACACGAGCCGGACGGTCAAGATCTGTGCCGTCAAGCCCATCTACTCCGACCAGGAGGTGTCTACAGAGGACGACATGAAGGAGGGGGAGATGGCGCCACCTGACCCCCACAGGGAAAGTGCTCTGCTGCAGAGAAGATACGCCAGCCTTAGAGAGTTCGAAATTACAGCTGGCTTATATACGGTGCCCAAGGATAGCACATCGAATAGGACAAGTGTCCGCAACACCTACTGTAGCCACAACACAAACAAGTCGGACAAACAAAACAAGACTGACTATTTTCACCAAAGAAACAGCAAAAATGACGAGCAACAGAACAAGACCATTGACCATCAAGCGCTGGAGGAAGATGAAGAGACGCTAGTAAAAACGCTGTACCCGAGCGGGAATATGCCACACACCCGACCGGGTCAAATCGTCGGCCCGGCCGACACGGGGACCGTTCAAGATTCCTATGAGCTCTATCAGCTCTTTGACACCGTGGAGGGGAAGGAAAGCAAAGATCTCTACTACTCCAAGCCGCCAAACTTCCCCAACAAGAAACCCCTAAAGAGCAATCTGAAGAGAGACAACAGGACCTGCAACCCCGAGCTGTTAGCTGATAGCAGAATGTCGGACGACATGCGGGTAACGCTGTACGAACTTCGCACTGAAGCTGACAGATTCGTCAAGGCAACAAAGAAGGTGAGATTCGATGACCGTGTTCACTTCAATGACCACACGGTGCGGATTGATGACCTCGCCCAGCTCAACCTCCAGCAGATGGAATGGGACGCTCTAAAAGCAGAGTCAAGCCAGCTTCAACACCAGGACTTACAGATGCTCAAGTCAAGTCAGATTCAACACCAGGACCTACAAATGCTCAAGTCAAGCCAGATTCAACACCAGGACCTACAGATGCTCAAGTCAAGCCAGCTTCAACACCAGGACCTACAAATGCTCAAGTCAAACCAGCTTCAACACCAGGACCTACAGATGCTCAAGTCAAGCCAGCTTCAACACCAGGACCTACAGATGCTCAACGTCAGCCATGTGTGTCCTGACATAGCCGCCTCAGCCAACAACTCGAACAACAACATTAGCCATGTTTACCCGAGCCAGAGACCGTGGTATGGTAACAGGCAACACTTTTCCGTTAGTGCAGAAACTTCAACCAAGATTCTTGTGAAATCAGCTCGTGTAAAACATGTGATGGAAACTTTACCAGTTTTCGGCAATAAAACCCGGTCATTTCTTTCGCTAAATTGGCAAGTTCAATTTTACTTCGTCAAGCCACCTTGTGGTCGCATATCCGGTGCTCCTGGCTGTTTTCTCTGTTCCCCCGGCTACAAAAAGAGAAATGAGCTCAGGGTTCTCGATGGAGTGCATGAGTTTCGGTGCGCCGCGTTAGTGCCCTCACACAGGACATGGAGCACATCGCTTGTTAACATAAACTATTATCAACATCGATGTTTGCACCATGAAGAGCCACGTGACTCGCTGAATCACAACAACAACAGCAACAACAACGCAGTGGAGAGCCGTATAATCTCGATACCAGATGGCACGTCAAATTCCCATGCCTTGCATGACGACATGGACGTGGCGTCAGGCAGTCTACACAAATCCATGAGACGTGGCAGGCGGCTGGAGAGGAACCGGCGACGTTCACCGTCGTCTGCTGCCAGCATCAGCAGCCCCTCCGGCTGTACAAGGGCCGGCCACAGGGCTAGGTCTTACCCCAAGCCGCAGCACAGCAACTGGGCTGGGAAGTCTAAGCAAACAGACTCTTTCCAGCGATTGAAAGCACCAGCAGAGACGCGGGAAGCAAGCAAGGCGTGCGATACGAGGTACAGACAAGGTGCACGAGACACGAGGCTCAAGTCTGGCACAGCCGAGAAATCCTTCCAACGGCAACCTTCACCATCCTGTCAACCCAACACACCTCGCATACTTACACAAAAACACAATGAACCCAACACACCTCGCATTATGAACACACAGCGCCTCCATAGCAATACACACAGTCCAATAAATTTTCTTCTCAACCATTTAAACCATCCGAAAAACAGGTTGACACGCACTGTGTCCAACGCAACAATATCCTCTGTTCACGCGGGACAAAATGTTTTCATTAAGACGAAGCAAGGGCCACCAGGGGTGGGGCTCTCGCCCCCAGTCAACGCGACGCTTCACCGGCCCTGGTCAAGTATTAGCCACGTGATCTCATTCTCCACCCCACGGTCTCGCACCCCAGCCCCTCCATACCACTCTCCCAAAGGCTTGCACTTGGGCCCAGACGACCAGCCCCCGGACAAGCGGCTTGACGCGCCCACTTGTCTGACGACTGACCAGCTGCTTCGATACAACTGCACGCCAGAGCGTGAAAAACCAAAGAGCCACGCCACGCCTTCTCCGTCGCGTGATCCACCGCACAAATCGCCAGCAAAACGTAGCCCTAAGTCCCTCTTTAGCGTGCTCAGGACATTCTCCTGCCAAAAAGCGGCTTTACAGCTGGCCGCACAGGGAAATAGAAGCTGCAACAAGAGCGACAAGGATTTGATGGCAAAAATAGCCAGGGATGAACGTCAGGATGCTAGCACTACGCCCACAAGCGCCCCCTCTACCAGCGATTCACGACGGATACCAGCAACCAGCCCCAACACAAGAAAACCGTCCCTGATGGCCCCACTCAGCAGAGAGCCTGCACGTTCGTTTGGACGGGTGACATCAGATCAGCCGGCACGTGAGTTTGGTCATGCGGAGGTCAAGCGTGTGTTGCAGCGGAACATGAGCCAAAGGTTTGGTCTCACTACCAAGGTGGGCCCCGTGCGTGTCGCACCTTTGCCGCAACCTTTAGGCAGGGCTCGGGGCTATCTATCAGCCTTCAATTCTGGATCCCCACCATTGCCGGCCCATAGCACGGATTCCCAAGACACCCCGTCCAGAACAGGGGTAAAAAAGTTTGCAGATGAACCAAGCAGGGTCTACTCAGACCTGACAAACAAACAATTATGTGGCATCTTAGAGCTTGGGGGCCTAAGTGGTAGGGCTGACCGTTACTCGGGGGAAAGTTTATTTAAACCTGCAACCTTCAACACTAAGCCCACATCACGTGACGGCATGAGATCTGCATCGTTTAAAGCCTCGCCGCCCAGCGATACAGAAACGCGAGGGTTTAGGAGCCCGTCCCATTTGACGGAGGTAGAAAGTATAATACAGCGGGTCCACGCAAACAGCGGTAACAAATCAGGCAGGGGCTATCAGCCAAGCTCACTTCCCAGCACGTTAAAACTAGACGGCACGCGAACACACCCAACACACCCTGTATCGATGTCTGAAGAGAGTAGGCCGAGACGACAAATCAACAAAATCGTGGATGAAGCCAGAAGTGTCCAGGAAAATCTGAAACACTTGCTCTCATTCAAGTCTTCCTCCGCGCTGTACAGAGCAGCCTGTAGCATCGACCCGCCGCATTTCGGGAAGGCAGACAATTTGCAGGCCAAGTCCAGCATCACGCTGACCAATGCTAAAAACAAACGTGAAGGCTTGCCTTGTGGACTGGAGCTCTGCTCTGCCAGGTTCCCGCGCTCCCCTAACATTGCCAGAGACGCCGTATCGTTACTGAAGGGCAGCGCCGTAAAGAAGCTGGCGCTTGACGAGAACAAGGCTGTTGTCAGGAATTTCTCAGAACAGTACGAACTGTATTGTGAGCACGGTTGTGCGTTCCTTAGAATGCCAGGCGACACATTTGATTTGAGCTTAGAAGACAGCATCTGCCACAAAAACTCCTTGAGCACACCTGCCCAGGCGTCTATCGGAAAAGAAGGAACCGAAGGTTTGGGTTTTGGTAACGATACAAAGATATTGAACAAATTTCGGTATTCGTATAAACAGAGCAGCGCTGTGCCGTTGGAAAACACACATGCGCCATCTCTTTCTAAAGATGAGTTGACATCTACGCATTTATTAGAGCTTAAGAAAGAGCTCAATGAAGAGCTTAGTAAAGAAATAAAAAAGGAGCTCCAAGAAGAATTCAAAGATTGTAGCGACGCAGTTGTAGGCGACAGAAGTACACTATATTTTGGCGAATCTCCCGATTTACTCTACCCTGAAGACCCAGGTCTTCGTGACATTGCATCCTGGGCCTGCCAACCAGTCAGCAAACCAGCCTGCCAACCAGTCAGCCAACCAAGCGTCCAACCAGTCCACAAGTTGTTGTCAGACAGCCACGTGACTGGCACAGAGAGTGTCGTGGCGAGTGACAAACCGAGCAGGTTTGTTGATCATCAAGGCAGGTTGGATGTCATCATGGCTCTACCAAAGATGTGTAGTAGTGGGGATGTCAGCATAGTCAAACCATCTCAAAGTAATGCTAAGGATAGCATAGCTAAACCATCTCAAAGTAATGCTAATGATTGCATAGCTAAACCATCTCAAAGTAATGCTAATGATTGCATAGCTAAACCTTCTCAAATTAATGCTAATGATAGCATAGTTAAACTACCACAAAGTAAAGCTAATGATTGCATAGTTAACCAACCTCAAAGTGATGCTAATGGTAGCATAGTTAAATTACCACAAAGTAATGCTAATGATGGCATAGTTAAACTACCTCAGAGTGGTGTTGGTGATGTCTTCGCGGCTAAACCACCTCAGTGTACTGCTCGGGCAACGTGTGATAATCAAACAAATAAGAACATTCCACCAGAAGAAGACACGACACAATATAGGCATAAGGGCACTCTAGCAGCAGAGGACACGCCAACCAAAGTCACAATCTCAGACTTTGGCAAATCAGAAGAAGAAGACTGTGCTAAGGACATACCAGAAGATGTGTATACTCACTTGGAAGCTACGCACGTTCGAATGGGAATTGTTGACGAGCAGGTGCTACAAGGAGATCATAAAGGGCAGTTGGAGGTAGGATCTGAAAGTGACCATCAAGGGCAGTTGGAGGTAGGATCTGAAAGTGACCATCAAGGGCAGTTGGAGGCAGGATCTGAAAGTGACCATCAAGGGCAGTTGGAGGCAGGATCTGACAGTTACCATCAAGGGCAGTTGGAGGCAGGATTTGACAGTGACCATCAAGGGCAGTCAGAGGCTGGATCTGACAGTGATCACGACATTGAAGAAAAAGAATATGTCGATGAAATTGCGACTGTGTACGAAAACAATATAGATGAAAAAGATAAGAATAAACATGAGAATACGATGGATGAGAGAACGATAGATGGGGAATCACCAAAAATTCTGGGAATGAAGCTGACCAGTGGTAACACGCGCGAGGATAACACCCAGGAAACTTCACCAAGTCCGCAAAAGACCCCCGACGCCACAAATTCAGAGCAGGCCCCACCCCAGGCCATAAAAACAGAGCAGGCCCCACCCCAGTCCATAAGAGCAGAGCCGGCCCCACCCCAGGCCATAAGAGCAGAGCAGGCCCCACCCCAGGCCATAAGAACGAAGAAGTCTGCTATAGAAAAACTTGCTGAAGATACTGAAGCAGCAAACTGCCGAGTGGCAGACACGTTAAGACTGGGTCAGAAGAGCATTAGTGAACTGCTGAAAAACGCAATGGCCGCCAAGTTCTCAAACAAACCTAAAATGGGAGTTGAAATCGTTGAGAAAAAAGAGACGAAAAAAAAATATCTGGCCATTCTTTCGGGCAATCAATCGAATAAAGCACAGAAAAGAGATCAATCAGCTTTCCCCTATACTTCTGCGAAATCCAATAAAAAAAAAGATTCGTTTGGTCAACGCAAACTGGCGGAGACAAAACCACCTTCACCCAAGAAAACCACTGCTCCTCCCAGCAAGAAACACGAGGGACACGTTAAATCGTCTCGCGTTCGCCAGTTGGCCGAGAAAAGCCGCAAAAGCCAGCTTGAAAAAAAACAAGTTGAAATAAACATGAAACAAGTTCATAATACAGGAAAACGGCCAGGACTATTAGCGGGCATAAAAAAAAACTTGATAACATCGCTACATAGACAACAGCAGACTTCTCTCCCGTCTGTAAAAGATAGGAAAATTCCAGCACAAGGTCGCAGAAGCTCGTGGGCACGTGAAGAGACTCTGCCTCGCCAGTGGTCAGATGTAACCAGACTCTCCAGTCGCGAGACTGTCACTGACATCGAGTCAGCCCAGGACACCTTGGAGCTGGTAGAGTCAGAGAGTGAGACTGACGTCAGGCTGATCCCCCTTGATAATCTCAGACTAAGTCTAATGCTGCATGACGGAAAAATCGTACCCCCTGTTCAGAAATCCAAACCGAGGCCTACTTCCGGTCGTGTGCACGGTAAACCTTCCGGCGTTCAAGAATACAATGTCCCTGTTCTCCAACATAGCTCTGACTTGCGGCCTCCATCCGGCCGCGTGCACGGTAAACCTTCCGGCGTTCAAGAAAAGGTCCCTGCTCTCCCTCATAGCTCTGAGCTGCGGCCTCCATCCGGCCGTGTGCACGGTAAACCTTCCGGCGTTCAAGAAAAGGTCCCTGCTCTCCCCCATAGCTCTGAGCTGCGGCCTCCATCCGGCCGTGTGCACGGTAAACCTTCCGGCGTTCAAGAAAATGTCCCTGCTCTCCAACATAGCTCTGAGCTGCGGCCTCCATCCGGCCGTGTGCACGGTAAACCTTCCGGCGTTCAAAACGACAAAGTCGCTCCTGTCCCTCATAATTCCGCCCCATACCCTTCGCCACAAAGTCTCCGTGATAAAAATGGTATCAAGAACCTAATGAATGAGCTATTGATTAGCCCAGCAGGAACTGGCACTGAAACTGTGAAACCCACCTTACGAAAGTCAAAAAGCGCGTCAGCACCTTACATGAAGCGTGCAGATCGTGTGCTAGATTTCAGGAACAAATATGTTTTAGGCTTTAGTGATAAGGACATTTCCAAAGATATCAGGCCTTTGAGAAAGTGCAACAGTGCCACCGATTTAGAAAAGTTTTTTGCAGAAAAGTTGAACCCAACAAACAAGCCGTTAAAAATTGAAATTCAAATGCCAAAGGTTGAGCAGGTGTATTCTTCCAGTAAGAGCACTACGTCCTACTTCATTAAAAGCCCTCCAAAAAATTTCACAGACACGGGCGTGTCAGAAGAGAAGGAGAGAGCTAAACCAGGCCACTTGTTTGTTGAACCAAATAAGCCAGACACTAGTACAAGCATCCGACTAGACGCCTTAAGCTCCAGAAGCAGACACAACACCAACTTCCCCCTGATAAGCGCCAGGATCGAGAGCAGGTCTATACTGAGCTTGAGCACGAAATCCTGCTGGCAAAGCTCTCGCCCCGCTCTACACGACGTCAGCCTAGAGCTGCCGGAGCTGGATTACCAGCCGGTGTACGAGGGGCGAGTCAGCTCGGAGCATCTGAAGAAAGCCATCAGTGACAGCAGAAACATCGCCGTGCTGGAGGAGAAACAGGAGCAGGGAAAATATATCAAAGTCATTCGCTATTCTAAAAGCACGCAACGGCGGTACGAAATTACGTATCACACGAAAACAAATCTATTTTTCGGTAAAGGTAAGCCATTTGCAGAAAATAATACAGTGTATGAGTCTGAACTACACCCGCATAGATCTGATGAGTCGGCCAATATTGAAAGCAGTGAACACAGGCAAGAGAAGGCTAAACTTAGCTACATCAAATTTTATAATAAGTTATTGGAGAATAGAAGTGCCACAGGTTTCCGACAGTTACAACCACGGGGCGTCGTACCACCAAAGAGAAGAGAACTCGGGGCAAGAGTTCCAAAGGACAGATTGCTCTGTGGAATCCAAAAAAGGGGCATAAGTTGTCATGAGACAGACAACAGGCAACAGACTAAGTCGCTCAGCAAGTCTGCATGGCGAGTGAAATCTGTCCCCGACACAGCAATCACGCGACACACCGTGGCCTCGGCAGCTAAAGACCTGCGACTCACGATGAATAAAGAAGATGGCAGCCTGTCTAAACACCGCCATTTTTCAAACTCGCACATTGAAGGAATGCAACAGTCAGTGTACAATACACATTCATCCAAAAGTTCCAAACAAAGCGCAGCGCCACCAGCCGACAAGAAGAACCTCGAGACAAAACCTAGTCAGCAGGAGAACACAGTTGACGGTCAGCTGTCCGAGGTTCAACAGCTTCTGCCAGCACTTGAGATAAACAAGGCTCAAACAGAAATGCCTCGTCGCGGCATCAGACGCAACTTTTCTTCGTTTTTTACAAACAAATCACAAAACAATAGCATTGGCTTTATTGGAGCGAAACAATGTCAGGCGTCGTCCAATCCACCGAGTGTCTTCATTGAGAAAATCAGCGACGCCAAAAACATCTGGGAATGCAAATAGAGCAACCACTTATACACTTATTCTACTTAATATTTTATACTTTATACCTTCTATAATAAATATTAACTAATTTTTATACAATAATTTATGCAGTAGAGAAGATAATGTTAATCATTTTCAAAAAATAGTCAGTGATGTTTTTTCTTGGTATATTATTTTAATGTGTTAGCTAGTTAAAATAGTGAAATAAATGACAATTTTTACTCAAGTTGTTCTTTTTTAAATTATGTTCACTATGTGTGATAAGGGGTCGTCCATAAATGACGTCACACTCGTAGGGGGGAGGGGGGGGGGTCCGTAATTTTGTGACGGTGTGTGATGAGGTGGAGGGTGGAGGGGGGGGGGGGGGTTATAGTGCGACTTCACACTTTTGCGTTATCAAAAAGCGATGTAAGAAAACGAACTTTAGACGTTAGGGTCGTCCATAAATGACGTCGCACTCGTCGGGGGGGGGGGGTAATTTTGTGACGATGTTTGATGAGGTAGAGGGGGGGGGTTCATTTATTTTTTATATTTAAAATACAAAGATGCAGCAAAAATGATATTTTTAATTTGTTTTTAAACCCATTTTGGCGCCCCCTAAGGTCGACGCCCGGGAACATACGTACACCCCAGCCCCCCCCCCCCCCCCTCGATACGCCTCTGATCACCGTTTTTATTTTGCAGAACAGGGGGGCCCACAAACACATAACAAATAACTTGATATTTTCGGGGGGGAGGGGGTGTCAACATTTTTCGGGGGGCTGTTATAGTAAAAATAATAATAATTACGCTGTTAAATGAAATTTACTCTGATTTGTAAGAGGAAATTTGGGAGGGGGACGGGGACGGCTGCAGATCTCTAAGCCCCACCCCCCACCCCTAAATCCGCTACTGGATACAATAGGCTGCCGTAATCAGTCACTAAATTCAATCAGGCGCGCCGAAGCCCCACTGTAATCAAGCCACATTTTAATGATATTAATAATAATATGGTCAAACCACCTACTGTAGGCCTAGGTCTAATTTAAAAATTTACATAAAATGCTAGAAATCTAGCCCTTTCTTGTGCCGAAAATACTTTTTGACGCCTAGGCTTGAGCCAACCAATGAGATTTGAGCTAAAGTTCACAGAAGTGCAAATTTCAAGCAGAAGTAGAATCTAGGCTAGATTCTTGGTAATGCCATTTTCTTTTCTTCTAAAATAATCTAGTTATAGAGATCTAGACCTAGAAATCTAGATCTAGATCTTAGATTCAATTCTGCTTCTTAGTCTAGATAATCTAGCTAGAATAAATTAAAAGATCTAGATCTAGATCTAATAATAATATAAATATAATTATATTCTCCTAATGCCTATTCCTACTAGTCACTAGTGACTAGTCTACTACTACTACTACTAGATCTAGATCTAGATTCTAGTACTACTAGAATCTAGATCTATTATTAATTTATTAGTATTAGTATTAGTCATTAGATAAATAATAGATATAAGTAGTAATTTATATAGTATAGAATCTATAGTATACTACTAGTATACTATATATTAAGTATTATATCAATATATAAATATATATATTATTATATATAGATCTAGACTAGATCTTATGTATTATTAGTAGGTACTAGGATTGGCCTCCCGATTCTCGCTGAGCGGCGTATTTTTTCTCCCGTTACCGACAGGTTTGCGTGTGCGGCTACGCGAATTCGACGGTTTAGTAAATTTTTTTCCTCTCCGTTATTGAACGGTCAAATTTAATGTGAAAATTGTTTTTCTACTTAAAAATGGACTTTGCCTGGTTTTTTATATTTTGTTTTTATTTTCATGGATTATTCAAAATGGAGTTTTTCATTGAAAATAAGGTAAGTTTGATTTATTATTTAAAATTAACTATTGGACGCATGTCTTTTTTTATTGATTGCTAGAGTCCCTACACCATTTTCCTCTATCATACTGAAATTTGAAAGAGTTTGGATGCAGCTCATAGAAGTTATATGCTGCACAGTGGGGTGTATGGTTAAGCGCTGTCTAGTGCTTACTTAGAAAGCGAAAGTAAAAAACCGGAAGGTGTCGGGTCTCTTTATTTCTTAATACTTTACGCTTACACGAGAGGGGTATGATTATGTGATGTGTAGGGTCTACTGTATTGTGGATGGGGAGAGAGTGGGGGGGGGGGAGGAGCTTGACTAATTGCATGACGTCATATGGTGTTAAGCGTAAGCATGTGTAAAGATGGCCATTAACTAGGAAATTATGTATTAGATTGTGGGCAAGATAGGCGTATCAACTTTGTTGTTTTTTATTTTATATTTGGAACAGTGTAATTTGTTAACTTATTTAATATTATTGTAGTTTTTATATATATATATATATATATATATATACAAATCGTATAGGCCCTAGCGTGTTTTATTTTTTTAACTGTGTTCACTGGGAAACGGTCAATGACCGTCCTATTTGACGTCACAGAATTACGGGTGAAAGTGAGGTCAAGTTTTGGCTTTTTCTGATGTGCTACGTGCGTGAGGGTTGAGTAAATGTAACTTAGTAAACATCGGTGGGTGATACAACTTGGTGACGTCATTTATGGACAATTTTTTTTTCGCCCGCTGATAGGTACAAAGACTTTACTACATTTTTAAGTTTCTCACCACATGTGTTTGAATGTAAACTTTGTAGCGCCGTGCAGTTTTTGTGTTATCACTGTAGCATGGGCGGTAAAGCTGTTTTATCGTGAGCGTTAATGACCACGTGCCTTATTGATGAGCGGTTTTGTCGGGGATTTCAGTGTCGGTTTTGTCGGGAATATCAGTGTCGATTTTGTCGGGAATATCAATGTCGGTTTTGTCGGGGATTTGAATGTTTTGACGCCGACGCGCGTTGTTTTGACGCCGGCGATAGTGGCGAACGTTGTTTTGACGCCGGCGATAGTGGCGAACGTTGTTTTGACGCCGGCGATAGTGGCGAACGTTGTTTTGACGCCGGCGATAGTGGCGAACGTTGTTTTGACGCCGGCGATAGTGGCGAACGTTGTTTTGACGCCAGCGATAGTGGCGAACGTTGTTTTGACGCCGGCGATAGTGGCGAACGTTGTTTTGACGCCGGTGATAGTGGCGAACGTTGTTTTGACGCCGGCGATTGGGGCGAGCGTTGTTTTGATATTGACGGTAGTGGGGAGGGGGGGGGGGGAGAAAGGAAGGTCTTGTAATAACAATACACATTAAATATTTGGTGTATTCAGAAAACCTTTTTATTTTGATGGGAAGGCAAATAATGTACTTGTACTGTTTACTTTTCCAGATAGAACCTACACTTCTAAACCAGCACATCTCTACAATATGATGAGCAGTTATATGGCCTAATGAGGGAACACTATGTAAAAGAGGAATTAAAACTATTAATATAAATAATGTGTTCATCTTTTATTTAGGCAAACTAATTAATTTGTGATATGAACTATATCCTTTTAAAACCAACCAATGTTGAACTTCTCCTGAAATGTAATATATTAACGAATAGGCAGAAACACATATTTTTTTAATTAAACTATATATATAAGTATATCAACAAGTTTATTACATTTATTCGAATAAAACACCTTACATTTCTAAAAGATTTAATTTGCCTTCATTTTTTTAATTTAAATATGTGCGCTCAGTTTTTCAATGTCAGGTGTGTCGATGACTCAGCATTTTACATTTTTACCATCCTTTACCTATTTGTCAACTATTTAGATAGAACCATCAAACACACTTATCTTAGAGCTTCACTTTAGTTAGTTGTTAGCTTTAGATTCAAATAGATTGAGCCTAAACAAATAGTGTATGAACAAATTTAGTATTTAAAAATAGGGGGTGTACCCTGTTCCACCCCTTATTTTTTGTTAAACAGATAGATTTAAACACATATTTTGATTGTTTCTGTTTGAGAATAGAGTCATCTAGAGCCAGACAAATTTTGAGACTTAAGTGCTTAATAACTCAAATTTGCCATCATGTTGAATTTAACATCAACAAGACTTCGGATTTGCGAAATGGCATAATCTATCAGCTCTGTAGCAGTTAAAACAAAAATCTTTTCAGTTATGAATATTATTTTGATTGTAATAACTGACACATCCATAGCTCATCATTCTCAGCAAGTTTGAGCTTAATTTTTCAAAGTGTTAAAATTTTAACTGAGATTTTATGAATGCACTGTATATGAAAAAATAGGGGGGGTACCCTGTTCTACTTCTGTTTTTGTTTAACTCTGCCCATAAATTTCTAATTTTATTGTTTATTATCCTTCCATATATGATAGATAAAGATATTGCAAAATTATAATCAATTTGACCATATGGTTTACAAGCTAGGACAATTTTAGTAAACGCTTAAAAAAACTCTAACACAGAAATTGGAAAAAATCCTATGTTAAAAAAATCACATTTTTTAATACGAAAAAAAATCATAACTATTTAACCGTTTGAGCTACATCAAAAAGGAAAACTGATCTGTTATTGTAATTTTTTGCTCCTTTTAACTGTAGTGGTTGTTTTCCTATTAAACCAATTTTCAAAATTTATCCTAGTACCTAATTATTAGTAGTTTAGATCTATCTACTACATCTAGAATCTAGTACTACTATCTAGAGATCTAGAATGTAGAATAGGTTGTAGATCTAGTTGTAGGCCTAGTTTACTTGATTACTTGTTGTAGTTTGTAGCATTATGATATTTTTATTATTTTAGGTAGACTCCAGATCTAGATCTAATCTATCGTTTTAGGTAGGCTACGTAAAATCGCCCGCGGCTAGTAATGTATGAAAAAGTTACCTCATTGTCAAGGCTTTAATTAATAGAAGTATATTGTCACGTTATTGTGATATATTTGTGTCAAATCTTACAGATAAATGAATAATAAACCTAAATCAATGGCTAAATAAATATATCAATATAACATTAATATATATAGAGAATCTAGTCATATTATATATATAGGCAAGAAATTAACTTTAAACAGCAGTGTTTGCGAGCAGGATTTGCTATATAAAAAGCGGCCATCTGTAGGTTAGAGTGGCTTCCCCTGAATCTCACGCTTATAGAGTCCTTGCAAACACGTGACCTAAATCACGTGATACCTACGTCCGCCGCCACGGTGGTGTACACCAGACGTAAACACAATCAGCTGTTCACCAGCGCTGGACGCGTTCACTGTAGGTAAAGAACAGAAAGAATGTGTTCATTATTTTCAAAAATCACATGAGTTAAAATATTATTTTCAAAAAATGCCACAGTTATCTAGTGCAGGAGAAACAGAATCAAAATTTAGTGGAGTAATCTAATAAAGACGTGAAGCCTACAAGTGATGCAGCAGTTGATGCTACATTCAAACATATCGTGTTGATAACTGCTTTGGGGAACGGTTTTTAAAACGACAACTCCACATCTTTGAATGTCTTGTTTCCCTCAACCTTGATCTTGTGGAGCATCAAGAGTAAGTGATATGTTTTGGGAACTGTAGGGGGGGGGGGCTTGGCCTTAACAATGAAGCAACCTTTTTGCACATTACTAGCCTCTGCCGATTTTACACACCTTAAACCATAGATTACCTTTATAAAATGTTTGCAAAAAGATTGTGAAATCTAATGATAAATTATGAAACAAGGGTGGTTCTTTTATGTAAATTTGAATTAATAATTGTGCAGGCTTTGATGAATGATGGTATGCTTTATTTTTAAAAATGTACATTTTTACTATGATTAATTATATTGGAAAAAACAACATGACCGATAAAGGTCTGAATCTTTAAAAATTCATAAGAAATGTATTTGTAAAATTAAATCACAATTTCTGTATAAAATAAGACCCACAGTGGTTTATTTAACTCATTTTGTATAGTTTTGTTTGCAGGCAAGTGTTTATATATTAAAATTAAGTTGATTTAGAGCATATATAATATATTGTTTTCAAATTAATTTTTTTATAGGAAAATAAAAAATAAAATGAAAAGTAATTGCACTTGGTTATAGATGAACCTCAGTAGATTTTGAAAAAAAAATGTGATTGCTTTGTGTATTGGAAATCAATATGATATTAATTTTTAAATTAATAAGAGACAGTGGTAAAAACAAATTTTAAAAATCTGTCAAGAGCCCTGGGCAGGTGTTTTTTTTTTTTAAAATGAAAATTATCTCCCTTTGTTCAAATGCTACACATACTAAGCTAGAGTAACTATGTAGGCATACGTATTAATTAAATAATTAATTTTAAATTGATTCTAGATATCTAGATCTAGATGTCTATACTAGCCTTAAGTCTACAGTTAAGTAAAAAGTATAGTAGTCTATATTTCACTAGATCAATTTAAAATAATTATATTGAATATTTATTGTAGAAACTAATCAAACTGGGTATTGTAAAAGTATATCCAGAATAATGAATAGAAATCGTTATGGAGGATACAGTCCTCTTCGAGCAAAAAGAAGGCAAAGTGATGCTAAATGGAGAGCAAGTGTAGCTACCTGCTATGATGCTCTTAAGTATGTTGTACCTAATGTTAAACACCTATCAAAGAGAAAGATTTCCAAGGTGAGAAGTAATTTTCATTTTTTTAAATTATGTCAAAGCATTGGCACAATGATTGTATTCAAATATGGGTATCTTTATTAAGTATTAAATTATCATGATCTTCAATCCTAGGCATTGATTTTGCAAGAATCTGAAAAACATATAAAAGACCTTGAAGATGCCATTAGTTATCTGTTAAATGTTGAATGTAAGTTTATTTTTACCCCTTGAGTGTTTGTTTTTCATAAGTTTTTGTAACTAATGTATTTTCTGTTGTAAGTTTTGTAATCTGTAAAAGAAGATGTTTAAAAATGAAATGAAAAGGAAAATGTAATTTTTTTTTAAGGTGGAAATAAAGGTAAAGCAGTTTTATGGAGAGAAGGAGCTCATTGGTCCCACTGCACCCTTGACAAACTACGAGCACAATTTTCAGAAAAACAACGAAGAGTATTTCATGCGTAAGAGTTTATTCCCATTTGTTTGCAAGCAAGACTCAAGATAACTGTTTTTTTTAACTGTTTAAAAGTTAAAAAATGTATTTGGTTGACTCCTTTTGCTGAATATTTTTTAAACTAAATTTAAAAACAAAATTTTCTATAAATAAAGCTTTGAATTTTGCTAATAGTTAACAGTTTGTTTCACTTTTAGATCAGTCCATGGGAGAAGGTGTTATAATCTTTTACATGATATAAAAGATGAAGTGTTCAATATGAAAGCTGACCCAAAGCTAATGGCATTTGTTAAGGAAACAACTGAAAAAAATTTTGTCTTAGATAATATTAACAGTGGTCCAACCATACTTGAAGAAGAAAATAGAGATATATCTGTTGCTGATGGTGACGTATTTGAAAAGCACCAAACCATAATTACAGCAAATGCTGTCACTGCTAATAATAATAAAGTTGTGTCCACCTTATGCAAGGGCATTCCTCGGTTTCCTTACCTGGGACTAAATAAGCATCATAACCAAGAGGTAAACATGCTTTATTTTTCAGGACTTTTTACTCATTGTTTTATTCCAAAAGTGAAGATTGTCTGATGGATTTTTAAATGGTGGCAATCAATACTATATGAACTAACTATAGGATCATTTTTTTTTAATTTGTACATAGCAAATTTGTATAGTGATAATCTTGTGTTATATTTTTTAGCATCAAAGTGAAAGAAGACTACACATACAAAGTAATGCAAAAGACTCTCATAACAAATCTTTACATGTGTATAAAAATGAATCCAAGAGACTTTCTAACACATCTTCAGAAGTAAATGTTCAAACTGTGCCGTGTCTGAAACCTGGAACACCTGAATCCTCATTGAATAAAATAGATGTACAGAGAAAAAGTAATAAAGACAAAACAATTAATATAGATAAGCAGGACAGAGTTGAGAATAGTAATGGAGGTTTTTATATATTGTCTGAAGGAGGAGAATATACATGTTTGCTTAAAGCTCTTGAAAGTGATAATAATGATCAGGTATGTAAACTATTGTGTGTGTATGTATATATATACACACAAACAAAATATTTGTTATATATATATATATATATATATATATATATAAATAAAATATATATATAATATATATATATATATATATATATATATATATATATATAAAATATATAAAATATATATATATATAAAATATATATAATATATATATATATATATATATATAATATATATATTTACAAAATGAAAGTATCGCCGTCTATTTTTATGCCTGATCACCATGAAATTCCAGAAAGTTATTAAGTACACTCTAGCAAAGGTTTTTGGCATTAAAAAAATTAAATATCCTTGGGACATTACCCTACTTGTAGTATGTATGGTTCCCCTGCGGCTACCTTAGCACCTTTGGTCTGCTGATTGGGCACAATGAAGAGGTGGTTGGGGTACTAATTGAATCAGATCATACTGTACCTGGACATCCTGTACTCTAGGAAAATAGTGAGCTACTACAGTCACTGACTAATCCAAACCAGCTGTGACACATAACACCATAGTGTAACTCTTAGTTTATAGATTTCACTTGTTTTTATAACATAGCTATTTATTTGGCCCTAAACATAATTTACTTTGGTTTGTTTAGAAACTATTCTCCTTAATTGTCAACTTTTGATTCTCAACCCTAATCAGGAAGTTCCATCTGTCAAATCGCCCAAGAAAATTGGGAAAATTAAACCACCTGGATTAATTTGTGTAAGCAGTGAATCAGATTACAGTATTGAAATAAAAAAAGAACTAATCAAAGTTGAAACTGAAGAATTTACAAGTCTGCTAAAAGATGTTGAAAATGTTGGCTGTAATAACAAGTCCACTAATCAGACAAGTGCATTAGATCCCAAGACTAGTGCTTTTAGCAGTCCATGGTATTCTCCTCATGTAGAACTAAAGAAGGAAATCAAAGATTTTAAAACCCCAAGTAAGTTTTTTATCACAGTTAAATAAATGTTTTTAAATTGTCATAGTTACAAGATAGTCAACAGTAAATTTTAGCTACAATAAGGCAAGTTTGATATACATGGGTTCAAGGAGAATTGCATGGTTTTCTTTTGTACACATTGTGTTGTTTAATTTCCTTTGATGAGAATGTAATCATTTACTTTTTTGTACAGGAACCAGTGGAGATCCTTTTTTAAATTCAATGTGTTCTCCAAAATTGGAAGTATCATTGTGTTCAAATGCTGATAATGAATTTACCAACAGGAGATCTGGAAAATTTGTTTCAGCAAGGAAAAGGGTATTTGAATTATTGTAATATTTTGCATCAATATGATTGTACTTCAAATCCTAATATATAAAATCCCATGTGCGCACTTCTCTCTCTCTCTCTTTTTCTTTCTCTCTGTCTGCAGCATATTTTAGGCTATATGATCAGTATGTTCAGCAATATATGGAGAACTGAAAGATACAGACTTTTGTTAAAAATAATATGTTGGATGTTTTAAATGTATAAACTAAATTTTATTTAAAAAAGGTAAATAAAAATAAAGGAATATTCTAATGTAGAAACACATTTTTGACTATGCAGCCTGAAACGTGTTTATTGTTGTGACAAGAATGCATAAAATAATGAAGTCTCATGTTTCAAATACGAAAGGAAGTCTCATGTTTCAAATACGGAAAGTATACAAAACTAATGACATCATCTTCCAATTTTAGAATATGAAGAAATAAACTATTTCATTCAAATTTGATTTAAATTTATAGATCTACTTATGAAGACGTACGGCTATGAAATGTATATAATTTTCTGGGCCAAAAGTAATACAAACTACTTTAAAACACAACAAATACATTTGAACAGCCGGGTTTTTAATGTAAACATTTAAGTCTCTTAATCAGTGTGTGCAGTTAATATGGTGTTGTGTTGACTAATAATGTATATAATTTGGGTTTTCTAATAGGTATCGGTAGCCTATATTATTTTAAATGTGTAGTATTTTTAGCTATTTTGTTATTTCATTGCTTTGTCACTAATATCGTTTAACTTGTAGTAAAGCACATTGCATTTTGACCAATAACATTTTTATAAAATATTTTTCTCAAACAAGTATTACATTAAAATATATAGGCCTTTTATTCACATGCAATGGGTACTGATGGCTAGTAATGTAGAATAGAGTTGATGTTGATTTATTGTTCAGATGTTTTTGTCTAAACCAACTTATAATTTCCATGCTATTTATTTGTCTGCAGCTTAACTTCAATATCCAGCCAACCTCAGTGGGAACTTGTTCTATCTTTGGTTCCCACATGTTAAGCCCTGACAGATGGCCATCACCAGTCTCCACATCAAGCTTCACACCTGTCAAACTTCCAGATGACACCAACTGTGAGACAAGTAACCCACTTGATTCATTTGTCTCACCATGGAAGGTCCTACACTCCCCTTTTGATTCTTCAAAGATAGGAAGTCAGGTAGCATCACTTTCAATATATTTTATGCTATATTTTATCCAAGTTTGTTTCATTATTTGACATAGTCAAACATTGAAATACGATAGCTTTGGTTTGCCAACATTTTTACAAAATTTTAAAAAATGTAATTAGTTAGTTGAAAACAGCATGTTTGCACATTATTTTTGACATATCTGGCAAGTGAGTAAATGACTTAACTCAAGATTTTTAGAAACAATGTCCATTCACCCTAGATCTGCTATTTAGTAAGATATGTTGGGCCTTGTCTTAATAATATGCTAATATAGAGCAGTTTGGTACCCAGCTCAAGGCAGTAGATTGTCCCCTGACAAAACTCCCCTCATGTTTACAAACCTGGGAAGGTACAGGGAAGGAAGTAAATGTCTGTTGCCAACTCACTTGTCTAACTGTCAGCTACAAGGGTGCAAGAAATGATTGAGTTTTCATCATATTGCGTTCATCCTGTTAAAGAGCATAGCTCACCTTTTGTCCTACATTACAATTAACACACTTGATTACTTTATACTTGATAGATTATATGTCAAGATTGGCCTGGTAGGGCTGCTAACCCAAAATGTCCCAAGTTCTAATCCTTGATCAGCTGGGGACTGAAAACTCATCTAGGAGAGACAGAAAACTTTTAAATTAAAACAATAGTGGAGCCCTTAATCAACAGGATCAGCACTTCAGGTTTCCTTTAGGCAGCTCCTGCAGCTAAGCTGATGCTAAGTTATATAGATAATGCCTCTTGTTAGGCTCCATCAGCTGTGTGGCCAGAGGCAGTCTGTAACATGGGCAACAACATCTAGCTCTTCTCAACTTGCTGCTCATATCTTGTGCTTGGATTTCTGAGGCATAACCATCCAATGGTTTATTATTAGAACATGGAGCCATTATTATATTATTATTATGTTCCTGCCTATGCCTGACTTTTCCAGATATAATGATTTTTCTTGATGTTTCTATTGTTATTTGAATATTTATGTTATATGTAATTATCTAAATAGATTATTTTTAGGTAAAAAAATTATTCTTAGATTGGACACTTTTGTTAACATTTTTGACAAAGGTTAAAAGGAGTTATTAAAAAGAGATTAATACAACTGGGATTATTTTAATTAAATAAGACTAATTTGCCAACCATTGATTATTAGGGCTGAGTTGTTTTTAAACATGTCTAATATCCACACGAAAAATGCATTGCTAAATTGGTCCTATCTCATCACACTGGTAACAAAAGTCCTAAACCAACACCACCCCCCCCCCCCCCCATGTTACAGCATAGGGAAAAGCTCAGTATTAGTTTTAGGTGCTCAGTTACATCTCAAGATTAATAAGTATTTTGACTGCTAACATGTTGCTGACAAAGATTAATACCTATGAAAATAAAATTAAACTAAATTTGTTTATACTAAACAGAGCTACCTGAATAACAGTACAGGTTTAGAAGACAGCCTTCTGTGTTTAGAGACAATGGATGCCATAGATGAAGAGGAAGAAAATCACAATGAAATGTAAGTCTCACATTACACAAGGAATCTTTGGCACTGATAGTTTTTTTTAGCATTTTAAAATCTACTATTTTCTATATTTTTTTTTTATTGCTGAGAATCCACAATTGCATAATTAGTTGGCAGTTATATTCCTATAATTTAAATATACTTTACAAGTCAACTTTGATGTTTCAAGAAAATAACACTTATAATATATCTCTAAATATGTGAACTGCTAATTTTTAAAATTTGTAACCTTTTAATGTATCATCTATGTTTAACAATTTATCATCAATGCTTAACCCATAAAAGCATTTAAAGGATATATGTAAAATAAATATCTGATCACAGAACTCCAGCACAACATAAGAAACAAAAACAACAGGAAGGAACATACAAGAGAAAATTGTAAGTAACCCTTGAAACAAGTTCACAGTAGTCAGTGTAAAGGTTGTGTAGCGGCCAAGTTGTCAGAGATTTTAAAATATAGCTCCACACAGAACCTACCTAGGTGCAGTGCTGGGGTATACTGGCAGTTGGGTCAAGCCAACAGGTTTCAGCCTAATTAATTTAGTTTAGTGTGGTTTCTGCATTGGGCTAGCAACCCACTAGAGTAAAAAAAGTAAGTGCCACAAAAATGTTTACAACAAAGGAGATTTAAAAAACCTGGTGCAAGAATGATTGAAAAGGATATTAATATTTGCCCCTGGTTTTTTTAAGTACCTGCATAGCTAAAAGTAAACTCAATCACAGCTTTTGCCGTTTATGTAAAACAAATTACAAACTAATCATAATTGAAGGCTTGGAAAATATTCAAACAAGAAAAACTAATGAGTAGCATATGACAGGGAAATTACACTTGTTAGGAAAATAATTGATACAATTTTTTAAATAATTTTTTACCAAAATCATCAATTAGAAAAATACTTTGTACACAAGCATAACTGTCTAGCAGCTGAATAGGTTTCCTATTTTTTTTTAAATTCTATTTTGCCAATGCTTTTATAAAACAAAACAAAAAAATGATGTAAAAACTACAAGAAGTAAACTCAACTTAAACTAATAATGATCATGGGACAAAGATACAATTATTAAAACATTGATTCTGACAAACAAAACAGTAAATATAGAGAATATTATCAACTTCTGGGAGCATCACATATTAACAGAAGCATTGCATAAGTGTTTAGATGTAGCAACTGAATAGTGTTCTGTATTTTTTAAATTGCCCCTTTTTTTCAGGTTTGTGTCCCCTGAAACATCAAAATCACAACCTAAATGTCGTAGAAGGCTTGAAAGGTATATTACAATTATTCTTACATTGGATTGTAGTGCAAACAAATGAAGTAAATCTAAAAACTAGAAGCAGGAAATACAACCATTTTAACATTTACGACTTCAAAAATAGTTATAATGTATTATTTCCTTGATCTTACTATGCTAACTTACAATAAAACACCTAATGTTAAAAAATAATTCAGTGTTGGCTAAAAAAAAGGCTCTTAATGTTGGTTCAATTTGTCTGTAGGTTATACAACTGTTCCAGTGGCTCTCAAAATGTAGATGACAGTCATGTAGTACCTCAGCTGGAGCTGACCATTTTAAATGACAAACTGGATGAAGAGATGGCACAGTCTAATAATGAATCACTTGCTACTGATTCCTCAGATTTTGATGGGTAGGCATCTCGTTAATTAACTACCTAACTTTTATGTTTCCTTTTTGTATGCCATCTGGAAAGTTTTGAAGGAAAAAAAAGAGTTCCAGACTAAAAAAATCTAGAAACTGCAAGATTTTGGGCCAGTTAACCAGCATTGTGTTGGTTGACTCTGAGTGAAGGCCTATCCATTTTCTCTTTGCAACACCTGTAGTGAATTTGTTAGGAATGAGTCAATTGTTCTTAGAAGGGCAAGAAGAAAAATTAGTATCTTAATAAATACTTGTTAATACAGCATGAAAATTTGTTGAACTATTAAGCCAAGATAGCTCTTTAATTAGAATGTCTTAGTGATATTTAGGACCAAGCCAATATTATGGAAATCCAATTTAATGTGTATGTGATATTTTCACATTATTTGCATGTTGTAGGTATTTTCGTTTATGAACCACATTGATGCTTGATATAATTTATATCATTGTAAAGGATTGATAGGATTGCTAGAATTTTAGGAGATCGCAGTAAGTTTTAAATAGAGTTATTTGAGGTAGGTTAGCACAAAAGTAGGGGAAATTTTCACAAGTAAGCGCTAGAATTTGCGCCAAGAGCAGGGTCTCAACCGAGATACTCGGGGGTGGGGTATATAAACCAAAGGCTTAGCCTTAGAGGGGATAGAGAAGCGACGGCCGTAGCCAGTAATTTATGCAGCACATATGTTGGCGCTACAGTCTTCTTAGATGCGCGCTACACAGGCAATTCCTGGTCAAGAAAGATACTGTACTGTTCGCATCATCAAATAAAGTTTTACATACAATTCATTCTTCATTTTTGATAGTCTGTGACAGAGAGCAAGAAAACCTCGCTGCGATGATGTCATCTTGTTATCTCCCCTTTAATTCTTGAATATAGCAATTTTAAATTAAAGGCTTTTATTAAATTAGTTTGTCTAATTTGATTTTAAAAAATTTAACAAATGTGTTGTGATCTAAGATCTACCATTGTGCTGAATTACAGCTCAATGGGAAGTGGGTTCAGTTTAAATTCCAAGGTTTGCAGAGCTTTAAACAATCATAACTTTCAATAGCTTTAATTTTTTAAAAAATGTTAATAGAATATTTTAACTGTTACCTAAAATAAATGTACCAACTATCTATACTATAATTAAATTAATTTTTGTTTTGTTTATGTCACGAAAGCATTATCTGTATTAAGTCTTGAATTTGCCCCCAAAAAAAAACGCAATATTTTGACTTTCTAAATTATTTGTTTGTCTCTCTTGAACAGATTCTACTTTTACTATCGTCAAGTGAGTCAGCAGCTGAAAGATAAACTAGGATCCCATGATCTTGACTCTCAAACCGTGGCTGCTAAAGTGGCACACATGTGGACAAAGTTGGCTCCACAGGAAAAATCCACCATGTCCACATTAGCAAACTTGGAAGTGCAAAACTGTGATGAAGAGAGATATGGTACATTGAGTCAAGACCTTGATGATGTGAAACCATTGGACCCCTTAGAGTTTATTCCTTCATTCATGTAAATTTTAATTTTGTTCTGGTTGTCTTTTTTCATTTTGACATATTGTTGTAATAAATAAAAAGAGTTGGCCAACTTTTCTTGCCAGAAGATTCTCTTTTAGCCTGCTTTATTTCTATGTTTGTGCTGTATGTACTAACACCTTATGCAAGCCAGAGAGACACTACATTAAAATCAATCCTTAAGGCTAAAGCTTAAGAAGTGGCCACGAGATGATGCATAGCCAGTGTTTCTTCCAGACTTTTTTCTTGGGGGGGGGGGGGGGACACTATATTTTCTATATAAATTTCATTCTGTTTGGGGGGGGGGGGGGCTGGAAGAAACTGCATAGCTGTGACCGTAAATTTGAGGCAGATATCTAGTTGTGTCACTGATTGAGCCAGCTTAGAGAGAATATCTCAGGATGGAGAACTGATTAGCTCTATATTCCAGCAAGAATGATGGAAGACTGTTAATGCTTTTCTTTTACATGGTGCTTACATTTGTTATGTAGAGGACTAGTGATGTGTATGAGGGGTGTGTGTAAAAGCCGAAGGCTGGGTTTGTAACTTCTCATAGTGGCTATGCTGTAGTAATGTCTTAGTGGTCTGATGTCCTGTAGCTGTGGTCTGATGAAAGAAGAAGAGGTTTGTAACATTGTTACATTAAAATAAGACCTCATATTATTAGGCCTATATTACTATTATAATAATTATTTTTATCCCAACTACTGTGTTAAATAATATCCCTGCCCCCTTATGTGCACGATCCCGCAGTACATAACGTTAATTAAGAAATTATTTTTAATTTTAAAAGCCGAAAAATAATGCGTATGTTTAAAGTATGTTATGAAAGCGAAACAAAAGAGATGCTCTAACTAACGGAAAAACCCACAAACAAATGACATTTCTTCTATTATTTCTATCCAGATCTAAACTTACTAAAGCTAGATCTAGATCTAGATCTACTACTATCTACTACTCAGTCAGTCTACTAGTCTACTACTAACTAAAACTAGATCTAGTAGTTAGTTATTAGATCTAGAATCTATAAGTTAAGTAAGACTTTTAGACTAAGACTTGAGTCATTGACTCATCGAGTCATTACTACTCATTGAGTCATTAGGCACATTAGGTAAGTCCTTGTCACAGTCCTTGTGTGGTTTAGCATCGTAAATTCGGCCAAAACTAGATACTTTTACTAGATAGATTCACTAGATTCTATCTACAATCTACTAGAGTCTAGATCTATCTACTAGCTAGATCTAGAATCTAGTATAAGTATTACTATTAGTTAGTCTAGTCTAGACTAATTATTAATTAATGTGGGAGAGAGGCGATAGGCCTAAATTAAATGAATTTTGGGTAATCTATCGGTTTTAGGTCGTAAAATCGCCCGCGACTAGTAATGTGAAAAACAGGTGACTCCTTACATTTTAATAATAATTTCACATTTTGAGCAGGATTTATGTTTTGAAAAATACAAAAATGTTTCCTTGTTTCTTTTATGTACCTGTTTTTAAACAATTGAATAAAAACTTTTTAGTAATAAATGAACACCAGCGATGTTTCCAACAGATGCAACCATGTTCATTTACTATATCAGCCATCTTGTTAAAGTTTTATTTTTATAGACTTATAGCGCGAGATTCAGGCGGAAGTCACTCTATTTTACAAATGGCTGCTGTTTATATAGCAAATCTTGCTTGCAGACACTGCTGTTTAAAGTTAATTTCTGGCCTATATTGATATATTTAGCCATTGATTTAGGTTTATTATTCATTTAGGCCTATCTATAATATTTGACACAAACATATCACAATATACTTCTATTACAGCCTTGACAATGAGGTAACGTTTTCGTACATTAATAGCCACGGGGCGATTTTACATACCCAAAACGATAGATTACCGAATTTTGAATAGGTTATGTTTTTAAAATACTTTAAATTAAATAATATGAGTAGGCCCGCCCTATATTAAATATTTTCGTATGTTTTAATAAAATATTAGATAAAACCTTAGTTTAGCGTTGGTTATTATTCCGGAATGGTATAGTATAGCAGTAAAAAACAGTCTAAACCTCATGGTTACTAAACCGAAAAGTGTCGAGTTCGAACCCTTGGGCAGATGACTCATGAGGCTCGTTAGCTGGGGGACAGCCACTCTTCTAGGAGAGACAACTCAAAAATCAAACAACTGCTGCCTTGTAGTTTGTTCTTGGTTGGACAAAGGCTATGGAAGCAAATCCATAAAGAAAAGCAGGCTGAAATCAGAGTCAATGGCGCATAACCAGTTGACACGTATCCGTAATTGTGATGGAGGCGTGGTCGAGTCTGCAAAAAGCTCATGGTTGATAAATTCGAAAAAGTCTCGAGTTCAAACGCTCTGGCAGATATGGCTCGATCCCTTCCAACACTAAAAATTAATAACGAAAAAGAAGAAGAAACCCTACCCTAATTAATCCCCATCCATAATCAATCATAATGCCTAACCCTAACCGCTAACTCTGTTGCGGCACTTTGCCTAATCCTCCAAATGCCTAACCTCTAACTAAACCTACCCTAAAGCCTAACTCCAAACTTAACCCTAAGCCGGCCTAAGCTCTAAAGCTAAAGTAAAAAAAATTTAAAAAGCAAAATAAAATTCCAAGCCTAAGGAAATGGAACCCACGCCACAAAAACAAACCAGCCGAAATGTAACCATTTCAACCACTTCCTACAAAGTTCAAAAGTCGAGTGTCATATGCAAGATAATAAAAAAAATAATTATGCACTCATGGGCAGGACAATGAATTTTAAAATAAAATTAATTGGTCGGCTAAAAATAGGAAACTATGAATAGCCTTCTGAGGGCTATTTGTATTTAACTACCAATAGACACTCCCTAATTAGTACTAGTAGTAGACCTACTTGTAACTCTTTTACTGTCATGTTTTTTTTTTATTCATCTAATCCAAATCTTCAATCATAGTCTGCATACTAAATATCAAATAATAGTATTACTAGTAGTTAATCTAGTAAAATCTAGTTTTGAAACAGTCGTGAGTAGCCTACTGAGCTACTATAACTCTAGCATACTCTACACATGCTTCTCACCCCCTCCCCCCCTCCCTCCTCCAAACTATTGTCATTGCTATTCCATATTCACACAGATATTCATGAACTAACCACTGTTCTCTATTTCTTAACTCACCATTTACATTGATTGTGAAAATAGTTGTTAAAATTATTTTGATGGTTACCATTTAATTCATTACGGCCCTGTAATTAAAAGAAAGGATTTAATTTTTTTTTATCACAAGAGTCAACTGTTATATGGAGAGATGATCCACAGAGTTAGAAGCCACGTTTCATCCAGATCTTAAGCCAAGTCTAAACCAGGAACCAAAGTGACAATACTTTTACATTAGAGTTACAGCTATGAAGTATACAATGAAGGCATCAAGATATCTGCTTCAATCTTACCACCAGATATTACATAGCTCTGGTAACAAGCAGCACTGTGTACCCTTAGTATACAGATACACTTTTCGCTCTTTTGGGCTGTCTCACAAATCTGGTGTAGTTCTGAGTCCTGCAAGTTTCAATGTACATTGGTGTCGTCCTGGATCAAGCTCAAACCTAATAATAAAGACAAACTGTCAAGGTAACTTTTCTACAAACTTTTAGCATATTTCTGTCGAGAAATATCAAAGAGCACCATTGAAAGAGAGTGTCAAGGTAATTTTTCTCCAAACTGTTAGCATATTTCTGTCCAGATATATCAAAGAGCACCATTGAAAGAGTGTGTAAAGCACCTGGTAGGTTTTTAAATATTTGGCCCTAATCCTTATGTTTAGATAATAGGACACTTTAATCAGGATTAAATTTATTCATTTTGTTCTTCCATTTTTCAGTGTTCAAGTCATACTTCCATTTTTCAGTGTTCAAGTCATACTTCCATTTTTCAGTGTTCAAGTCATACTTGTGCACAGATGACAGAAGTGATGTAGTGGCAGAAGATGAAGAATATGGAGAGTTTGTCAGAGAAATCTGTGCCATCCCTGGGGTGGGGCACAGGGTTTTAGTTGTTCAACCAGGTGAAGTACATGTGAGATTTTTTATTGCTATACCATCAGGCTAGGTAGGCCTACATGTGATTTTTTATTGCTATACCATCAGGTTAAGTAGGCCTACATGTGATTTTTTATTGCTTTACCATCAGGTTAGGTAGGCCTACATGTGATTTTTTATTGCTATACCATCAGGTTAAGTAGGCCTACATGTGATTTTTTATTGCTATACCATCAGGTTAGGTAGGCCTACATGTGATTTTTTATTGCTATACCATCAGGTTAAGTAGGCCTACATGTGATTTTTTATTGCTATACCATCAGGTTAGGTAGGCCTACATGTGATTTTTTTATTGCTATACAATCAGGCTAGGTAGGCCTACATGTGATTTTTTTTATTGCTATACCATCAGGCTAGGTAGGCCTACATGTGATTTTTTTTATTGCTATACAATCAGGCTAGGTAGGCCTACATGTGATTTTTTATTGCTATACAATCAGGCTAGGTAGTCCTACATGTGATTTTTATTGCTATATAGATTGAATTATGGTTTATATATAGGCTAAATGTAGTTTACATAAATATATATATTTCTAAAAGAAAAAACTTTGTTGGTATAGATATCAAAACAGGAACAAGACGTTATGTTATGACCACCAGGGAGCTGAAGCTGGAGGAAACATGTGCCTTAGTCAACACTCTGCCAAACTGGAAAGTTCTAGAAAAGGTAGGTACATGTATGGGAATGGGCACAACAAAGGGAAATAAAATCCTAAAGAACAATATAAATAAAACCATGATATTAGTGCTTGGCTAATGGGGGGGGGGGGGGGGGGGAGAGAAATGACCAACCACTTTTTTTTTATAACAATAAAACACCAGATTATTATTTTCACTTAAAGAAAATCTGTTGAGATGTGTTTGAAAATCTGTTTATATAATTAAATACCCCCTCCCATCCCCTCTTCCATCATTAGCTTGTATAACAACATATCATGTCAATATCCCTACACATTAAAGATTATCACAAATAAATCAGTACTGGTTAATACAATCAAAAGAGATTCTATGGGGATAAAAATGTATAATTGGACAATGGTGAATCCTCAGAGGATTGTAAGGACAGACCATGAAAACACAGCTCAAGTCTTTGGTGCTGGAAATTTTGAGCTTTTGGTGGAGGCAATCAGAAAGAATAGTTCAATCAGTGCAGTTGTGGTAGGGATAGATCGCCTGACTGGCCTGCAGATAGGCTGTTTACAGGAGGCTTGGGGGCTACCAGTCTTTGACCGCTACACCATCGTCCTGCAGATCTTCAAACACCACGCCCAGTCACCAGAGGCTAAGCTGCAAGTAGCTCTAGCTGAGATCCCTTATGTCAGGTAACTAGAGCTGTACAGTTACCTCCCTTTACATGCTTTATCTATAGGGTGTAGGACAAAAGCTAAGCTGCAAGTAGCTCTAGCTGAGATCCCTTATGTCAGGTAACTAGAGCTGTACAGTTACCTCCCTTCACATGCTTTACCTATAGGGTGTAGGACAAAAGTCCGACGCGGACATTTGATATTAAGAATCAAAATACAAGTAGGCTTACAAGTTGTAAAAACACAAACATGTCACATTCAACCCACCTACAACGCCATTAATGTCAACGTATTGTTTCAATAAATGTTAACATATTGTTTCAATAAATTTTAACATTGTTTCAATAAATGTTAACATCGTTTCAATAAATGTTAACGTATCGTTTCAATAAATGTTAACATATTGTTTCAATAAATGTTAACATATTGTTTCAATAAATGTTAACATATTGTTTCAAATGTCAATATATTGTTTCAATGGATGTTAACATATTGTTTCAATAAATGTTAACATATAGTATCAATAAATGTTAACATATTATTTCAATTGTTGAAGGGGAGGTGGGGGAGGTGGGGCAGGCTGACACAAAATGTAAGATTAGTAACAAAGCTACTTCATTGTAATCTAGTCAGCAAACTTTTATTAAACATGTTTGTAATTGTGTTTTATAAATCTTGTCGGCCTTTTGTATTGTCAGCCTTTTTAATGTCAGCTTAATATCCTGTCTGTCTTTTGGCTTGTCAGCCTTTTGGGGGTCATCCATTTATGACGTCCGTTTGTGTGTCGTCGTCGTCCCCCCGTCCACAAAAATCCACTTAATTCCCTTGTAAAAGTCCAAACGTGTCCGCAAAAGTGTGTTTAGTGCGTTATTTTATTTTGGGTATAGCTAAATTTCCATTCGATAAGCTTAACAGATCTTCTAATTTAAATAATTTAAATTTAAATAATATTTTCACCACAAAGACACGTAAAGTCCTGGCAGAGACGTCCATTGGATAGCTTACAGATCTTCTAATTTAAATAATTTAAATTTAAATAATATTTTCACCACAAAGACACGTAAAGTCCTGGCAGAGACGTCAGTGTGACAGCAAGCCTGTCACTCTGGGCGCTGCTATAAAACCCAACCAATCATAGACTTAGACATTTTTTATTTTAACAAACAAAAACTTCTTCGATGTTGACTTTAATGATTTATTCATTGTTATTCCTATTATTATTAGGTTCAGACACTTTTCAATAAGTTACAGTTGTCATATCTTCTAATTTGAGAATATGAGGAAATTAATGTTTGTATTCATTTTATTGTGCACTGATTAAGAAATCATTTTCATTGGCTGAAAAAAACAAAGAGAAAAAAATAATTATAAAAAAATCAACTAAAAACAAACAGAATAACCAGGTTTTTATATAATAATAATAATAATATTCCAATTTTATATTTGGTTTGTGGACTTTACCACTAATCTAACCTCAGCCACCCCCCCCCCCCCCCCCCCTTCTCATTTGGTTGTTATAAATGGATGCCCCAAGGGGACTGGGCAATATTTCGGATCTAGGAAGAGGGATTTATTTGTGGTTTAATGACTTTATAAAGGTTGGGGTGGGAGTTATAGGATATTGGTTTTGCAGTGCAGCGGATAGACCATTTTCCAATGGGAAACTGAGTCGTCTAGTCTTATCTATAGCTAAGGTTAGAAGGGGCATAACTCTTGGTTGTTTTCCCGACAATATTGAACAGAAAGGCTTCACAAACTGTTTAGAAATATCAAGTCAATGTCTAGATACATTTCCCAAACTTAAAAGGACCAAAATTGATGCTGTAAAATAAAACTTTGTGGACTAAAGTTCTGACACAAAGGGGAAGAATTCAATGGACTAAAGTGATATCCTCTAACCTGAACAGATCCCGCATCCAGCTGATGCATGGTGGGTATGAGATGGAGCTGTCACATTTAGCTGGGGGCTCAACCCAAATGACCCTGGAGAAGAGACACATGCTGCTACAGGTGACTGCTCTACCTGCTTTAAACTTCCGTTGTTGTGTGCCCCTGTTTGGTTCATTCATGTGACTTGTAGCATGTTTCCATCAGGTGCTACAGGTGACTGGTCTACCTGCTTTAAACTTCCGTTGTTGTGTGCCCCTGTTTGGTTCATTCATGTGACTTGTAGCATGTTTCCATCAGGTGCTACAGGTGACTGGTCTACCTGCTTTAAACTTCCGTTGTTGTGTGCCCCTGTTTGGTTCAGTCATGTGACTTGTTGCATGTTTCCATCAGGTGCTACAGGTGACTGGTCTACCTGCTTTAAACTTCAGTTGTTGTGTGCCCCTGTTTGGTTCAGTCATGTGACTTGTTGCATGTTTCCATCAGGTGCTACAGGTGACTGGTCTACCTGCTTTAAACTTCAGTTGTTGTGTGCCCCTGTTTGGTTCAGTCATGTGACTTGTAGCATGTTTCCATCAGGTGCTACAGGTGACTGGTCTACCTGCTTTAAACTTCAGTTGTTGTGTGCCCCTGTTTGGTTCAGTCATGTGACTTGTAGCATGTTTCCATCAGGTGCTACAGGTGACTGGTCTACCTGCTTTAAACTTCAGTTGTTGTGTGCCCCTGTTTGGTTCAGTCATGTGACTTGTAGCATGTTTCCATCAGGTGCTACAGGTGACTGGTCTACCTGCTTTAAACTTCAGTTGTTGTGTGCCCCTGTTTGGTTCAGTCATGTGACTTGTAGCATGTTTCCATCAGGTTGGGTTTCCAATTTCCAATCAAACGTAACAATGTAATTACATTTTTAAAATTTAATTAAATTGAGGTCAGCTGTCAATTTTTTGTTATTATTGAAGAGAAGGGAACATAGAATTAAAAGAGAACTGGACAAGCTGCACAGCAAACGACAAGAAATACGACTCAAGCGCCAGCGTGACAGTCAACCAACTGTAGCTGTTGTGGGCTATACAAATTCAGGTCTGTCTAACACTAGACGTCTGTCAAACTTGTGTGCTAATACAGCACTGTATAACAAGTGCACTAATATTTTACATAAAAAAAGGTATTTAGCGTTGTATTTTGATTGTTATCTAAAGGATGAAAGTTGCTAATCTAAAGGATGAAAGTTGCTAAGTAAAGAAATAATTGTCTGAGTTTCTTTGTTTACAGGCAAGACAACTCTAATCAAAGCTTTAACAAAAGATGAATCACTAACACCACAAAACAATCTGTTTGCTACTCTGGATGTCTCTGCACATGTAGGCATGCTGTCCAGTAGGGTCAAGGTCACATATATTGACACTGTAGGGTTTATATCAGACATGCCCATCACGCTGCTGGATGCCTTTAGAGCTACGCTGGAGGACGCCATGATGGCTGTATGTACACCATACCCTAACTCATTTCTAAACCCTACAACCTAACTAACCCTAACAGAGCTAAACCCATCCCAAAAGTCAAACCTGCCAAAACTAAGACACAACCTACCAAAACCTAAACACAAACCTGCCAAAACTTAGACACAAACATGACAAACACATCTTTTATTTAAGGTTGTAAGTCACATTCAGTCTCAGCACAATGTGTTCTCAATGTGTTCTCAATCTGTTCTCAATTGGTTTTCAATTGGTTCTCAATGTGTTCTCAATGTGTTCTCAGTGTGTTCTCAATGTGTTCTCAATGTGTTCTCAGTGTGTTCTCAATGTGTTCTCAATTGGTTCTCAATTGGTTCTCAATGTGTTCTCAATGTGTTCTCAATGGGTTCTCAATCTGTTCTCAATCTGTTCTCAATGTGTTCTCAATCGGTTCTCAATGTGTTCTCAATGTGTTCTCAGTGTGTTCTCAATGTGTTCTCAATCTGTTCTCAATTGGTTCTCAATCTGTTCTCAATGTGTTCTCAGTGTGTTCTCAATCTGTTCTCAATGTGTTCTCAATCTGTTCTCAATGTGTTCTCAGTGTGTTCTCAATGTGTTCTCAATCTGTTCTCAATTGGTTCTCAATGTGTTCTCAGTGTGTTCTCAATCTGTTCTCAATTGGTTCTCAATGTGTTCTCAGTGTGTTCTCAATGTGTTCTCAGTGTGTTCTCAATCTGTTCTCAATCTGTTCTCAATGTGTTCTCAATGTGTTCTCAATCTGTTCTCAGTTGGTTCTCAATGTGTTCTCAATGTGTTCTCAGTAAGTTCTCAATGTGTTATCAATGTGTTATCAATGTGTTATCAATGTGTTCTCAATGTGTTCTCAATGTGTTATCAATGTGTTCTCAATGTGTTCTCAGTGTGTTCTCTTGTTGTGTCAAGGATTTGATTGTTCATGTGCGTGATGCCAGCCACCCAGACTTGAAGCTCCAGGTTGTGTCCGTCCACAAAACTCTCCAGAGAATGTTGCCTGAAGGGAAGCTCAACTCCATGATAGAAGTCTACAACAAGGTGGACCTGATCCCTACACAGTAAGTAGCTAGTGATCCCACTGGATCCCTACAGTCAGTAGGTAATGATCCCACTGGATCCCTACACAGTAAGTAGCTAGTGATCCCACTGGATCCCTACACAGTAAGTAGCTAGTGATCCCACTGGATCCCTACACAGTAAGTAGCTAATGATCCCACTGGATCCCTACACAGTCAGTAGCTAATGATCCCACTGGATCCCTACACAGTAAGTAGCTAATGATCCCACTGGATCCCTACACAGTCAGTAGCTAATGATCCCACTGGATCCCTACACAGTAAGTAGCTAGTGATCCCACTGGATCCCTACACAGTAAGTAGCTAATGATCCCACTTGATCCCTACAGTCAGTAGCTAATGATCCCACTGGATCCCTACAGTCAGTAGCTAATGATCCCACTTGACCCCTACAGTCAGTAGCTAATGATCCCACTTGACTTGATCCCTACACAGTAAGTAGCTAATGATCCCACTGGATCCCTACAGTCAGTAGCTAATGATCCCACTGGATCCCTACAGTCAGTAGCTAATGATCCCACTGGATCCCTACAGTCAGTAGCTAATGATCCCACTTGACTTGATCCCTACAGTCAGTAGCTAATGATCCCACTGGATCCCTACAGTCAGTAGCTAATGATCCCACTGGATCCCTACAGTCAGTAGCTAATGATCCCACTGGATCCCTACAGTCAGTAGCTAATGATCCCACTGGATCCCTACAGTCAGTAGCTAATGATCCCACTGGATCCCTACAGTCAGTAGCTAATGATCCCACTGGATCCCTACAGTCAGTAGCTAATTATCCTACTTGATCCCTACACAGTCAGTAGCTAATGATCCCACTGGATCCCTACAGTCAGTAGCTATTGATCCCACTTGACTTGATCCCTACAGTCAGTAGCTAATGATCCCACTGGATCCCTACAGTCAGTAGCTAATGATCCCACTGGATCCCTACAGTCAGTAGCTAATGATCCCACTGGATCCCTACAGTCAGTAGCTAGTGATCCCACTGGATCCCTACAGTCAGTAGCTAATGATCCCACTGGATCCCTACAGTCAGTAGCTAATGATCCCACTTGACCCCTACAGTCAGTAGCTATTGATCCCACTTGACTTGATCCCTACAGTCAGTAGCTAGTGATCCCACTGGATCCCTACAGTCAGTAGCTAATGATCCCACTGGATCCCTACAGTCAGTAGCTAATGATCCCACTGGATCCCTACAGTCAGTAGCTAATGATCCCACTGGATCCCTACAGTCAGTAGCTAATGATCCCACTTGACCCCTACAGTCAGTAGCTATTGATCCCACTTGACTTGATCCCTACAGTAAGTAGCTAATGATCCCACTGGATCCCTACAGTCAGTAGCTAATGATCCCACTGGATCCCTACAGTCAGTAGCTAGTGATCCCACTGGATCCCTACAGTCAGTAGCTAATGATCCCACTGGATCCCTACAGTCAGTAGCTAGTGATCCCACTGGATCCTTACACAGTAAGTAGCTAGTGATCCCACTTGATCCCTACACAGTAAGTAGCTAATGATCCCACTGGATCCCTACAGTCAGTAGCTAATGATCCCACTGGATCCCTACAGTAAGTAGCTAATGATCCCACTGGATCCCTACAGTCAGTAGCTAGTGATCCCACTGGATCCTTACACAGTAAGTAGCTAGTGATCCCACTTGATCCCTACACAGTAAGTAGCTAATGATCCCACTGGATCCCTACAGTCAGTAGCTAATGATCCCACTGGATCCCTACAGTAAGTAGCTAATGATCCCACTGGATCCCTACAGTCAGTAGCTAATGATCCCACTGGATCCCTACAGTCAGTAGCTAATGATCCCACTGGATCCCTACAGTCAGTAGCTAGTGATCCCACTGGATCCCTACAGTCAGTAGCTAATGATCCCACTGGATCCCTACAGTCAGTAGCTAATGATCCCACTGGATCCCTACAGTCAGTAGCTAGTGATCCCACTGGATCCCTACAGTCAGTAGCTAATGATCCCACTGGATCCCTACAGTCAGTAGCTAATGATCCCACTTGACCCCTACAGTCAGTAGCTATTGATCCCACTTGACTTGATCCCTACAGTCAGTAGCTAATGATCCCACTGGATCCCTACAGTCAGTAGCTAATGATCCCACTGGATCCCTACAGTCAGTAGCTAATGATCCCACTGGATCCCTACAGTCAGTAGCTAGTGATCCCACTGGATCCCTACAGTCAGTAGCTAATGATCCCACTGGATCCCTACAGTCAGTAGCTAATGATCCCACTTGACCCCTACAGTCAGTAGCTATTGATCCCACTTGACTTGATCCCTACAGTCAGTAGCTAATGATCCCACTGGATCCCTACAGTCAGTAGCTATTGATCCCACTTGACTTGATCCCTACAGTCAGTAGCTAATGATCCCACTGGATCCCTACAGTCAGTAGCTAATGATCCCACTGGATCCCTACAGTCAGTAGCTAGTGATCCCACTGGATCCCTACAGTCAGTAGCTAATGATCCCACTGGATCCTTACACAGTAAGTAGCTAGTGATCCCACTTGATCCCTACACAGTAAGTAGCTAATGATCCCACTGGATCCCTACAGTCAGTAGCTAATGATCCCACTGGATCCCTACAGTAAGTAGCTAATGATCCCACTGGATCCCTACAGTCAGTAGCTAATGATCCCACTGGATCCCTACAGTCAGTAGCTAGTGATCCCACTGGATCCCTACAGTCAGTAGCTAATGATCCCACTGGATCCCTACAGTCAGTAGCTAATGATCCCACTTGACCCCTACAGTCAGTAGCTATTGATCCCACTTGACTTGATCCCTACAGTCAGTAGCTAATGATCCCACTGGATCCCTACAGTCAGTAGCTAATGATCCCACTGGATCCCTACAGTCAGTAGCTAATGATCCCACTGGATCCCTACAGTCAGTAGCTAATGATCCCACTTGACCCCTACAGTCAGTAGCTATTGATCCCACTTGACTTGATCCCTACAGTAAGTAGCTAATGATCCCACTGGATCCCTACAGTCAGTAGCTAATGATCCCACTGGATCCCTACAGTCAGTAGCTAGTGATCCCACTGGATCCCTACAGTCAGTAGCTAATGATCCCACTGGATCCTTACACAGTAAGTAGCTAGTGATCCCACTTGATCCCTACACAGTAAGTAGCTAATGATCCCACTGGATCCCTACAGTCAGTAGCTAATGATCCCACTGGATCCTTACACAGTCAGTAGCTAGTGATCCCACTTGATCCCTACACAGTAAGTAGCTAATGATCCCACTGGATCCCTACAGTCAGTAGCTAATGATCCCACTTGACCCCTACAGTCAGTAGCTATTGATCCCACTTGACTTGATCCCTACAGTCAGTAGCTAATGATCCCACTGGATCCCTACAGTAAGTAGCTAATGATCCCACTGGATCCCTACAGTCAGTAGCTAATGATCCCACTGGATCCCTACAGTCAGTAGCTAATGATCCCACTTGACCCCTACAGTCAGTAGCTATTGATCCCACTTGACTTGATCCCTACAGTCAGTAGCTAATGATCCCACTGGATCCCTACAGTCAGTAGCTAATGATCCCACTGGATCCCTACAGTCAGTAGCTAATGATCCCACTGGATCCCTACAGTTAGTAGCTAATGATCCCACTTGACTTGACCCCTACTGTGAGTAGCTAATGATCCCACTGGATCCCTACAGTCAGTAGCTAATGATCCCATTTGATTCCTACAGTCAGTAGCTAATGATCCCACTTGACTTGATCCCTACAGTCAGTAGCTAATGATCCCACTTGACTTGACCCCTACTGTGAGTAGCTAATGATCCCATTTGATCCCTACAGTCAGTAGCTAAAGAACCTAGTCACAATACATGAAATGTTGAGATGGTTGACTAATGTTCCCCACTATTTGAGCAGAGCTGCGGAGGCTTTAGACCCTGGCATTCTACAGATCTCTGCTGTCAGGGGCAATGGCTTGGCTGAGTTAGGAGAACAGCTGGGGCAGAGACTGCTGCAGGAAACTAATTTGATGCAGAAAACATTTCGCATCCCTAACAGTGAAAATATATTGAGGTAAAATATGATGAATGTCTGCTCCAACTTCAATCCATGTTTTGTATGGGCTCATGGGTTCCCATGAATGAGGCAATGGGGTGTTAATATGTTCAGACATTGTGTACATGGGATGTTAATATGTTCAGACATTGTGTACATGGGATGTTAATATGTTCAGACATTGTGTACGTGATATGTTAATATGTTCAGACATTGTGTACATGGGATGTTAATATGTTCAGACATCATTGTGTATGTGGGATTTACTGAACAAGTTGCTGGTATGTTACACTTGTTGAACTGTACCAAATACTTGCTACTGTCTATTTATAAAGAATCAAATGATTGATTTGAACTTGCAACAAGCTGCTGCATTGAACTGAACTCCTCCAGCTGTTTCTAAAATGTGATGCTACTTTCAGGTGGCTGTACAGTGAAGCAGCTGTTAGCTCTGTCAGACCAGACCCAAGGGATGGCCAGTTTCTCATTGTTGATTTGGTCATTTCACCTCCTGCCTATGGGAAATTTTGTGCCAGATTTGCTCGAAAAAAGAGTCAATAGTAAATAAAAACAGTTATAAAAAGTAACAGCTTTTGTGTAGTACTTGTGTAAATGTCAGATAACTCACCTGTCTGGTCAGATAACTCACCTGTCTGGTCAGATAACTCACCTGTCTGGTCAGATAACTCACCTGTCTGGTCAGGTAACTCACCTGTCTGGTCAGATAACTCACCTGTCTGGTCAGATAACTCACCTGTCTGGTCAGATAACTCACCTGTCTGGTCAGATAACTCACCTGTCTAGTCAGATAACTCACCTTTCAGTCTGGTTGGGAGGGGGGGTAGGTCTGGCTTTTTGTGACCATGTGTGACGGAGGGGAGGTAAAAATCGTCCAAAAAAGCGTGACGTCATTTGTGGATAACCCGTTAACTTTATACTAATTATTATTTTAGTTTTCTAGATCTATATTAAATGTGAATAATGCTATATTTTGTATTTAAATAACAACAACTCAATTAAAACTAACACTGATCATACAGTTAATTATCCGCTCAGCTCAGTGGCGGAGGGTGGGAGTGTTAGGTGGGTTATAACCCCCCCCCCCCCCTCCATGGACCCCTCTGTAAAAAACAATTATTGTCATAATACCAGAGCTACTTATTTAAATCTATTTTTGAATCAGTAGGCTATACATGTGTAATTGATTTTGTATGTTTAGAACAGTCGCTATAAAAACTGTTGCTTTATTTACTCTGAGTTGGTTATCCCCACCTCACCACCACAATTGTATAGAGCGACAATAATATCACACTTATGTATACTCTGGGTTGGATGATTGTCCTAAAGTGACCGGACAGTGGTGAATGAAGTTGACCCCCTCCCCCCAACCCCGAACTGATCTGTTAAGTACATTTGGGAAAACGCGTAATGATGCACCAAAGTACCATGCCGCCAGAATCATAGCTTTTGAAACTTAAATCTCTGTGAATATTGTTTTTGAAATTACCAGTATTATTGTGTGTGAGCAATACAGTGATCTAACCCAAATCTCGACGTTTTACACCTCCCTGAGTCGGAAAAACATATTTTTGCAATCTTGTCCATATGTATGTGTGTATGTCTGTCTGTAAACACGATAACTTGAGTAACGTTACAGCTAGGTTGATGAAATTTCATATATAAGTATTTTATCAAAATCGTAGATCCGTATCAACTTTTGAGCGATTTCCGATAACCGGAAGTGGTACTTTTTCTCCTTTGAATTTTTCAAAAGCCTATAACTTGAGTACTATTTCAGATAGATAAATGAAATTTCACATGTAAGTAAAAGATCTAATTCTCTACCTTCTGTTAAATTTTGAGTAATTTCCGTTGACGGGAAGTACTAATTTACGCTATTTCCGATTTCTCAAAAACGCATCTAAATTTATAAAGTACTAATAATATTGCGCACCATTATGAACATCTTTATTCGGCGTTCGCTTGGTGTGCAATACTTTTTTCTACGAGATTCTATTCTATTTTTAAAAGTAATTAAAAATCATGTCTATATTCCGAGTTGCAATCCCACATAGTGTTATATAAGAATATTCGAGAAAGTTTAGGGGAGATTACTCCCGGTTTATTCTACGAGTTTCTATTCTATTTTTTAAAGTTTAAGTATGTAAAAATTAATTAAAAAGCATGTCTATATCCTGAGTTGCCATCACCCGTAGTGTTATTTAAGAATACTAGCGTGCCCGAGAAGACAGTATGACGTAATATTTTAAGAGGGTTTCATTATTGCGTTACCAGTCATATATTTTTAGATACGTGACCTTGTTTTCTAAAAACAGAATTATTTGAATGTTATTCATGGCCGAGCAACATTTCTTGAATCATATTTGTCGGGACACGGGTTTGTCCATATTACCACCCAGCATGCACTAGAGCGTTGTGTATGAAAGCCGTGAGTGTACATTTATCACTGTCAGTAATAATAAGTGTACATTTATCACTCTCAGTAATAATGAGTGTACATTTATCACTATCACTGTCAGTAATAATGAGTTAAATCACACTTCGGCGACAATCCAGGTGTCAGGGACGTAGCAGGGCGCTCTTGGGAGCCCCCAGTTACATTACCGCTAGGGCGCCCGTACGGCCCTTGCTCAGTTTAATCAACGAATGTAGTGTGCCACTGTGTCAATATTATAATAGTGTGCTCCTTAAAACTAAAATAGTTCTCACAGGATACCCCAGGGCACCTAATCGCACCCTCTTGGGGTGCCGCCCTTGCAAAATTGAATAAGATTTCTTTTTGCAGAAACCTCCCCTGGATTGTTCTAATAAACTCCCAAAAGTTTCATGGCGATCGGATGATAGTGTCAAACCGCAATCGACTTTTTATAAAGAAGAATTGAATTGCGACCATGCCGGGGCGCCGCCCCTTCGAATTTTATTTTTACAAGCTTTTATTTAACTCACTTCCTCTGTTGTCAGTCTTTCATCAGTCTAGATCGAAACGCAGGAGTGAAAATTTGGACACTTCTACTTGACCGATACGATTCACAGTTGGCACGTGAGTCAAGACATGAAGACAATGCATAGTGACATTAAATTTGACTTAATTGGATGCCTAATTAATTTTTTGTGAATTAATTAAAATTTGGCTCGAATTAGTAGGCATGTCTATCCAACCACACCACACGCGTCATCATGTTCAATAGCTGCGCCATCAAGTTTCAATCGGCGCGCAATGGTTTTTAGTCATGTAACACTATTGTAAATAAAACATGTAAAGTACTGAAAAAAAAAATTCATAAAAAAACGTTTTAATAACAAGCTTTTATGTACTAATGCACTAAAAAGTAGAAAATAAATTATAGACTACAATTTAAATAACTAGAAAGACTTTTTTCTCCGGGGGGGGGGGGGGGGGTAACTAAAATTTTCGGGGGGGGGGGGGCGGGCACTGTTAAAAGTATATATATATCTATATATATAATTCTCTTCTGGGAGCCGTTAGAAAACAAGCTGCAACCTCGCCTTACAGTCCCCTCTCTATTGCTACCACACCCCACCCCCTCACATGGTTTGGTGAGCTGTGGTTCACGCTGTTTACATTTTACAATCATAGAGACGGGTTTGGTGACGGCTATTAGGGGCAGATAATTTAGTTTGAAACTATTTTAAACTTAGAGGAGGTAACTAAGAGGAGGCTGCTTTCACGTTGGGGGGGGGGGGGGGGGTTCGTGTTTTAAAGAAATATTTTCAGTGTCGGCGTTGGTACTGTCGAATTCACAAATTATGAATTACTGAAAAGTAGAAAAAACAACAACTAAATATTAATATAGCGGCGTATATTATGCCGCGGGCCGGCTCGTTTTCTATATAGTAGTATATAGATCTAGTATATAAATTCCATTTTAGATGTCTGAAAGAAACTCTGGATTCGAGAAAGTTTAGGGCGGCAGATAACTCCCATTCCTCCCCCCCCCTCCCTTCCAGTCAACACAAGTCGATTTGTTTTGGACCCTTCCCGCTCCATGTGGGCGTCGTAAATGGATGATCCCCTGTACGGATACAACCCGACCACAGCACGACTTGGAGGTTGACTCTTTGTAAAAATAAAATGTGTAAATAGGGGGCTGTGTGTAGAATTAATGGTCAAAATAGCATTTAAATTGACAATGACTTTTCGTAGTTCATTCATTAAAGTATGATTAAAGATTTTGGTGAATTTAGTCTTGAATCTCTATAAACTAGTACTTTAAGACTTTAAGATTAATAATATAGAATAAAAAATCTAAAAAACTATTCATGTTTTGCTTAGGCGTGTTTAATAAGTTCAAAGACTACTAGATTTCTAGAGTTCTATACTAAGGTCTAAGGCAGGTCACTAGATTACTAGATCTAGAATGAGTAGAATCTAGAGAATCTAGATCTAGATCTAGATCTCTAGTCTAGAATCTAGATCTAGAAAAACTAAAACAAGACAGGTAAAAATCACAGGGCACTAGGCCTAGAGGCTAGATTCTCTAGGGTAATCTATCGTTTTAGGTACGTAAAATCGCCCGCGACTAGTAATGTGAAAAACAGGTGACTCCTTAAATTATTAAATTTTAATAATAATAATAGTAATAATATAGGGTTGTCGGCATCCGCCGAGTTCGCGGTAAAAACATGACCCGAAATCGCCCATTACTTTCTGATACCGGACCCACGAGATTTGGTTTTGCATACTAATAAGTTTTTAATTTATGTTAATTAATTAAGTTTAAAAGGTCATTTCCTAAGGTTAATTAAAAAGTAGAGTGGTTGTCCCTTAGTTTTAATGGCTTTGCGACCTGATTGCATGCTGTCTCTGCTTTGGTCTTCCCCCTGTATCAAGGTTAGTTTCAAATACGTTGGAATCTCGATTTTTTAAAAGATTCCTCTAGATGAGAGTAGATTACTGATCAGACATATCTTAAGTAATTGGAAATGAAATTTGTTTTTGGATATTTTGACTCTGACATTAGTTATACCCCTCCGAACGTAGTCACTGTATGTAGGTCACGCTGCCACCATTGTTATATTTTTTCATCCCGATCTTCCTGCCTTTAAGTTTGATCAACTAATAACAGCAATCTTATGGCATGTGCAAACAAATCTAATTTTTTATTTCAAAATATATTTACATACCCATCTTTAATTTTTTCAGCTCTAGTTCTAGTTTTCTAGAATATGTTTTTCCTAAAAATCCAATTTTGTCAGACTAGACTCTACTCTAGACTGACAAGAGTCAGACCTAGATCTAGGTTACCTGTCTGTTGCTATACACTAACATTGTGCTAACTGTAATTTTAAGTATTCAAGTTCTACTTACCCTTAGATATAGTTATATGCTGAAAATCAGAATCCATTCACAATTCACACATAAAAACATTGATCTGATAACTTCATTTCACTTATTACAAAATGGCTTTTATATGGACTCTACTTCACCTGCCCAAAATAACAAGGCAGTTATAGACACATTACAGTGTTCATGTCATTTACTTTAGATTTCTGACTATGGAGTTCTTTCATTCACTGTATTTATATAAAATATTGCTTTAGAAACATTTTCATATTTGCGCAGCAGTTTTATAACAAAATGGCTTAAAGATGGACTCTACTTCACCTGCCCAAAATAATGAGGCAATTATATGCACATAACAGTGTTCAAGTCATTTACTTTAGATTTCTAACTTTGTAGTTCTTTCATTTGCTGTATTTATATAAAATATGGCTTTAGAAACATTTTCATATTTGCGCAGCACACAGTTTTTTGGGGTTATGGGAGGAAGCCAACACAAAAATATAAGTTCTGTATTATTTTTATTAATTTCAACAGCATTTACAAGTTCTATATATCATTCTAGTTAAACTCTGCAAATATGAACAAAATACAACTGTAAGTAAAATAACTATGCTCAATTTATTCAGGTATACCATGACTTGTCACAATTGGCCAATGCAAAAGCAAGGGGATTCCACCCCTCACAAAAAAATTCGCCAAAAAAAAACTATTTGAGCTAGACAGAAAATCTTTTTTGTTTTGTTTTCATATTGTTGAGCTCTACAAGAATATGTAATTTTTATTTTTATATGATGATTAGTGTTTTTTTAAATAGTGCCTAATTAATAATTATTTCACATTTTTGAGGATGATTTATGTTTTGAAAAATACAAAATAATATTAACTAGTCTGATAACTAGGCTATTAAACTAGGCCTTCATACTAACTTCATAGAATTTGTAGAGTTCATAATAGTTCATATTACATATGAACTCTTCTCATTTGCCCAGTGTATTGCTAGGACTAAAGAGGAATCTATTGTTTAAATTAGAATTTGTAGAGTTCATATGAACTCTTCTCATTAAGAATACAATGTTTAGCTTATAGATCTACATTGAATTAAAGACTGGAGACTAACAGATCATGATCTGTGATGACTTAATCTGAAGTGTTTAGCTTTTAGATTATTTGATTTGATTCTGAGTACAATGTGAATGAGCATACTTACTACAGAAAAAACTTTTTTTCTTCAGATTTCAACCAATGGCTACAAAAATCACTGCTGTGTTTGTATAAGTAAATTGAACAATACTGTTTCATAACCTCTGATTTAACACCCATCAGAATTAGATGAAAATTTAAGACACTTCAAGCCTAGTTAACAATACATCAAGATCAGATGAAAGTTTAAACAATGTCACGGAGAGGTGGAAAACGTAAACCAGTGCTGCAGCTGGGCAACTCCAGCAGTAAACTACGTGAGTCTTGCTACCTAGGGTTGTCTTTTTACTTAGCTAGGAGCAATAGGCCTGTTTGTTTTTTAACTGACTATCTAACCTGCACTGATTAATAAGACTTGAATGTATACAATTCTTCTTTTTTTCAGATCGTTATGGCTACAGTAAAGAATTTCATTCCAAAGATTCAAAAAGTAACATTAAAAATAATTTTTATATTTGCAGTATGCTATATTTCTTGAATTTGATGCTTTCTTAAGATATCCTGTTATATGAACTTGAAAAGATTTACAAGAAATTGTTGGCAAAAGTTTTCTTTTAAAAAAATTCTTCATTGTATTTATAAATTGTGATCCATTGTGTGACTTATGGATTAATGGTCAAGTGTGGGGTTTGTTAAAGATGATATAGTTTTTTTTTTAGTGTCTATTTGTAGTTAACTATAAGAAGGCTATTGGTAGTTTGCTATTTTTAGCCGACTAATGAAATTTATTTTTAAATTTATTGTCATGCTCATGCGTGCATATTTTTTTTTTATCTTGTGTAAGACACTCTACTTTTCAGCAATTTGACAACATTTCAAATGGTTGTGTATCAGGTAGCTTGTAAAAAAACACATACTTTAGGGTTAGGGTTTTAGCATTAGGGATTAGGTTTGGGGTTAGGGTTAGGTATTAAGGGTTAGGGTCAGGCATTAAGGTTAGAGGTAAGGCATTAGGATTAGTGTTAAGGTTAGGGGTTAGGACTCAGGGTTAGTTATAAGGTAAAATCTAGAAACATTAGTTCTACTTAACAGTTCGTAATTCATAAATAGAGGAATTCAATTTGTAGCGAACTACTAATAGCCTCAACCTTTATTTTTCAATGGTGACACTTTTCTTCACATTGACTCTTTATAATTAATGCAGTTTTTAAGAAATATAAAGATGAAATTTTTTTTTTCATTTACAAAATTAGTATTTGTAGAATCTAGTAAAATGTAGAGTCTAGTAAAATGTAGAGTCTAGTAAAATGTAGAGTCTAGTAAAATGTAGAGTCTAGTAAAATGTAGAGTCTAGTAAAATGTAGAGTCTAGTAAAATGTAGAGTCTAGTAAAATGTAGAGTCTAGTAAAATGTAGAGTCTAGTAAAATGTAGAATCTAGTAAAATGTAGAGTCTAGTAAAATAGAATGAGCTCAATGAGAAACATTTATCATTTTAGAATGACTCAATTTATTAGGGGATAAAAAATGGTTGTCTTTTTTTTTTACTCTAGATTGTTTTATTGAATAAGAAAATTTTGCATCAATTGGTGCCTAAGTCCTGTACAAAAAGTTGTGTGGGATGGGTAAATGAAGATGTGGATTCAGTTTGTTTTTTCAAAGAGAAAGTGTCAGATTAATAATGAAGAATGGGTGGATTACAGTAAAAATTGAAATTTTATTTTGTCTGTTAGGTAGAGGCTCAGCTTTGACACTTGTAGGAAATTATTCAGATAGTGACTCAAATGAGCTCAGTGATACAGAGGAACAAGCTGACGCCTTGGATGGCAAGCGGGGTAAGGTCTATGTTGTTGTCCTCATGCCAGCAAAACTTGTCCAGTACAATCAATGACTTGAGCAAGTTACAACATCATTGTATAATCAGTGCTTGCTGCTGCTAATGAAATCACATCCAGCCAGTCATAAGTAAGTCTATTTTTGTGTAATAACTTGTATTTTCAGAGTCAAATGTAGATGAAAGTATAACTCAAGAAAGCACAGACCAAAAAAAGAAAGAAAACTCGTCTCAAGCTGCTGATATGGATAATGAATTAAAAAATTTTCTTTCGGTAAGTTTTGAAAAAAAACGCAGGGTTCTTATATTCCGGGATTTTTTTACTTTCCGTAATTGCAAGATTTGAGTTTTAAATTTCTGGGTTTGCAGTAAAAAAAAAATCTAGACTCTTTTAAACTTGAAAATTTGTTATTCTAGAAGTCGTTTTTATTATTAATTCAGGGCATTTTTACGACTTATGGCCCTTTCTGCCAGTTGCGTATGCATAGATGGTTTAACATCCACTTGGTAAACAGAATCAGATTGGTATTAAATTTAAAGTTGGAATGAAGTATTAGGCAGTCCTTACTTACCCAATTGACTGTCATTTTTAGCAAGCTATCATTTTGTGGGACTGAACTAACATTTATAAATCTGTCTCTGGCCATTACTAGCTACCCCACATCACATGGACATTCAGTCACTGTGACCTGAGATTTTTGTTCAACTTACTGTGATCTCATAGTAGTCTAGTGGTTGTTCTACATCTGTACCTATCAACTTTTGTTGAACTTACTCTCATAGTAGTCTAGTGGTTGTTCTACATCTGTATCTATCAACTTTTGTTGAACTTACTCTCATAGTAGTCTAGTAGTTGTTCTACATCTCTACCTATCAACTTTGCATGTAACCAGAAACAACCCAACAAAATTTGCTACTGCCAGCGCTTACTGCATTCATAAAGAAAATTAATAGCAACTTAACGTCATTAATGGCAAATTGTTTGGCGTGTGAACTTTCTATGACCGTGTGAATTTGCTACTACTAATTAAAATTACGCATGGACACTACCTCTCAATTTTATCCACTATTTTAAATAAAGTGGTCAGCTCCTAGTCCTAACAATATCCTCCACTTTACCATCTTATCCAGCTCCTAGTCCTAACAATATCCTCCACTTTACCATCTTATCCAGCTCCTAGTCCTAACAATATCCTCCACTTTACCATCTCATCCAGCTCCTAGTCCTAACAATATCCTCCACTTTACCATCTCATCCAGCTCCTAGTCCTAACAATATCTATGTTCAGCTGCTTTATATCACTCATCTAAACAACTACGCTATCTTTGATCAACTCCTAACACTCATCTAAACAACTCAGCTATCTTTGATCAACTCCTAACACTCATCTAAACAACTCCGCTATCTTTGATCAACTCCTAACACTCATCTAAACAACTCAGCTATCTTTGATCAACTCCTAATACTCATCTAAACAACTCAGCTATCTTTGATCAACTCCTAACACTCCTCTGAACAACTCCGCTATCTTTGATCAACTCCTAACACTCATCTAAACAACTCAGCTATCTTTGATCAACTCCTAATACTCATCTAAACAACTCAGCTATCTTTGATCAACTCCTAACACTCCTCTGAACAACTCCGCTATCTTTGATCAACTCCAACTCGTTTGAGTGACCAACTGCTATTGTCTGACGTTTGGTCAGCTGTTACACATGTTGTGTCATGGTACTCTAGTGGTGTGCTCATGTTGTGTCATGGTACTCTAGTGGTGTGCTCATGTTGTGTCATGGTACTCAAGTGGTGTGCTCATGTTGTGTCATGGTACTCTAGTGGTGTGCTGTGTCATGGTACTCTAGTGGTGTGCTCATGTTGTGTCATGGTACTCTAGTGGTGTGCTCATGTTGTGTCATGGTACTCTAGTGGTGTGCTGTGTCATGGTACTCTAGTGGTGTGCTCATGTTGTGTCATGGTACTCTAGTGGTGTGCTCATGTTGTGTCATGGTACTCTAGTGGTGTGCTCATGTTGTGTCATGGTACTCTAGTGGTGTGCTCATGTTGTGTCATGGTACTCTAGTGTTGTGTACAAGTAGAGGCTTCACTCAATAGTCTGATCTTTATGTCAACAGGAAATAGAAGCCATTCCAGTGAATGTTTCCAGCAGGGCAGTCTCCCCCCAACCCCCACAAGCTAGTGATAGATGTGGAGCCAGTGAGAAAAGTGTCAACCATTATTCCATGTTTGTTAAAGGGGAGGTGGCTTTTGTCAAGAATTCCAGTCATGAAGTCGCAGCAAATGATCCCGTGACATTTGAACTTCCTGAAGGTGAGTGCTAGAACTAGTGGTATTATGTATGAATGTGATGTGAACATAGTCCCCTTCAAAGTCTTAGTCACACCTTCACTTTGTACTCCAATACACACATGTGGGGAGGCAATGCTAGTGAGGTCTGTTCTGTTTCCTGGAAGCTTTCTAGATGTAAAGTCTTCATGATAAAGGTATCCATGTTGGGTGTCCATGTGGCCTGATTAGGTTGTTGACCTGATAAGGTTGCCCAAGTTGACCTGATACGGTTCCCCATGTTGACCTGATAAGGTTGTTGACCTGATAAGGTTGTTGACCTGATAAGGTTGTTGACCTGATAAGGTTGCCCAAGTTGACCTGATAAGGTTGTTGACCTGATAAGGTTGTTGACCTGATAAGGTTGTCCATGTATGTTCTAGAGCCGACCACGAGCTGGCAGATGGTGCAGGATGAGAGCAGCCAGTACTTGTACTACTGGAACACAGAGACCAACCAGGTGACGTGGGAGATACCCACAGAGTACACACAGTTTCTGCTGCTGCACCAGGAGTATGAAGAGAAGCTGGCCAAGTTGACACCTCAACAGTTGCAGGCTGGGAAAGACAGGTCAGTCACACACCAACATACATACAGATACATATATATATTTATATGGTGCTGGTTTGGGCACTTGCTGGTGCTGCAAGTTTGGCAGGTGATCACATCTGGTAAAATGTTTGAGGAAATTTATTTGGCTAGGCCCTTGCAGAGTGCTACAGAGTGACTGACCAGCGCCTTTTATGAGCTATATATCAAAAAACATTTTGCTCAACACCCCCCACCCCACCGAAATTTTGTGAGGATAAAGAAAACAACATTATGCTGTTTGGGAAAACCTTTAAAAGGCATTAAAATGAGACCTAGATTTTACCATATAATCATTGTATTTTATGTAAAAAACAGGAAAATGTTTTCCATGCTCCTCTATTAACGGCTGGGGTGTATGAGAAAACTGTCATTCAGAAGCTAAGCCCTCAAAGAAGGCTAAAAAGTGACTGCTAGTGAAATTCTCCTGAAATAAGCTATAGATAGAAAAAATTCTTCTCAACGACACCCTATGCTGCTTTGTGAGATCATAGACCAGCCATATATATATATATATATATATATATATATATATATATATATATATATATATATATATATATATATATATATATATATAAATCAAACTATATGTCTCAGTCACTTGAAACCCTCAGCCAATAGAAGTTTTTGTTTCAACAGACAGTTGCAGGGTACAAGCTGCAACCAACTTCAAGCAGTGACCTCTGACCCCACAGCATCCAATGAAAGGCTACCTGAGAGGAAAGTGCCTGTGCCACCATCCCACACTGCCCCTGTGAACTCTGACAAGCAGAAGAAAGATAGGAAAAGTTTGCACAAGAAAAAACACAAGAGAAAACACAGCAGCTCAGATGAGGAGGATCAGCCATGCCCACAGCAGTCTAGGCTGACCAGCATTGTTCCTTACCTGTCTGAGGACGAGGACTTGTCTGGGTCTGACAAGGTCAGTGGAGCACTGGACAGTTTACCTGAGGCTGGACCCTGCCCTGATGAGATGACAGCCCCTGCAGTGTTACCTCCCCCAGCAGCTGTGCCTCCACCCCCTCCAGAAAGTTCACGTCTTGCTCTGCTAAAGCCAACACTGGCAGCAGACCACACAACCAGGCCTGAGACTTCAACCACTCAACCAGTTGTCAGCAGTACTCACACAGTTTTATTGAGCAATCAACCTCTTCTGCCAACCACTCAACCAGTTTTACCTTCTACTGAACCAGTTTTAACCAGTGCAGCGCCTGTGTCCCCAGCGGTTGTTTCCCCAGTGCAAGTGTCACCCACACCTTTGTCACCAGCGCCATTGTCACCAGCACCTTTGTCACCAGCGTCTGTGTCACCTGTACATGTGTCACCAGCACCTGTGTCACCAGCACCTGTGTCACCAAGCTCAGAAGGTGCTGTGATCAGCGTGAGAGTGGATGAAATTAATGACATTCTGAACACCATCCTTGACCCCAGCGCTCCCACCTCTATTGCTGATGTCCCAAAAGTAGTTCTAGAGAAGGCAGTGGAGCCTCTCCCCTCTGACAGGAAGAAGGTGGTGGAACCTCCCCCCTCTGACAGGAAGAAGGTGGTGGAGCCTCCCCCCTATGACAGGAAGAAAGTGGTGGAACCTCCCCCCTCTGACAGGAAGAAGGCGGTGGAGCCTCCCCCCTCTGACAGGAAGAAGGCGGTGGAGCCTCCCCCCTCTGACAGGAAGAAGGCGGTGGAGCCTCCCCCCTCTGACAGGAAGAAGACGGTGGAGCCTCCCCCCTCTGACAGGAAGAAGACGGTGGAGCCTCCCCCCTCTGACAGGAAGAAGGCGGTGGAGCCGACTATGATTGACATGTTTGCTGATGCGTCCATTGTGTCAACACCTTTGAGGAAAGAAAGAACATTTGAGAAGGGAACTCTCAGGCAAGCTCAGTTCAAGGAAGACAAAACAGCAAGCAAGATGGCTGCTGTGGTTGAGCAGGAAAAGTCTGACTCTCCAAAGAGGAAACCAGCTCAAGTCATCAATATTGTTGGCTATGGAAGTGATGAGGAGGATGAACCCTTAGAGGCCAAGGATCACAAGGAAGGGAAACATTCCCACAAAAAAAAGAAAAAGGATAGAAAGAGAGACTCAAAGAGAAGACAAGAAGACAAGCTGGATTTGTTTGATAAGACGCTGGATAAAGACATGGTATCCAGGGTGTCAGATACGCTGGATCAGGCTATCTCCGACATTGTTTCCAAAACAGTGAATGAAACGTTCGCACAAGGTGTGCTGTCCAAACAGGCAAACACAGAGACTGGTGTCTGTGATCAGAAGGTCAAGGCTGAAGATGATGTTGCTGACATTGACTTTGATGACCTTGATGATATTGACAGAGCATTAGAAGTTGCTTTGGAAAAAAAACTGGAGCAGAAAAAGGTAAGAGTTGGTGTAGAGGGATTTATGAATGAGGGGCTACAATGTTGTCTGTTTCTTTGGTCAAATCAAGTGGCTGATGTTTTGTTGATGATGTTTGAGTCTGATGTTTTATTGATGGTGTTTAAGTCTGATGTTTTGTTGATGGTGTTTAAGTCTGATGTTTTGTTGATGCAGGTGGAGCTGAGTTTGATTGATGACGGAGAGAAGTTGGAGGAGAAAGTGTTGACATCAGCTGGTGGTATGGAGCAAGTCAAGCTGGAAGGTTTGAGATTTTTTAATGTGATCATATAGTCAAAGTTACAGTTTGTGTTTCTTAAGGCTCCAGTTTACATTTTAATGTGATCATATAGTCAAAGTTACAGTTTGTGTTTCTTAAGGCTCCAGTTTACATTTTAATGTGATCATATAGTCAAAGTTACAGTTTGTGTTTCTTAAGGCTCCAGTTTACATTTTAATGTGATCATATAGTCAAAGTTACAGTTTGTGTTTCTTAAGGCTCCAGTTTACATTTTAATGTGATCATATAGTCAAAGTTACAGTTTGTGTTTCGGCTCCAGTTTACATTTTAATGTGATCATATAGTCAAAGTTACAGTTTGTGTTTCTTAAGGCTCTAGTTTACATTTTAATGTGATCATATAGTCAAAGTTACAGTTTGTGTTTCTTAAGGCACCAGTTTACATTTTAATGTGATCATATAGTCAAAGTTACAGTTTGTGTTTCTTAAGGCTCCAGTTTACATTTAAATGTGATCATATAGTCAAAGTTACAGTTTGTGTTTCTTAAGGCACCAGTTTACATTTTAATGTGATCATATAGTCAAAGTTACAGTTTGTGTTTCTTAAGGCTCCAGTTTACATTTTAATGTGATCATATAGTCAAAGTTACAGTTTGTGTTTCTTAAGGCTCCAGTTTACATTTTAATGTGATCATATAGTCAAAGTTACAGTTTGTGTTTCTTAAGGCTCCAGTTTACATTTTAATGTGATCATATAGTCAAAGTTACAGTTTGTGTTTCTTAAGGCTCCAGTTTACATTTTAATGTGATCATATAGTCAAAGTTACAGTTTGTGTTTCTTAAGGCTCCAGTTTACATTTTAATGTGATCATATAGTCAAAGTTACAGTTTGTGTTTCTTAAGGCTCCAGTTTACATTTTAATGTGATCATATAGTCAAAGTTACAGTTTGTGTTTCTTAAGGCTCCAGTTTACATTTTAATGTGATCATATAGTCAAAGTTACAGTTTGTGTTTCTTAAGGCTCCAGTTTACATTTTAATGTGATCATATAGTCAAAGTTACAGTTTGTGTTTCTTAAGGCTCCAGTTTACATTTTAATGTGATCATATAGTCAAAGTTACAGTTTGTGTTTCTTAAGGCTCCAGTTTACATTTTAATGTGATCATATAGTCAAAGTTACAGTTTGTGTTTCGGCTCCAGTTTACATTTTAATGTGATCATATAGTCAAAGTTACAGTTTGTGTTTCTTAAGGCTCTAGTTTACATTTTAATGTGATCATATAGTCAAAGTTACAGTTTGTGTTTCTTAAGGCACCAGTTTACATTTTAATGTGATCATATAGTCAAAGTTACAGTTTGTGTTTCTTAAGGCTCCAGTTTACATTTTAATGTGATCATATAGTCAAAGTTACAGTTTGTGTTTCTTAAGGCTGCAGTTTACATTTTAATGTGATCATATAGTCAAAGTTACAGTTTGTGTTTCTTAAGGCTCCAGTTTACATTTTAATGTGATCATATAGTCAAAGTTACAGTTTGTGTTTCTTAAGGCTCCAGTTTACATTTTAATGTGATCATATAGTCAAAGTTACAGTTTGTGTTTCTTAAGGCTCCAGTTTACATTTTAATGTGATCATATAGTCAAAGTTACAGTTTGTGTTTCTTAAGGCTCCAGTTTACATTTTAATGTGATCATATAGTCAAAGTTACAGTTTGTGTTTCTTAAGGCTCCAGTTTACATTTTAATGTGATCATATAGTCAAAGTTACAGTTTGTGTTTCTTAAGGCTCCAGTTTACATTTTAATGTGATCATATAGTCAAAGTTACAGTTTGTGTTTCGGCTCCAGTTTACATTTTAATGTGATCATATAGTCAAAGTTACAGTTTGTGTTTCTTAAGGCTCTAGTTTACATTTTAATGTGATCATATAGTCAAAGTTACAGTTTGTGTTTCTTAAGGCACCAGTTTACATTTTAATGTGATCATATAGTCAAAGTTACAGTTTGTGTTTCTTAAGGCTCCAGTTTACATTTAAATGTGATCATATAGTCAAAGTTACAGTTTGTGTTTCTTAAGGCACCAGTTTACATTTTAATGTGATCATATAGTCAAAGTTACAGTTTGTGTTTCTTAAGGCTCCAGTTTACATTTTAATGTGATCATATAGTCAAAGTTACAGTTTGTGTTTCTTAAGGCTCCAGTTTACATTTTAATGTGATCATATAGTCAAAGTTACAGTTTGTGTTTCTTAAGGCTCCAGTTTACATTTTAATGTGATCATATAGTCAAAGTTACAGTTTGTGTTTCTTAAGGCTCCAGTTTACATTTTAATGTGATCATATAGTCAAAGTTACAGTTTGTGTTTCTTAAGGCTCCAGTTTACATTTTAATGTGATCATATAGTCAAAGTTACAGTTTGTGTTTCTTAAGGCTCCAGTTTACATTTTAATGTGATCATATAGTCAAAGTTACAGTTTGTGTTTCTTAAGGCTGCAGTGTACATTTTGATGTGATCATATAGTCAAAGTTACAGTTTGTGTTTCTTAAGGCTGCAGTTTACATTTTAATGTGATCATATAGTCAAAGTTACAGTTTGTGTTTCTTAAGGCTCCAGTTTACATTTTAATGTGATCATATAGTCAAAGTTACAGTTTGTGTTTCTTAAGGCTGCAGTTTACATTTTAATGTGATCATATAGTCAAAGCTACAGTTTGTGTTTCTAAAGGCACCAGTTTACATTTTAATGTGATCATATAGTCAAAGTTACAGTTTGTGTTTCTTAAGGCCCCAGTTTACATTTAAATGTGATCATATAGTCAAAGTTACAGTTTGTGTTTCTTAAGGCTGCAGTTTACATTTTAATGTGATCATATAGTCAAAGCTACAGTTTGTGTTTCTAAAGGCTCCAGTTTACATTTTAATGTGATCATATAGTCAAAGTTACAGTTTGTGTTTCTAAAGGCACCAGTTTACATTGTAAAAATAAATCATTGATGTTTTTATTTGTTCTAGCTCTAGAAGAAAGTTCCCCTGTAGAATGTTCTAGCAATGTGTGTGATGAAATAATGGAAAAACCACCTGAAGCACAAGATGAAGATAAGATTAAGGTAGATAAGTTTTAGTTTTTTTAAAGTAGTATTTAGTTGGGTTTTTTTTTTTTCAAAAAGTTATACATCATTATATTCCTACTCTAAAGTATCATATTGGTAACACATGGATGAGACTTTTCCAATTTAGGAAATTTAGGAGTTTTTAGAAATCTAATTTTCAGTCCTTAATGAAAAGGGAATGATAGTGTGTGAATAAAGCTGTTTGACTTGATGAAAAGGGAATGATAGTGTGTGAATAAAGCTGAATGACTTGATGAAAAGGGAATGATAGTGTGTGAATAAAGCTGTTTGACTTGATGAAAAGGGAATGATAGTGTGTGAATAAAGCTGTTTGACTTGATGAAAAGGGAATGATAGTGTGTGAATAAAGCTGTTTGACTTGATGAAAAGGGAATGATAGTATGTGAATAAAGCTGTTTGACTTATTCTCCTCAGGAGGAAATCAAGGAAATCGCTGAACTGGCATTGGGCAAATTGGAGTTCCTTGATATTTCCACAGTTAACTTGTCCCGCTTACAAGTCCTCTTCATAGAGCTACAGGTAGGCATTCACTTCATCTAGATAGTCCATTCACTTCATCTAACTGGTCCATTCACTTCATCTAGCTAGTCCATTCATCTAGCTAGTCCATTCACTTCATCTAGCTGGTCCATTCACTTCATCTAGATAGTCCATTCACTTCATCTAACTGGTCCATTCACTTCATCTAGCTGGTCCATTCGCTTCATCTAGCTAGTCCATATATCTAGCTAGTCCATTCACTTCATCTAGATGGTCCATTCACTTCATCTAGCTGGTCCATTCACTTCATCTAGATAGTCCATTCACTTCATCTAACTGGTCCATTCACTTCATCTAGCTGGTCCATTCGCTTCATCTAGCTAGTCCATATATCTAGCTAGTCCATTCACTTTATCCAGCTAGTCCATTCACTTCATTTAGCTGGTGCATTCACTTCATCTAACTGGTCCATTCACTTCATCTAGCTAGTCCATTCATCTAGCTAGTCCATTCACTTCATCTAGATGGTCCATTCACTTCATCTTGCTAGTCCATTCACTTCATCTAGCTAGTCCATTCATCTAGCTAGTCCATTCATCTAGCTAGTCCATTCATCTAGCTAGTCCATTCATCTAGCTAGTCCATTCATCTAGCTAGTCCATTCACTTCATCTAGATAGTCCATTCATCTAGCTAGTCCATTCATCTAGCTAGTCCATTCACTTCATCTAACTGGTCCATTCACTTCATCTAGCTGGTCCATTCGCTTCATCTAGCTAGTCCATATATCTAGCTAGTCCATTCACTTTATCCAGCTAGTCCATTCACTTCATTTAGCTAGTCTATTCACTTCATCTAGCTGGTCCATTCACTTCATCTAACTGGTCCATTCACTTCATCTAGCTAGTCCATTCACTTCATCTAGCTAGTCCATTCACTTTAGCTAGTCCATTCACTTCATCAAGCTAGTCCATTCACTTCATCTAACTGGTCCATTCACTTCATCTAGCTAGTCCATTCACTTTAGCTAGTCCATTCACTTCATCAAGCTAGTCCATTCACTTCATCTAGCTGGTCCATTCACTTCATCTAGATAGTCCATATATCTAGCTAGTCCATTCACTTTATCCAGCTAGTCCATTCACTTCATTTAGCTAGTCTATTCACTTCATCTAGCTGGTCCATTCACTTCATCTAACTGGTCCATTCACTTCATCTAGCTAGTCCATTTATTTAGCTAGTCCATTCACTTCATCTATCTGATCCATTCATCTAGCTAGTCCATTCACTTCATCTCGCTGGTCCATTCACTTCATCTAGCTAGTCCATTCACTTCATCTAGCTAGTCCATTCACTTCATCTAGCTGGTCCATTCACTTCATCTTGCTGGTCCATTCACTTCATCTTGCTGGTCCATTCACTTCATCTAGCTGGACCATTCATCTAGCTAGTCCATTCACTTCATCTAGATGGTCCATTCACTTCATCTAGATGGTCCATTCACTTCATCTAGCTGGTCCATTCACTTCATCTAGCTGGTCCATTCACTTCATCTAGCTAGTCCATTCACTTTATCTAGCTAGTCCATTCACTTCATCTAGCTGGTCCATTTACTTCATCTAGCTGGTCCATTCACTTCATCTAGCTGGTCTATTCACTTCATCTAGCTAGTCCATTCACTTCATCTTGATGGTCCATTCACTTCATCTAGATGGTCCATTCACTTCATCTAGATGGTCCATTCACTTCATCTAACTGGTCCATTCACTTCATCTAGCTGGTCTATTCACTTCATCTAGCTAGTCCATTCACTTCATCTAACTGGTCCATTCACTTCATCTAACTGGTCCATTCACTTCATCTAACTGGTCCATTCACTTCATCTAGCTAGTCCATTCACTTCATCTAACTGGTCCATTCACTTCATCTAACTGGTCCATTCACTTCATCTAGCTAGTCCATATATCTAGCTTGTCCATTCACTTTATCCAGCTAGTCCATTCACTTCACCTAGCTAGTCCATTCACTTCATCTAGATGGCCCATTCACTTCATCTTGATGGTCCATTCGCTTCATCTAGCTAGTCCATTCACTTCATCTAGCTAGTCCATTCACTTCATCTAGCTAGTCCATTCACTTCATGTGAGCACCTACAATGGTGGAGCAGTTGAATGGGGTGCCAATAATATTTAGCTGCTACCTATTTATGTTTGTTTGTTTGAATGCTGTTTGAAATATCTGAAACAAGCATCTCATGTTTATTGCCAGACGAGACACACAGACTGGACATCAGGTGGGCTGTCCAGCCAGTACTACCACCAGCAGCTCAAGGTGGCAGAGGGCCTGATAGAGCAGTACGAGCTGAGTGCCGTGCCCGAGGGTTGGGCCTGCCAGTGGGACAGGTACGCCAGCCTAGACTTTGATGCACTTTTCTGGCACGTATGGACCAAGCCCTACCCTCCCTCCCAGATTTGATTTCCTTTCTAAATGTTGGATATGCTGATGGTGGCAGAAAAAATAAATTGGTAAACCTTATGCTGGTCCATCGTGCCTTCTATTATATGAAGAAAGATTTAGTGTTGGATGTGTAGAAACTTTATCCATGACCATAATAAGCATTGAATAAACATGATTGGGCCATGACTAACTGACCAACACAGCGCAGCCATGACTTCTCCTGGACTAGAAGTCTGTCAAGATGTTACAGGACGGCAACATTGAAGGTGAACTCAGTCTGACTAAAGTAAGTCTTCTTTTTTACTTGCTTATTGGTAGGCCACTGTTGAAACCATACAGGATTGTAGTTGTTGGTTAATGGTAGGCCACATAGCCATACAGGATTGTAGTTGTTGGTTAATGGTAGGCCACATAGCCATACAAGATTGTAGTTGTTGGTTAATGGTAGGCCAGGGTTGAAACCATACAGGATTGTAGTTGTTGGTTAATGGTAGGCCACATAGCCATACAGGATTGTAGTTGTTGGTTAATGGTAGGCCACATAGCCATACAGGATTGTAGTTGTTGGTTAATGGTAGGCCACATAGCCATACAGGATTGTAGTTGTTGGTTAATGGTAGGCCACATAGCCATACAGGATTGTAGTTGTTGGTTAATGGTAGGCCACGGTTGAAACCATACAGGATTGTAGTTGTTGATTAATGGTAGGCCACAGTTGAAACCATACAGGATTGTAGTTGTTGATTAATGGTAGGCCACAGTTGAAACCATACAGGATTGTAGTTGTTGATTAATGGTAGGATTGTTGTTAATAATCTACTTTAGTTTGTACAAATTGATGGATATCTTTGTTAAAATGGGTTTCATAGTTTGGACCACTTGACAGATTTCCAACTTAAAATAAATACCTGAACAGATTTAATCATAAATTTTTTTTAATAAAGTGTTACGGTGATGTAGTTTACAAACTTTTGTTGATAATTAGGCCTCAAAGGGGGATCAGAAATGTCTGAATTTCTTAGCTCTTAAAAGGAATTTCTATTATTGGGTGAAAAATACAGTAATGCAATTTTTAAAAATTTAAGTTAATTACTACAAATAAAATAATGGTGAATAATGATATGATCAGTGTTTAGTTGAGGTAATAAGGATACATGAAATGACATGAACCCAAAGTTGTGTTTAGATACATGATACAGGTATACAGATAAATGATGTGTTGTATACAGATAAAGCCTATGGTGTATAAATGATATGTTGTATACATGATATGTTGTATACATGATATGTTGTATACAGATAAAGCCTATGATGTATAAATGATATGTTGTATACAGATATAAAAGTTGTATACAGGAATATGATATGTTGTATACAGATAAAGCCTAAGGTGTATACAGATAAACGATATGTTGAATGCAGATATATAAGTTGTATACAGAAATATATGTTGTATACAGATAAAGCCTAAGGTGTATACAGATAAATGATATGTTGAATGCAGATATATAAGTTGTATACAGAAATATATGTTGTATACAGATAAAGCCTAAGGTGTATACAGATAAATGATATGTTGTATGCAGATATATAAGTTGTATACAGAAATATATGTTGTATACAGATAAAGCCTAAGGTGTATACAGATAAATGATATGTTGTATGCAGATATATAAGTTGTATACAGAAATATATGTTGTATACAGATAAAGCCTAAGGTGTATACAGATAAATGATATGTTGAATGCAGCAATGTTCAAAGAGATGAACTTACAAAGCTGTCAGATCTGCTGTTTTTCAGGTGATGTCAATCTCAAGGATGAGCTGACCAGTGGATGCCATGTTTGAGCACTTGATTTCATTCACTCACTCGTCATTGTAGTTGTCACATTTTTTTGTTTTGAGTTTTTTTGGACAGAACCTCTATTTATGATACTAACTAGTCGTCCTGCTATTGATAGATACTTTTGTCAAGTGACTACTCACAGACTTAGTAGACTGATACAGCAAGCCTGTCTTTTGTTGTGATACCACTTGGGTCTCATCAAAATATGCAATCATTTGGGGGACATTTCTTTCATTGGAATCATTTGGGGGACATTTCTTTCATTGGAATCATTTGGTGGACATTTCTTTCATTGCAATCATTTGGGGGACATTTCTTTCATTGCAATCATTTGGGGGACATTTCTTTCATTGCAATCAATTGGGGGACATTTCTTTCATTGCAATCATTTGGGGGACATTGCTTTCATTGCAATCATTTGGGGGACATTTCTTTCACTCTATGATCTTAATGCATGTGCCATAAAAAAATAATGGTTTTCACTGATAATTATAGCATTCATAAAAGTAAATAAATGTCTTATTCAACATCTAGCTTTACAAATGTTCAACATCCAGCCTTACAAATGTCCCATTCAATATCCAGCCTTACAAATGTTCCATTCAACATACAGCTCTACAATTGTTCTATTCAACATCCAGATTTACAAATGTTCAACATCTAGCCCAGGGGTCTCAAAACTACTGCCCGCAGAGATATTTTGTCCACGGACAAAACATTTGTTGGCGGTGGTTGAGAAACTTTGCCCAGAAAAACCAATGACATGCCTGGAAGAAACTGGCCCCCGAACTGAAATTTGATAGTTAATGCGGCCCTGAAAAGTTTGGAGACCCCTGATCTAGCCTTACATATGTTTAATTCAACATCCAGCGTTACAAATGTTCCATTCAACATCCAGCCTTACAAATGTTCCATTCAACATCTAGCCTTATAAATGTTCTATTCAACATCTAGCCTAAAAATAGCCTGTGGCTAATTGTTTGTTGGTTTCTAACAGTAGGTGTACTAGACATGACTGTACTTTTGTTTCTTTTATAACAGTGTGAACAGTAAATAATTCCTTGTTTTTATTTTCCTCTTTTGCTGGTTAGGGCTAACAATCGCTACTATTATCGCAACCAAGAGACCAATCGTATTCAGTGGGACTATCCAGAAGTGGACGGCGTAAAAGCTGAGCCAAAGCTCCCTGATGATGATGTGCAGATTGTTTGTGTGAAAAAGAGGGAGAGTCATGTGGCATCAGATGACCAACGTAGACAGCGCAACAGCCGCAGCAGTCGTCACAGAAAAAGAGAGGATAAAGAAAGAGGTGCGTTCACACTCAGCTCATGTCCACACTGTCACACCTCATGTCCACACTGTCACACCTCATGTCCACAGTCACACCTCATGTCCACACTGTCACACCTCATGTCCACAGTCACACCTCATGTCCACACAGTCACACCTCATGTCCACACTGTCACACCTCATGTCCCCACCGTCACACCTCATGTCCACACTGTCACACCTTATGTCCACACTGTCACACCTCATATCCACACTGTCACACCTCATGTCCACACCGTCACACCTCATGTCCACACTGTCACACCTCATGTCCACACTGTCACACCTTATGTCCACACTGTCACACCTCATATCCACACTGTCACACCTCATGTCCACACCGTCACACCTTATGTCCACATCGTCACACCTCATGTCCACACTGTCACACCTCATGTCCACATCGTCACACCTCATGTCCACACCTCATGTCCACACTGTCACACCTCATGTCACAGTCACACCTCATGTCCACACTGTCACACCTCATGTCCACACTGTCACACCTCATGTCCACACCGTCACACCTCATGTCCACACTGTCACACCTCAGGTCCACACTGTCACACCTCATGTCACAGTCACACCTCATGTCCACACCATCACACCTCATGTCCACACCTCATGTCCACACCTCATGTCCACACCTCATGTCCACACTGTCACACCTCATGTCCACACCATCACACCTCATGTCCACACCTCATGTCCACACCTCATGTCCACACTGTCACACCTCATGTCCACACCATCACACCTCATGTCCACACCTCAGGTCCACACTGTCACACCTCATGTCACAGTCACACCTCATGTCACAGTCACACCTCATGTCCACACTGTCACACCTCATGTCCACACTGTCACACCTCATGTCCACACTGTCACACCTCATGTCCACACTGTCACACCTCATGTCCACACTGTCACACCTCATGTCCACACTGTCACACCTCATGTCCACACTGTCACACCTCATGTCCACACTGTCACACCTCATGTCCACACTGTCACACCTCATGTCCACACTGTCACACCTCATCTCACAGTCACACCTCATGTCCACACTGTCACACCTCATCTCACAGTTACACCTCATGTCCACACTGTCACACCTCATCTCACAGTCACACCTCATGTCCACACTGTCACACCTCATGTCCACACCTCATGTCCACACTGTCACACCTCATGTCCACACCGTCACACCTCATGTCCACACTGTCACACCTCATGTCCACACTGTCACACCTCATGTCCACACTGTCACACCTCAGGTCCACACCTCATGTCCACACTGTTACACCTCATGTCCACACTGTCACACCTCATGTCCACACTGTCACACCTCATGTCCACACTGTCACACCTCATGTCCACACTGTCACACCTCATGTCCACACTGTCACACCTCAGGTCCACACCTCATGTCCACACCGTCACACCTCATGTCCACACCGTCACACCTCATGTCCACACTGTCACACCTCATGTCCACACTGTCACACCTCAGGTCCACACTGTCACACCTCAGGTCCACACTGTCACACCTCATGTCACAGTCACACCTCATGTCACAGTCACACCTCATGTCCACACTGTCACACCTCATGTCCACACTGTCACACCTCATGTCCACACTGTCACACCTCATGTCCACACTGTCACACCTCATGTCCACACTGTCACACCTCATGTCCACACCGTCACACCTCATGTCCACACTGTCACTCCTCATGTCCACACTGTCACACCTCATGTCCACACTGTCACACCTCATGTCCACACTGTCACACCTCATGTCACACCTCAAGTCACACCTCATGTCCACACCATCACACCTCATGTCCACACTGTGATTTAATTTTCTTTCTGTTAAAATGTTTCAGGTAAATCTGAGAAAAGAAGCTCCTCCCACAGGTACAGAAGGAAGAGGCGACGTAGGAGGGAGCACAGTAGCAGCAGCCAGAGCAGTGAGGGCAGCCAACAACATCGCCATCATCACAAAAATAAGAAGAAAAAAAAACATAGGGCGGAGAGGTCCCCTAGTGTGGAGATTGTAGAGGAGGCTGACACTGTACCTCAGGTAAGGTCCCCTATTGTGGAGAGAGTAGACTGACAGTGTACCTCAGGTAAGGTCCCCTAGTGTGGAGATAGTAGAGGAGACTGACACTGTACCTCAGGTAAGGTCCCCTAGTGTGGAGGTAGTAGAGGAGGCTGACACTGTACCTTAGGTAAGGTCCCCTAGTGTGGAGAGAGTAGACTGACACTGTACCTTAGGTAAGGTCCCCTAGTGTGGAGAGAGTAGACTGACACTGTACCTTAGGTAAGGTCCCCTAGTGTGGAGAGAGTAGACTGACACTGTACCTTAGGTAAGGTCCCCTAGTGTGGAGAGAGTAGACTGACACTGTACCTTAGGTAAGGTCCCCTAGTGTGGAGATAGTAGACTGACAGTGTACCTTAGGTAAGGTCCCCTAGTGTGGAGAGAGTAGACTGACACTGTACCTTAGGTAAGGTCCCCTAGTGTGGAGAGAGTAGACTGACAGTGTACCTCAGGTAAGGTCCCCTAGTGTGGAGGTAGTAGAGGAGGCTGACACTGTACCTTAGGTAAGGTCCCCTAGTGTGGAGGTAGTAGAGGAGACTGACACTGTACCTTAGGTAAGGTCCCCTAGTGTGGAGGTAGTAGAGGAGACTGACACTGTACCTTAGGTAAGGTCCCATAGTGTAGAGGTAGTAGAGGAGACTGACACTGTACCTTAGGTAAGGTCCCCTAGTGTGGAGGTAGTAGAGGAGACTGACACTGTACCTCAGGTAAGGTCCCCTAGTGTGGTGATAGTAGATGAGGCTGACACTGTACCTCAGGTAAGGTCCCCTAGTGTGGAGGTAGTAGACTGACACTGTACCTCAGGTAAGGTCCCCTAGTGTGGAGGTAGTAGAGGAGGCTGACACTGTACCTCAGGTAAGGTCCCCTAGTGTGGTGATAGTAGAGGAGGCTGACACTGTACCTCAGGTAAGGTCCCCTAGTGTGGAGGTAGTAGACTGACACTGTACCTCAGGTAAGGTCCCCTAGTGTGGAGGTAGTAGAGGAGGCTGACACTGTACCTCAGGTAAGGTCCCCTAGTGTGGTGATAGTAGAGGAGACTGACACTGTACCTTAGGTAAGGTCCCCTAGTGTGGTGATAGTAGAGGAGACTGACACTGTACCTCAGGTAAGGTCCCCTAGTGTGGAGGTAGTAGACTGACACTGTACCTCAGGTAAGGTCCCCTAGTGTGGAGGTAGTAGAGGAGACTGACACTGTACCTCAGGTAAGGTCCCCTAGTGTGGAGGTAGTAGACTGACACTGTAGTAGAGGAGACTGACACTGTACCTTACCCACACCAATCAATGATTTCTGTAAAATTCTAATGAAGGACTTGTTTGTTTAGGACAGTGCTGCTCATGTGTCACCCAAACATGACAGTCTGCCAGGAGTCACCAACAGTGACCTGTCCGCCCCACACACCAACAGTGACCTGCCTGTCCCACACACCAGAAGTGACCTGTCTGCCCCACAAACCAGAAGTGACCTGTCCGCCCCACAAACCAGAAGTGACCTGTCTGCCCCACACACCAGAAGTGACCTGTCTACCCCACACACCAGCAGTGACCTGCCTGCCCCACACACCAACAGTCTGGAGAAGCCACCCAGTCCATCAGAAAGAAGAGCCAGCAACAAGACACAGGAGGACAGAGGCTATCAGACAGGACCAAGCCTAGCCTGCCCAGCTGTTATATCCAAGCCTCCACAAATACTTGTCCCTCCTCTCTTTGCCTCTACGGCTTTGGTAGGTTTGCTTGTTCTAGTTTGTTTACTTTGTACACGCCTTCACTGTTAATTGTAGGGATTTTATTTTTAAAATATTTTCTAAACTTGAGTGTTTTGTCTACATTATCAGCAACTCTAGAATTGGGTTTAAAATTTATCTTTGCCAACCAAGACTGAGTAGAGTGAACCTTGTGTCATTCCCCAGCAGGAAGACATGCACTCAGTGCCTGTACAGTATCCACCACCACCACCATCATCGCACCACCCCACAAGCTCTCAACTTGTCACCCCAGACCAGCCTCCACAACAGCCACCAGTGACCACAGTTCCTGCCCCTGACTTAGATCATGGCCCTGAGACAGAAAAACAAATCAAAAAGAAAAAGAAAGACAAGGTCAGAAATATTTTCTTTTGACTCATTCTTTAACCTTTACAGCCTTAATTTGTGTATTTGCAACTTCTGGCTCCATATGCCTAGTCACAATGTATTTGCATCTTCTGGCTCCATATGCCCAGTCACAACGTATTTGCATCTTCTGGCTCCATATGCCCAGTCACAATGTATTTGCATCTTCTGGCTCCATATGCCCAGTCACAATGTATTTGCATCTTCTGGCTCCATATGCCCAGTCACAATGTATTTGCATCTTCTGGCTCCATATGCCCAGTCACAATGTATTTGCATCTTCTGGCTCCATATGCCCAGTCACAATGTAGTTTCACCAAATAAAAAAAGGATTTAGACCTTTGACACATTACTGAATTGTATGTTCGTTGCATTGAGGAGTCCAGGTTTTTTTTGTTCCTATCTTAGGCTGTTGACAAAGTCTTTTCTGTCTGTTTATTTTAAACAAATGTTTACAACTTGTTAATCGTTGGTATATTCTAGTTATGCAACACTACTCATTAGGTAGTGGTTGTATGAATAATATGCCCCAGCTGGATTATACATTCTTTTTACTATCTCATATATGAAGTATAGAGAAAGGATTGAAATCATGCAAAAAAAACCAAACTGATGTTTTGACAAATCTTGATGTTTTACACCTACCTGAGTCGGAAAAACTTAATTTTGCTCATTTTTCTGTGTGTCTGTGAAAAATAGCTTGAGTACCATTTCAATTGTTGACCAAATTTTATATCAAACTTGTAGTTCTGTATCATGATTTCCGGTAACTGGAGGTGGTACTTACTCTACTTTTGGTTTCTCAAAAGCCATTAACTTGAGTACAGTTTATGTTCGGTGGACAAAATTTCACATACAAGAATTACATTGTATGTGCATGTTTCTGTCCAATTTTCAGAAAAACTAAGTGAACACTATACCTTGAGTGCAGTGGCAGGTAGACAAAATGTAATATATAATTATAAAATCTTACACTTGAATTACTTCAAATTTTTTTAGTGACCTCTGATTCTGGTTTCTAAAAAACCAATAACTTGAGTACTGTTTAATTCTCTCAAATTTTGAGTGATTTCTGATAAACTGCAGTATTACTTTACCATATTTCCAATTTCTACCAGACTGGTTTCTTCCAAACCTTTCACTTTCACATAGGTCTAGACGCGATAATGCATTGTGACTTAAAAGTTTGCCTGAATTAGATTAAATTTTTTTTGTATAATATCAAATTTGTAGTTCTGTATCAACTTTTCAGCGATTTCCGGTAACCGGAAGTGGAACTTATTCTACTTTCAATTTTTCAAAAGCATATTACTTGAGTTCAGATGGATGAACAAAATTTCACATATAAGTAAAAGGTCTACTTTTCTGCCTTCTGTCAAATTTTGAGTTATTTCCGTTGACCGCAAGTAGTAATTTACGCTATTACCGATTTCTCAAGAAAAATGTGAATTTATAAATACTACTAGTAATAATAATAATATTGTACACTATTAAACACATATTGTTCTATACTATTTTAAAAGGTGTAATTAAAAATGTATTTAAATATTGTCTATATCCCGAGTAGCCATCCCCTGTAGTGTTATATAAGAATATTTGAGAAAGTTTACGGGAGATGACTCCCATTTTATTTTATAATTGATCAATGCTTCCTTAATGACAGCACTAATTTTCCTCTCCATTTGGTGTGCAATTTTTTTCTACACAACTCTATTTATAAAGTGTAATCTATATGAAAAATTAAAATGCTTTAGAGTATGTCAAAAGGGTCTGACAAGTTTTCATGTGGTTTTTTTTTTTTTTTAATTAAATTGCCAAACTTCTACTTAACCAAACTGTACAGGTGGGTGGCTCATTTTATCATAGCTGGAGGTATAGGGCAATTATGGAGTTCCATTTCTGTGGTATATTATTTGCATGTGATCATTGCTCTATTTTTAAGAAACCTCTGGCCACTGGCTCAAGCATTATGATGAAAAAGAAACACATGACATCAATGGTCCAAAAATGGCAGAAAGTGAAAAAGGAAGCAGAAAAAGAGGACAGAGATAAAGAAATGAGACAGGCAGCCATCAGGAAAAAAATAGAAGAATTGAAATAAAGCCAGACTTCCCTCTGCTTACACATTTTTAAGTGCCAATGTTTAGCATTTTAAATGTTTGAACTCTTTTTGAATTTGATGGAAAAATGTTTGTGTGAATTGAAGTTGATATTACTTTGTACTTAGGGGATGTCACCACTATTGTCACATGATGTATTGCTATTAATATATATATAATGATAGAATAAAAGGATTTATAATTCTGTGAGCCAATTTTTTTACTTAAGTTTAAGGTTTGTGAAACAAAAACATGAAATACAGTATAGATATTTTTTTATTCACAATTAAAATATTTAAGTGATCAAGTAAAAATAAAAAAAGACTTTCATTCACTAATTATTTGGGTGCCAGTAATTCTAAAATAAAATATTTTAGTGTAAAAATGTTTGGGTGGTTTCACTAACAAAACTAAAAGAAAAAGTTGGGCATAAATTCCTCATGATTAAACAAAAAATTAAGTGGTCAGGAAAGTCAAATTGTAGGTCAGACACCCAAAAATGAAGAAATAAGTTCTTCTATAATAAACCTAGTTCAAATGAAGGTATTGAATGAGGAAGGGTTGGTCCATGGGTCTCATCAAGTTAGGAATGCTCATCACATCCCCACATGCAGCCTGACCCAATCATTTGTAGAGAAGATCTTAAAAAACCTTGCACATGATATTTACAATGAACTTGCATATAATTAAGCATAAGAAAATAGAATACTATATAAAATGTGCGTAGAACAGAAGCAGCTTGATGTATCAGCTGTCTGGGCCGCACAAAGAGATGAAAAATTACAGAGGAACCTAATGCCATTGCACAATGAATTTCCTTCACAGCTTAATATATACAATCCTCTATACACATAAAACAATGAGTAAAAATATTTGAATCAAATAATAAATCAGCTAACCATGTAAACAAGTACAGATGAAGTAGTCGCCATGGTGACCTGCCATCAAGGCAATGACAGCAGTCACCCCGACAACACCTATGGTGTCAGCTACAGAACATGCCAATCACTTAGAACACCCCTGGTGTAACCTAGAGAACACCCCCGGTGTCACCTAAATAATACATTAAAAATGTAGCTCACCAGTTTTATCATCCTAAGGCGCTTTGTAAAAAATGAAACTATCACAATTCTCTGGCCATAAACAAGAGCTGACAAACAATGGAAAACTGACAGGAACATTCTCATTACTATGTTCTCCAAAGGTTTCGAGCTTCATTTGTAATCAAATAAATGACAATCAATGTAAGTGAACCAAAGTTTTCTAATGACATCAAGTATTCAAATAAACTGATGGGAAATAAATGTCCAATAGGTTGCTGGTAGCTGATAAAAAAAAAGGAAACCCATGAAACAGAAACCACTACATGTCAGTTGGGGTCAAGAGTAGGATTTGAACCTAGGAACTTTAAGAAACTGAAGGGGCTTGAATGCTAATGGTGTGGACCAAGGCTGGGCACAACAAGACAGTTTCAGCTGGCCAACGCAGACTTACATCCCACTGTTGGCAAACTGTCAGCAGCTTAACATTGTGAGCCATGTTCTATCAACATTGAGGGATTTCAAACAAATACTAAGTGTATTACTAAATCATGAATTAGGTGAAACCTAAAAGATAAAAAACAACGCTGAGTTTTATCTACAACTATCAAGCACTTATGGGGAGACTTGTGGCACACTTCCCAGCCCTGCAACTTTGGTGTGAAAAAAATACATAGACCAAGGGAGACAATGATGGTGATGAGTTATCCTTACTTATTAAAATAAATTATAATAGTTCACATGACAGCTTGCCTCCCTTACTTCCAATCTTTCTCTTCTTGCGATCTTTGCCCTTTTTTTCTTTCTGTAACATCCAGACAAAAACAAGGTTAAGACTGGAATTAGCGCACATCAACTGTGAAGTAAGAAAACGTGAAAAAGACTTACATATTTCCTGATTTCTCTGACCAGAGTATAGAATGCATCATCAACACCTTGCCTGGTTTTGGCTGAGGTCTCCACATAAGGTATATGATACATCTCAGCCACATGCCGGCCCTGCCTCTGCTCCACTGATCGTGTTGGAAGATCTACTTTGTTGCCCACCACTGGCAGAAAGAACAAAGATCTCAAAAGTTTATCTCACAACATGTCTACCACTAACAGAAAGAACACAATATGAACCAGATAATCCCTACACCAACATGAACCAGATAATCCCTACATCAACATGAACCAGATAATCCCTACACCAACATGAACCGGATAATCCCTACATCAACATGAACCGGATAATCCCTACACCAACATGAACCGGATAATCCCTACATCAACATGAACCGGATAATCCCTACACCAACATGAACCGGATAATCCCTACACCAACATGAACCAGATAATCCCTACATCAACATGAACCAGATAATCCCTACACCAACATGAACCAGATAATCCCTACACCAACATGAACCAGATAATCCCTGCACCAACATGAACCGGATAATCCCTACATCAACATGAACCGGATAATCCCTACATCAACATGAACCGGATAATCCCTACTCCAACATGAACCGGATAATCCCTACACCAACATGAACCAGATAATCCCTACATCAACATGAACCAGATAATCCCTACACCAACATGAACCAGATAATCCCTACACCAACATGAACCAGATAATCCCTACACCAACATGAACCAGATAATCCCTGCACCAACATGAACCAGATAATCCCTGCACCAACATGAACCAGATATTCTGAACAAATGTTTCTTATAAAAAGTGCACTTACAAACCATGGGTACTTCATCAGCATCTTTGACTCTCTTAATCTGAGGAAAAATATTGGAGTTTTGTAGAAAGACAAATACATTTGAATAGAGTCAGTATTTGTAGAGGTATGTCAGTGGTGATGACCACATTAGATGTGTTTGTAGAGGTATGTCAGTGGTGATGACCACATTAGATGTGTTTGTAGAGGTATGTCAGTAGTGATGACCACATTAGATAAGTTTGTAGAGGTATGTCAGTAGTGATGACCACATTAGATGTTTGTAGAGGTATGTCAGTGGTGATGACCACATTAGATGTGTTTGTAGAGGTATGTCAGTGGTGTGGACCACATTAGATGTGTTTGTAGAGGTATGTCAGTGGTGATGACATGTACCACATTAGATGTGTTTGTAATTTGTAGAGGTATGTCAGTGGTGATGACCACATTAGATGTGTTTGTGTACCTGCTCTCTGTACTGGTTGATATCTTCAAAAGACTTGGAGTTGTTGACAGCAAATACACACAGGAAGCCTTCACCAGTCCTCATGTACTGATCTCTCATGGCACTGAAATAAACAACATACACTCATAGCACTGAATTAAACAACATACACTCATGGCACTGAATTAAACAACATACACTCATGGCACTGAAATAAACAACATACACTCATGGCACTGAAATAAACAACATACACTCATGGCACTGAATTAAACATACACTCATGGCACTGAAATAAACAACATACACTCATGGCACTGAAATAAACAACATACACTCATGGCACTCAATTAAACAACATACACTCATGGCACTGAAATAAACAACATACACTCATGGCACTGAAATAAACAACATACACTCATGGCACTGAAATAAACAACATACACTCATGGCACTCAATTAAACAACATACACTCATGGCACTGAAATAAACATACACTCATGGCACTGAAATAAACAACATACACTCATAGCACTGAATTAAACAACATACACTCATAGCACTGAATTAAACAACATACACTCATGGCACTGAAATAAACAACATACACTCATGGCACTCAATTAAACAAAATACACTCATGGCACTGAAATAAACAACATACACTCATGGCACTGAAATAAACAACATACACTCATGGCACTGAAATAAACAACATACACTCATGGCACTGAAATAAACAACATACACTCATAGCACTGAATTAAACAACATACACTCATGGCACTGAAATAAACAACATACACTCATGGCACTGAATTAAACAACATACACTCATGGCACTGAAATAAACAACATACACTCATAGCACTGAAATAAACAACATACACTCATAGCACTGAAATAAACAACATACACTCATGGCACTGAAATAAACAACATACACTCATGGCACTGAATTAAACAACATACATTCATGGCACTGAAATAAACAACATACACTCATAGCATTGAAATAAATAAGAGATCAAATGACAGATATCTGTGAGAGTTTCTAAAGTGTCCAGTAGTTACCTGTACTCCTCTTGACCTGCAGTGTCCAGTATATCTAAGAGACAAGTTTCCCCATCAATCACCACTTGCTTTCTGTAGGAGTCCTCTGCCAATCAAACACAATGTATCTCTCAACCATTTGCACACATTTTAATTCATAGAAATTTTATTGGACTAAAATTTAAAAGGATCTTTAGATAAAAATATAACATTATCTTAGGAAGAATATAATATAACAAGGATCTTTAAATAAAATTATTATAACAATAAGTATTAGATAAGTCATAGAAAGGTATTTAAGTAAAGTATAACAGTGTTGGGAAAGAAATGTGAAATAGATTTAACAGGCATGTGTTTTGATCTGACAACAAAGCACATGTCATGTGACCACACCATGTGGGGCAAGTGCAAACCTAACAGTAAACTGAGAGACAATCTACCCACCTATGGTAGGGTCGTATTCTTCAACAAAACTGGGGAAAAAGGTAAAAATAAATGAACATTTCAACAGATACTTCAGTAAGACAAAAAAAAAATTTAAGTCTCAAAGCAATGTTTTAAGTCATAAAAATGTGAACAGTCTCATAGAAATGTTTTAAGTCATAAAAATGTGAACAGTCTCATAGAAATGTTTTAAGTCATAAAAATGTGAACTCAGAAAAAAACTTACTGGTTCTGTATGAGCTGAATGGTGAGAGCACTCTTACCAACACCACCCGCTGCAAGTTATAAAACCTGGAGTTAACATTTTACAGCAAACAAACATAATAGATGGTATAGGGACCATTACTAGGCTAGACACTGGGACTTATTACAATTAATCTACTGGGAGAATGAATTTTGTAAACTTAGCCCACCACTGGATAAAAGATTTGTTTTAAAAATGCGTTAAGTTTGTATTGCAATCAATTTTCGGAAATGAGATATTGGCCCAAGGATTCACACTCACATCAATTTCACCGGCACTACACAAAGTGAGCGTTTGAGTGGGGGGGGGGGGTGCGCTGATGTTCTGCTGTGACCTGGCAAAGATAACTGGGTGATGACTAATGGAGGCGGGAAAGGCACAAGTAGTCGGCCTTGAACTTGCACGTAGCTATCCTAGTTGTGTATGAGCACGGTGAATAAAGCACACGTGAGATAACTGTACCAGCTACAGGACAGATCACGTGAGATAATTGTACCGGCTACAGGACAGATCACGTGAGATAACTGTACCAGCTACAGGACAGATCACGTGAGATAATTGTACCGGCTACAGGACAGATCACGTGAGATAACTGTACCAGCTACAGGACAGATCACGTGAGATAATTGTACCGGCTACAGGACAGATCACGTGAGATAATTGTACTAACTCTAGGAATATCACAACCGTATCAAGACAAAGGAAGGGGGTAGAGAAGCACATGGAACTAATAGAGAGAACAAAATCAGCCTAGTTTAACATGACAAACGCAGCGGCGTGTGTGTGTGTGTTGACGATTCGACTACGTCACGACTCTCGCCACTGTGACGTCACAACATTATCAACCGGTGTGTCCAGATTCGGCAATTATTCCGCCCTTTTTTTTAGCGACAACCTTGAGATCTGTGTTGAAGTAAGAGCGGCTTGGGCTACAGTTGGACTCAAGGCTTGCTTGGTCTACAGAGGGTGGCATTGGGTAGGTCAATGGCGGGTAAGCTGGGGTCAGAGGTCAACGGCTGAAGGGTAAGAGGAGTCACAGATCAACGACCGCGAGGTAGGAAGGGGTCAGATGACAACGGTCGCAGGTAAGCTGAGGTTAGAGGTTAACGGTCACCAACAAAGAGCCGGTGTTAGTCGCATGTGAGCCCGGCTGTGACCTAGGCGTGAAATGCCACGGCGCGCTGGCCGGCAGAAGCAAGCTTGGAATGTGGGGAATTTGATTGGGGGAGGGGGAGGGGGGTGCCAGCCGTCCCGGGGGAGGGGCCAGCAGGTCAGGTGTGTTCCACATAAAAACACTGGGTTAGATCCAGTTGACTAGTAGCCTTTACACAACCCGCCAATCGGTAAAGACCATCAGTCCAGCCACTACTGCACCTTTTATACCATACAAAACCAAGTACCAACCAAACAACGAGCACGTGATTACAGGCACAAGGAGTGAACACAAATAAACCAGACAGGCTATCAAATAAAAACATTCACCTCTTTCATCAAATTGTTCCCTGCAAATCTCAACTATTATATATAGACTAGCAATCCCGTCCTGCACTCTTCAATACTTAATGAAGATTACATCTATGCATGACCCATTGTCTATTTTTAGAGCCATCACTTAGTTTTCTAAATCTTAGTTCAATGTAAAGAAAACAGGAGCTATATTTCCTGAATTGCCAACGCTACTGAACAGATGCCCCATTACCTGTCTGACATATTACGTGTTGTATGAAAGTCTTGAGACACCCTTCAGAGATGGCCCATGTGTCAGTGCACAGGGTGCTATAGTGGGCCACTGATGAAAGTCTTGAGACACCCTTCAGAGATGGCCCATGTGTCAGTGCACAGGGTGCTATAGAGGGCCACTGATGAAAGTCTTGAGACACCCTTCAGAGATGGCCCATGTGTCAGTGCACAGGGTGCTATAAAGGACCACTGATGAAAGTCTTGAGACACCCTTCAGAGATGGCCCATGTGTCAGTGCACAGGGTGCTATAGAGGGCCACTGATGAAAGTCTTGAGACACCCTTCAGAGATGGCCCATGTGTCAGTGCACAGGGTGCTATAGAGGGCCACTGATGAAAGTCTTGAGACACCCTTCAGAGATGGCCCATGTGTCAGTGCACAGGGTGCTATAGAGGGCCACTGATGAAAGTCTTGAGACACCCTTCAGAGATGGCCCATGTGTCAGTGCACAGGGTGCTATAGAGGGCCACTGATGAAAGTCTTGAGACACCCTTCAGAGATGGCCCATGTGTCAGTGCACAGGGTGCTATAGAGGGCCACTGATGAAAGTCTTGAGACACCCTTCAGAGATGGCCCATGTGTCAGTGCACAGGGTGCTATAGAGGGCCACTGATGAAAGTCTTGAGACACCCTTCAGAGATGGCCCATGTGTCAGTGCACAGGGTGCTATAAAGGACCACTGATGAAAGTCTTGAGACACCCTTCAGAGATGGCCCATGTGTCAGTGCACAGGGTGCTATAGAGGGCCACTGATGAAAGTCTTGAGACACCCTTCAGAGATGGCCCATGTGTCAGTGCACAGGGTGCTATAGAGGGCCACTGATGAAAGTCTTGAGACACCCTTCAGAGATGGCCCATGTGTCAGTGCACAGGGTGCTATAGAGGGCCACTGATGAAAGTCTTGAGACACCCTTCAGAGATGGCCCATGTGTCAGTGCACAGGGTGCTATAGAGGGCCACTGATGAAAGTCTTGAGACACCCTTCAGAGATGGCCCATGTGTCAGTGCACAGGGTGCTATAGTGGGCCACTGATGAAAGTCTTGAGACACCCTTCAGAGATGGCCCATGTGTCAGTGCACAGGGTGCTATAGAGGGCCACTGATGAAAGTCTTGAGACACCCTTCAGAGATGGCCCATGTGTCAGTGCACAGGGTGCTATAGTGGGCCACTGATGAAAGTCTTGAGACACCCTTCAGAGATGGCCCATGTGTCAGTGCACAGGGTGCTATAGTGGGCCACTGATGAAAGTCTTGAGACACCCTTCAGAGATGGCCCATGTGTCAGTGCACAGGGTGCTATAGAGGGCCACTGATTACACAACCACAGGTTCAGCTTAATCACTGAATGATCTGTGCCACCGTGCCCCTGTACTAATGTGCTGATTAAAATAAATGTAGGCGCTATAGTGTTTGTTGGAGATCTCAGGGTGCCCAATTGTACCCTACTGTGGCACCGCCCCTAAGAAATTTTGTCAACAACTTCCCAATGCATAAAAGACAAACACACAAATCAAAATACTTTCATTTTTATAAAGAAATGTAACTTTTCTGATGAAACTCACAATTAATACTTTAGGTATTACTATTCGTTGTTTTTAGAACTGTAAGCCCATCCACTCAGTGTCTGTCATAGAATTTTTATTGACAAAGAAAAACAAACAAGTCAATATTTTTAGCGCAATTTCCATACGGACAATTGTGATTATTAACTCGTCATTTCTGGATGGATTTGTGTCCCCAGCTTTAAGTCGTATCTCCTCCTCAACGAAGCAATATCGAGGACTAGTTCCAAAGCAAATATGTTAAGCAAGTTCCGAGGATGATTGTGGGCCAGAAAATTCCCGGAATTCCTTCCTGGATTTCCCGGAAAAGCCAAAAAACCTCGAACAAATACAGTTTTTTGTCAATATCTCGGCAACCAGACCACTTAGCGACTTGAAACATTTACCAATGGATTCCTGCCATAATTTAGAACAATATTGCCGAAGAAAGTTTTCAAAAATATCCTTTCATTCGGTCACAAAAAATTTATTAAGAACATTTAAACTGAGCATCGTGTAGGCCTAGGATGATATTTACTACTTTTTTAAACTGAGCATCGTGTAGGCCTACTCGTTAAAATAAAACTATTTCTGTTGATATAGGTTAATATAGTTGTCTTTTTTTTTAGCGCAAAAAATATCCTTTCGTTCGGTCACAAAAAAATTAAAAATTGTTATGGATAACATAAGGAAATTGCGCTTAAATTGTCACTAGACTTTTTATTAACTTGTTTTAAATATAATCTAAGCCTGATTAGTGGTTCCTCTGGATATTCAAAGTTCTTCACACAAACCTTTCAGGAGCATTCTTAACAACTACCCAAAGTTTAACGCTGAAGTGATAATAAGGACACACACACACTTTCAAATATATCCCCCCCCCCGGAGAAAAAACGTCTGAAAGAAACACTATCTGAATGATTGAGGTTTAGCTACCAAAAGTGGGAAATGGGTCTACATTATAGAAGTAGGGTCTACCTTCAGTCTGTGTGATCTACAAATGAACCAGCATTTCATTCAGACTTTTCTCTCTCCTGAGGGGGGGGGGGGGGGGGGGGGGGGGGTGGGGGGGGGGGAGCAGACACTGGTAAAAAGTATATTTTCTATATAAATTCTATTTCGTTATCTAGGGCTGTAGACGTTCAGGGCATATGCCCTTTCCCCCCCCCCCCCCCCCCACCCCAAGAGTTGCTTGAAAGAAACTCTAAATGCGACGTTAGTCAAGTTTGAGCTTATGTGCGAGGATTAGGGGTATGACTACGGCTATATGTTTTTCAAATTTTACCTTTGAACTGAACTCACCCATCCCCCCCCCCCCCATCCTATCCCATATAGAGTTTAGAGCTTATAAATAGTCATATTAAAATAGGAAAAATTCATTTTTTGTTCAAGTTCTAATTAAACTAGAAATAGAATTTAGTAGTATCAATGGACAGCAGGTGTTGCCCTCTAGCTAACTCACATGGGATGGTTTCAAGATAAAATACTCAAAAATATGCAACTACCTACTTGATTGCGAAAAACATTTGTACAATTTACCACCTGGCCACTTTGCGTTTCAAATGTTACCAAGACACAGTATATTGTTGTATAGCATACTAATTGCAATGGAGGCCACCAAGTTGACAGTTGACAAGAATCATTCCATCATATTTTCGATATGGATAAAAAAAATTTTTAAAAAATATTTTGACTCCAGAGCGGCCGAAATTTTTTTAAAAAATAAAACCTTGAGCCTAAAAATAATTTAGAAATTGAATATTTTTAGAATCAATCTAGTTGCAAATCCAGAGAATTTAAAATTAATTTTTTGAGTTTAAGACTACATCTCTATTTATTTTCATCAAGCTAAAGTTATAACGGGATGTTTCAATTTTGTAAGACAAATATTGATTGGCTGTACAGGAACTCCATGATCGATAGTTATTTGTTTACAAAACTTTGTAGATAAAGTTTTTAAATAACATAATGCTATTTTAAACCACATGACCCACTTCTACCATTTTGTTTACATATTGCACAATAAAATTTAATTACACTGTGCATTTTAAAATATTTAATGGGCCTCTTGAATACATTTGAGACTATTCTCGCTTGGGTCCATTGGTAGGACTAAAAGTAATTTTTCCATTATCAAAATCAAATAAATAGGAACTAATAAATCGGCCATAGATCTAAATCTATGTATAATTATTGTAGCATTGCTCGCTTGCCTGGATGCGTAGCTGGTTGCTAACAACAATATGGCGTTCACACCAAATGCATGACATCCAATGATTTTTCTTCTTAGTTCCAGTGACCTTCTTAGAATTACTATTTAAAATGTTTACCACAAGCAAAATGGGGGGAGGGGGGTCCACGTAATAAAAAACAAACCTTAGGTGGCAGGGCTATAAGTATATATGTCAGAAAAGCTTTTTAAAAAAAATGAGCGAGTAACTCATACGTGATATAACATGGGTTGTTATGGAAGGGTGTGTGTGTGTGTGTCCCCATCCCCATAGCTGTGAGTGACAATAAATATTAAATTAATTTAGTAAAAGAAGAACTAAAAACCGCAAAATGAGTGCCTAATGGAATAAATATGGATATTTATTATTCAATAATGTTTGAACTGAAAATTGAGTAAATTTTAAACTTCAGTGAGAAAATCTAAATTATCGTATGTAGCGGAAACTCTACACTTCTGCACCACAAACACACACAAGAATTTGTAAACTAAAAAAGGATTAGGCCGCTACTAATTTATAGGGTAGATCTAATAACAACTAGGCATGCTGCCCAGCTTCGCTTAGGCTTTCGAAAACATTGAGAATTTGAATGCTTAATTAATTCGCCCGAAGGTCGGTCTACGACCTCAAGAGTTATGAAGAGGTTCCTCCGTGGACATTTTTTTCGATTTATAGCTCATATAAGGTACCGGTCAGTCGAGGTCAGTTTTGACCCCCACATCGTAGACTTTTCGGCCAACCGGCCCCCGTGTTCTGTCGCCCCAAGGCAAGATCATGCCAAATTTGAAGCGCCTGCGGCGCCGAAAAGTGCCCTATCGGACACCCGACAATCTAGATCTAGATTCCTAAAAGAATTTTTTTTTTAAGTTTAGCCCGAGCATAATAAAAAAAAAACACATTAACCAAGTTGACTTGGTGTGTCTCGAACCCGTACCACCTGCATGGTTTAATGTACACTAACATCTTCGCTATTTTAGGCACCTTATAAAATACGGAGAATGAAAGACGTATTTTAAAATCTTAACTTACGCGAATATGCCTATTCTTTCAAATTAATTTTTTTATCCCAAATTAGCCAGTTCCAAACAAAGATTTTGAATAAAATAAATAAGTCTTGAAATAGTTTAGTCCTAATATAGAAATTTATTTTTGGAATTGATTTTAGAGAAGTTAGAGTCTAAATCTAGATCTTAACGTCTACGTCTAGATCTAGTTATTGCGTAGATTTAGATTTAGATTTAGTCTAGATCTAGAATCTCTAGATCTAGAATCCAAATAAATAAAATAAATTTTATGAGTTTAGGCCGGAAAAATTGTATTGTATACATTTCATAGTGTACGTAGATCTAAATCAAATTTGAATGAAATAGTTCATTTCTTTTCATTCTAAACACGGCAGATGATGTCATTAGTTAATGTATAAGCAATAGTGACGTCACAGTTTTATGCGTTCTTTTTCACATATATTAATGCTTTTCCGGTTGCATAAATAATACTGTTTCTCTATATTCGAATACGCCTTTATTTTTTATTTTTCTTCTTTAAATAATTTTGTGGTTATACATTTAAAACATCTAACATATTTTTTTCAACAAAAGTCCGTAAAAAGTTCTCGATATATCGCTGCCGATTCTGACGTGATGTCCGGCGAAAAATTTTTGCGGACAGAGAAAGAGAGAGAGAGAGAGATGTGCGAACGTGGGGATTTATATATTAGGATTGTAATTTTATAGGCCTAGATAAGTAGAATAGATAATATATATTATATAATAGATGTTTTAAACATTGTTTCTTTGTTTAGGTACATCTAGATCTAATACTAATAATAAAGTAAATTCTAGTAGGTCCAGTCCTTGTACTACTACTAACTTACTATTACTAAGAACTTAACTTACTAAGAATAAGACAAGAAGTACTAAAATTAAAGTACTAAAGTAGTAGTAAAGTAAAGTTGAAAGTACTAGATTCTAGATCTAGATCTATAATCTAGATCGGTAAAACTCCATTTTAGCGTATTTTATTCCCCGCTTCACGTTCACCTCCAGTTGAGCGTATTTTATTATAAACAACCAAAAACACACAAAAACGTTAGGAAAACATGGGCTTATTTATTTTTTTATGAAGTTTTGATTTAGTTTTGATAATTTACTTTTGGCAATGTGAACTCACTGTGAACCCTTGACCCTGGGATTTTTCTCCCGCTGACAATCACGCGCTATTTAATTGGAACTGTCCGAATGCTTTTTTTATGTTGTTTTTTTATTTACTAATATTTACCTTTTCTAATTAAAACTCACATTCATATAAAAAACAAATAAATCTAGACATCTAGATTCTAGCTCTAATCCTAGTGTTTTCCTAACTTTTTTGTGTGTTTCGGTTGTGTTTATAATAAAATACGCTCAACTGGAGTTGAACGTGAAGCGGGGAATAAAATACGCTAAAATGGAGTTTTACCATCTTAGATCTACTCTAAACACTAAACTGTCTACTAAACTAACTACATTTTATAATATATCTAGGTATATAATATTAACTTACCACCCACAACCACCAGCTTATATTCGGTCATTTGTTTGAGATGCCGTATTGAAGGTCCTTAGTACCACAAACTGTTAATCAGAACAATTATCCAAACAAAGATGTGATAATATATAGATCTAGATCTAGCAGAGAAAGAAGTCGGCCGGAATCCGTCCTATTTCTCTTCTCGTGAGAGCTCAAGCGATTTATCGTGACCTCGGCAAATAAGAGTTCATACCCACTGCTAGCTTAAATTTTTGACCTGAAAGCAGGTTAAAGGAATCGAAAGGGTTTATTTTTTTTTAAACAGGTGCTTTATTTATAAAGTTTTAGAATAATTTATAAATAGAGATTATTTTCTGCAACAGAAAAATAGTTTTTACAAAGAAAGGCCTTGTAAAAGAATAATTGAAATACATTCCCTTAAGCTAGTTACAAAATAAAAGGCGAAAGTAGACATTTAAAGTTATTTATCCCAACGATTTTGTTCAAGATATGAATAGCAGTTATAAAGCGTGCTTAGTCCTACTCGTATTTACAGAATCATTCTCGTCTAGATCAATCATTCTATCTACATTCTAGTTCTAGACTCCATATCTAGATCTAGTCATTGAGCTGCTAGAAGCTAGGCGAATAATTATAATATTAGGCCCTAATTATTATTAATGTAATAAAACTAATAGTAGGCCTATAATCAGTCATATTCATTATTTATAGGGCCTAGTCATTATTATTATAGTTTATAGATTAGATAGGCCTATAGTCGCCTAGTGACATAATATTTATTTATAGGCCTAATATATATATTATTATTTTATATATATATATATATATATATATATATATATATATATATATATATATATATATATATATATATCATTATATTATCTAATTCTAATCTATTAAAAGAAATTTAAAATATTTGTGCTGGGCAATTTCCTACAATAACCATTATTAGTTAGATCTGAAACTTAAAAAAAAACTGATTGTATTAATTCTTAATGAATGTGTATGACAACTATGACATGTTAATGTATGTAATATGTATGTAATCTACTGTAATATTAATTTAATAAAATGCATTCTTATCTTCTTTTAGTTAGTAAGATTAAACTAGATCAACTATTCAAACAACTTTACCACATGAATACAGAAGTGATGGAGGTTAAAAAAAAGAAATTAGAAGATAACTTTAAGGATGAGCCACAAATTAATTCTAAAAAAGACACTGTCTTTAAAGACTTTAAATTAATCAATGTTCTTCGAGAAGATGCAAGCCACAAGCTAATTACTGTCCGTGGCTTGCTGCCAACCAATAGTGGATTAGAGAGTCCAGCAGATGCTGTGCTGCTACTTGAAAGGAAAGCATTTGACTTGTCAAAACTTGAACAGCTACTGCACATGACCAAGACCAATGAAACACTAAGGAATGATATCTACAGCACTCATGATGTCTACTCGGGTGATCCTACTGATGGCATTGGAGCAGGTTAGTTTATGGTGGGCCTCCAAAATGTTTATTCTAATGGCTGGTGTCATACTACCATTAGTGCGATCTTAATCTTAGTTTTTTATTGAGTTTTCATGACTTTTGTGTTAATTGATGTTTTTTTTTTAAATCTGAAATAAAAAGTATTTGAACAAATGCATAAAATTAATCATTGTAAGAATGACATCAATGCTGTTGTTTAATTTCAGACATGAAGGCAACTCTAATCCACCCAGCGACAGAGAAGCATATAGCCAAGTACTCAGATCATGAGCCCTTTATAGTCAATGAAACCCCACTACTTTATAGCAAACTCACTCTTCCTTATATACAACAAAGTACATTTAGCATACAGGTAAAGAACTATTTTAGTTTTAGTGTCTACTTATGACATTAGGTTTTCTATTAAACTCCTTTTATAATTAATATCTTGGTGATAATGTTTTAATTTCTTGTATATTTACACAGTGGGTCTACAATATACTTGAGAAAAAATCTGAGTCTGAACGCATCATAGTGGAGGATGCTGATCCAGAGGTGGGGTTTGTCATGGTGCCTGATATGAAATGGGATAGACAAAATGCTAATACTTTATATATGGTTGCCATAGTCCATAAACATGGAATTAAATCTATACGTGACCTCAGACAGGAGCATTTACCCTTACTAGAAAATATACTACACAAAGGAAAGGTAAGCCTTTTACAATATGCTTTAGTTCTTTTAGTGTTAAAATAAATTCTTCTGTTGTTCATTTCTTATCAGTTTTTACTTATATTTGTTGTAGTTTTTACATCTTCTTATGATTTTGATTTCAAGTATTCAATTGTAAAAATATGTGACACAAACAAAGGAAACACACTGTACCTTGTAGTTATATGCCATTTTGGACAGAATTAAATTAGTGATGTTGTGTATACTGTTTTTGGAGGGGTTATATGGCATATTTTCCATATCTACTGTTTGCGTATTATGGAAGGGTTATGTGGCATGTATAACAAGGCAAGCTTTCCACCACTCGTCTTATTTGTAAAGAGCTGATATGCAGATATTACTCAAGTTTAGTAGAGTTCCACTACTTTTGTTTGGATTTTATTAAAATGGTATTGTTTTTCTTTTATTTCCCCAGACTGCAATTAAAGACCAATATGGCCTGTCATCTGATAAATTAAGAGTTTATTTCCACTACCAGCCATCATACTATCATCTTCATGTCCATTTTACACATGTTCAGTTTGAGGCTCCTGGCACAGATGTACTGAGAGCCCATTTACTGGAAGATGTCATAGACAATCTACACATGGACTCCGAGTTCTACTGTAAAAAGACTCTCTCCTACGTTGTGAGAGACAATGATATGCTTTACACAAGGTTCAAAGAGGAGGGATATTTTAGATAAAATAAACTTGATGCTAGTCACTGTGATATTTTGATTTTATTTCTTTTTATGTTTATCACTCACTGGACAGCTTTATCAGACTTCATAAAATATTGCAAATGTCTTGTACAGAATATTCTCATCTTCAACAGAAAATGTTTTGTCAATTTAACATTTTATCAATAAACAAATCCAACACATTGAATTCAGTCATTGCTCAAACTCTAGGTGAAAAATAATACCTGCCTGGTCATGTCTGAAATTACACTAGAAGTGCCAGTAGCTGTTATTTTATGGCGGTGATTTCACAGAGACTCAGTTTGTCTTGTTCATGAATTACCAAAGAGACCATCTCCCCTAAGAATAAACTAAATAAAACATTAAATCAGACAAACTAGCACCTATTCAGACAAAAAAGTTTACCCTATTCTGTAAATAAACCAAATCATTTGACCTGGTATTTCCAGCACAGTTTAGGTTTAGCTTCTAAACACTGAGTAAACAGGATGGTTTATAAAAAGGTCATGTTTTTCTCTCTTTGATAGTTATTTACTTTTGGTATTTTATTTTCAGCTTAACATGTTCTCTTGCTGATGCTGTTTAATTAAAACATCATTATAAAATATAATAATAGTATTATTGAGAGAATATTAATGGGTTTTTATTCACTTATTTCCAATTCTAGTAAATGTATCCTATTTAATTGACAATACATTTTTTCATCTAAAAAGGGTATTTTTCAAAATTAATCCTAGCAATTATTTTTCACCTTATAAACTTGTATGAAGATTGATTATTGAAACTTGATTTAATTAATATTAATACAGATTTGCTTAAATTTTCAGTAAAGTATGAGTGATAAGCAGTTTTCTTTCAAAGGGGAACAATTCAATATTTTCTTTCAAACTAGCTTTGTTATAAATACAATTTATACTGTATGATTATTTATATTCTAACAAACTAAATGATTGGGGAGGCACGGGTTTTATTAAGTTTTCACAATTTGTCTGAAACGAAAATTTAATTTAAAGACTTAACAAAAGAAAGAAAAGCATTGATGCAATTTTGAATTAAACTCTATATTGGAAATTTGTCGATTGAATATGATGTGATTTTAACAAGACATCATTAAAAAAAATGAATCATATATAATATATTTTGTTACGACCCCCTTCTCTAATCCTTTCGAACTAGTCAGGGAATTGTAAACAAAAACAAGAAAATAAAAATAAATAAACACCAATCTCAGTGATTTCTATTTATTGCCACAAGATACACCTAACATTAACCCGCCACCACATGGAACACAATAAGAAAATATAAAACTATCTACAACAACTATAGTCCTTGGTTCGACTAATCTACTTGTCCCTAACAGTCTATCCTAGCCTAGGTCTAATACAGTACAACTACACGTCCTCACTGGTGAGCTGCTATGCCCAGACTGTCTCTAACCCTCCTAGTCCTCACTTCTTTGCCTTCCCCATCTGGTCTAGGCTAATTTGCATGTCGCCACAGTTCTGGAATACCTGATTAAAATGTCAGACTCTGCTAATAAACTACCCCTATTACGGTCACCCAGGCCAACTAGATACGTGTCAGCTACACCTACCCCCATTGATGATGCTGTTGTCCGTAATTACAATCTAATTGTAACATGTGCTCCGCTAATCGTCTTAGTTAAGACCTGTTTAGTCGGGGTCACGACTATAGTCAACCCTACCCCTCCAATCTATGCCCCCCACGGTCGTAGCAATATATATATATATATATATATATATATATATATATATATATATATATAGGCATATATATATATATATATAAACATACATACATACACACACTCTTGGGGGGGGTGGGGGGGGGGGGGTGGGCAATACTCTCTAAGTTACACCACTCTGAGGCACATTGTATCGAACACACTGATGGACATATATATTCAAATATATATATAGTTATATATATATATATATATATATATATATATAGTTCTCTAGGTGGACAATTTTGCCTGATTAAAATAAGTCACCTATACTCCTTGGATGTTGAAGTACTGAGATGTAAAACTGTCAAAATTGCATGTGATGTTTTTGCACGTTTACAATCCTTCCTTTATAGAGGGCGTAGAGGGGGGGGGGGGGAACGCACCGGGTGACACCATTTAGGGGGGTGACACCAAGGCAAAAAATAGCAAAATATATAGAGAAAAACTTGAGGGGGAAGGGGTGCAAATTGAAAGTTTGACGGGAGGGGTGCAAATCGAAATTTGAGGGGAGGGGGGGTGCAAATCGAAAATTTGTCCCCGGGAAGGGTTGCTACGCCTCTGGGGGGTGACACCGACCTCGCTACGCTACTGCCTACGCTGTATACAAAAAAAAGTAAATAAACCGGGAGTGATCTCCCCTAAACTTTCTCGAATATTCTTATATAAAATAACAGGGGATGGGAACTCGGGCTATCGACATGATTTTTAATCCATTTTAAATACTTAAAGTTTTAAAAATAGAATAAAATCTCGTAGACAAATTAATTGCACACCAAGTGAACGCCAAATAAAAAAGCGCATAATAGTGCGCAATATTATTAGTACTTTTAAAATTTACATTAGTTTTTTGAGAAATCGGAAGTAGCGTAAATTATTACTTCCGGTCAACGGAAATTACTCAAAATTTGACAGAAGGTAGAGAATTAGATCTTTTACTTACGTGTGAAATTTCATTTATCTATCTGAAATAGTACTCAAGTTATAGGCTTTTGAAAAATTCAAAGTAGGAAAAGTACCACTTCCGGTTATCGGAAATCGCTCAAAAGTTGATACGGATCTACGATTTTGTTAAAATACTTATATATGAAATGTCATCAACCTAGCTGTAACGGTACTCAAGTAATCGTGTTTACACACGGACAGACAGACACACAGACAGACATATGGACAAGATTGCAAAATTATGTTTTTCCGTATCAGTGAGGTGTAAAACGTCGAGATTTGTAAAAATCTCGATTTTTTTTTTTTTTTTGCACGATTACAATACTTTCTCTATACTACGTATATACGAGAAAGTAAAAAGTCAGGACCCTCCAAGCTGATGTCAGAATTTCCAATCTCACCTTGTCATATTATAACAATATTTTCTTTTTAAATTGCAATGCCGTGTGATTTTCGTCGTTGAATTTACTTTGGTTTATTCAATTTATTATTACTTCGGGTTTCGTCAATGCAGGATTTCGGCGATTGTTTTCTGACGGGTTGTTATTAAATAGATCGTGTTTATTTCCAATCCACCTTTAAGTCACAACCTGCCAACACAAACATTGACAACATGGCAGACTGGCGAAACAAGCCTAGAAATGGTGGTATGTTTGCTTACTCTTTAAATCCAAATCTCATTTGTAAATCAAACCAAATTCGCTTTTAGACAATCCAGGCCTGATATGTGATATACTGGGATTACTGGTCGGTAAAATCACGATATAGCGTCGGTTATTATTCCGGAACTGTACAGCAGTAAAAAACAGTAAAACTATGGCGTAGTCTGTCGAGCCGTTCCGGAAACCACCGGAAATACTGTAAACCATAATTTATTTGCCGCCATATTATTTTTAATACTTAATGTTTAAAAATGTGCAAGGATTGATTTTAGTTGCATTTTAAATACTGTTTTGCTAATTATTTTGTATTTCTAATTATTTTAAGTGTATGTGCTAATTATTGCTGCTACTAAACATTATTCTAGATATTCTTACTACTTTTAACTTTAGTTAATCTAATCGTCTTATTTACTAAAAGAACTAGAGCTGGTTGTCGCAAATCTTCTGCAGGTTTTTTCTGTTTCTTAAAAAAAAACCATTAATTACTACACTCGACTTTATTAATAATATTTAGATTTACTAATTATTGCTATTTTTTTGTCAGTTAAACATTAAATTACGTTAAAACAATAATTTAATGCACCTGACTCTATTTTTATTTCAGCGGTCAAATAAACGATGGTTTACAGTAACGAATGTTACCGAAACTCAACGAACATTACCCAATAATTTCCGACGCTATATCGTGATTTTACCTACTGGTCTTAAGATACCACGACAACGTATTCTTAAAATGGGGTGTTAGATTACTGGTAGAATTTTTAGAATTCTAGTACTTATTTCTAGACTGCTAGTGCTAGACTCAAGTATTCCAATACAAAGTAACTAGATCTAGACTAGAATACGAATAGTAACAAGTTCAATAAGAATAACTTGATTAACTTCACAATAAGACAGTACATGAGTACAGTAGTAGTCGTAGTTGATTAGTTCAATAAGTTGACTACCCTCAGGCAGCCTCAGCCGTCTCAGGTCGGGAGGGGGGGGTTCTTAAAGTCTAAATTCTAAATCCTAAATCAAAGTCTTGGATGATTAGTATTGACTAGGCCTAGGCCTATAGATTACTATAGATTATAGAATATAGATCTAGATACCGGTGTCCAATAGTTGAATCTTCTGTAAAACCTTAGTTTAGCGTCGGAAATTATCGGGTAATGTTTGTTGAGTTTCAGTAACTATTAACTAAAGTTACGGTAAACCTGGTTTATTAAATTATTTGACGATTGAAATATAAATAAAATGAAAGTCGATTGTTGTAGTAATTTTTTAAGTTTAATAGACAAAAGGAAACAGGAATAAATATAGAAGTCTAATAGGCCCTAATAGATTTAAATTAGTAGATCTAAAAATAAAAAAAATATATATATAGGCCTATAGGCCTAAATAATAAAGTCAAATGTAATAATTTGTTTAATGTTTTTGACTTGCAGTGAATTTGCGACAATTAAGTAATTAGGTCTAGATCTAGCTAGCTGCTAGGCCAAGTAAAACAATCTAGATTACGAAAATAGTAAAAATGATTACAAAAATGTAAAAATGATAGTACATGTGACTAGAAACAGAGTTCGTACCCTACTTTGAAAATGAAACCAGACCTTTGTAACCACACCATAATTATTGCTGAGAAACTTTTGTCTGCTATTAAAAACTACCGGTATCCCTGCACTCTCCGCCTTCTCCCCCCCCCCCCCCCACACACACACAACACAAGAGATGGTACACAACATGAGACGGGTGGTGGAGGGGTCACTGTGAGGTCACAGTAGTGTAGTCTAATACGTCAAAGCATGAACTGCATAGCAACTTTTATTCTCCCTCCCCCCCCCCCCCTCCCCAGCCAAACAGCACCAACTACGTACTTGGGGTCACGGTCAGTTCATACAAGTTTAGATATCAGTGAGGGGTGGGTTAGTCTGGCCCTAATCGTCAGCTTTTGCAAAGATTTCAAAAACATTTCGGCGCGCGAATTCAAAATACAGGTAGTTAAATTATATGTAGACTACCACTTACTGCTTCCCTCATAATTTTTTATAAGACTACCTGCCTGCAACCTAAGACAAAAGAACAATAGCGGGTTAAAGAAAATTTAAAAAAAAAGGTCAAGATATGTATGGCCGATCATTCTTTCATTAAATAACAACTTTTAAATACTTGTAACACATTTACACGGTCAGTCACACAACAACAACAACAAAAAAGACAGGTCTAACACTAATTCTGGTGGATTCCGGAACTGTGTGACAGACTTTGCCTTTGTTTTACTGTTTTTTACTGCTATACCATTCCAGAATAATAAACCTTCTTTTTAATCTTCTTTTTTAAAAAAGTGTGTTGGGTTGTTGGTAGTATTGTAATCTCAGCTAACTTTATGGTTAGAAATTAGGGTTAGGCATATGGTAGGACTAAGGTTGGGGTTAGGGACAGGGTTAGCATTGACATTAGCCAGCCATATGTGTATTTAGTTAACTACTAGTAACCTAACACCCCTTTTTTAAAGAAGATCCCATTATCGGACACTGGTATAAACATTCTCCCATCTTTTACTACCACTTTTTAAAAATCTTAATAATATAGGGATGATATTTAGAATACGCCCAATGTAATAAAATAATCATGATAATAATAATTAATAAAATAATGTTTAAAATGTTGGTAAGCTAAATAACAATATTAAAAAAGGAAAATAAGGACTCCTACTGCTTTTGTAGTTGCAAATATTGCCAAATATTGGTAGGATACTTCCCTGTGAAGCTTTATATAAGTGTTTTAATTCAAATTTTTATACTTGTTCATTTGAAAGTAAGGTAATGGCTGGTATCAGCAGAACATTTTTTTAGAAGAAACGAATTTTTGACAGTTATTTTGAGTGGTCAGACTGAATCCCTTAGCAAAACAAATCCTTGGTAAAAGTGTTTATGTTGAGTTAAATTTATTTTTTTGACTAGTTTTTTCAATGTTGCAAATTAGTTGGCTTCCAGAAACCTTTTGTCCTCATGTTTTCCAAATGCTACTACTTAAGTATTTAAAAATGTGTAAACTGTGTTTTCTTCCAGCCCCTCTCAGCTCTGAGGAAATGTTGGACAGTGAAAACCAGCGCAGGGTGTCTGGTCTGGCTGACAAGGTCTCCTTACTAAGGGGGGTAAATAATTTTTGTTACCACACTTCCCTAGACATGTACTACATAATTACCTTCTACTGTAGTGTAAAGGGCTGTTGTCCGATTTCAGCTGGAAATTTTTTTAAAATGTGAAGTTTAATATCTCCCCCTATCATCACACATCATCACATGAGTCAATGAGGGTCACATGATTTATGTAGAACCCCTGAGGTAAAAATTACATTGAATATAAACTAAGCTCATTTATAAAATATTACATTATCTCTTTTTTTATTTCATCAGTGCTAATTTTTTATTAGAACACTATTTCATCAATGCCTATTGTGTACAAACTAAAAGAAATTCATCTTTTCTCCAGATTGCGCTGGACATTGAAGCCGAATCCAAAGATTCTAACCGATACATTGACTCTATGGTACGTAGATTATATGTCACATAATCTCAGTCTAAGCTAGAGCTTGTTTGATGGCGAGCAAAAAGAAAATGTATGAATGTTGAGTTAAAAATTAACATATATAAAATTCTGTGATCCCCACTATAAAAACTTGTGTACACTGTGTTCTACAGGCCGGAGACTTCAGCAGCTCTGAAGGGTTGTTGACTGGTAGCATGAACAGGTTGTCTCACATGGTTGGCTCAGGGAAAAACAACCGCAAGCTGATGTGCTACATTGTGCTGGGGTTGGTCCTGCTCTTTGTCATCACCTACTACTTCATCTCCAGAGTGCGGGGCTAGACACAGTTTCAACCTTTTCTTTGTTTGGGGCCAATAACGCATGTGGTATTTTCAACTTTAAACTCCGTGCTATATGTGACTGCTATGGACAAGCTTACACACAATCAAATTTTTACTTCTTTAATCAAATTGTGGTTATTTTTTTTATCGAAGTTGAAAAAACTAATTAGATGTAAATAAAACAAGCTGTAGTGTATAATTGATCAGAACAAATGAAAAAGTGTAGCTTGTACACTTAGGTTTTGATACTCCACACACCTCTAGGATCATTTAATATCATGATTCTCTCCCCTTGTAAATAGTTGGATGTGAATAGAATCCATCTTGTTTTATAATGTTTATATTTGATTGCTATTTATTATGGGCCAAAAATGGTCTCTGCTGGCAATTTGATTTTTAAAAATGTCAAAGTTGACAATGGGGGGGAGGGTGTATATAGTCTATAGAGTTAAAACTTGTAGAGTTGATGGGCCATGGTGCAGCAGATAATCTGCTCTAGTGAGGTGAGCCCAGCATATGAAGAGACTGGTGATGCCCAGCTGCTTCAAGTCAGGCAACTCTGGTGGCAAGTGACATCCACAAGATGGGAACAGTTACTGAGTTAGCAGCCTTGTGCTGAGCTATACAATCTCTGATGTGTAGTGTTGGGGGGGGGGGGGGTTGATATCTTTTATGTGAGATGTTTCATGGCCTTGTGTCACCATGAATTATTGAATGTGTGAGATGTTTCATGGCCTTGTGTCACCATGAATTATTGAATGTGTGAGATGTTTCATGGCCTTGTGTCACCATGAATTATTGAATGTGTGAGATGTTTCATGGCCTTGTGTCACCATGAATTATTGAATGTGTGAGATGTTTCATGGCCTTGTGTCACCATGAATTATTGAATGTGTGAGATGTTTCATGGCCTTGTGTCACCATGAATTATTGAATGTGTGAGATGTTTCATGGCCTTGTGTCACCATGAATTATTGAATGTGTGAGATGTTTCATGGCCTTGTGTCACCATGAATTATTGAATGTGTGAGATGTTTCATGGCATTGTGTCACCATGAATTATTGAATGTGTGAGATGTTTCATGGCCTTGTGTCACCATGAATTATTGAATGTGTGAGATGTTTCATGGCCTTGTGTCACCATGAATTATTGAATGTGTGAGATGTTTCATGGCATTGTGTCACCATGAATTATTGAATGTTTAAATTTTATCACAAATGAAAAAAAAATGTTTGAAAAGTTGTAAAACTTGTTATTTGCTTGATTTCATATCAGTAAAATTATGTTTTTATTTGAGATTTTGGTCTTTATTCAATAAAATTTTGCCACAGTTTGTCTTGTGTATTGTGAACAAAACCCAAGGTGACACTTCAATACAATTTTTATACAACTACACTAGAATTCCTTAAGTAAGTTATCATAAATACAAAATCATGTGCCCACAACAGACATGAACATGTACTCACATCAGACACATGAACATGTGCCCACAAAGAAACAATGGCCCATAAATATAATAAAGCAATACTGAGCTGTGTCTACAAAATACTGGGTAAAGCTTTGCATTCACTTTTAGTCAACCTAATCAGTGAACAATAATAGCAGATATGGATCATGTCAGTCAATTAATGATGGATATGGATCACGTTAGATCAGTGTTTCTTCCAGAATTTTTTCTCCAGTGAGGCACTTGAAATGTTTGGGGGAGCAGACAAAAAAAATAGGGGGGGGGGGGGGGCACTGTTAAAAGTATATATTTTATATATAAATTCCATTTCGTTGTGGGGGGGGTGTCAGCCCCCTCCCGAAGAGATGCCTGGAAGAAACTCTGTGTTAGATAATGATGGATATGGATTACGTTTGTTAATTTGGGACCACGTTTTGTTACTAGTTCCATGAGTCTTGAAGGACATTGGGTATACATTGAGAATATAACGTGAAGGACATAGGGTATACATTGAGAATATAACAATGTACAATTACAGCATATTTAATGAATTAAACAATATAATACTGAATCACAGCCATGTCTTACAAGCCTCTTGAATCTCAAGTGTTACAACATAAGGGGCATGATGTCATGTGTTACAACATAAGGGGCATGATGTCATTTGTTACAACATAAGGGGCATGATGTCATTTGATACTACATAAGGGGCATGATGTCATGTGTTACAACATAAGGGGCATGATGTCATGTTTTACAAATTTAGGGGCATGTCATGTTTTAGTGACAACAGAACCAGTCAACTAAGTTGCAGTCAGATATTAGAACAGCAGTCTAATAGAACCCAGTCAGATAAAATAGAACCAGTCAGATAAAACAGATCCAGTCAGATAAAATAGAAGCAGTCAGATAAAATAGAACCAGTCAGATAAAATAGAACCAGTCAGATAAAAATAAAATAGAACCAGTCAGATAAAATAGAACCAGTCAGATAAAATAGAACCAGTCAGATAAAATAGAAGCAGTCAGATAAAATAGAACCAGATAAAATAGAACCAGTCAGATAAAATAGAAGCAGTCAGATAATTAAAATAGCAGATAAAATAGAACCAGTCAGATAAAATAGAACCAGTCAGATAAAATAGAACCTGTCAGATAAAATAAAACCAGATAAACAGATCCAGTCAGATAAAATAGAAGCAGTCAGATAAAATAGAAGCAGTCAGATAAAAATAAAATAGAACCAGTCAGATAAAATAGAACCAGTCAGATAAAATAGAACCAGTCAGATAAAATAGAAGCAGTCAGATAAAATAGAACCAGATAAAATAGAACCAGTCAGATAAAATAGAAGCAGTCAGATAATTAAAATAGCAGATAAAATAGAACCAGTCAGATAAAATAGAACCAGTCAGATAAAATAGAACCTGTCAGATAAAATAAAACCAGATAAACAGATCCAGTCAGATAAAATAGAACCTGTCACTGTCAGATAAAATAGAACCGGGAAAGCATGCTAGGATATCACTGATGATCAGAGCGAACACATAATAATCATTGCTTGAATTTTTCCCTTTCCAACAAAGTTTCAGACAAAGCACAATGGCCTGAATGGGGGATGTAGATCTAGATCTAACTATTGTGACGAAACAAAGTTTACTTCTGTGTTGACACTTTTTTCCATTTCCGCTAGAACACGGCTTCGAGTTTAGAGTAGTCTCTCTTTTGTTTTCATTGCGGACCACAACAAATTTGATTGAATGGCTTATTTGTTGTGGTGATTTATAAAGATGAGATCGCCATGAAGTAAACGCTGATCATTCAATTCTTGTAGATCTATATATTATAAATTAAAGATACATGCTCTCCATCAATTTTCCAATCATTCCAGCATGTTCGCGTTATTTATGATAGGGCGGGGGGCTGTCGTTGTGGTAAGGGGGTGGCAGGATGATGATCTTCGAGCCGTCTGACAGCTGGTGCAGCACAACGCCATCGTGACGCGGGATGTCGCTGGGGAAGTTGGTGTCAGAGCAGAAGTTGGTGTCAGTGCAGAAGTTGGTGTCAGTGCAGAAGTTGTTCTCCTGGCCTGGGTAACTTGTCGAGCAGGGCGAGCTGTCGGCGCCGAGCTGCTCACCCCGTGCACACCTGGGGCTTCTCGGTGCTTGGCTCGACCGCTGGTGTCTACCCGTGACGCGCTCACACTGGTTGCTATGACGACCAAGGTTGGCGTCGGAACGGGCGAACAGACGTTGGTGGCCGGCAAAAAGCAAGTGTCGATGAATGTTTTGGTTGAGCTGAGGGATGGGGTTCAGCCGTCTAGCGCTTGGTGCCACCATCTCCAGAGATCTGGACAACGGCTCACCACCGGCCCCGCCCCTGTAGCTCCTGTTCAACAAAGGGGACGCTACTCTCGTGTCGTCGCCGCTGTTCCCTGGCGACGTGGTCTCGTCCACTCCGGGCGGGCTGGTCAAGTTGGCGTTCTCGTCCATGACGTACGGCTGTGACCAGTCATGCGTGATGGCTCCCTGGGGCTGGGGGCTCACGGGACCCATCAAGTCACCAGCCGACTCGTCGCTTTTCACGGAGACGGTGTCGCTAGATATGGACATCTCCTCATCCTCCCTGACGTCACACGGAGCAGCCGTGGTTTGCCCGCGGGTCTGGCCCGCCCCACCCTGGCGCAGAACATCGTGGATCTGCAGGTTGTGACGCTCCAGCCACCGCCTGCCCACCCACTCCCGGTTAAAGGTCAATGAACTCCATGTGTTCATGATGGAATTCATCATGTTCCGGGCAGACGACGGACTTCTGGACGGTGACGTCACAGGGGGCGTGTCCAGTCGCGTGGTGCCGCCTGTCAATGGCATCTCTTCAGGCAGGCTGGATCTCCTCAAGGCCGGCTGACCCGTGGGGACATTGTATATCCGTTTGTCCCAGACTGCGTCGTACTGAGATGACAGCCTCGACCCGTCACCTCCAACCCTCGACCCGTCACCTCCAACCTTTGACGACTCACTGCCCAGTAGGCGATCTACTCCATCCAGTTTCTTTCTTTTCTTCGAATGTTTGTTTTTGTGTTTTCGCTTGTCGCGTTTGGGGGAGCAGACGTGTTTTCCCCGGGCCGTTGTGACGTGGCAGGGCGTGGCCTCGGTCGTCTCCTCACACTCGTATATCGTGTCCATGTGCTGGGTGGGCATGATTTTCTTGCTGAAAGACGGCCTGTCCGCCTCGCCCAGCTTACGTTTTCTCTTGGCCTCCAGGTGCTTCTTTACCCGCCATCGAATGAAGCCGGTTATGAGGACACTGGCCAGGACAATGCCGACGACTATGCCAATAAGCTGCATGGACGGTTTGGCTGACGACGGGCCATTTTTGTTTTCCCCTCCAACGCCGGCTGGTTTCAAGGCGATGACACCGGTCGTGTTTACGTCATCGGCCGCCGGACCGTAGGAGTGTGTGACGTCATCAGTCCGTGAAGCCACGTGAGCAGTGAGCGTAGTTTTGCCCTCCTGGCTGTCCCCCTCCACACTCTCGCCACTGTCGTCTGTGACGTCTCTTGTGACGTCTCTTGTGGCGCGAGACCGTGCTTGTTCCCTCCCGCTGGCACTCTCTTGTACAGTTG